GGGAGTTATTTTAACTCCTAAAATAGGAGTTACGGAAAAAGGTACAGAACAACTCACTTTTTGGAGTTAAAAGTAACTCCAGATTTGGAGTAAAATATTAACTCCGTTTTTGCAGTCAGAATAACTATCATTTAGGGGTTAAAATGTAACTCTTAAAAAGGAGTTAAGCAGTGGTAACTCCACTATCGGAGTTATATTATTTCTACTTTCAGAGTTCTGATGCAAATTGTGTTTGTGTATTGGATTATTAAACTAAAAACATTAAAGCCAAAGGTTCTCGTAGTGTCATATTGGTAAATTTATCTCACAAAATTTCTTAATATCAATTCACATGCATTTGTATAATATTGTGAGTTGTATATTTGAAAAGACAGATCAATACAAAAGCTCTGAATTGCTATATTAATTGTCTGAAAGGATCACCTTTTCATAGCCCACTTTTAAATAATTCTAACATCAGTTGTTGCTTTTAACCTCAATAATACTCTTCCTATACCCTAAATTATTATTTACTTTTGAAAGACTTTGATTACTGTAAATTTTAAAGTGATAAAATGACCTATTTAATATTGATTTTTGCATCCGGCCCGCTTGAAATGCATCCGGCCCGGTGTGAAATGTGAATAAAACGGCCAAACCAAAGCAACGTAAGGCTAAAATGTGTAAAAACCTTTCCGGAAAAGGCTAAAAGTATGTTAGAAATAAAAAACATACCCGAAAAACATCTTAGTTTGGATTTTTTACTCCTTTTTTCGCTGCATTTTACGTTGTTTTTCTAGTCGATTTGCCCGAATTTGCCGTGATTTAGTTGCTATGGTAACAATATCTGCCATTTCATTGGCTGTTTCTTGACTAGGATATCCTTTTAAGGAGTTGTTGACGTATTAAAATTCTGAAATGGCTTGTAGCCTTGTAGATTGTAGAAATTATAGTTTTTATATAGTTATTTGCTAATTTTTTTGTTTTTTTTGTGTTTCATGAAGTCAATAATGTAAAGGTAAAAAAATAAACACGTTATATACCGCAGCTTCAGCCCGGAGGCAAAAATCTGTCCTCTCGGTCTCGAAAACTTCCCTTGGCCTACGGCAAAGGTTAAAAAATAAACACATTATATTTTACCGGCAGCTTCGGCCCGGACCCAAAAAACTGTGCCGACGGTCTCGAAAACGGAAATAACGACCTCACAGCCAGAAATAACATATATAATCAATAGATCATCGTCAGCCCTGCCATTTTTCCCTATTTTATGGGGGGAATGGCTTTGGTATACAGATGAACAAAACAGCCTTATAAACTTGAACTTAAAAGTTAAATGCCGTAGGAAGAAACTTTATACATCGGGATGAAGAAAGCGATATGAGTTAAAATATAGGGTTAAGAAGTCAAATTATATTAGTGGCACAAACATTCGTAATTTTTACAAGCCTTTTCCGCCTTTTTCACTCCAGAGTTAAATCAATTCACGTTTATAAGACTAAAATTTATAATAAACTATTAACCCGCTCCTCTTGTGCACGCCATTTTGAATTTTATTTAACTCCAAAAAGAGAGTTGAATTTTTATCACCCCCAAAAAAGGGTAATAGGTGAGTCAAAATAACTCATAAAAGAGGGTTAGATTGCTTAACTCCCCCAAAAGGAGTTAATTCTGCATAGTTAATAAGGTCTAAAAATTATTAACCCCTCAAAGAGAGTTATTTTTACTCCAAAACTATAGTTAAATTTTTAACTCCATTAAAAAAGGATAATGGGAGAGTTAAAATAACTCCCTGAAAATAACAGTGCAATATTATCGTTATTTATTTTTCGGATACTATAAATCAGCCAAAAATTTTCATAGATGTTGTAACTCTGTCATTCACGAGTAACTGAGATATTTGATTCTCCTAAATATTGAATTTTGATGTCAACAACGATCCAGAATCATAGTAATATAAATTCTATCTGATTCAGGCATGCTATATAAAGCGTTTCAAGACATGTTTCAAAGATTTTTCTCGGTAAACTGTATTGGTAAGGTTTTCGTTTCGCTCGCTAATTCATATAAGTCACTCTGCCACTTGGCAGAGTTGCAAAACGTTTTGAAATTTTGATTTAGATTGGCTAACAACAGAAAGTTGCCCGGTAAAAGCTGTTTGTTTACAACAAAAATCGCCGGTCTGTGGCTTTCAGATTGTCACAAATCTTGCCTGAAAGTGCGGCAAATAATTATAGCGTTTTAGAGACCCTAGAAAAAAATTCACCTGGGGCTGGGAGGAATGCCCTCGAACCCCCTAGAGCCAGGTCTCGCGTCTGAACAACCTGACGACGCTGCTGGGCGGCGATTCTTGTGCTAGTGTATCTAGAATCCTTCGTAGGTACGTTATGTGAATGCATGTATATATACTACATCATATACACTATCATTGATCGCGCGTAACGATTCCATGACGGTATTTCCACCCGAATATGAGCTTGATTTTCAGTTTTTTACATTACGTCTTTCCGTTGAGTATGACAGGACGTTCTCATTGTTATACGTAATAACAGCATTCAATGTGAAATGTCACACTCAACGAGAAATGAGTATTTAGAATTTAGAATACAGGCATTAGTCATAACAAAAGATCGAGTTTTGCAATTAAAATCCAAATTATCAATGTGCGGAAATGGTGATCTAATTTCATGTTGTCACTATTATTAAATCATGATGATATCTGCATATACTTCAAGGCTGAATTCACGGAAAACATTAATTAAACAGTTTGATTAACAGGTGCATGTGGCTATCGTGCTTAAGAAACGGTGTGCGGATATAATAGCATCGGCTGTTAAGTCGTCATTTTATAAGCATATTTGTTATTCAATTTGTCAACCACGAGAACTGAAACTCTTTTGTTTCCGAAATACGCGTTAGATATCCTGTAAACAATCATCAACAATATTATTTTTCGGATACTATAAATCAGCCAAAAATTTTCATAGATGTTGTAACTCTGTCATTCAAAAGTAACTGAGATATTTTATTTTCCTAAATATTAAATTTTGATGTTAACAACGATCCAGAATCATATAGTAATATAAATTCTATCTGATGCATGCATGATAAAGCGTTTCAAGACATGTTTCGAAGATTTTTTCTCGGTAAACTGTATTGGTAAGGTTTTTGTTTCCCTCATGCACCAATTCATATAAGTCACTCTGCCATGCACTTGGCAGAGTTGCAAAACGCTTTGGAATTTTGCAAAAATGATGATTTTATCTCCGCAATGACTTTTGTGTAGTGCACATTATTTAAAAACACTTTTTTCCAGAACTGTCTCCGGGTGTTCATCTGCAGCACACAACCTAAAAAGGGACTGTATATAAAAAAAAGAAATAAAATCTACTCATCGTGTAAACTTGGTACACGCTGTATTAATTTGCAAACGCATGCATGGATAATCTCTGTCGATAACATTCTCAGGACAGCATGTCCATCAATTCCATGTGTCGGGTTGTGTGGTTGACGAGAGATCATGAAGGCATGTTGTGAATCTTTCCTGAAATCTAAGATATACAATTGCTCTTGCTTCAGCGGAACAAATGAGTTCCATTTTATATTTCCATGCATGTTCTATACTACGGGCGTAATGACAACAGATATGTCAAAACATTTCAGTTTTTGTTTCATTTCAGTTTCAGACTTGACATATACTGATCTAATATACTGATCTAAAACATCTAGTTTCAATATAATTTATGTGGCCGAATTCTTACATTAACCTGTAGACGAAATGTGTCAGAAAGCTACCACATATCAACATTAGATCGAAAAATATCAATATTTGATCGACGTATAACGTCGCCGTCGGTTCGATCCGCGTTGTCTGTGAATTGAAAGAAATTTCTTGAAAACTAGTTTAATGCATGTCCTGATCATCAGTCCTTATGCCAAAAATTGATGTGTTGATGTGACAGAAAATTCACGTTATAATTCTTACCCATAACAATTAAGATATATGTCTCAATCGACTCTATACGACCAGTTTGCATGCAAGTAACATCATGTGGTTATACTCTCCTCTGCCTCCTTTCATATACGAGTTGTGCATGCAGGCATGTATTCATGCATGCAAAAGGCCTCACTCACACACGCATTCATTGAGTGTGACATATAGAAATTCTGATATAAATTATAATGATCATCGTGAAAGTCCTTTCTTATAATCAATTCACTAAAAATAAAACTCAAATAATCAAAACACTAAAAATTCAAGCTCTTATAATTTCGAGTGCATGGAAATACCGTCATAGAAACGTGTTTGAGATATCCCGCTCACCAAGTTTGAGTGTGAGTAGTAAATTATATTACACCACATCAATTTATTAAAGGGGATGATGATTGTAAAAACATGATTTTTTCTCAACCTCAATTATAACATGCGGTGCAGTCGCTTCGCGATCCTGTTTAATTAAAAGAGAACGCCATCAATAGATATTTTCTAATTTCTGTAACGTTAGCTTCAACAATTACTGCATGGAAAATTGAACTGACAGCCATCACGCGGTCAAGACCACTTAGGAGAAAAAGCCCTCGCAAAAGTTCTGACGAAGTTTCTAAAGCAATATAGCCTGTGATGTTTTCGAAACGCGAAAATATTTCCCGATACACCCCGGGTACAGCAACGTATATGGTTGTCGCCGATTCGATACATTTTCATTTACCTGCTTGATAGGCTATTATTCTTGGGGGAAACGATTAAAACCCGACATATATCGGCTTGCATGGTCACCATGAAATCTTGAATATGCCCGTAATTACCTATATGCTAAATATCCGGAGGTCGTTATATTTCAAACAGCAACGCGCAGATACTGACATGCATATGAGCATAAATATATGAGCATATGCACATTTCCATAGCATGAGCTGTTCGCTAACTCCATGGGCAGCCAAAGAAACCTTACTCATCCGAGCATAAGGAACAATACCGTATAATATATACATTTAATAACTAATTGATAAGATTAAATACCATATATTTCTGTACACATGACTGTGCAATTCGTAATTCAATTCAACTGATCTTGCGTGACTTTTTGGCACCTGTACATCGACTGAAAGTAAAGTTGCCTTGTGCATCATGTGCGCCAAACTATCGTGGGACAAAATTTTTTGTCACCTGTTTCAGTCTGCATGGCAAAAGGCTTGTCTGTTGTTCTTCTTAAAAAAATTTCATTACCGTAATCAATTATTTTTATCAACTACTCCGCGCGCACGTACTTGTTCTGGTCTCAAGTAATACATGAACGAATAAATCGAACATTTGTACTAATAAAAATTAATGAAAGTCCAAATGAAATAAAGCCAATTCAATATCTACATCTCATTTTGCCCAGACTGGCCAGACGTATTATCTGTCTCTAGGCTATAGATGCATGTCCGAGCAGGGCGAAAGTCAAACGCGAGAGGTTTTCGTCCCGTTTCGGCTGAGCAGCCGAGTTTGCACAGCTCTTGTTATCACGTGATGAATGCTATGGGTATTCTCTGCTGACTCAAGCACATGACTGTTTTTGTTGAACAATATCGACTGCAAGGTTGCCCGAAAATCACGATTGTGCATTGAGTATATAATGGGATTTAGCGCGGAGTTCGCGTAATGGAGCCACTTCACGATGATGACCACTTCAAACGATATCGTACATTTTGTACAGTACTGACTGAGTATGGAAAGAACGAAAAATGGCAGCCAACAGGCGAGGAACGCGCCGATTACCAGCGAAATCGTCTTGGTTGCTTTGAGTTCTTTGTCAAAATGTCTCTTATTCCTGTTCGATTCCCTCGAATTAGGCAAGCAGCTGCGCCGGATGCGCTGCACTTGGGCCTTTGCCGCCTTGAATATGTTTGCGTATGCAAATAGAATTGTTCCGAGCGGCAGGAGAAATGAAAATCCCGTAACGAGCAAGGAGTAAAACCTCCAGTCGATTTCCCGCAAAATAGCAACGACGAACGAATAACACCACACCACTCCTATCACAAGCATGGCCCTCGATTTCGGTAGGAATCTCTCGTATGACAGCGGTTTGCTGATAACTATGTATCTGTCAATAGAGACCACCGCGAGACTTGTAATACTCGCGGTCGCACACGATATATCGAGCGTGATCCATGCCTTGTACAACACGCTCGCCACAACTTGGCGGTCTTGTAACATGCGATGAAACCAGAACGGCATTATGATCGCGCCAACAAGGAGATCAGTCACTGCTAAATTTATGATGAAACATCTGGTAACAACACGAAGTCGGGTTGCCTTGCAGTAAGCGGCGATTGCGAGCGAATTCCCTATAACGATGACGATAATAAGAGTCCACATGAAGAGCGATGATATAACCTTGTAGGCATAGGAGGATATACCAGCGTTTTCCTTCGCACCGACCGTAGTTGTTACGTTTTCAGACATCCTTATCAAGTTCGTTTTGTCGTTTCAGCTCGTGACACGTTGCAGTGATGTTCCTGCAATGAAGTGAAATTAATGTGGGAGGGTGAGACAATTGCGCGAAATCTCGTCAGAAAATCTGTTAAGATAAAGCAACGAGATTAAAGGCCTCATGCAACAATGTTTATCATGTTGTTGTGATGATATTCCAAAAATAGCTATAAGCTCGCAACGCAGTGAACTGCATAGTGTTGGGATGGATCAAGTGCCAATAATTCTTGGTAGCTGCGCGTGCATAAAAATCGCGTACGGCCATGCAGTTCGTTTCAAAAAGGAGGGTTCCAAACGTCATCTTTTTTTCAAATTCTCCAATTACATTCCCTATTAAGGCCTCGCACATTATTGGTATTTTAATTATATAGCACTTATATTGCCAATGGTTTGATATATTTTCGACCATCAATAACTCAATAAACGGAATCAACACTTAAATCTTAAGAAGCGGACAAGGAGACGCATGCTAACCAGCTTGAAGCGCACCGCCGTTGCCTATATCAGCCGAATAGCAATGTTTCCTGTCAAAGGGGTCAAGGATATTACTAAAACGGTGACGTTAATATACAGTAACAATATATATTGTGGTAATAATAAGATTGTACATTTACAAGTCCAGGCAATAACACAAATGGTCGGACTGTTATATAAATATATCCGGACTGTCATATTTTCACAGGCACGAGAATTAATTTAATGAAGTCTTACGTTAAGGAGTGAATGAAATTAAATTTTAACGCAAACCAGACTACTGTATAGATAGGCTGCTATACGTCGGGGCTATTATAAAGAACTGTAGAGATATACACATAAGCGTAATATTATCAAATCGAGCCGTCTAAGGCTATCTTTAATTATTTTGCTTCCTAATGCGCAATGCCTTATCCATAGCCTCACGATTTACGGACATGTACGAGACATCGAGAAAAGGCATGACGAAGCATTAAAGTCAAAGCTGGTTTTAGCTAAAGTTTGAGTTTTATAAATCGTATACACGACTGTTATTCGCTGAATGATTAACATTTACTTCTAGCACAAAACACGCATGCATTCAATAATGTGCTGGATGCCGAATTGCTGTGATTATCACCCACAAAACGAAACCATGTGTATTTTCAATTCTGTCGAAAACGATCATCATGTGCTTAGTACATGATCAAATACTCATACAATTTCAAGAATTCTAAGCAAACTGTTGATATCTTTTCGGTATCATATTAACCGCGTCGAAAGTACAAGTGTTGTCTGTGTTGATGTAGATTACTGCGTATAATACTTGAGTTTAAGGGTTTCAATCATATTTATAAACAAACTGTACATAATACTTTTATATGATAAGCATACCTGTGTTTTTTCTTACGTTATATCACGTGAAAGTCGCTGCTCTATCTCCACGGCGCTTCAAGTGTATCGGCAACATCAGTTTCGCACAAAGAGAACATGTTTATGACAGATTTTTGCAGCCCCCGCAAATATTTCATGATCTAATTTCATGATTCACATATACAGCCATGTCAAGTATATATATGTATATAAATGTATATAGAAGATTCGCTTACCGATAACCCAAGTAGTGTAAGCGTATTATGTACATGCGCTTCGGCTGACCCTATTTATCATGATTAATTTAGCGGATACGCATCGAGATAAGTGAAGTTTAATCGATGCTCATATCTTTCACGAGCAACGTCGAGATATCACTTTTCTCATGCTCTTTGTAACTTGCGGTATATTGTTCCCATATAGAGTGGGCCGCGTATAGCTTGCAGCAGATGAATAAACGATTGTTGAATGGAAATTGAACAAGGGTGGCTAATGATGCCTTGTATAGGCGTATTAATTTACCTAAGAGATTCCTTGGCCTTGGATTTTTTAAATGCAAAAAATACCCCATACTTGCACGTCTGTATATAATCTAGATTTAGCAGCAACATTTTTTTTCGAAAACAATGGGCGATAATTTGCGAGTCTTATAATTGCAGAAAAAAACTCACCGTATAATTCATGACTAATTCTGAAAGGGTTTTCGATTTTGATAGCTACAGACGATCATGCATATATATGAGAATGAACATGCATATATACATAGAATTATATACGTTGTGATCACTGAATGGTTCTCATGTCAATCGTTTCCCTCGAAATTGTCATTCGGGAACCATGCAACGAATATACGGTTCAAGCGCCACTTGGATGCGACTATGAGATACTGCAACTTGGATGCGACTGTTGTCCCTAGTTGTATATAAGTCTATTTTACATTGATAGAATTCCAATGCTCTCTATTGTGTTGAACCGACAAGTATAGCAATGTTGAAGTATAGCAATGTTTCCGAAAACATGCACTATCAAATCAAATTTTACGATTTGCAAATTTGAGCACAACGTTGGTCGTTTATACGTTCATAGCTCAGTGCTGGGGCGATAAGAATCAAATGATAGTTGATTTCAATGGTTTTCGGAGTTTTTTTAATCGCTCTTCGTATGTGGATCATGCAGCTGAACACCGACAGGAATGTAAATCCTGCGTTTGACTAGCAATATATATAGGTCTACGTTGTAGATTCAGCGAATCGGAGTTGAACATCGCATCGCATCGCTTCTTATGGAGGTTCCTGCTGCAGATTCTTGGACTAACATTAATCCACTTTAACCTTTTATCGCATGCGAAAATGCAAAATAATGTCATCTGACGTCATTGTCGTCCCAAAATAATCCATTGATTTTATCACATTTGTTGTTTACATGCATGCATGCATGTGTATGTTTTTTAATTAAACTAATCTTATATACATTAATTGCCTCTTCTCCCATATTGTCAACTTTGATGTTTTGAAAATGAAATACGACCACGTATTTCAGTGTAGCTATATATATATAGTCCGGTGTTTTCATGCAGCATTGTATATAGGAAGGAAAGAAGAAGCATCAAGTAGCTCATGGGAATTTTAGGAAAGAATTTAAAAGGGATGAAAGAACTGAGAGATTTAAATGGGGATCAGCCTTAAATATATTATCGAACGTTGATCTTGCAGTATACTGTTGTAGTGAGAAAATGGTACGAAATTGCACATGTTTGTCACAAATCACCATGTCAACAGCCCAACATATACCATGCCCAACACATGCATAGCTGCTTACTGCGATTCCTTTGATTCGCGGATTTCAAGTCGAGTCCAGTTCGAATCTTTACGACATCATTTAAAACCCAGAATACCATATTCAAGCAGTAATTTATGCCATAGTATATACATCGTATTGGGAATAGCGCCTCCTAGCTAGCCTGCCATGCAACATCGCTAGTATATACTTAACATGAACGTAAATATTGATATACTGAATTATCTTAAATTCTTCGAAATTGAATAAAATATTTATGTGTTCCTGTATGCGCATCAGGGTGATTGGCGAAAATATAGCTAAAGCTAATGTGCCCGTGCATATATGACCATTGTATTCTGTCAGTCTGACTGTAAAAAAGAAAAAAAGAAAACGAATATATATATATATATATATATATATATATATATATATATATATTAATATATATATATATATACTATGATATGACTACTTCCCATACAAAGTATGAAAAAACACAATGTCTAATAGCACGACTGCACGAGATAATTGAAAACATGCATGGGTTCTAATTAGTTCCGCTAAGATGATATTTCAGGCCTGATAATTTCATAATGGCACAAAAACATGTATATACGCGAAGCCAAAGCATTTCAATTCTCATATATATCATATTGGCATCTCTTAGTGATGATTAACAGGAAAACCTATCAGAAAAACACTAAAAAATAATGTTCTATATGGTATACATTGGCATTGCTCTCTAGAACAAGACTATACGAATGTTTCTCGAACCTTATGCATTTTGCTGTCTGCTATTGTATAAATTTTTTCCTAATCTTTTTTTATAAAGTTTCATTTTCGATATATTTCTAGATTTCTACATATCTCATTTTTACTCGTGATATATTTCACTGATAACTTACATCATATCACTTTTATGCCAAAAAGTTATCCGAAATAAAGTGTAGCAAAAAAACTGCAATATTTCATAATTCCCAGAGGCCTGTACGATCTTTTGTTATTAAATGCAAGAGAACATATATATGAATATTAAGTGTTGCAGTTTTTTATATACCCCGTATTTGTGTTTAAAAAAATTGCGGGTAATCATGGCACAGCGTGAATTCATTAGATATACTATATTTTTACAATTTTTGCCTAAGGCTGCACTCGTGCTCTTTGATTTAGCCGCAATAAAAACGTCAGTGCCTCCCTACACTGACGGGGGCATTGTTATTGGATGTGTTTTGCGTGTATGTGAAACAGCTGATTAATTTAAACCTACATATGACATACAAATTGTTATCGATTAACGTTTTGAAACATTTGTATAGCATTAAATTAATTTTCAGTGTCTGGCTGATATCGATCAAAGCAGTCCTCATGATATGCAAGCCTATATTCAAATAAGCCGTGCGTAGTGAAATTTATTTTGTTCGAACAAGAATAACGATTATAGCTATCGCAAATTGCAAGCTGTCTAAATGAACGCCCGGCTAGTCAGCAAGTTAGGCTCTCCTGTGGCTGTACTGTCCTGTGCTGAGATTGGCTGGCACACCAACAACTGCAAAAAACTTCGGAAAACTATAGTCCGTTCAAAACGATTCATTCGAAACGATTTCATTGTTGTTGTTCAGAGGTCGTTGTTATCATGCAGGATTGGTATATTGCCATTATTGGCCTTTTTGAGACCAAATAATTCGATTTTGGCCTCTTTTCTTTTTTGGTTGTTTGAATACTTTTTTGGCCTTTTTTCACCTGAAGAAACCCTGTTTGCATTGTGTTACTGGGGTTTATCGCCTTTAACTAATAAAACAAGCAATGTCTTCACTGCATGACGTCAAATTTAGCGGTAATTGACCATAACAAAAAAGATGGCGGATGTACATTTTACCAGAATGCATTACGGTCAGAGATCGTTTAAAAAAGCGAACTGACGTCTTTTAAAGGACAGGCATAAAACAGGAAGTTATTTTCTTCGCTGCGTTAAAATTTCACGTCATTATATAGGAGTTTTTGTTGCCATCTTTTTCAATCAATCATTATTAACGCCCGCAATGCATTCTGGTAAAATGTACATGCCGCCATCTTTTTCGTTACGGTCAATTGTAGTTGTTTGTAACGATTTCTTTTTCCCACTTCACCAGTACGGACTTTCCAAGTCAAATCAAAAGTCCGGGGCAGGAGCTTGTCGTAGAAGAGTCTTTTCATTCTACCAAATTTAATTGTTATCGCCATTATATATAATGTCGTTTTAATATGGCTGACATTCTATCTTAGGACACATTTACTCAAGGAAAGCCCGATTATCCAGTATTAAAGATTATAGATTTCATTAAAAGCGTTCCTGCATGGAGAATAATTAACTTCTCTAAACAAGTTTGAAGCTATTAAACGCGTTTTTTATTTTATGACGATCGCATAGAAAATTATTTCGAAACCATTTTAATATGAAGCCCGATAAGTTTTAAAACAAACAGCTTGCATGTAGCTAATTTGTGTAACGTGAAATACTATAGTCTGTTTTAAAAGTTTAAAACTTCCCGATCCCGGCAATGCGTTCATTTCATGCATCTATCCAAAGAGTGGACAAACGATGAACCATGGATACTTTTTCAAATAGACGTGTTGGGTGGTGAGCTTGATTCCTGCTTTCGAAATTTCGGTCAAACACTTGGGTTCTGTCTCTTCTGCGGCGAAGTACTGTAAAACATCAAAGAAGAATAATGTTAGAGTTTTTTATCATTGTTATTGTACGGGAGAATTAAGTGCGAGATCTCATCATTATTGACATATTTTTTCTATAACAATTATAGTATAATAAGAGATGAACAATGAACGTGCTATTCGTATATAATTGTTAAATATGATCGGCGATTGTTAAATATGATCGGGAGATCAAATATGGCACGGCGAAGACAGAATTACGCGCAAATTGCGCTGAAGATTTCAACTGCAGTCGTCGAATATTATGTTGCACTCGGAAGTGAACCTACCTACTAGCTGAGTGACGGGTTTCTATAAGCGTGTTAACTGTTAACTGTTAAGCGGGTATAGATTGCAAGTAAAATCGAAATTCATCTTCAACTTGCCTTAAATATACTTTGGGTTGGATGTTCAACACGCGCGGTGGTTTGAAAGTCGGCGATCATTGCCCAACCAAAGCCTGTCAATTTTTGTTTGTTGTACAACAAGAAAACCGGGAACAAATCATCGCAATGCATCTCCTTGGATATGTTGAACCAGTAATGTTGACCTTAATACAACAGACGAATCGAAAAATGTCTTGAGAATGTCTTAAGACATGTACATTTGCTAGTACGCAAATGAGTATTTATATGTATGAAAATATGTCAGAGGTTGTGCCGATTATTCACGATGCTACAACGCAGTGCGCTTTATTTTTCTACATTTTAAAACAGGAAAATAAAGCAAATGTTGTAAGCAACGCCGTAGAAAAGAGGATCGAGTCATTAGTCATGCAGTTAATCCTAAAAATATACTTGAGGCATTAAGGTCATATGGTGACAGGATTAGATGTTGATGATTTTTCAAGTTCAGGATGGAGTAGTCTTTACAGTTTAATTAAGAGGGCTTGAAGAAATTCGCCCTTTAAATTTAAAGACTCAAAACCACCCCCAAAAGAGTAGAGGCTCAATTTGACCTACTCTTTTTGGAGTAGTTTTGGCGCTTTTAAACTTTCAGTGTATTAATTCTCAATGAAAGGTATAAACTTTTGTACAACTTAGCGATCTTCATCGATCCCTGAAAATCAAGACCTTTCACTTTTCTTTCATTCACAAAGTAATGCTTTCACTAAGTCATTACGCAAATAGTCTCTCATTTTAATATTGGTTTGTAGTATTCTTATATTACCCATCAAAAAGAAGCACTTTCCTTTCACCCAAGGTGTGGGACCCAGATTACTTTCCTCGTAAGGAATACTCATCAAATCATTTGGAGTTGGTCCGGTTTGAATAAACAAACCGTCTTCGGTGCGTTCTCCCTGGCAAACACGCGAGGGGTGGGTAAAGTAGGCTGTCATTACAAAAGAATCCCCTTCCTCATTCCAGTGACTCTTTTTTTTTATGAACATTTTCTGCGTTGCCAAGGATTTTGCTATCTGCGAAATCATCAAAGTGCTTAAAGTAACACAATCTGAAATTCAAGATCGTTGTAACACCCGTATCATGGTTTGACGCAGAGGGATTGTCTTTGTCACACCGTCCACAGTCAATGGGGAGTAAACGTTGGCCCACAAATGAAGCAACACTGAGTGAGAAACTCCAACAACAACGTATAAAATTGGTGCTGAAAGTGCATGGGAAATATATACCCTTACCCCAAACTGTATTCCTGCGAAATCTCCTTTGCTATCGTAAAGCACCATGGTCGACGTATCGCTGCCAAGGACGTAACGATTGCCAAGGAAGTACGACGATACTACAGATGGAGTAGAATTTGGGGGCGAAATAACTTTACATGTATTCAACACATAACAAAGTATGTAATTCTAAGTATCAAAATATAAATATGCATGCATGAGTATATAACATTCCAATATAACCAGGGAGCAGCGTGGCAGCGTCTTCAAACAACTTAGCATCAAATGTGGTATAACAACTGCCTAAAATAGACAAAAACACTTTTCGACGTTCCTAAGTGCATGAGGACCTTCGTCAGGAGAATTAGTAAGACTTGAGCGTGTATTCTAAAAGCTCACTCACACTCAAACTCATTCAGTGGGAGATCCTAATCTTCTCATAACGTTTCAATTGCGGTATTTCCAAATAGGGGCTGGATTTTCAGTGATTTACCTTATATCTTTAATCTTTCCATCTATTGAGAGAAAACTTTCTCATTGACTAGCATTAACAAAATTTATATGTCACATTCAATGAGTGTGAGTGCGTGTGAGCTTTTTGAATACAGGCGTAACTCTCCTGACGAAGGCCCTCAGGTCGAAACGTCGAATTGTTTTTGTCTATTTTAGGCAGTTGTTATACCACATTTGATGCTATAGAGATATGAGTAAGCCGATTGCGGTGAATCAAATAAATCTATTACAATCTAGCTATATATTGCCTGCATCACATATTTTTTCCACTACTCCTTGAGTTCTATATGTAGTTATTTAAACCATGCACTTACCGCCCTATTATCAAAGAAAATCTCAAAGGTATATGCAGATGGAAGGCTATAATGGTATACATAGTGTCATACAAAGTTTAACTTACCATCATCACATGATGCGGTTTTTTTCCAACCTCCTTTCTCAGCATCACGTATTGTTTGAGGTAAACTACTGAATTTCCCGAAAGTCACTAAAATACAACAAATGAACTTAAGCGTAATTAACCCTGTCTACACGTATCCGCATTCGTTCGTAGCCGCAAATAAACATTTCGTCGCGGATTCAAAAGTTTTCAAACTCGTTATGTCACACCTTTTTCGAAACTCGTTTTGTCACTCCTAAACATAACATACGGAAAATATCCGCACTGTACCCCGGATGAAGTGGCGTATGATGAAGTGAAGTTTTACAAGTGTGTTAGTTTTCAGTTAAATACCCCCATCCATATATAAAAAATGTTACTCTAATTGGTTACTGCATGGCTTTGCAATAGGCCGTCCGTGCCTTTTTAAAAGTTTCCACGTATCGTATATATGCACTGTAAGAAGGCATTTATACTTTAGGCAATTATAAGACATTATTAATATAATTAGTCATAACAGTTTATTAGAGATTTTTCTTCTCAGTTCATGCATATGAAAAAATTCGATACCAATAATTAAAATTAAAAATATTCAATTATAGAAAAATTGAAACCCCCTTACCAATTCTTGAATAAAAATATTAGAATGAAAAAGTAAATTATTGAAATTAAACTTTTTGCCCCTATCAAGAACATAGAAAAGTTCCCCTCGCCTGAGCATTCGAGCTATAGCCGTGTTTACACGAAGGGGCTGACATTTACCTGACATTTACCCGTACCTGAGAAGTACCTAACCAAGTTTTACAGGGTGTGTTTACACCAGTTACCTAACGGGACTTATATACATACACGCAACATAAAGTACTTTGAGAAGAGTATTAAAATCAGCTTGCAGTTCTTTGTTTGTTTATTTCGTACAAACTACAAAGCCTCGTAAAAGAATACGACGTAGTGATTACTGGGATTAATGGCAAACAACGATTTCATGCAAAATTAAAAAAATATGATATAACTTATCGCCAAGTTCCGAAATTCGCCATGTAGCTAATTATCAACTCTGAACTTCCTTCTAATTTTTGCAAAATCGCGCTAAAATTCCAAGACCGCTAAATGCTGACATCAAAGACTCGAATTTACGTTTGTTGTCATGGAAATTAGCTTCGACCACACTTGGGTCAATGAAAATGTGTTTACACCGGCAGACTGACCTGAGACTTACCTAGGACTTACCTAATACCATGTTTTCAGGCCACCTCTAATGCTTGGCCTGAAATCATGGTCTTAAGTCGGTCCTAGGTCGGTCTTAGATCAGTCCTAGTGCGTTTACACTACAGGACTAACTGCTTAAGTTAGGTCTTAGTTCAGGTATAGGTCTCTAGTGTAAACACTGCTTATGACAAGGCCCAAACATATAAATTCTATACCTACTATTTAAAATGACTACTGTACACCCTCATTCTAAATTATAAATCTAGAGTAAATATGAACCGGATTTTATATTATATTTACCTTTTAAGTCTGTCCAGCTTTTTTCTGGCCCTGGCAAGAAGGAATGTGATATTCTTAGTGTGTGATAGATTGCATGGTTCATGTTAACATGCAAAATAAGTACGAGGTCTCTATTAACAGATCCATGCATGTGGTATCTCGGTGTTCGGTTCCGTTGGAAATTACTAGATAGCACTAACTGCCTCCGTAATTTGTTTTTCTCACAAAGTTTATGATTGTCTGGCAGGCCATAAAAATGATTGCTAACCATGCAAACCAGAAATGTGAATGTATAATCCATTTTGCCTATACTCTGGGTTGGACGCACACGGGAAACGTATAACAGCCTATACCTATACCTTTAAGTAGCGTGGAAGGAAATTGATTTACATTCGGAGAGTCATGCCATGCCACTGTCGAACTTCACGGCGCGATATCGACTTTGAAAGTGGAAGAGGGGATGTTACGTTTTGTCAGTCCTTACAGTTCAGGGGCTTCGTTCAAATGGGAACCACCTTATAGACCTTTCTAATATTGTGATATAAACTGCAATTCACTATTATACAAATAATATATACCTTCTGAAAATAGCCATCCATTAATGCTAACAACAAAGGAGAGAATAATCAATGTTCTGCAGCCCATTATCAGATGATAAGAATATACTCAGCCAAGCCAACCGCATTTACTGTGACCACTTTAAAAAACTTTGCACAAGTGAAGAAAGGGATGTAATGCATGGTAATAGAACGAATAGAAGTGCAATTAATTAGGTTACTCGGCTGGTCAAACATCGTATACAAAGGCTAAGTGATTTGGTAAACAGTATTAATGAATCCCTATTAATTAATACTGCTTAAGATGACACACGAACAACGACGTACGGATTACGGTTAGGTCTTTGTTTTCAAAGTGCTTAAACTGCATGAGATAACTAATGCATGGTTCGCATATTCCTGAGGGCATATACTTTACACCAGCGACCTCGACGACGACACAAAAACCGTATTATAAAGAAAGTAGTTGCACAACTCTCCACGCGATGTTGCTTGAACAAAACAGTTTTGTTAGCAACTAAGGGATGAGACTGCAAGTGTTTAAAACTTACGAGTTACGAAATACGAGGCTTCCACGTATATATAAAATCATTTGGAACATATGGCAGCGACTAAAATAGTAGCGACCAAAAACAATTTAACCATATTCGGTAGTCCGTTATCCACATCTTAAACCTTCTATTACAGTATATATATGATTGCTATTTGTGTCTTTTTTACAGAGGTAAGAAATCATGCATGCATATATAAGGAGGGAATGTTGATACAAACAAAATAAATTGTTACTATAGTTCATTCATTTGCGTTCATGAACGTTCGATCGACCCATGGCGTTAATCGTATTTCACGTGCATGATCCTCATAGTATTTAGTACATACTTAGCTATATGTAGGGCCACTGTTTCATCTCATTAAAAAGTAAGTAAGTATAGCCAATTAAGTTATATGAATCAGCTGCTTAGCAAGGAAACAAACGTTGAGAATCTATTGGAATATAATTGGAAAGTTTAAAACAACACAATAATATGAAAGTCTAAAGTCAACACAATAATATATATTATAGGCGGAAGATCTCAATTCATAGATTTCCAATCATGAATGTATACTTTTAATTCAAAAACTGTGAAATAAAATATCTGAAATAATAAGCAGTAATTGGGTTTTATGTAGTCGCTTTTACTGGAGAAACATAGAAACCATGCAGGTTCTAAATCTTTGCACGAATTTTGTAATCATGGACTATCACAGTTTCTTATCTTTCGGCAAGTCGACATCAATGATGTATGGCAGTATGGTACTTATATGTACCATATATGGATTGGTCAGCAGTTTTTTAGTGTATCTTAATCGTCCTTAACTGGTTATAAATTAGTTAATTACGCTGGCAACGCAACAATTACAATCCGTACAGCGTGTATAAAAACTGTAACATTTAAATTTGAAAGTAAAATTAGCCACAATTCAGATATGCATGGTCAGCAGTTCTTTTATAGTGTATTCTCTTTGTTAATTACGCTGCTCAAAATTCAAAAGAAGCAGGCGAAATATTTCTTATTTCGCTGACAACTTTCGCCTGCTGAATCAGAATCAATTGTTCATTGTACATGTACTTTGCAAACTAAAGTCTTTGCTGACCGTTTTTACTAATAATAATGATCACATTCCTGTGAAAATAAGAGAATATATCATTTTTGCCCTCTTTTCTTCTTTAGCCTGAGATTCACCTTACATTTTTACCCTTTTGGCTACTCTTTTCACTTCAAAAATTTTAACCACTTCACTCTTAGGGACGACTCCCCAAGTCAAGTAGCAATTGTTTTAAACAAGGAAATCAAAGGCCGACTACAAAAATATTTGGCTTCTTTTTTCAGTAAGGCAGCCCTGATTACTTAACCGTGCAATCAAAAGTCCGGAGCACGAACTTGCCACACATGAAACTTTTTACTACAAACCCTGGTTGTTATCGCCGCAATGTCGTTTCAATATGGCTGACATTCTATCTTAAGACTCATTTACTCGAAGAAAACCCGACTATTCATTACATCGATTAGATTTCATGCATTAAGCGCATTCCAGTGAAGAATATAATTATTTTTTCTATAAACATGCATGAATGTTGCAAATTTAACATTTCATATTTTCATATTTTCGTGCTGAAAACAAACTATTAACTATTGACTTGAAACAATTTTTAATATATAACGCCCAATAAGTTTAACTAGACTAGTATACTAGTCTGTTAGAACTGTCATAAAATTTTCCGTTCCCAGTGTGTTCATTTCATGCATCTATCCGAAGAGTGGACAAATGATGAACCATGGATACTTTTTCAAATAGACGTGTTGAGTGGTGAGCTTGATTCCTTGTTCCGCCAAGCACTTTGGTTGTGTCTTTTCGTCAAAGAAGTACTGCGAGATAAAGAAGTTTAGCATTAGACTAGAGTTTATTTTATCATTGTTCTTGGACGAGAGAAGTGCGAGATCTCATCATTATTGACATAATTTTGAAGCAATCATATATAACGATAGTATATATAATAAGAGGTAAAACAATGTACGTACTATTTTTTATTAGTTGGTAATTATGAGTACCGATGATTGTATTTTTGAGATGCTTGGGAGATGAAATGTGGCACTGCGAGGGACATGATTACGCACGAATTGCGCTGAACATTTCATGAATTTCCCGACTGATTTACGGGTTTCTAAGCGTGCGCAGATTATTACAAGGAAAATCGAGATTAAACCATCTTTAACTTGCCTTAACTTGACTTTGGCTTGGATGTTCAACACGTTTGGTTTTTTGAAGGTCGGCAATCATTGCCCAACCAAAGCCTATCAATTTCTGCTTGTTGTACAACAAGAACACTGGGAACGTATCATCGCAACTCATATCTTTGGATACATTGAACCAGTAATGTTGACCTTAATGAAACAGACGAACCGAATAATGTCAAGACACATGAACATTGCACATTGCAAATGAGTTTATATTAAAAAGGAAAGAAAATATAAAAAAGGATAGTCAGAGGTAATCGAAATTGTAATTTATTGATCCCAAAAGTGATCATGCACGATTTACATGATCAGGTGTTTCTATATCACTTCCTATTATAAACTAAAACAAACTCGGTTGTCATGTTTTAACTGCAGTGCATATGAGAAAATTTCACATGAACGCCTGAGTTATTTGACATGAATCATGTAAACATATAGCTATATAAACTTTTTCGACGTATGATGTTGTATAACATGATTTGTGGATTGTGAACTGTCATATGTCGTAGTTCTATTTTTTCTGGCTTTTCGATGGACAAGTGGACCACATGTCGCGGTCTAATATAAAATCTCCATATCAAAATTCCGTGATACCATGATTTGGTAGCACGATTTGTTTGTTCTACTATTTGTTTTTAATATTCAACGAGGTCCACCATCCTCGATTATTGCGAAACCTTCTTCTCGGTGCCATGGTATACCCGCATTACCTGCAGCTTTCTTGCATCTCTTCATTAGGATTCCGATTACGTTTAGAAAACGATATTATTAGATAAATTCAGAACAGAAACAGATATATTCAACGAGACGCGACATGGCGCCTCGCATTTTTTATCGGGGTGTTAATTACCTTTGCTGATAATTTTTGCGGTCCATCGTACTGAATGTTTGGTGAAAATATGTGTTTTAATCGGCACATGCAGGCCTCTTACACAAGCATACCAAACACTTTTCTCTCACTCGCAAAGTCAATGCGCGCATATGGTTTATTAATTTTTTGTTTAGCATTCTTACCCATCAATAAGAAACACTTTCCTTTCACCCAAGGTGTGGGGCCAAGATTACTTTCCTCGTAAGGAATACTCATCAAATCATTTGGAGTTGGTCCGGTTTGAATAAACAAATTGTCTTTGGTACGTTCTCCTTGGCAAATACGCGAGGGGTGGGTAAAGTAGGCTGTGATCACAAAAGAATCCCCTTCCTCATTCCAGTGACTTTTCTTGAAACTTTTGTGGGTTGCCAAGGATTTTGCTATCTGGAAAAGCATCAAAGTGGTTAAAGTAACACAATCTGAAATCCAACATCGTCGTAACACCCGTGTCGTGTGGGTGGTTGTTTGACGCAAGGTGGTTGTCTGACATGTACTCGGATTCATCTTTGAATGACGAGGTCAAAACTTGACCACTGAATGTCTGCACCTTGTCACACCGTCCGCAGTCCGTGGGGAGTAAACGTTGGCCCACAAATGAAAAAGTGAGCAGTAAAAAATTACGAAAGACCAAAGATTCAGCCCAATTTTTAGTAAATTGCATTGTGGTTATTTCACCTCGAACCACAATGCATTGCGTCTAGCTTAGAGAATGTCCAGTAATTGGAGCTCGCTGACGGAATTAGGGCATGAACTTATACATATATATATATATATGCTCGTGGCTCGTATATGAAATGTAAAGCACTCCAATATAATTATACAAATTGGTGCTGATTGTAACTAGTACATATATACCCTTACCCCAAACTGTATTCCTGCGAAATCTCCTTTGCTATCGTAAAGCACCATGGTTGACGTATCGCTGCCAAGGACGTAACGATTGCCACGGAAGTACGACGATACTATACAGATGGAGTAGAATTTGGGAGCGAATTTGTGCATTATTTAAACACATATAAAGTACAAACTGTAAGTATCAGATATAGATATATTTGCGGTATTGAAAGTCATTAAATGAATCTCGTGTATATTATCCCATTATGCACTGTTATATCGTATGATTTAAGTAAATATTTAACAAGACGGAAATGATTATTCGACTTTTTAGGCTATAATTCCCGCCCCGTTTCCAAAGAAAATCTCCTATAATTAGCATAATTTGGCTTAAGGGTATATGGGGAAGGATGGGGAAGGCTAGCACATGGTATACACATTGCTGTGGAGTGACACATTACAAAAAAGTTTAACTTACCATCATTACATGATGCGGTTTTCTTCCAACCTCCTTTCTCGGCATCACGCATTGTTTCAGGTAAACTACTGAATTTCCTGAAGGTCACTAAAATACAACAAATGAATTTGAGCATAAACAATTGTAACCATTGGTATCCGCAAACATTTCATTTATTCGCCACGGATTCAAAAGTTTACGCGTTCACAGGTAAAGCGGGTGCTTCGGAAAAAGTAAATTTTGTTTTGTTCCCATAAACAAGAAAGGAAAAGTTCCCTTCATTCAAGCATTCGGGCTATAACAAGACCCAAACATAAATACCCAAACATTCTGCTAAATTAGATCCATAAAAAGCAAACATTTAATTTTATGTATTTACCTTTCAAGTCTGTCCACCTTTTCCCTGGCTCTGGCAAGAGAAAATGTGATATTCTTAGTATGTCCCAGTTTCAGTGCATGATTTATTCAGACTGCAATGACTTTCACTGTAATGACTAATGGCTGTTCGCTTCCCTTTAAAGAAGTTTTTATTAGTTCGTGTGCAGACAGTGCAGTGTGTACTGCATGTAGTCAACTTAGAAAACGTAGCATTTCGAAGGAAACACCAAGAGAATATTAAAAGTTTAAAACTTTTTCGTATATTTTATTGTTTACATGATTCACCAGGGCAACTACTTTTGAGACAGTCCGGAAATCTGTTCCAACATAAAAGAATGATTCTCAAGGACATGTTACGCAAGTTATCCACTTCTGATAAAGCAATCAGCATTCAGCAGGAAGTTCAACCCCAATTTCTTCCATTAACCACAAAGCGCCCACGTTTGAAGCAAAGAAAGAAATATTCCAGTCGAGTTACGTATTGACGATACCGGCATGATCGAGCATGCATGCATGCATGGTTCCGCTTAACATTTTCATGCATGGTTCTGCCAGTCAGCCATGAAAACTAGCCTTGAGTATAAATAAAGCCAACAAGGCAAGGCTTATGAAGGTCAAGGAAAACAAACATGCGTCCGATGACAGACATGACCGCAACTGACATTCCTTTTTATTCTCTGTGGAAACCGCGTCGCTCATCGGCTCATGCAAGAAAAGACCAGCATTTTTCTAAGCATTTTCCTACAGTCATGCCTATATACGTACAGCACATGTGTTTGTCAAGATTTATTATTACAATGCGCTTTCACTCCGTAAGAAATCGAAGAAACCTCGAAGGGATCAATGGATGACTTGCGCTTTACGGCCGGACGTGCGTAACTAAATTATTTGCAATTGCACATTCCAGCGCGCAATACAGCAGTATACAAAATTTGCCAACTTCGCTTTGCTTCCTCGTAAAAGATCCGTAACATTTACATGTATAATTAAGCTAATGGTGCTTACACGTCTTACATTTGATTAACTACAGGTTACGCAATTACATGCACTTAGCCCTGCCTGCCCTGGGTAACTACATGTGCAATAAAGTACAAATTTCAGTGAACATTATCATCACTATAATATGCAGTACTAGAGTTACAGATTGTAAGTGAAATGCTGCGAGTGAATATACGTAGTGCCTTTTTCTTTCCGCAGTCATCTCTTGGGTAGTCTTCAGGATAGTAATGACCATATTGCATGCGTGTCAAAAAACTTGATCTGGAATCTTGATTATGCTTATGGGGATGAGAATCCCTCCCGAGTTGAGATCGCACAAATTTCAAATACGAAGCATTACGCATTCGCATAGGATAAAACCGCAGTACTATGAAATATACATGTACTCAAAAATCATCTTGACAAACAAAAATCTGCATGAATTAATTAGATGCATGTCAAGAATATAGGGCTGCTCGCTTCGCTCACAGTAAATACGAACTACCAATTACACTGTCCTCCATGACGTTGCTGCAATTGTAGTTAAGAGTTTAATAACTTCCCTTATATATTCAACTGGCCTCCGTTATTCAAACCCGCTAATTTTTCAGTTATCCGGTGGCAGAATTACGCGCGCAACGCGGCGCAAGATTTATTCCCTATCCGACGACTATATGCATGCTGCTATAGAGGTCGCATAAATACCTGGATTATGAACGATTTTGTTCCACAGGTTTATAAAGAACCCATCTGCAGCTGTGGTGATGAACAGGATGAAAATTATTTGTTTGATGCTCGACATTGCAAAAAATAAGAACGCGGAGTGGCGCCGAGGCAGAGTGAAAACAACGTTTGACAAGATTGACTTTTGGCGAAATTACGGACTAGGATAGCCGATATTTATAGGTTTGTATAACCATGAATATTCGATACTTCCTGTAGTTTATTAAACGAATGACGCGCAAGAAAATTCCAGAAGCGTTGACAATAAACCCGATTACGGATCCACTCAGACTTCGCATCCACGGCGGGATATCGACCGCGCGTCAAAGGATATAACACATGCGCATGCACTGCACTGAAAGTGGGCAGTGAATCTGCGATGTCGAGATATATGACTCGTTTGCTGTAAAATCTAATGGTCTGCATTATGACCCGACTAGTTTGCGGACGAAGCAAGTCTTTAATTAGAAAATCATCGCAGGTTTTTTCAAAGGTATAGCTAAAAGGAATAGATACTTCGGTCGGCTCTTTACGGTACGTACTGGAATTCTGACACGCCTAAATAATGCTAACCACGATATCTATTACCTCGCAAAAAGAATTACCAGTAAAAAAGTTGTAAAAAATTAAGGAATTTATTGATTGATTAATATTGTAGATTGTAGGCACCGTCATACATATTATCATTAATGTTCTTAAATAATTTATACATGCTAAAACGGCAATGCAAGTATTTATATACTGTGATAATAAAACTTTAATTCATTATTCAAACAATACCTTTAGATCCTGAAAATAGCCACCCATTAATGCTCACAGCAAAGGAGAGTAGAAGCAATATTCTGCAACCCATTTTCAGATAGGAATATATATATACTCATGCAGTCAAACCAACCGCGTTTACTGTGAACAGTTTAAAAAACTTTGCACAAATGAACATAGGGATGGCGTCACGGTATGCTATGTGGCCGAATAGGCCTCAGCGCAATGAATTAGGTTACTGCTGATCAAATATCATAAACAAAGACAAAGTGATTCGCTCGGCACTGTTGACTCCCGTAATAAACAGAGTTAAGTATATGATTGCTATTAATTCATGTCTTTTTTCACAAAGTTAAAAAAACAAGCATGTGGATACGATGATTAAAAAAAATGTCGACTCATGGCAGCACTCGTATTTCACGTGATCACTGACATGCACTATCACTATAATTATAGCATTTGACAATGCGCCGTTAATTTCGACTGAATTGGTTAGAAATTCATCTGAGTACACGACGGTTATTTAGGCATTATCCATTTCTATACGTGTTTATTCTCGGCGCTACCGTTTCATCTCGTTACAAAGACAGCCGGTGTATAAGTATAACCAATAAGGTGACATGAATCAGCTGGTTCGCAAGGAAACAAATGTTGAGAATCAATTTAAGTTTAATGTGAAAGTTAAAGAAAAACACGAAAAGAAACAGCTATTAATGATTATCTTAATCGGAAGATCTTAATTTTCACATTTCCAATCAAGAATGTTTACTTTCAAGTTGCCAACTGGGAATTACAATGACAATGTTGCACAGAGTACATTCGCTGCTGTAACTGTAACCTTTAAAGTCAAATTATTAGCACAATTAATTGCAGCCTGTAAAGGGCTAATTAACTATTTGGCCTGCATGCATATGGTTTTCACTTGCGACATAAACATAAGCGTATAAGCACAGAATACCTAACAGAAGTAGAACTCTATACTATTTTTTCGTAAGTGTGATTCGTCATGATTCGTCACTTAGCAAGTGCATTTTTTTGAGGTAGTCACCCCCCTGCCAATGTCCAAAATCAACCCATATTTAGTATTGGCAGGGGGGTGACTACCTCAAAAAAATGCACTTGCTAAGTGACGAATCATGACGAATCATACTTACGAAAAAAGTACAGGAGTTCTACTTCTGTTAAGTATTCTGTGGTATAAGGTAAGGCAAAGAACAATGTCCGCGCGTGCATGCATCTAAACTTTACAATAATCGTATAGAATTCCACCTTATTCTTGACATGGATATCTATAGCTAGCTTAAACTAATGATATATTTCAAATTTCACTCGGAATGAATGCATGCATGGATCCTGCATGGGCTAGCTGTTATCAAAAATACGAGGCTCGATTTTATTGGCTACGCTGAGTAAAAATCGCATACCGTAATTATTCGAATAAACGCTGCGGCGTTTATTAAATTTTTAGCAATTAAGATGCGGCGTTTATTCGAGGGCGGCGTTTATTCAAGGGAGGCGTTTATTGCAAACTCGTAACAACTCTGAATTTATTGTGTAATTTAAACGCCAATTCAACCAATACAATCAATCCCCAAAAAAACTAAGTATAAAAGTTATGTGTCTTTTCTATTTATATAACTATATATGAAAATTGAACCGTGGTTATAAATAAATACTTCGAATAAACGCCGCAATGACGAAAAGGTTGCGGCGTTTATTTGAGGGCGGCGTTTAATGATATTTTTGCTTGTACCTGCGGCGTTTATTCGAGGGCGGCGTTTATTCGAGGGAGGCGTTTATTCGAGTAATTACGGTACATGCATGCAGCTTTATTAATTAAATATGTTAACGTTTCAGAAAGGTTTCGTATGTTAACGTTTCAGTATATGGCTTCATGCATGGAAAGATATGAAGTGATCATATTGTTTACCATGCATGCAGCTAGCTATATAGATACATTTAGCATCTAAAATAGTCAAAGAAAAGGAGCAGTGGGCAGCGTCTTTGAATGTTTTCTCATGAAATGTAGCATAACAAACCGACATTTCGACAAACAAACGACGTTTCGACTGAAAGGTCTCTGGGAAAAATTCTCTAGGAGATCTGGGATGCACTATATCACTCATTTTTTCGATAAAGCCCTTTACTTAGGTTGACGTCGAGACCTCTTTTGTAAATATTCACCTGTTTCATCATTCAAACAATTCCAAGGTTTGAAAATATTCCAATGCCAGAACCAGGCTGTTGATGTACCGAACATCGACATCGTGGTGAGTATGAGGAACGATAACGACTTCATTTTCGGTAAAAAAAAATCGGTGTAAGATCTTTAAAGACGCAGAACAGAGCACAGAGTTCACTGCAGAGTTTAACTTTGAGGCACAGAGTTCACTGCGTTATGAAGTGCGAGGGCATGTTTGCAAAACTAAAGTCTACAAACTTTTTTTACCAGGAACAAATAATGGCAATGATCACATTGCTAAGAAAATAACAGATCACGATTAATTGGCCCACATCTAAGAGCGAGACAGTGGGCATGAAAATAAGCAAACTTGGCATGTTTAGATAAAGGATTGGACCAACTATGAACTAACTGTGGTGACATGACATAAGTGGTACCATTAATGGCTGATTTCCCTTCTGTTGTTTTAGATGTGCGATAACGATTAAACTGCCGTGTAGACGTTTTGCGCAGGTTATACGACCAATTTATAAAATACTGTGAATTTCGACGAGATTGAAACAAATTGATTGCCCTTAAGCCATGCATAGCAATGTATAGGAAATAATAAATTATAGTATTTGCCACGCGAGGTGGCTGATCGAAGATGCACCACGAGACACACGTTTCACTTTGATTTACGATGCATGGACACTCTCTTTTAGATATGTTTGAAAAATCAGGACAGTATTTTATCTATCTTTCTACGAGATATATTATCATATTGTATAATTAAACCCTTTCAATTTAAAATTAGCTTTAACGTTTATTGTAGTATTGTAATCTATAGTGGTATTGTAATCTATGGTAGTATTGTAATCTATAGTAGTAATCTAATCTATATATAGTATATAGTAATGTAATCTATGGTAGTAATTTGACAGCTTTGATTAATTGCTTTAAAGTATTGGCTGGGTGGGATCACGGGGTGGGATGAACACGACTGCACATGCAAGTCTTATGAGTATCAGGGGACTACATTGTATAATTAGAAAATAATCATTTCCTTTGGTTATATTGTGAGTTGTGATTTAATTTACGCAATTTCACGAAGGACTATATATAGAGCTGTCAAATTACTACCCTGACCCTGTACTTTGAATTATAGCGGCTATCATTATAGCTGAATTAGTAGGATTACCATTCGATCACTTTTTTGCCATTCATTCGTGAATGCAGGCTTATATAATATATAGGGACTATTAGCGTGCACAGGCCGTGCATTATTTAGAATTTAGAATGCTTCATTTACACCCGAATTAAAAGTAAACTTGTATGATTGTAAATCCAAGATTAAAGTCTTAAACGCTATTAAATCATCACTAATGGCTATTTCTATGCCGTTTTCTTTGACTTTCTAATTATACTTAAGATGAATTCTCAACGTTTGTTTCCTTGCAAAGCAGCTGATTCATGTCATCCTATTGGCTATACTTACACCGCCTTTGTAATGAGATGAAACAGATACGCCGCGAGAATAAACACGCAGCAATGGGTTTGCTTAAACAACCGTTGCGTTCACACGCGACTCAGATGATTTTCTCATCAATTCAGTCGAAGTAAAATCATGTTTTTAAATGCCTTAGTGATCACGTGACATAGGACTATCGCTACAGGCCGAACACGAACGAACGTAACATTTTATCTATATTTGTTCGGCTCTCGTCTCTGAAAAATAGGCGTGAATGGTAATTGCACTGTAATTATTGTTTTCCACGGGGGTATACATTGCCAGAATACCAATCACTTGGCGTTTGTTCACAACGTTTAATCAGCCGTGACATAATTAATTGCACTGAAAGCTACTATTATATATAGCTTTTGTACTACTGACATTGCTCTCTTAGCTTGCATTGCATATGTTTGAGGTTTTTGAAACAGTTCACAGTAAACCCAGTCGCTTTAATATTCTTACCTGAAGATGGGATGCAGATCACTGATTTTCCTCTCCTTTGCTGTTGGTATTAACGGCTGGCTATTTTCTCCGTCAAAAGGTATATTTTTATTTCAACAAGACGCCTGTTCTGGCGTTAACTCCGGCGCACGTGCCAGTTTTCAATATAGAGCTTCTGAACATAAACAATACAGTTCATATTCGCATTTAGATGCCTTGCGAACCTAAATGTTCGATCGCGAAATTCAGAAGCACATCGTACTTTAAAAAGTATAAAAGTTAAATCGTTCAAGAATGTAAATAAATGGTATAATACATTCGCTTTGTCTTACACTTTGCCTTTGGAATTCGCGCTTATATAGTTATATTAAATCTTCAATCCTGTGCAAACTACGACGAGTCAAAGCGCCCATACACGACCACATCATCTTGTTAAACGGCGAAATAGCAGCGATATTACTAAAATAGGACCAGAATCTACACGTATTAAATATATTCTTACCCCAATTCAGTCTAAACTTAATCGAAAAGCATGAAAAGAACGGTTTATTTGTTCCTCTTGGAGGAATTGCCGTATCATGCGAGCGAAATCGAATCGCGCATCGGAAAATTAGCCAAAGCTGTACACCACAACTCTTGGGAGATAAGACTGGGACATAGATAAATCCAATCACATACACATTTAAATACTAGAATGTTTCGCGCCATTACACACTTGCGACGACGAAAAATAATAAAAAAAAAATAAAAAAAAAAAAAAAAAAAAAAACAAAACAAAACCGAGGCGAATTTTCAACTCCGTCGCTGACGCCGGAGTAATAATGGTGAAGTTTTATTACTTGTATACTTACAATTATATTTGGATCACTTGAACATCCATGTCTACTACCCTGAATTGTGTCAGACTCAATAAAAGGAATAACAGCTCGACTCTTCAGCTTGCAAACAGTTATACTGATTTTTGGCACTTCACTCGATGCAGGAATATTCTAGTGGTTTAAAGGGTCTTAATTTCGAGTGGAATTATACACACTTCAAATTCAAGCCAGGAACAGTTGATGGAAAAATGAGTCAACTATAGGTCCTCCGGCAGGAATCGAACCTATAGGAGAACCTGCCTGGAGAACCTGCCGCAGAACCTGCATGGTTCGATTCCTGCCGGATGACCTATAGTTTACTCATTTTTTCATCAACTGTTCCTGGCTTGAATTTGAAGTGTATATAATACCACTTGCAAACAGTTATAGTTGAAATTTAGTTTGCAATAAATGATGGCAAAATTAATTCTCCATTAGAAATTCTATTTGCTCGTCTGTATTCATACAATCTTTTGCCAAATATTTAACATGTATGTGAGGAAAAATTCTGATAGAAAAAAGTTGATAATGAAAAAATTGCTCTTCGGTAAAAGGCTTTATTGTGATCATTCTTTACCTTACGAAAAGGTAATTGTGTCCATCTACATTCGAGCCAAAAGTGTCTTAGCAGTGTTGCATGCATGCATTGCAAAAACAGTAAGCAATTTAAACTGAATTATATAGTAACTGATGCAGATTCAGTTTATTGGTCTTTTATATTGGTTCAAGAACTTTGAAACATGGTTGAAATAATCAATTTTTCAGTTGTTTTCACCAAACAAATTTCAACAATAATCCCTAATATAGAGTATGTTCGCAGACCCCCGTCGCTGGGCTTTATATCATCAGTCAATTAAACGACTTGAATAATAGCCTGCCCACAGTATCCGGATTAATTTGAAAACGCGTAAATACTTATCCGTGTTTTGGCAAAAAAATCTGCGTTCCGACACGTCGTCGTAACCCCCCAACGGCTAATTAGCGAATATCAAAATAAAAAAGTATTGAAAAGTACAATATTTGACCAATATACATGAGTTCACACGAATATGAAATCATGGTGATATGATTATTTCAATAAAGGTTTTTCATAGCGGCCATCTTTGTGGTCAACTTTAAAGTTCCGCCTTTATTAATGTATGCATGTTCCTTGTCCGAAATTTGAAGTTGACCATAAAAGATGGCCGCCATGAAAAACCTCTATAGGGAATTGAGACAAACTTGTTTCTTGACTCACAATGAGTAATTATAGTATACATTGTTGTATTGAACCGTCAAGACAACATTAGATAATCTCTGGTGCATTTTCTGTTGAACAGATCCAGTAAAACCAGAATGGGACAGGTTTTCAGGTGGGTAAAACATATGTTATATGTACTATTCGTCAACATTAAGAAAAATTGGTAAGGTATATAATTCGCCACGCCGGCAATCAACTTTGAAAATTGCGTGCATTTTTTCCATTACCCTGCAGCACTAATAGTAATTTTCATAAAATTTTAGCGACATTTTTAAAATATAAAGACTTGCCAATGAATGTTGCTGATGCAAAGAAAGGCGGGTGGACTCTAACCCGCTCGTGCCAAGGTATTGTCCCAAAATATCGGGTATATTGGGGTATATCTACATGGGTATTTGCAAAAAAGGCATGGTATGTTATGCTTGGTAATGGCTTGGTAATTTGAAAACTGGAAAGATCTATATGACATTATATATCACTTGTCAAAGTTAGGTGTTCCTGGTGTTTCATTGGTCGAGAGCGAATCACGCGAGAGTGGCGAAATTTTATGATTATATACCACTTGTCAAAGTTTATGTTCGTAGCGTTTCATTGGTCGAGAGTGAATCACGCGAGAGTGACGAAATTTTGATGTCGCCAGCGCGACCCACTGCAGAACGTGTTATCGCATGGGAAATAACAACTTTAATCACGTGTGGCGCACCTGGACGTGCGACCTTTAGACTGTTTATCCATTTGAAAAAAATGTCTTTTATGAACAGATACTTCGTTGTTTACCTTGTAGTTTGGTTTTTCTTTGACAAGTGGTACATAATAAAAAACTTATTTGCCGAGAACTCAGAAAGCATTATGTTTTACTCGGCTTCTTCTTTTACTCGTACTCGGCTTCGCCTTGTGAAATATCAACAGGTCTCGGGTCCGCAAAACATGTTTCCTTCGTTCGCAGTAAATAAGTGTTAAATGTCGCCCGCGCGACCCCCTGCAGAGTGAGATAACGTGTTATCTCATGAGAAATAACAATTTTAATCACGTGCGGCGCACCTGGACGTGCGACCTTTTTTTAGACTGTTTATCCATTTGAAATTATGTGTTTTACGTTGTTTACCTTGTAGTTTGGTTTTTCTTTGACGAGTGGTATATGATAAATATAATATTTGCCTGCGAATAGGAATTTTATGTCTTTCATCTTGATTTCATTATCATAATGGGCAATTCTGCCAAAAGGGTGCAGGAAATCTGCTCTGAAGAGATAAAACTTTAGCTGTAGGCCAATAATTGAGCAGATGGAACAATTAGATCATTTTCGGGGTGTTGTCATAAGACAAACTCAAACATTTTAGTCGTTAGTCGCTAATTCAGTTGGCGAGGCAAGTATTAAACTGCCCTAAAGCAATTTCATACATCCCACCTCCTCCCATGCCTGCAGCCATTAACCTGGTTGTGATGGTAACCGGGGTTGGAGGGGGGGCGTAATCGTAAATCTTACCCTTACCTTACTGGGCAAAACAATGTTGATACATATGTGAAAGTTATATAGTTAATCAGAAAAGTTCTCACAAAAACTAGTCCGCATGCACACGAGAGTAACATGAAGAACTAACAGCCTACAGTAAGGTCTTTAGCTCAGCTGATAGCTCTCGTGTGGTGCGGGCTTTATACCTCAGGCTCAGCTACAATACCTCACGTGTGCGGCGGGCTTTAACGCTGAAGATTAATATAACACAAGCCCTCTTACTATATACGTGAATAATTTATGCTGTAATTTAGACAGGAAAGCAGTTCCATAATGTGGCGGATTTTGCGTCAAATTATAGCAAATATGTGCATAACATTTATCGTTCAAAATAAAAATATATTTTTATGCATGTGTTGAAGAAGAATGCATGTTCTACAACTTTATTACACACAGCTCTCTAGAGTTAATCGGTCGGCAATAGGCTATTAACAAAGCGTTTTAATTAAGGTGCATACTCTATAAAATTATATATAAAAATTATGAGGCTTTTTAACACGGTCTTTATTTTTACTATGTAGAAGACGCATATTTTCGCGGAAATCGTTATGTTTTGAACAACGATCATTCAGTTATGCTGTTGTTTGATTCAAAAGGTAAAATTGCTGGAATACAGAATGGGGTAAGTTAGTGTATATATGTACATTCGTTGAAAATTTATATCGTTTTAATTGCATGTTAAAAAAAATTGTCATAGCTATAAATTGTCTTTGTGTGCATCTTTACAATTCATAAACAATCTTTACAATTTTATACGGAACGAGTGGAACAAGTGGAAAACTTTATAAGTACCCAATTAGCGTTGTTGGTTAGAAGTGTGGGTTGGCTGCTAGCCACTGGTACTCAAAAGGGCGTTGTCAGCTACAATATAGTCTAGTATATATTCAGCTATATCAATCATTCGGCATGTACGGTTTATTATTGACTCTTGTGGCCGTAAATTTCGAAATCCGGCCAAGCTTGAAACATCAGAATGGTATTCAAAGACAAAGATTGAACGTCAAAACTTTCGAATATTTATTAGTGATTGCAGTCGACTCTAAATTTTTTGATGACATGCATTCGCAGTATCAAAATTCAAATTATATTCAAGCTGTGTCTTTTTTTTGTGATTTAATCAGTTTTATTTTGAACCGATTTTTCCAAGGCTCCCTGTTAATGCATATGGTTCCAAGGTTTATTCTTCTATTACTCTTGAACTGATATAGATTCAAAAGTCAAGTGCAACACAAAATTTCTACACAAAACCACACTGGGTAGAAGATGGTTCCTTGCTTGTGATCACCGCTTACTTTGTCGATCCGAAAGTGATTTGTGCCGGAGGAAGAGAAGAGTCAAAATATTTGGGGGATTCACTTTTTATTCAAAATGGAGCCAGTCCTAGCTCACTGATGGAAATTCCTTTGAAGGAAGATGTTGTCGAGAAGAAAACGAAATGGGTTAAAGGAAAATGTGTTTATGGCATGGGTATATATGCATATTCTGCCGTTTTATGCTGACTTTTTTATACTGATGTTTTGATAAATACTGCTCCATTTATACATTCATTTTGCAGATTGTAATTCAAATAGTCAATCTTTAAAATTGTTAATGGCATGCAGAATTCACATTTTTTTATGCATGCATGATCATTACAAGATCTGGGTATAGGTTTTTCAATGTTTTGTTTCGGAGTAACTACATAGGCCAAGCTTCTGCCAAGAATATTTCTTACTGGGCATTGAATGTGCGGTCTTAATTTTAACAGGGCAACATTATTGGTACGATATTTCCAACGAAATGAGCTGTGATGACTTCTTTCCCGCATTTCTCCTTTACAATGGTGGCAAGCTGAACGCATTTGGGTGGGTGACAATGGGAAATTTCAAGAGCGAACGCTATGAGCATCCTCCCTCCTGGGTTCTTGGGGTGAGTGCTGCATGAATGACTGCATGCATGATTCAACATATATAAGACGTTCTTTATCGGTACAGTTAGCTTCCTCCTATTTTGGGACAGAGCATTGTCAGACGAACAACCAATGCTATAACAAGGCTTTATAGCTAGTGTATTGATGAGCACATATCTATCGCAATATACCTGGAATATAGTCTTGGGTATATAAGCGGGATCATGTAAATTAAGAAGCCTCTAAATTTACCAAGAAGGCTTTATTTAACCTTTTAAACGCGTATTTTATCGCGGGTAGGTAGCCATAGGTATGAAATGGGAGCACCTAGATTCCACCAAGTCTACTTCATAAAATAAATGTTATTTATCATAAATATATATCACTTATTATGAATCTTTGCTATTTTACAGGGTTTTTTCCAGGATGACACAATGCCATCGTGCGTTTCTAAAATTCCCGAGTTGTCAACAATTCACATTTACTTACAACACCGTCCCTATTTTAACGTTTGTTGATTTATTTATAATTAACAATCTGCAAACACTAAATCGAAGGTATCTATCTCCTATTATTACTCTAGCTGAAAATATGAATAAATGAAATTCTCAGAAACCACATTCGTTGAATTATTAGTGCTATAAAATGTCGGTCGTCTGAATCAAATCTAAATTAATCAGGGCGCCAGGCGCCCAAAACCAAATCAGTTTAATACAAAAAAACAGCAGTAATACAAAAAAGAATAACGCTTGCAAACTGAAGTTATAAGCTATTGACAAAAATCGTGAATGACTTTGGATAAAGGCCGTAAAATTCTTGTCTAACATATGCAGCTAAATTCGTGCGCGGGTATTGTCTATGATGAGCTTCTATATACGTGATATGGGAAGTTAGGTAGAAATTTTAAGTATATATAGGTGACTGCTTTTTTAACCAAATGCACCACTGCATGCATGTCCTAACTCTGAATTTCGTTGGAATATAAACATTTTTACCATCAAGTAAAACCAATGCATAGAAATTGTTAAGGTCAATTAGCTAATACATTTCAATGCTGCATGCATCTGCATATCTTTATTCTATACGAGGAAGATAAATCGTGACCATGCGCAAAATACCTTAACTGCATGCTAATTTTCAGCATCTTTCCGAACAACTCCAGTTTTGGCTTGACCGACTTGAATGTAATTGTCAAGTAATATAAAGTCAATTAAATATACCTATTTAAAAATTTTTCTATGTGCAAATCTTGGAGCAGTTCAATAGAGGAAGATAAATCGCAATCAAGCGAAAAATGCCTTAAACGCTGCAGCTGATATTACGGAAACAATTTAATGCAAAAATTCAAGCTCTCTTTGTTTTGGCCATCCATACAAGGTAATTAAGTACTCTTCAGGAGTCATTATCAAGGCTTATGAGTTAAATGAACGAGTCGAATTATCCGCTGAAATAGTGTCATAACGCCATAACGAAGTGAAGATGTTCTTGCGGTTACTTATTTTTGTTTGCGTCTCCTTCAGCTTTTCAAAGGGCTGGCTGTTTAGCGGTCCGAATTGCGATGAGCTGAAGGACTGTGTTTCATGCGCTAGAACCGAAAGTTGGTCGGGTAAGAGATGTCGTTGGTGCTATCGTACATCGACATGTCACGCTCACGGCAGCCTGGTTAACAAATGCTCGCGAGCAGAAAATGTCGTTAAATCCGCCAACTGCGACAAGATAGTTTACGCCAGGTACGACAAAACCGTTGCTTATAAGTTGGTCTTTCTCAGTGCGTTAGCGTACTCTCCCGATGTCGCCAAGTACTTGTCTGGCGCAAGCGAAGTGAAATCATTTCATCTTGTCAAGCAAGTTATCAAGTCTTGTTCAGGAGGGGCACTTTGCTCTGGTTTCGTCGCTGTTTCGCATTCGGAAAAAGCCATCGCGATTGCATTTCGCGGGACCCAACATTTTGAGCAACTGATCACTGAAATGCGACGAGTGCTGACCGAGCCTAAACAGTCTTTACAAGCGGGCGGAAAGGTTCAAGCATATTTTAAACAAGTATTCCAGGTTGTGTGGAAAGACTTGGAAAACTATGTTTACGAACAGATAAAGAAGTATCCAAATTACAAAGTTTGGGTGACAGGACATTCTCTCGGTGGGGCGATTGCATCTCTTGCTAGTACAACGATCGCATTCGAACAAAAGACACCAAAAAACAACTTGCTTTTGTACACATTTGGTCAACCCAGAGTCGGGAACTATGATTATGCTTTCGCCCATGATTCGTTGGTTCCGCAAAGCTTCAGATTGACCCATTATCGGGACATTGCTGTCCATCTACCAACCTGCAAAACAGCACCTGGAGCTCCTTGTATTGCGTTGGGGGGCGGTCCTTATCATCACGGCAAGGAAATCTTTTATAAAAATGAAATTATGACAAAAGATTCTCCATACAAACTGTGCGACGGATTGCCATACAATGAAGATTTGGGTTGCAGCAATAATCCTTTGATATGGTCGAAATGCTTCTCTACAGAGTTGTCTAAATGTATTGACGACCACCGGTACTATTTTGGCATCCGCGTCGGTAAATGGTGGAAAAAAATGCAAATATAACTTGATATTGGGTTTAGTCTACTGCAGATGTTTGTTGAAATATATGCCATTTCAAAATGTAGTATTGTTTATTTGTAATTAATGGTTTTTGTGTTTACCCCGCACCAGGGAAGTTGGTTAGAGTTCCGCGTAGCTTTCGCTAATAACTTTTTTCTCAATGATTTAGTCAAAATTGTGACAACTCGATTGCTTTCCATACGGTACATAAAATTAGGTGATTTGTTTGGCCGATATGCCGTGCAAATTAAGCGGCGAGTTGTGTATATTGCTCTGGAATCCCGGTCCGGTAACTGAGTCAGTGCATGAAATTAGTAAAAATTAAATAATCAATGTATTTCATGTGCAAATCTCTATAATCTATATCATAGGGGAAGATAAATTGCGACCATGCGGAAAATGTCTTAACTTTATGCTAACGTCACTCAAACATTTTAATCTTCCGAACTATATACTCCAGTTTTGAGCTTAAATTTGCGTTTAATTTTTACTTGACAAGCTTCAATGTAATTGTCAAGTAATATAAAGCCAGTATATAAAGGTTGTGTGGGGAGACTTGCATGAAAAGCTATGTCTACAAACAGATAAAGAAGTGTCCAAATTACACGTAAAGTTTGGGTGACAGGACATTCTCTTGCTGGAGCGCTTGCATCACTTGCCTGTACAACGACTGCATTCAAAGAGAAGACGCCAAAAGACATCTTGCTATTGTACACTTTTAGTTAACCCAGCGTCGGGAACTATCATTACGCTTTCGACCACGATTCGTTGGCTCCCGAAAGTTTCAGATTGAGACCATTATTTCGCGACATTGCTGTCCATCTGCCAACCTGCACAAGAGCACACGGAATTCTCCTTGTAAATGGTTGGGGGCGGTCCTTATCATTACGGCAATGAAATCTTTTATAAAAATGAAATTATGACGAAAGATTCTCTTGACTTGCTGCAATAATCCTTATTCCATATGGTCAACATGCATGCTTCTCCACAGAGTTATATCTAAATTGTATTGACTACAAACACTATTTTGGCATCCGCGTCGGGCGTTTGTGGACAAAGATATAAAAATGTGTGTGGCGGACGTAAGGGCCTGTTTACATGGAGCGAGTTATCCCGGCTAGGCATGGTGAAAACTGCATATAATGAAAGTCTATAATCAGGTTAAGCCTTTGATGTGATGCGCTTTTTACCTCGCCTAGCAGTAGCCGGGATAACTCGCTCCATGTAAATAGGCCCTAACAGTCGGAAATTCTTTGTATCTTTTTCTGGTAGACAGAACATTTCGCGCGCAAGTGACGTCTGATAAAAGGAATCCCCGACACATAGAACAAATGTGAACCAGGTCTAGTGTTTGGTTTCCGTTTTGTCGTAAGTGTCGTGAACATGTCAAGGTGGCTGATGTGATAGAATATTTCTATTTGCATGTGTTCGTGCAAATTTCTATCACATCAGCAACCCAGACATGTTCACGACTAAAAAGAAGCCAGGCGTTAGGCGTTATAGGTTATTCAGGTGTTATATAATTCAGGGAAAGGGTCTTATAAAGGCCAGTAAACTAATCTTTCTGTTACGCCCGAATTAGCCGTTTGCCGATGACACAAATCTTGTGATCATTAAGTACCGGTTTTCAAAAAATTCTTTTGCTGTCGGCTGTCGCGATTTTTCTTGTCGTGGACCCGAATAAAAAAAGTCTTTTAAGTATCACATTCTTCTTAACAGGAAACAGAAATGAACGATATTTTTAACTGGTCAACGAATGTTTTGGTCAAACCATTGATAATTAGACGATGATTGGGCAAATACCACACAACGGTATTAAATATGTTTTCGGCTGCTTCACCATGCACGTCTATTTCATAATGCATATAACTTTGGCGTACATTTTATTTTTATGATGTGCGTACAGCATGCGTTTCTTTTTCATAGTGTGTGATTAGGGAAGTCTATGATTTTGTGACAGAACTAGCGGGTGACTCAGTCAAGTTCAGTCGACTGTATCCGTGAAAAAGAGTCATCGCGGGTTGTTTGTGCATGACAGAAATAGTTTATGAATTACGATGTGATTCTTCCTATACGTATAATTTTCTATTTGGGTCCAGGGACTTCGAAGAGGTGAAATTCGTTGTTTACAACATTATTGGATCACACTGAAGCATTTTCCCTGAGAATTGATAAAAGTAAACTCGCTGAACATCGACGGTCACCACAGAGAACAAATATAACTTGTTTCTTCCTTCTTGCTGGTTTGTATACACCTAAATTGTCTGTTAGTTTGTGAGCATGCAACTGTAAGATGGCAGCAGCTATACTTAAATTTCTGGCTTCTGCACAATGAGTGCATGTCATCTTGGTTAAGATGGAAACTAACATTAGGACCCACCCCAGACTGGTTATAACTAGTTGATACAATTTAGAACTATATATAGATGTGTGGACAACGAAATTATCTACCGTAATAGTTAGATTTTCCCTAACTGCTTTCTGGCGGCGCAATTGCGTGCCCTTTTGCTAATGGGGGCGAGCGGGGGCAGCCTGTGCCCTTTGCTACCATATAAAAGTATCATAAATTTAACATTTAATCATGATGCCTACTTTTCGCATAAAACTGAACTAACCGGTAATATTATTGAAAAGGTGTTCTGCCGTGGATTTGCAAGTTCGCATGTACTTCTAAATTTGAGTTTCCTCTTCATGTGGTTGCTAAGGTAAAATGAATGTGCCCTTCTCTAAAACTCTGCCCCCGCCGCCCTAAACTGCTTCCGGCGCCCCTGGGTCGTGTCCGCCGGAAAATGGCGAATTCGACCATGGTCGAGTCCGCTGGAAAATGGCTAATTCAACCATGGTCGAGTCCGCCGGAAAATGGTGAATTTGACCATGGTCGAGTCCGCCGGAAAATGGCGTATTCGACAATGGTCGAGCACTTTAAACGAAACGCACCGCGTGTCTCGTTGTTTTAAAGTCATTACATAGTTAGTGGAAAAAAGTCCTACAGCGTTGAGTAAAACAGATAAACTGATAATTGTGCAGCTGCATGAAGACCAAACCTGTCGGTAGGCAGTGCATGCAGTATATTATCAGTGTAACTGATATGACTTCAGTCACTTTACAATGCACATATAACAATAAGGCAAATAATAATATAGGCATCAGTTTTTATCCTCCCTGTTAAAAAAACCCGAAACAACTTAAATATTCATACATATATATTCGTATATATTCGTATATGTATATTCGATTTTTTACATGAATGTTCACTTTGTCTAACAACACAAAAGACACAATTTTCTGAATTAAGTTGAAATGAGTTCAAGGCTGTTCACATGAGCCAGCGGTTACCGAAATTTAACGAAGCGTATATAAAACGGACTTTGAGGCCTAGTTCATACGTCGCATTTTGGTCGCGTCGAATGCAATTCAAACAATAGATAATGACATGGTAATGAGGCTGAATAAGATTTACCATCTCATTATCTATTGTTTGAATTGAATTCGACTCGAGGTATTAAAATGAGTAAATAACATTATTCTGGTAGACGTGGTAGTCGTGTTATCATCCTACAATAGCATGAGATTATTTTGTTTCAAAAAGACTTTTCAATTAATGAAATTGAAATAAGCCGCGAACTTATGGCAACTCAATTCCATGACAGACCCATGTGTACAATCAACAGGACGTGGTTAGTAAATGCGAAAGTGTTTAAACCAACTGAACTAATTCAACGTGGCGCGTATGCTATACAGGGTGTCCCAAAAAAAACGCAACCACTTAAATATGCAAGAGTATTAATATTGTTCGGGTTTGCACCATAGTTCAGCTAAAATGACTTTTAGCATTGTAAATGAAGGATTAAGAGCCATTTTCAATTCCCAGAGGTGCTTATCTATTGCGCTTTAGAGCTGTATTAATGTTCTGCATATTTAAGTGGTTGCTTTTTTTTTGGGACACCCTGTATACATACAGGGTGTATCAAAAAAAAGGAGACCTTTAGAAATCAAGCTATTGTTAAAATTTGAATGCCTTTTCAATTGCATTTGCACATATGCTAAACCGTAGTGCGTGAAATATTGATGGCATGCATGCATACATTAGAAAAAGGAGACCTTTAGAAAATGAATTGACTTTTGTACACAAGATTGTCTGCTCCTGGGAATTTGAAAATAACTTTAATAGCATAAGGAAAAATAACGACCCAAAAATATTCAAATGACTAAGCACAAACGACTAAGCACAAAAGCAATAACAGCATGCGTGGTAGATTGTTTTAGCTGTTCCTTCAAAACATGAACAAATATTTGTTCATTAATTTTTAACACTGCGCGCGAGTATTAGGGCTGTTCAAATGAGTTAGATTGACTTTGAATCCGGAATGGCTCAGCATCCCATTTTACAAACCCTGGCTATTATTAAAATGTTTACATGAGTCAGGAATGAATTACAACTTGATCTGACACAGATTCACTTAACATTTCGATCCAAATTGAAAATTACTGATAAATTGAACATCAAAAGAACTGAATGTCATGGACCATGACCTCAAACGTGGCCCCCATTTCTCTCAACACAAACTTCCGTACGCTTGTGCATATCGCGAACTGCTTTTCTGATGACGGCAGGCTGGGTATAAGTTAAGACTACAAAAACTCTTTGCTCCGAAGTCAGTTGAACCATTTTTGTACTGGTAGTGTGCTTAGTCATTTGAATATTTTTGGGTCGTTATTTTTCCTTATGCTATTAAAGTTATTTTCAAATTCCCAGGAGCAGACAATCTTGTGTACAAACGTCAATTCATTTTCTAATGTACGTATGCATGCATGCCATCAATATTTCGGCACGCACTACGGTTCAGCATATGTGCAAATGCAATTGAAAAGGCATTCAAATTTTAACAATAGCTTGATTTCTAAAGGTCTCCTTTTTTTTTATACACCCTGTAGAAAAACGATTTGATAAAACTGTTCTTTTTTATTTACAGAGCTTATAGAATGCATTTTAACTCCCAAAGGGAGCAAACTTTAGGCAACTTCTGTCACATCACAGCCGCTAATTTGAATTTCAAAGGTGTCAGTTTTTTTTTACTCATCCTATATATTTATGTTATACAGCAAGGTTCACTTTTATGAAATGTTCTCGCAACTTCGCTGAGGAAGCAGGTAAGGTTTCTTCGTATTCTACAATAGCCATGCAATATGCATGCACGTACGAATGTGCGAGAATTATATAATATTATACAATTAATATACACTACGTATATAGCTATACACTCCGAATTTCAATGATCATTATATATGGCAAGCTCACCATGGACACCACCATGCAAAGCGGATGCATAATTGAAGCTGATTGTGCATAATCAAGTTTTCTAGTGTGCTTGACCGCTGTGAGAAACAATGTGCTGGCAGCATTCCGCGCATAAATGTGCAAAAACTGGCCTATAATTTGCCAGAGGTATCTACGACATTTTTCATATTCTCTTACAGCGACGTCCTCATGAACTCAAGACTCAAGTAGGAATTTCGCTTCACAGCATTATAAACTATAACTCAAGAGGAAAGGTATGATACTTCCCCTTTGTTCCGTTGAATATGCCGGCAAGTTGACATTATAAGTAATCTTGAACGGAGAAAGGCTTGTATGAAGCGCTGTTGTTGAAAAGTATTAGATATATAATTATATATAAAGACAAACATTGACTTTTCAAAGACTTTAGGAACCACTAGCTTAACGTGCTGTCATGTACTTAATTTTAAATCTAATTTAGGAGTAGGAATTAGCCAGTAATAATATATAGTTTTCAGTATATAATTTGCTCTATGTCTATGATATATAATATTTCCGAGTATATTAAAGTCTCCGATCAGTTAAATAGGTGAGTTTCTCTTGTTATCTAAATAATGCTGCGTGGGTAATTTGGAAAACTATGCATACAGTTATAATACCAACAACAAATAGGTTTAAAGTTGATCGTAGCTATATATGTATATTTATAGATTTGGTCTTATAGAGATATCCTGTATAGGTCCTTAAGATTTATATCCTATACAAAGCGGTGCTCTGGAAATTATAAGTGTCTTTGCGGTCTGAATCAACCTAAACCCAAAGCTAATACGATATGAGCTTTCTCTTTAGGCCTATGTATATAATACGGCTGCTTAATGCACTTCTCATCGAAACGTAAACACACGAAATGTTTAAATATAACTATTAAATATCCTAGCAAAATCATGCCCATGCATAACATATCATGTCGTGTCGTACAAATGGAAGTTCAAGTTCATTTATCAAATTTCAGTACAGAATCATTGTTTTCTTTGTTTTCTTTACTTTTTATTGTTGTTTTATCCTTATATGTTTTGCCATGTTTGGCTAATTATTCACTCGATCTAAAAATCTTAGTGAAAGCTCTGTCAAGTTTGTACAATTGTTACCTCATAGCATGCTTTAAGCGAACTTTATGCTCGAAGCGGAAGTTTTACCACTGATAATAATTAGGTGTATTGAATAGTGTTTTTTTCTTCGTATGTCTCTGTTTTCGATATATTTTACTTTATAAAGTTGAAAAAGCCTGAGAGTTCCTCATCTTATTCGAATATAACGATACGAGCTAGAGCGCGGACAAGAGTATATTCAGTACGATCGGTACTACATGGAGTACTAAAGAACTGAATTCTTAAAGAAGAATGGCAATTAAAATTTTCATTGTCTCATTCGAAAGAGTATTTCAATTATCACTTTAAAATCTTGTTGTAGAATTTCGACATTTCACTAGGTTAATTCACCTTGTAATATTTTCCTAAAAACAACGGGTTGTCATGATATGAATATAATTCATCGAATACAACAGATCATATATATGTAAATTTTGTTCAAAAATTCCCTATACCCATATCAATGTTAAGTAACCGAAAACGAGTTTCATGTTCATCACGGTAATTGACCAGGGTTGGTAGATTTTATGAATAAATAAGCCAAATATATTAACATAACATTTGTTTTCTTTGTTTGAAACAAAGGAATCAAAGGGCCGCCAAAAACAATGTTTGGCTTATTTATTCAGTAACTTACCAACCCTGTAATTGACTGTCAAGATCGAAAATTGCGTGACCCTGCACATCACGTCATTATGCATATCCTGCAACAGACAAGTTATTTTGTTCTATCAAAATATCTACAATTTTTTGAAGTAATTTAATTGTTATTTGGAATAAGACAAAAAATCAAACAAAAAATATGTTTCATAAATTTATGGTATGTTTTATGTTTTCTAACTGAAAACTATAAAACCAATCGACGCCAGTTCTTTCATTTACTCTTTAGCTACCAAAAGGGTCGTTAACGACCCTGCTGGGATTTATGTGGATATTTTACCCATATTTGAGGACAAAAAGGGATTGAAAGGGTCTCTGCACTATAGTTAACATATATTGTAGCTAACATGAAGTTCTTCACGTTTTATTTCGAAATTCTTAGTATTTTCAATAAATCTTGTTATTTTTCCTTCGCCATGTTGGATTTACAAAATGGTGGCAAGTTCTCGTTGGCAATTAGACGAAATTTTAAGCGAAATATTAGTTTCTGATCGGGAATTTTACAGAGAAAATGAATCTTTTGCATTTGAAGACTATAAGGAAGCATTAGACATAGGAATGAGTGCAGTTACAACTCACTAACGACGACAATGTTTTACTCTTGAGAGAAGCACCAAGTCGTCATCCTAAGTGTGGAAGATGTGCATCTTGGAGGTACAAGAAAGTCGAAAATTAAACATTTAAGCACACAAAAACTTTAAACTATTGCATAAAGTGTGATAGGTTTCTCTGCAAAGTTGTTTTGAGTTCTTTCATATAAAAAAATATGTGTAAGGTAGATTTATTATAGAACAATGTAAAATAATTCCAATTTGGGAAGAATGTGATGACACATTATTCAGCAATAACTGGCCGCTCGTTAACTTATGTATACAGATAACCCATTTTAATTATTCCGGTAGGGATAGGACATTGATATTTTGATGCATTTGTAGGGATATTGTGCATCATTAATTATTTATAGGGAAAGTAATTTAAATTTTTAGTTTTTCTAGCATAAAATTTTATTATTTGTAAATAAGCACATGACTTGTGACATCATACCTTGTTAATTAGCATAAAAGTGAATGCATATAATTAAAGACCTTGTTCTGCAGATTCTAAATATATATAGTTTTGTATATCTAACTGCACTAAAATACCCATTATAAGTAACTCTATGTAACTTCCCAAAAATTTCAAAAATCGGAAAAAATTATCTTGGTAGCTAAAGAGTTAAAATAAATTGGAAGCATGTTTCTATTTTTCCCTCCACATAGGCATAGTTTATAAACTATGTAATATAGTATACTACGTAGAAGTTTGTAATCATCCAGAATAAAAATATGTGAATTGTCTAGTTGGAAAATTTTTCTATGATCATATATAGCCGTGTTTACACGATTTATTGGAACGCGAATTCATTGGAACGTGTAATGTATCCGTGTATCATGCATTTTCTTCCTTCCTTAGATTCTAAGTGCCTTTAACGATGTCCTCCTGTTCGCAAATCCTCCTATCTCTGGCCTGTTTTACAGTCGTGACTGTCCACATCAGTTTTTTTGTCGAGGGAGTAGGTAGGTTCATTTTTTGCCGAAGCATGCATTTCCTATTTTATTGTGCATGGTATTGGATCGTATATTAGAGCTAATGTTCGCGGGCATAAATGTGTATTTGGCTCGACTCTAATCTCGTGTACTAAAAAATGAGTTCTTAGGATGGCCAAAAACACATTTATGCTCAAGAACATCAAATGTATTGCTATTATATTAACTTTATAGGGCAATTTTTTGTACAAAAAATGACGCAACGTTCCCTTTCTTCTTATTGGCTTAGATCAGCGGGCTAAAAAATATTTCAGCCCGGCAAATTTATCCGTTTAGCCCGCAAAATACACCGCAACCGCAATGCCCCCCAAAATTAATATAATATAACAATCCTTGGTTCTTACACAGACTGATTTTTTCATTCTCCAATTTAGATGAATGCAAAACTGGATTAAAGTCGTGCCCATATTACTCGGATTGCATGGACACAGATTTAAATATGAATGGAACTGCAACATGCAGCTGTAAGAAGGGTTTTACAGGAAATGGAACAGTGTGTTACGGTACTACATGGCTATATAGGCATTCTTTCTGTATTTGGTTGATAGTTTAGGATATTAACCCTTTTTATGCTGCCGAGGTATAAAGATGGCGCGCGTTGATTGGCTGTTATTCAGTCGGTATAATGTCCGACCATATTGCGGTTTTTTAAACTATAGTCATGCATGTTGGAGCGCTTAAATAACTGAAATATAAGAAAAATATGTCTAAAATGTGCAAAACCATGCGGCGAAAAAATGCTCAGCCGGCGACAGCGAGAAAGATTCGAGTAGCGACTTCTATCATATCATGCATCCTGGAATATGATATGTAGACTATACGAGAGTTTTAAAGCCAGGAAGTAACCAAAAAATATTCTTTGCAACAAAGAAGCTTTTTCATATAAACTTCTCACTTATTTATAGCCTATATCTGATCGTATGTCTAATATGCCTCACGTCTATAACATTATACGTTGTGTTTGCCTCTTTTAATCTTTCAGACATAAACGAATGCGAAAACAAGACCCACGAGGCTTGCCCTGGTGAAGGATTTCAGTGTGAAAATATTCATGGTGGTTTCAAGTGTTTCTGCAAAAGAAACTATGTGAATGTTAATAATACTTGTGTAGGTAAGTGAAATTAATTTCAAAAGCATTTACGTATCGTATTAATATATACATCAAAACACGTTGGGATAGGGTTTGAAATGTCTATAAAATTTACCACGGACAAAATTCACGCACCACGAGCTCAAATCGTATACTTGGTGTAACCAGAATTCGAAATTGTTACTAAGTAGCTTACATGCATGTAATAAGGGAAAGTAGATCCCACGGCACTGGGTAATGCGGTGGTACATTACAGAATTGTCCCTTCTCAATGCTGATATAAGCCTATATAACTAAAGAAGCACATGGACTTTAATTGTGACTTGCTAGATATATCGTCATGTCCCTGACAAAAATCTAAGGGCAAGGCTCACGGGGATGACATTTTCCGAACTACTCCACTATACGCTGAGTTTTTCGATCGAACGAAATTCTTCTCCAATTACATTTGTGACTGCATGGTCAAGGGAAACTGCTACGGTCGCATTCTCGCAATTGAAAAAAAAATCAGGCGAAAAACTTTGTTGGATCGAAAAAATTTTATATTATATGTGTTCTAGGTTGCGTACTATTGTAGTATGCGTACTGCTATTGCGCTTTACATGCATGCAGACAGAAAGTAGCTTTGTTTTGTACAATCCCTTGCATATACACATATTCAGTCAAGGTTGAATCCATCATCCACTTGTTTACAATTCCTTCTGTTCTGTGTCTTCCCTTTTTTAGCTGTTGACGACTGTATACAACGTGAAATATGTCACAAAGATGCAAAATGCATCGTCACTGGAGGGAACTTTAGCTGCATGTGTAAATCTGGCTACTCGGGCGATGGAACTTATAATTGTACAGGTATATGCGCGTTCAGTAAAATATTTCAGTAAAATGATTGAAATTTTGCCACACAGTTGGTCAGTGTTAAGCCCTAAGGACAAACATGAATTTGTAGTCAGTGATTTCTGAATACCCATGCATATATAGGACATAAAAAATGTTCTTTTATGATGCGTCTTAAATCGCCGCTTGTGCGGTAAACTATCTTTAATTACCTTATAAATAAATTTCTTATACGCGAAATACTCACTGACAAGAAACGTATCGTTGAAAAGACAAATGAGCAGGCTTTAAAATGGGATAATTTTCGACTAATTCGATCACGTTTTTATTTAGCAATTATATAGGCTTGAAAGCGGGTTAAGTTGCGTTTTTTGGGACACCCTGTACATCGTGCATGATTGCCATATCGGCCACTAAAATAATACGAAGTTGAGCCAACCTGAGAGGTGACAGGAGTTGCTGGTATAAGCAGTCATAAAAATTTGTGATAGCTTTAATATAAGTTGGTGAAAGTTAAAGTGTTGCATAAATGAGGCGGTCAAATGTAGCTAAAAGTGTAAATTATTTACCCCAATTAATCCAACAGACCAACAGTTGCTTATTGCATGGCGATTCATTTACTGTTCATTGGCGACTCATTCCTTCAAAACATTTATATGCAGTACAGCACTTGTGTCACGCATTACTATTTTTCACATGTTTATGCCTTATGGTTATGCTTATGTTTATGTTATGCTTATGTTTTTTGGCGTTTGTACCATGAAATGAATGTAGTTTTAACAACAGGGCGTTTCCGTAATTTAGATATCAATGAATGCGAAGGTAGCCATGGTTGTCATTCAAATTCTTTTTGTGAAAATACCCCTGGATCTTACGAATGTTTTTGTAAATTAAAAGTTGCTCGTGGAGAGAGTTGTGAAGGTATACGGCGAAATTGGTCGCGAAATCGCGCGTAACCGTTATAACACAGAGTAACTAAAAGATACAGAGCTGAAACAATTGTATCCACTTTTTAGTGCGCAAGTGCCTGAGATTTAAACTATAAAAAATTCTGCAATTTGTCTTAATGCTATATAAAGACGATATTGTAAAGCTTTAATTAATCGAAAAATTTGAGCAAGAAATCCAATCTATTTTAAACATTTCAGGAGCATGCGCAGTTGGTCACTTTACGCACTAGAAAAAGCGGGTACAAAAAAACGCCATATTTGCCAATAGACACTAGTTCCAGCTCTGTATGTATTGTTTACTTTGTGGTTATAACCTCGTAAAAAATGAATTGAAATGTAAACTGTACATGCGGGTACTATAAACATGCAAAGTGCACAATTACAAATCGGCCTTTCATTCAGTTAAATTTTTTAAGAATCTTCATGTCCCTTAAAAAGTAACATATTTAGAGGTTACGTATTTGACGAATTTTCTCGATATGCTCGTATTTTCTGACCGATTAACCTAAAGCAATCTGACCAACCTTTTATCATTGTGAATCATTGCGTATATATTATTGCGTAATTAATGCGTATATTATAACGTTATGCGTTAAAGCGCGCAACGCTATCTTTTTTACGTGCTAATTATTTTGTCTACCTTACATCAGTTTTATTTTAAAAGTACTTTACTCTTTAGCTTTGTATTACTTGAGTTTTCGGTCGTTGAGTTTTCGCGTCGCCGGAGTTATAACATCACCTGTGAAACTAGGAGTCTGTATAAAGTATACTGAATATCGAAATACTGTCTTCCACATTTGTACCACATTTGTTTCAGGTAATCCCGGCTGTCCAACCTCCAAACCAAGTATGTATTTATAATAATACTGATAATCGCCAGGGCACGTTTGCATGTATGAATAAGATTTTTAAGTTAGAGTAGAGACGATATTTAAGGGGTATTTTTGCACAACAAATTCCACGAGTTCAACAGATTTTACAAAATACCAAATCGTTTTGTTTTAGTGCCTATCCCAAGTACAACTGCCCAAACGAGACCCGGTATGTACTTTATTTATATCACCGAGCAGCCTCTAGCTATAAATTGTTTTGTTCAGTAATCAAACAGCGTATCGAAAATTAAACGAGATCAGTGCCATTATTATAACTATTTTGAACATTATTATAACTATTTTACAAAATACCACATCGTGTTTTGTTTTAGTGCCTAACCCAAGTACAACTGCCCAAACAAGACCTGGTATGTACTTTATTTATATCACTGAGCAGCCTTTAGCTATAAATTGTTTTGTTCAGTAATCAATTAAACCAGGATGATTAATTTCGTAGGAAAGGCAATTTACGTATCGAAAATTAAACAAGATCATTGCCATTATTAATTTTATAACTATTTTGAAATTTCGATTTAAACTCGGTGCCGGTAAACATCCCGAAAATTCAAATACATTTTTTACCTTTGTTTCAGTTTCTACCCAAAGTGTGACCAATCCAGGTATGCATCTGAACTCAATAAAGACAGGAATGCATTTTCATGCCGGCATTTATATTTTTTACGTTTAAAGCCTTGTTCAGTGGTTCACGCCAGTCCTAAGGGGTTCCTTCTGCCTAAGGCCACTATAGTGCGCGAAATGCTTTGTCCATCAAAAAAGAATACAATGGACCTCCTATTCAAAAGAGCAAATGCATGCAGGCCTGAATGGTTGGTACAATCGATACCAAGTGCCAAAATTCCTGTTTTTAAATGGAAAATGGAAACGATCTGAGACCCATTTTACCGTATCGTTTTTATACGAGTATATATTCTATAGCTATTTTGTATATTGGTTAGGCCGGGAAACCTTCTTTCGTACACAATTAAGTTGTATACTCGTACCATTGGTGTGATAGTTTACCTCTGATAAATCATCACTCCGGCCCATTCGAACCATTAGTGGGAGAGTTAACCATTGGTAAATCATCATTGTCCATTCGTACCATTGACAGTTTACAATTAGTAAATCATCACTGTTCATCCGTATATACCATTGATATGATAGTTAACCATTGGTAATTTATCCATGTCCATTCGTACGATTGATGTGATAGCTCATATACCATTGGTAAATCATCATTGTCTATTCATATCATTGACGTTACAGTTTACCATTAGTAAATCATCATTGGTAAATGGGGATTGCCATTCCGTTGCAACCTCTAAAATGTTGTCAATTTTTACCAATGCTATTCATTAGCAAAGTATTTTTCCAATGGTAAACGAAGAATTTAGTTCGTACGAATGGTTCATGCATTTACCATTGGTAAATCAAATTTGTCTATCATGAAAACGTAAGGGCGTATTACGAACCGTACGATTTTGTTCTGTTTTTTAAATAATATACGGAATACCGTCGTCGGTTAAACGTAATCCGAAAAATGCTACCATAAGCTTGCTGGCGTCGAGTCGAGCGTGTAAAAACATGCACGATTCGGTTTCGGTTCTTAACTTTGGCTTCAATACCCTTGCCCCAAAGAGATAGCTCTGTTAGCTTTAGTTTAATTACCGTTCAACTACATTCTTTAATTATATCATTTTAGATGGGCAAAAGGGTGATTGCAAAGTTGACGATGACGACAATGATGATACTGTGATCGTGCTGGTTGCCGTTACCATCGCATTGCTGGCTCTGTGTTTAATTGCATTGATCGCTGTCATTATTTGTGTATACAGAATGTAAGCAATGATCATAAATCTAGTCTATATGGTCTAAATATAGATAATGCATGCAGGATAAGCAGGCATATTAGGAACTAGTGACAACATTTCATAACCCATAACGTAATTTCATAATGTAATTGTTCGCTAACAATGACCAAATCTTCTCTTTGTATAGGAAAAAGGAACAATAATTGCGCTGGGTTGAAACTACTTAAGTGACAATTTCAAAACCTTCTATTTATGAACTGAATGGAATTGACATTTCTAATTTCAACATGGTCAGAAATACATATGCATTTTCAAAATCAACTGGCAATGATTATATTGCACTATTCATTTCATTTAACTTTGCAGTCGCATATTAGTCGCATAACAAATAATTTGTGATAGTGGGGTTTTGATTATTTATAGTGTGATCTTGCGGTGTCCTCCTATTTTTTGTCTCATTCAGCACCCTATGGATTTGATAAATAACTATTTGCTCACAAGAGGCCATGTAATATTAAAGCTTTCTCTCAATCTGATGTAAACGTCGTATTTCTCCCGGAGCCCTTGGGTATTTAGCAGACAGTTTGCCGCGGTTTGTCGTATGCATGCATATATTTGAATAATTGAATTGGTATATCTTGACTCGAGCCATTTCAAATTGCGTGCCCCTCAAATTTTGACTGCATACACGTTGCGTAGTTGATACGTCGTCGAACTCAGAAATACGCTAGTTAACTAGTTTAGATGCCTTTATGCATGGTCGATCTGTTATTGTCGTGAACAAGTCATTTTCACCGATGTGAAATAGTCCGTATGGAAATATTTTGGGTGTCATTGTTGACTGCAGCGCCTAGTGGCTAGTGCAATGAGTGCAATCATTGCTATGCCACAATATGCCTCTGAAAGCGAAGATCAGAGCGATGAGATCGATATTCCCTGTTGGATGTACGACGAATTTAATGTTGACGGAAACTCGACTGAGAGGGCAATTTCAAATGAACTTTCGTTTACAACAGAGACTGTAGTGAGAAGACTGTATTATCTTGCTCGTATGATGCACAACTCTCTGACAAGTGCCGGTGTATTGTATTGGACAAGCGGTGGAACTTTGCTTGGTTGTGTGCGCCATCAAGGACTGATTCCGTGGGATGACGATCTCGATCTGTGTATTTATCAGAAGGACGAGGGTAAGATTACCTGTCTGAAACGTTTCCTAAACGATAATGGATGTGAGTTAATCGAAGTGCCGATATTCGGTTATCGAGTCTTTCACAAGTTCGACTCAGAAAGTCTGCCTGGTGAATATCACAATCACCGGTATCCCTTCTGCGATATTTTTGTGATGAAAAGACAGCGACAGCTGATCTCTGTTATAGCGAACGGTTGTGGGAGGTCACTGTGGCCAGAAGAGTATTATTATAATAAGGATATCGATAATATTCAACCGAAGTTGTTTGGTGATATATTTCTCAACTGTCCGGCAAATGCCGACGAGTATCTCGAGCGTACCTACGGGGAATCTTGGTACACAGAGGGATCGACGCACAGTTATGATCACGCCAGTAAACAGTCTGTTAAACCTGTTAAGTTCAAAATGCAACCAGAGCACTATGAACCCGCAAGGCCCTACAAATGACAATTAGGGTATTAACAATATTGCATGTGATATAAACCTAAAGTAATTTACTTCTTTGAGCTGATTTCAGGATTTGGTTTTCATAATTTCATCTATAATTTTCGTGAACAAGTCATTTCCACGTTTCACCGATGATAAACAATCCTGATGGACTGTTCTGATAGACCTTCTCTTTACTATCTGTGAATAAATTATCATTAAGTGCAAACAACTCTGTGCAAACAAGTTGTAATACTCTAACCTAATACCTAAACAAAAAGCCAGACCTTGCCGGGATGTATTCAACTGTAGATTCGTCGTCGTGTTCGTTTTGCGTGTGCATGCCAAAAAAATGACTTGAGTTCTTCAAAGAAATCATCGTCTGTAGCAGGCTTTTGCACTTACATATAGGATAATAATAACCGCGGATATGAGGTCTTGAATTTCAATGAAAGGTTATTATGTTGTTTATTCGCATACAACGCCTATTTCGTTTGTTGTCATGAGGCTTTGAACTATAACGAAGCTTTCATTTGAAATTCAAGACTTATACTGGGTTTCAAATTTTAAGTTCAAAATCTGGAATGGGTTGTTACTCAGTCCTGTTCTCCCCTGTTGGTATTCAAAAGACGCCACCAAAAGTTCAAATTTTATATTAATAAAAAATATTCAAATGACAGACAGTAAGCCCGTTTTGGTTCGGGTTAGTCCCAGGTCTCACCCGTTGCCTAAACATTTTTAGCGATACTCAAATTGATATTCTTGAATTCTCGAGAAAGCTGTGCAATCATTATCTTGCATGTATATCTTTGACTGAATCTTTAATCTTTATAACTGCAGGTTTTTTTGAAATTCATTTGTAAAATCAACTAATTGCGTGGAAACCGATGCAAATTGTTTTTCGTGCTGCAAGGAATCACGTCTCTTCACAAGCAATATTTTCAATTTTGTAATTTTCGCGCAACATGCACGTTATAAATTTCTATAAAGACGATATACATAGTACATACATCTATTTATCATGTTCCTCAAAGGGCCTTTTTAACACTGAATGACGTGTTATATAATAAAGTCATGTTGTGTTATATAATCAAGTCAAGATATATATCCGCGATATTTACTCAGTGTATACCAGTATATATTAAGTTTTCCGGCTGTTATTATACCCTCTCATACTAATATATAGAATTATTACGTATATCTACTAGTACTATGCTTATGGAGTGATGAAATGACACAAGTGTAGAAATAACATGTCTTTCTTTGATTTTCCCAAAGCTTTTCCAGGAAGTCATTAACTTTGTAATATTGTCTGGATCATTCCACAATTTCGCCCCAGCTTCGTAATGAAATGTTCTATGTCCAGTAGTGGTATAATATATAGCTTCTTTGATATTTTAGAGAATAGCTCTTCCTTCACCAAAGCCGATTCATTTCGAAGTTCCTGCACTCAACCAAAATTACCTTGCTGGTCATTCACAATTTTATACGCAAAGTTTAGACCAACGGCAACTTATGCATCGCTAGTGAAGGCCTTGGTTGCATCATGCAAGCAAGCATGCAGAGGAGAACTATCTCTTTTTTATAGCGAAGACTGTGATCTGGCCAAACTCGAAATAAGTTGCTTAGTGCTTACTTTAAGTTGCATGGCTTATCCGACTTATCTGTTCGAGAGAAGAATGGTATAGTATGGTATGCCGGTCTGACCAACGGTGTTTATTGTTTACACTTTGTTCTAGTAATAGTTGAAACTTGAAAGAACTGTTCTAATGGTTCGCTCAATAAAGAATTTTAACGATGATCTGATCAGCACAAGAGCAAAGTTAATGTGAGTTTAAAACATAATTATTTAATTCGCACTTGAAAATGACAGTTACTACTTAGCCTATTGAACATTTTCGTGACGTCATTGGTATCTTTATTAAGGCGAAACCTTCAAGAACATTTTAGAATCATCGTTAGTTCCATCACATTCGCTTGCAATAGAACTTCATGAAACGCATACGAACGGCGAAAAATAAGGCCGGGAGAGGAGAGGAGGTCTGCTTTTCAGATTGAAGCAATGATGTTAGGCTTGTAAACTATGAACTCCTCCGGCACCTAGTAACGGAAAATTGTTAGGAATTGTATAATATGTAAAATTATTTAAATGAATTTTTCCGAAAACTATAAGGCGCATGTTTGTTGTAGCAGTTTGTTTTGGCTACCGGTAAATATGCAGTATAAATAATTGTGGGGGAGACGCTCGTTCTGCGCTTGCGTGGAATCGAGGCTGCGTGATAAACCAAAACTAGGCTAACTAGCATGTGCCCTCATTTCAACGCACTCAAATTTAACAACAATCGCTCGGTGATCGACGGTTTTTAGGGAAAATATAAAGATTTGCGAAAGCAATCGACGATCGTACCGTTGGAATATTATCTTTAGATATAGATCTCGCCATTACTGGGTCTTACGAAGTTCCATCAAACGAATTTGTTCGCAAATCATCTAACAAAATTTCATCTGTTGAGTGAGTAATATTCGATATTTCAATATTTACGTCTAACCACAGTCGAAGAGAAAGAGATCGAAGCTGAAACAAAGCTTTTTTCTTTCAGGTTTTCTCATTTCTTCACTAAACCTCGAGGGAAAACGCTCGAGTTTCACTCTGATTTGTGATAAGGTGTAATATGGCACACAACCTTCAAGCAAGCATGTCGTAAATAATAATGTAGTCACTTTGAAAAGTAGCAATGCTCAAATCATAAATGAATTTGAGCAAGGAAGTCTCTACATTGTGTTTTTACGTAAGAAATTTAAGCCATGATGCCTAGAACCCTGTTGGATAAGAGGAAAAGTGCTGCTTTGAATGGGGACAGTGACCTGAATACTGAAATGGAGAACATTGCCAGGGAGACTGATGTCAGTTTGGATGAAATGATGAGCCTTGCCTGCCGGCAAGGGAAACTTGACATTGTGGAGTTACTTCTTGAGAGTGGGGCTCATGTAGATTATCGTAATAAAGCAGGGAACACACCTTTACTTGAGGCATGCAGTCAAGGACATAAGGATGTTGCCCACTACCTTTTAGACCATGATGCAAATATTGATGCCGCAACTGACACCACCTCAGACAGTGCCCTAACCTGGGCCTGCACATTGGGTAATGAATCAATTGTAGAACTGCTGTTATCAAAGAAAAGTGATGTTGAGCATCGTACAAAAGATGGATGTACTGCCCTGATGTTCGCTGCCTTGGCTGGTCATGTTAAGGTGGCCACAATGCTCCTTGATTGCAAAGCTAACATTAATGTTGAGTCTGACAGTAACAAAGATAGCCCATTGACTTTTGCATGCTGGAAAGGACATGTCAATGTTGTTAAATTGTTGCTGGAGCGGAACGCAAATATCGAGCATCGTACTAAGGAAGGTTTCACACCACTGATGTTTTCTGCTTTGGGTGGTCATACAGATGTAGCAAAGGAGCTATTGAAACGTAAAGCCAAGGTCAATGAACCTAGCGGCAGTAATAATGATATCCCATTGACTAGTGCATGCTGGAAAGGACATCATAAAGTTGTGAAATTGCTTTTGGAATACAAATCAAACATTGAGCATCGTACCAAGGATGGATGTACACCACTTATGCTTGCCGCTCGGTATGTATTGTCTAAGTTGTCGTAAGATCGCACATCACAAATAAGTTCTTCAAGATGCACAATAAAATTACGGGGGGGGGTTGGTGTCACAAATTAACTACTACATTTCCTTGTTATCCTCTAATCCTAAAACACTGCATTATAGACATTGCCTTTCTCATGTTTTACATGTTCGCCATATTACACATTTATCATTTATGCATTGAGCATTGGAATATTGACTACACCTGCAGTTTCATGCCCTTCACTAATTGTAATTTTTTTATTAGTGAGGGCCATTTGATTGTGGCCCAATTAATCCTTGATGCTGGAGCCTTAGTAAATGTTCCATCAGGAAGTGAAAATAATATCCCTCTAACTTTGGCATGTTGGAAAGGTACATTTTAATGGAATAATACATGTATATAATACAGATTAACTTCATTGTTTGATTATATTGTACAGTCATTGAGTTTGTCTTATGAAACTATCCATAGCACTGTACCCATTTATCTCCCATTTCCTAGAACATAGGAATGCTCTAGGAAAATTCAAAATTGCATTTGCAAGTCTCCAAACTTCAAAAATTTTAGAAATAATGAAAAATAGGGTGTTTGTAACCCTAAAATTTAGCCCATTACTATACCACCTATATATTATATGGTAAATTTTTTGTTTCTGCTTTTTTTAAGGTCATACAGATGTTGTGGAGTTACTTCTCAATCATAATTCTGACAAAGAACATAGGAATAAAGCTGGTTGTACTCCTTTAATGCTAGCTGCTAGGTAAAATTTACCTGCATATGATACTATTATTTGAATATGGGGCATACTTGGCATATCTTCAAAGTACAATCTGTATTATATTGATTATACAATAGGTACAAATGCACAGCAGAGTCATGAGAGCCTGCCATTTCCTTTCTTTTTTGTTTGATAGAGAGGGGCATTTAGCAACCACGAAATTGTTGCTTGGTCTTGGTGCTGAAGTGAACACTCCGTCTGGTAGTAATGATGATACACCATTAACATTAGCTTGTTGGAAAGGTATTGTTAAAAGTTATGTTGCGTGATCATGTACAGTACCTTGTTGCATTCAGAGTACATCCATTTCCATCTAGTACTGTATCAAACTTATACATAAAAATAGTTGGTTATATATAAAGGGTGTTTCTTTTCAAGAGTGTAACTCAATGCTTATGGAATAGTCGTTCATTGGAGGTGAAAAATAGGAACACAAAATGGAGTAGAATTTTAATAGAGATAAAACTATTCTAATCGAAATATTTGAATACATAGCCATGTTATTCTACTCGAGATATTTTGAATACGTAGTCACGTTATTTTCTGCGCCTTTGAAATCTTTTGTCTACAAATCGTTTGTCTTTCGTTGATTATTTCCGTTAAAGCCCGAGGGTTTTGAAAACGCTTCATTACAAAGAAAAAATCTACATGCTCGCCCAATGAACAATGACTGTTCTGAAGAACGACTTCGTCTGGTAATGCATTCCAAAACCGAGTTTGGTCCCAATAAGTATTCGCGAACTAATTCACGATTTTATTACGTAGCTACATACAAGTGAAGGTCAGGACCGTCAGGTCAGATTTCAAAACTTCCTAACCTCATCTTGTAGGTCATGACGATGTTGTCGAACTACTTCTTGATCACGATTCACACGTGGATCACCAAACCAAAACCGGATGTACACCTTTAATGGAAGCTACCAGGTACGTAGACGTGTATAGATATTTCCTTTTGCTGGTTTGAAAAACATTGGCATTCAAGAGTACATATAGGTACTGTAATATACCGTTCTAAAAGGATACAAATAAATCTGTGCTCATTCAGGAGATATCGCCCCATAGCATTTTATATTTACAGTTTTGCATATATCTACGTGACCAACCTAGACCACCTAATGGTCATGGGGATGGTTGTGTAAAACCAGTTCACTGTGTAAAACTCGTAAATGCATTTTGAGAAGTGTGATTATAAATCGCAGTTCACTACATAATGCTCAATTGCAATTGTTAGCCATGGCCAACTCTGCCTCAACTAAAGATAAAAGTTATCTACTGTGCTTTACCTTTGTCAATTAAGCGAATGAATATCGCGTAATAAGACATAACTGATTTAGAGTATTTAACCAAACAGCCGTATACGCCAACTCGCGTTCAAACCTCGCTCATGCACGTACAGTATACATCTAGAAAAGGAGACCTTTGGTTGAAATTACCGTTCTCATTTCCTATGTAGAGAGGGGCACGAAAAAGTTGTGTCACTACTGTTGGAAAATGGTGCTGATGTTGAGTTACCGGATAATTATGGTCAAAGTCCTCTGTTTATGGCTTGTTGGAAAGGTGGGTTTATAGTTGGTTATTATGTAGAGGCTTCGTTTAGATAGTTGGCCGTCTTGGTTGTGTGTTCAACACCCATATTGGTTTGTGCTCCGTCTCTAATTGGTACAAAGGCGTCTATCCATTTCAGTTAAACGTATCGTACCGTAATGTTCGTTGCTTTCAAATACGTCCATATTTTACCCGACCTCTCGGGGAGGTAGGATGTTTACTACACTTTGTTACGACACAGAAGGGATAGATCGTAACAGGCAATAGCTCAATACAGTTTTCGCGAAAATTAAGGTGTTCAACATATTGAATTTATTTTGAATTTATTTAGAAATTTTGCAAGTCTTAGTAACAGATCGACTTCTGCTATAGCGACATACATAAGTGTTCGAAATTCACAGGCACAATTAAAAAAAAGATAGAACGCACTCAAAGTATGAACGAATAAACAAAGACATCGTGCAAAGGCAAAGAAATAAGCTATGGTTGAAATTGAAACATAATTACTCAGTTGGTCCATGTACAGTACAATACTGTACACTTTCTCGTTTAAACCTTAAGGAGAAACACACGGTTGACTTCAGTAGAAAATTACACGTCATAAACCTAAATGTACCGTAAATTCCACTTTGCCATCTTTATAGTTCAAAAATTAATTACACATTGTTGAATTTTTCAGGTCACCGTGACGTTGCAGAATTATTGTTACGATATAATGCAAACCGAGAGTGCCGAACTAAGACTGGTATCACACCATTATTCCAGGTTGGTTGGAGATATTTTCGTGTCTTTTTAAAGAAAATAGAAAAATTGACTTGAAAGAGACAATTCTCTTAAACTCAACTTAATGAAAGAATGAATTTGATAAAAGATATTTTGGTTGAAAGTGTATAAATGTATTGGTTGAAAATGTAATTTTTAGTCCCCACCCCCAGTTTTCGATATTTGTCACGTGACATCCATGAAATTACATTTTGTTTATATTTTGTAACCTTGAGTACCAAAGTTTTTTTATTTGACTTACTCAAAATTAGTCGGTCTTTTGCTGTGCCGAGCCCCAAACTCCAATGCAGTAATAAAATAGTGACCTGATTAACAACTATAATAGGTTATTTTGTGGATCGGTGGGTTTTATATCGTTGACCGTTAGTGAAGGGACCTAAAACGGTACCCTGAGGCACCCCTTGATTCAATATCACCAATTAATATCAACATGAGCAGTTTCTATCCCATTAACAACAACTTTTTGTTAGTTGTAATTTTTTAGTTGACCTTCGGGTGTGATTTATGTGATCGCGAATATTATTTGTTTTTCTTTCACAAACATTTTAGGAGGTAGTTTTAAAAAGGTCGTACAATAAATTTGTCCAAAATGGCAACGCTCTTCTTAAAAAATGAAACGAAAATGTATTTTTTCTTAAAACGATCGTAAACATTAATCAATGGTTTCATCCTAACTATAATTTGTTTTCTTTTAGGCTTGCCGAGAGAATCATGTATCCGTTGTTGAACTACTTCTTGATCAAGGAGCCAGTGTCACTGCATCATTTCCAAACAGCAGGTACAGTTCTCTGACTCTGCATGAGAACACGACCCATGTTGCCTACTACATGTACTCTATTCACAGGTACACCTACAAGCCGCTAAATGAATTCTTGATTTTTGAGATTTTACCTTTTAGAATACCTTTTACCTTTAACAATACCTTTTACAATACCTTTTACAATACCTTTTACATTACCCCTTTTACAATACATTTCACAATTTGCGTGTAGGGAAAACCCAATGACCTTGGCGGCTGAGAAAGGGTACATTGAGCTGATGGATATCTTACTAAGCAGGTACAATAAATGACATAGATTCGAATGTTATGTTAATTTTAGTTACATTTAGTTATAAATTTAGGTGTTTGGGCTTCCTTCACTTTCTTTGCTAATGCCAAAATGTCCCGCGGTGAAGTCTTAAGAAAACTAAAAAAAATATTACAATATGTTTCCAATGTTTTGATCGTGGTAATATAGTCAACACGAATTCTCTATTACAGTCAATAAGTATACTTTACGTGGCTATAAACGTTTCCAACGATTCAACATTTTAAACTGGTATTATTGTAACTTTTTAAGGGGTGGAAATGTCGATTGTCGAACAAAGAAAGGTTGTTCTCCGTTTTTTCTGGCCTGTAAAGAAGGACATTTGGAAATAGCAAGATCCTTGTATGAAAATAGTGCTGATGTTGAGGTGACTGAATACCAAAATGTCCATATGTACATTATAATATATTCACGGTAGTTGCCCAATACTAATGAAACAACATATCTACTATATACAGTACTACTATATGTGAAAACCGTGGCTAGCTAATGTTATTTTCATACTGTGTTGGTCCAAAATCTGGATGTGAATTGATCATCATTAGTCTCTTTTCTTAAGTGTTACATTGAAATATTATGTTGACCTACAAAACCTTGGGATATGAAAAAACATTGGGCTCTATACGTTTACAAATTTACGTTGAAATATTCCATTGAATGTTACAGTTTCATAAATTTCTTTTTATCAGTAAAAATGGAATCTAAAAATATCTACAGTATAATAACTGTGCTTCTGTTTTCTTGATATCAGGTTTGTGATCAGAGGAACATTTCCCCCTTGGTTGCTGCTTTCAAGAATGGCCATCAAAAGGTACTGATCGTTTTAGACTTACAGGTTCAATGCAAAGTTGATCATAAAGCTGCAAAAGTTTTGAAAATATAAGTTAAACCCATGCAGATATGCAGTAGATATTTCCACAGTATACAATTAGAGCACTTCCACAATATACAAATATCGAGTAATATAGAACGAAAGTAGCTGAAAATGGGATAAAAGTTACTCAAAAATTTGTTTAATAGGTTGTCGAATGGATTTTATCAATCGCGAAGCATGTTCCATCAGATGAACAGTGTCAGAAGTGTATTACTGCCCCTTGGGAAGAGAAAGACAACGAGAGAGACTTACTTTACCTACGCACAATGTGTTATGAAATGATCAAAAAGGTTTGTTTGTTTGTATTTCTTCGCATGTTTTCTTATTATTATTTTTCCTTTCCATAAACAAATACGTTTTCACAAGTCGCTATTTGTATAGGTAGTAAACGACATTGCTAAAATAGAAGATGATTTTTCAATATTGTACATTTTAGGCAAAGAAAGTCAAGGAACAAGCTGCTTTGGAAAACGCCCAGAGTTTTCTTCAGGTAAGCATGCAAATAAGTTGTAATTATATTTTATTCGCCTTACAAGCCCTATAAAGCCTTACAAGCCTTACAAACAACCTACCGACCGCTATGTTTTATTTATCTTTACAGGAACTAGAGGAAGACAAGGTTCGAGAAGAGAATAAGAAGAAAAAGCAAGCTGCGAAAAGGAGGGATAAGAGAAAAAAGAAGAAGAAACAAAAAGAAAATGAACAGCAGAACAACACTACGAACAGCGAGGAGCCACAGCCGTCCGAGAACAGAACGACCACAACAAACATGGAGGACGACACAACGTGCAGCGAGGAAGAAACATCGCGACCTTCCGACACTGGTCGCGTTCAGCCAAGCTCTAAACGTAGATATTGGAATTACGAGACCGAGATTAAGAATCGTAAGAATGTCAGCACGTGTCGAGCGATGACCGTGGGACAGGCACAAGACGAAAAGGTAAACACGAACAGCACAGAGGAACGTCGTGATGATCAACCCCAGGCCGTCTTTGATGGGAACGAGCAGCAAGTCACGCCCAAGAAAGCTGAACGTCGTGAGAAAACCGCGCAGGAAGTCGAAAACAATAAGAAAAACAAAGCTCAGGGAAAACGGATCACGGCGTGTCGATCCCAGGATCATAACCCGGAGCCTCAGGACAATGTTCTGGTGAGTATGGTACACTGATCTCAAAGGTTTATTGGATTGCGCGGAAATGATGCAACGTTGTATAGCTTGTTGAAGTACAAAAAATATTAGTAGACAACTTGTGGTCACACAAGTTTACAGTGGTACATGTATTTCGGTTCTAATGTGAAAATCATTGTCAAACCAGAATGAACAATGACCGTAAACTTTTTGTCTTGTTTTAAACGTAAATCTTAGCTTGCGTAACTCTTTGCATCGCGAGTTCTTTGCGAAACATTTTCTTGAACGCAGTCATGCAATGCTGAATTCAATCTTACTTGCAGGTCGCTGAAGTGATAAATTACGAACGCTGCGTTGTGGAAAGTGAAGATGCTGACGGGCGATTCGAGTCGTGTGCGAATGAAAATGGGAAGCCGCGAAATGAAATGATTGTTTCAGGTCAAGACCTCCCAGCAAGGGGAAATGTCGTCAAGAGCTCTGGCCACAATGACGTCATCGTGAAAGATGGTTGGAAACCTACAGGTATGTAGATTCAGTAATGACGCAATCAGCACAGTAGTTTTCAGGATTTAGAGATTTCCCGCCTTTCCAATGCATTGCTTAGCCATGTCAATATTGCCAATATGAATATGTGTATTCTGGTTAGGAAACTCGCCACTCTATTGTTTTTTAACCTTCGGCCGGTAAAAAAGTGCATTCTCAGAAAGATGCTACAGAACTAAATTAAAAAATTTGGTTGCGAAGTTGTAAATTGTAAATTGTGGAGAGTATGACGAGTGCCGAGTTCTCATATTTTGTGTGCTATTTAGCACACACATGCATGTTGAAGTTTCAAACCTTTTAATTTTTATACAATTGATAGCCAGCAAAAACATACTTAATCATCAACAAAACCTCTGTCAATACATCAATTCATTCGTTGGTTTTACAAGTATGTTTTGAATGATTTTAAACTTTTACGTGCTTATACAGTCGTAGAAAGGAACGCGATATATAGCCCTTAAAACAAAAGTCTACCTCGTCTAGCTATACAAAATCTACCAATTTTTTTCTATTTTCCTTACTTCACAACATTTCGCAACGAAATTTGGCAATGTTACTAACTTTGGGTGCTCTATCAAGGCCCGTACACACTTGCAATTTTTGATGCGTTTTTTTTATGCTGAAGTTTGCGATATTCAAACACATTTTTCATCAGAGCATTCAGAAGTACTCGCTCTTTTACATCAAAAGACGAAAATTGTGCCGAAAATCGGAATGTAAACGGCAGGGCCGTAGCTAGAAGCTTAATTGGCGGGGTGCATATTCATACTGTATATTCGTCTTATGCCCGAATGATTTCTTTTGTATGCTATTGTTCCTATGGTATATAAACATGAATATATGAATATACACCCCCCCCCCCAATTAAGCGGTCTAGCTACGGCCCTGGTAAACGGGCCTTTATTTCCTTTATTTGCACCTTCCCGTCTAGATCAAAAGTTAGTTTGCAGTATAATGCAAAAGATTACTACCCATGTGAGGATTCGTCGCCTTACTCGATAACCTGAATTGCAATGTAATGTGTGAAACATGTATGCCTACATATAAATATTCGAATAATAACCATTGATAATTAAGAGGCAAACGTCTACTGTCCATACACTTTATGTGCGAAATTGTTAGTTTATGATCAATTTGTATGAACCTTTTTTTGTAGCTCAACGTGCGAAACAAGTGTCCTCTGATTATCTTAATTCGTGGAAGGAGGTGACCAGAAACAGTAGTTCAATAAAGTAAGATGGGTGAAACTTTTACAAATTTTACTGGTCGAATATGTGTGTTTATATTCAACCGACAGTTAACATGTAAAATTTAATACCATAAGATACGTGATTACATACAGAATGTAAGTTCACAAAAGCCAGTAAAGTAATTGGATGATATTCCAAGATGGAGTTTCGTGTTAAGTACTGTAAATTTGGTTCATGAATAGACCTTTTTCATAATGATGTCAAACGCGGAAAGTTGTTGATGTTACACGAAGTCTGATTGGCTCGATAGTTATGTGGAGCCAATCAAATTTCGTGTATAATCAGACATTTCGCGTTTTCTATTCGATACGGTATTCTTCGCCCCTTTCAAAGCCCGCATTTTCAGTCTAATTCTTCTGCCTTCAAAACTTTCTAATTTTTCAAATATTTCTAATCAGGGTGATGGTCATTCAGCTTACAGCCCCGAATGCATTATGTGGTAGAGTTATAGGACGAGGTGGAACTAAAATCAACGGAATTACGGTATGATTTTCATAAACTCTCGGGAAAAAGGGTAACAAAAGGACAACTAAGGGTATCAAAAGAACAAATAGAGGGTAACAACATATCCGTTCGCGGTAGCGCAAATCACAAACGTTTCCCCCATAATCCGCCTAATCTGTCCTCAGTCATGCGAAGTGTGAGGTTATTACATTTAGTTTTACAGTTTTTTCAGTTTCGGTTTTTAGATAGTACAGTTATTGTGAATCAATCTTGACTGGTATTTTTTCTCCTGCAACTGTTTTTATATATCCTTAATAGTCAACGTATTTGCCATTTGATTATTTTCAATACGCTTTTCCTAGCTATATTTTTAAATTCAGCATGTATTTGGCTTTCGTGGTAATTGTGTGTTAAAAATCGATTCTTCATTAGGAGGAGTCAGGGGCACAAATTACGATAGGAAAACCAGATCCAAAGAATCCAAATGACCGCGTTATAACGATCAAGGTAAGCATGCTATGGAGCTTTCTCAATTGTAAAATCAATCCCCAAAACTAATGAGCCAATCAAACTTTGTGTAACATCAGACTTTTCGCGTTTCACTTCACCGCGTTTCGCGATGTCACCATGAGAAAGGCCTATTGTTTATGTTACGCGAATATCACATTCATTACTCATAAGCCGTAAAATTCTGTTAACTATACTTTATATTTGCAGCGGTTACATGTTTGTCGATTTTAGGTTTTCTATAAGATTGTTTATCAAAAAAATTTATCAAAATTGACTGTTTTACGAAATCCGAAAATTTATGAATAACTTCTGAGCTTGTTTCCTAAAACTTATTTCACATCAAAAAATAAATCATGCCCCTAAAACTTATTTCACATCAAAAAATAAATCATGCCTTGTTTGCTATTCCAAGGGGCCAGTGAAATGCGTCCAGAAAGCCAAGCAACTGGTATCAAACGCTCTCAACAGTCCAAGCAGTTTGACCGCAACACAGACACCAAACTTATCATCGTTTCCGTCGTCTTCATATGCCCAGCCACAGTCCATTTCATCAGTGGCTCCTATACGGGGTAATTTCGTCGCCATCCCTAAATCGTCATCAGAATGGCCTACGGTAATGCAAGCCCACAGTGGTCCAGAAAAGGTTTGTATACTCGATCATATGTGACGCTTATAATATGGAAGTTATAGGAGCGAGTTATGACAAAATCATACGATATTTGTATATTAAGCGCAAAGTACTGTAAAACGCGCATTCTGAATGTTTAAAAATATAACCTCTCTTCAGCACCTACTCTTCCCACTGTTATATAGTCTCTAATGCGATTATAGGTTGCAGAAGATGAGATTGAACGTTGACTTTATATTTTTTATATAATTGTTTTTCGACAGCCACTGAGCAACCCGTCGGTCGGAAAGTCTGTCTCTGTCACCGACCAAAACAGCGGGAACATCTCGCGTGAAACACGCGAGACACGCGCGCACTCAGCGCCTGATTTGCAATGCCCAACAGAGACGACAAGTGACCAGGTTATACCTGGAGTATGGTCGGTTGAAACAAAGACCAACAGTCCTCCAGTGTCTACCATCGCCAATACCAACGAATCCCCTGTATCTTCAGTGTCTTCTCATAATCCAACGACCGTGTCTTCTGCCACGAAGGCAAGGACGAAAAGTTATGCTACCACTCAAGATGGTTCGCGGCTCAGTTATTGCGAAGTAGCCACAGGAATTGAGAGTGTTTCTTCTAAGAACGAAGATGATATCCAGGTAGGATATGTACATATATGTACATACAACGAACGAAGGGTCCTTACATAAACAGGCGAAAGAGAAACTCGACTGTGCAAAAAGGCGGAAGAGAAATTCGTCTCTTCTTTTCAACTATACTTGTTTTTTCTGACACTTTGAAAATAGCGCCTCATTACAATTTTTGAAAAAAACACTTAGATGTTTGCCGTGTAATAGCCAAGTCAAATATCAATCTCTAGTATTCACAGCTGCGAAAATTCTTAATTGATTGTTCGCTGCTCGGTTTAAAGTGGTCAAGCCTATAGATCTCATCATCTGGTCGATGATCACCGACAAATGGAATGCTTACAGTCGTTTCTATTGTGCATTCTCTATTGCAGATGTCAACAGCGGTATCCTACTCATCTCCCGCCAACAATTCGAGCCAGGTCTCTGGAAGTGGCGGCACTGACGAGGTCGATAATGTTTTTGCTGATGATGGCAATATTGAGGCTCAGAGCGGCAGCATTATAGAACGAGCAGACGTCAGTGAGAGTGTCGTTGCTAAAGAAGATCAAACTGTGGATTCGAATCCGTGGAAGGAGGATGTCAAAGGTATATTAATTTTCTGAGTTTGTTGATTAGTATTGTTAAGTATTGTTAATGCTGGCAACGGAGGAAATTTTTTCCCGAAAACAATTACCTTTTTTCCTGAAATACAAGGCAAAGCATAATCCGATGAGTAACAACTTGAAATCCAAATATACAGTAGATTGAAACGGGACAAGAATTATCGTGATATTTCACATATGAAACTAGCAATGGAAGCGAAATATCGCGAAATCATTCTTGTCTTCGTTCATTTTACCTAATTCTTGGTTTCAAGATGTTATACTTCTGGGGCCGGTTGTATCAAGCCCGTTTAGCTTAAACATTGGTTAAGTTCAAAATAGAAGGCAAGTCTATCGTTTTATTCAAAAAGCGAACTAAATTTTTTTTACCTTAATACAAAGATATTGTTTACAACTACATATTCAGTGCATGATATTCAAGATACTCATTCAAGAGCGATGTAAGAGTGTTATTTAATTTTGACTCACTTATCCACCGTTAAGTTTACCCTAAACGGGCTTGATTTAATTATATTCCAATATAACCAGCATCTTCAAACAACTTAGCATCAAATGTTGTGTAAAAACTGCCTAAAATAGACAAAACACTTCTCGACGTTTCGATCTCAGGGCCTTGGTCAGGAGAGTTAAGCCCATTCTCCACAAGGTGAATTTATTCGCGCGACGCGAAGCGATATCTGAAATCCGATGATGTGATTGGTTTGTAAAAAAGTAAAAACGCTTCATACTTTTTATCTGTTCGCGCGAATCAATTCGCCTAGTGGAAAACGGGCTTAAGTATGACTTACAAACTCTCCTAACGAAGGCCCGCAGGTCGAAACGTCAAGAAGTGTTTTGATTTGATTATAATTGAATTTCTCGGCTGGTATTATTTTTTTATTTGAAATGAACCAAATTGGTATTATTCATTCATGCTATATTCTGTATATTTTTAGTCAGTGCATGCAGGCAGTTTTTATTATCAACTTTTAACTTCAGTTATTATTTTTTTCCAGAAATTACCGATGTGCAAGCCTTGCCTCCTATGAATTCCAATCACTCACAGGTTTGTAGAGATACAGTCCCAGAACGCATTCCTCGTTTTCCTTCATGAGTTTAGGTTTAGAGCTTCGAAATAGGGCGGATATCTAACGTTTAGGATATACAAGTTTATTACATGCTTTTCTATGCTTTTTAAACTTGAAGAATGGTGGCATATTAACTTAATTCTGTCATTTAACCTTTCAGGAAACTTGTCGTTCTATGAACATGTTACCTCAGTCATCAAGCCTGTTCAGCGGGTAAGTTGGGATTGTCGTAGTCGTTACCTCGACCAGCCATCTCAGGGATCTTCTCCATCCATCCAGCATTCTCAGCGCTATTTGAAAATCGTTTTGTCCACTCCGTCATGCACAGCTGCACGATTCCGGGGCACCTACTCTTGAGGCACTTTCCCTGCAGCTCTTTGTCGCACCCGTAAATTTCTTTAATCACACCTGGTAGAGATTATACTGAGACCAGGTTTTAGTTCCTAAAGGTAGCGGCCTATAGCGCGAGGACACTCTGTGTTCATTCTCTTTATATCAAATAATAAAAGTAGCTATATCTATATATATATATATATATATATATATATATATATATATATATATATATATATATATATATATATATATATATATATATGTAATTTCCAATGTACTTTTATACAGCCAGGTCAGTACGGTATAGGAAACGGTGAACGTATTTGAGATTTTTTTCTTTCTAGTTCCTCGTGGTCTACTCATGAAAACAAGGAATATGACAAGGCACGGAGCATCAGCTGGTCTGGGCAGGTAACTTATATTTCGGTGTATAATAAGTTCCTAATTTGTCCGCATTCGCTCTTTTTTAATAGTATTACAACTATAAATAAGTTATAACTACAATTATAAACTGTATGACCCCTGAATTGTAATGAATATTGCATACCAGATTCAGGAAAGGGGCCATATTGAAAAGTGAGAAGAATATTTTGGAGATAACAGCTTTCTGGCCGGTACACCACAATAATTCTTGAAGCATTTAACATCTTATCATGGAAATATAGCTAATACGATATATTCATCGTTTAAATATCCAAACATACGCTCTTAGGAACTCTTTTGTATGTGGTTGTACGGATTATTCGAATGTGTTCTTTTAAGTAGACAAATACACTCGTGTCTTGACTATGTTCTATCTGAATCACCATATATCAAACACCAATTTCACTTATGTCCGCAGGATTGCGGTGAAGCGGAAGATCATTGTACTACACGGAACGATTTTCAATCATCTCAACCAGATATCAACTCTCTGCCGTCTCATTCAATATGGAGTCCAGTTCAACCAGGAGGAATGACAGTTGATACCGATGTGGTCGAGTCGACGGCCTGGGACAATTCAAATAGCGCCAGTAGCAGCAGAAGCAGTAGTCGCCTCGAACTGTCGAGCATCATGGAAAATGAAAAGAACGTGTCGACATCGTCATTTCAACGTACGACCGACGAAGAGAACACGTGTGACGTCAAGGAATTGTGCGACGAATATACAGGATCCTGGATTTCCACTCGCGGTGCACACAGCGCTCCGTCTTCGCCGTCGCTCGTGAGATCACGTGACCAGCACACGAAGCTTTCCCGACCAGTGACCGCTCAGTCAAGCTCGTACGACGACATGAGCGACCGCTTGTGGTCAAGCCGAACGAATGACGGGCCGTCTGATTTCGACTCAGCGTGGAATGCGAATATCACGCAGGCGCAGTCCAGTTCGAGTATTTACAGCGAGCACGTGAACAACCGTAATGCCATGTCGCCCAAGTTAGGCTCATTCAAACAGTATCGTGAAACATCTGGTGCGAATAAGTGGAGCGATCCTATGCGAGACACCTCGCATCATGATGTAGTCAGGCTGTTAGAGAGACTATCTTTGACAAAGTATAGACAGACATTTGAGGTACTGTAAGTTGTTCGCCCTGTGATTGACATTTATAATCTCTCTGTTTGTAATCTTTCTATTATAATCCCTCTATTTGTCAAAAAAGTTAACCTTTAACCATTCCACTTTTAGGAAAATTACGTAACAATGGACAAGCTAGCGAACATGACAGACACTGATCTACAAAAAATCGGCGTTCCAAAGGTAGTCAAATACGACTAAAACATGAAGTAAAACATGTCGAAACTTACATGAATCAACTTACGTAAAGCCACATTAGTTCTTTTTAGGTTTTTAGTGAAATTCGGCCGTTTTATGAGCTGTTTTATGCATCCGCTAAACATTGTCGTATTAGCCAAAGTTTAAGCGTAAACAATAGTCTATTACATGTTTCTTGCACTGAATGATGGATGTAATTTTTTATTAAATTTAATTTTTTCGATTAGGGTCCTCGGTTAAAGATCATGCATGCTGTTCAGAGAAGTAAGTACCATGCGTCTTCTTAATCATCGTTGATTTTCCCGGTTTTGAATTTGAAAAATCTAGAACATGTCGTACTCAACTATTTTCACCACAATGTGAATTGCACTTACAATGTAAATTGCACTTTTTTCAACATTTATTTCTCTTGCAGGTAACGGTCTAACCAACGGTCCGGTGTCGCACAAACCGATGAACGAAAGAGCATCCAGCGGTGTACCGCCATCTGACATGCTTGGCCATGCGCAAGCCTCTGGAACTTTGCTAAATCACATGCAAATGGACCAGAATGTTCGCGTGCCGACGCAGTCACCGTTCACTCAAGTTCTAGCCCCCCAGGTGTTGCAGAAGCAGCATTCCGAAGGAAGTTTAAACCCAGTTTTATTACCGTACCTAAACAACACCTCTGTTCCACATCATTCCCTACTGTCCCTCGACCCAAGTTTGGCCAGCCCCTCGCCCCATTCTCACCTGGAGCAACATATGAACGGATTACCTCCACAACAACAGTTCATTATGCCCCGTGTTACCGGTGATCAGTACGATCCACAGAGTTCGTATATGCCCAGCGGTGTACCCTATCAACAACAGATGTACTATCCGCGGCCAGGGGCGTATTATTATTACCCATAGCTGGACTGTGTGTGAAAAGACTGTAAAAATACTCGTGATGAACACTTGTTGTGCTGTAATATTTCAAATTGTAGACTGCCATTGCAATAAAATTGCGATTAAAGTGTGGTTTGGTGATATGTGAATGAACTTTTTGTGGTGTACGTGTGGAACATAAAAACCTTGGATCCTTGAGCCCTGATTCGCCTTACCCTCGAACTATTGGAAATATAACTGGACAGCACCAACACAGCTGGTGCCGAAAATAAATCCAGTTTGCAAAGCAATAAAAATTCACCATCTTGAAGGGGCGAATTTTTCACCAATATTAAACATCTATATTTCTGTTCATGCATCAACAACGTGCGCTCAAGCACAACACAGGGTTGAAAGACACCCTAATCTAACAGAATTATGAAATGTAGCGCAAAGAATGAACAACTCAAATCCCACGCTCAGAGACATCAATTTTTGTTCTCCTGCCTGTTAGATTAATGTGAATTAATAGTCAGATTAATGTGAATTAATAGTCAGATTAATATTTTCAATATGATGACAGTTGACGATTTGCTTTTCATTAAGTTACAGTTTTCAAACGAGTTCTTTGATTCCAAGATGGCGGCAATTTCTCGACACTCGAGATTTGGTCCTTTCTTGGCTCTTAAGGTATTTACCAATGTTTATAGATACCACCAGAATATGGTGGGGCTAAATTGACTATAATTTGAAGTTTATTTCCTCTGCTACGAAAATAATTATTTTTCTGCCATCTCTGCGCTGTCTGCGCTTTTGTAATTTGGTCTAGAATTCCTAGAAACATCTTGTCTGGTGCATTACAATTAGTCCCATGAAAACTTGTGAAGTCATCAAGTTCGGGAAGATTGCTTGGTATATTGATACTTGCCTTAACATTACATTATGCCATTTCGTGTGTCGAAATGGAACTTAAGAACTCTCTGTAACTTAGAAATATAAAATTAATTTGCTTCGACTGCTATGATTTGATAGCCTTGAATTGACATGTTTCCCACTAGGGCGAATATCTGGTGGCCGACCTGTAACGATAACTGCTCCATGCATGCACATGCCCAAGCTCCAAACTATAGTGGATCTATATATTTAGCAAGTGGAAGAAACAATTACGGCAGGTTTACCAAAGGCAAACTCTTTTGTTTTACTATGGCACACATTTTGAGGACCGTTCACGCCTGAGGCCCACGCAAATTCCTAAGGCGCAAATTTCTTGTCTTTTGAACATTGGAATTGACTAACTTTTTGTACCGCGAGGTATGTAGTTACGTATAAAATTTCACTTCTCAAAAGCAGATTACACATATAAGGGATTAGGTTACAAAAGTCGCTTAGCAACCAAGGAATGTTGTATAATCAGGAATTAGACTTTTATGTTTGAACAGGAAACACCGAGACGTCCTCAGCACTAATTTATAAAATAAACCGTATCGTAACCTTGTAACTTCATTTCTACATTTTGTATGGTGCTGGGCATTATAGCATGCTGTTATTGCATCAGTTGTTATGCTAAATCATACTAAACATACCAGAAAAGGTACGTCAAAACAAACATATTGGTATTTACCAGTCAGTATGCGATATAAATCATGAATGTGCTTGCATTAATTGATTCACTTTTAACTAGGTTATTTTGTACTCTATATATCTAAGCGTGAGGTTAATAATAATATCAGGCGATAAATGAAGCCGTTGTAAAGCTGGAATCTGATCTGATCGAATATAAAAGTTATTGAAATCAAATTCTATTGTGCTGGCGCCATTTTTAAATTTGTGTTGCCATTGATCTCAATGCGTCGTGTTTATGATGTGTTAAATAGAAAATTAAAATTCATTTCCCGAGTAGAATTTTATGTCGAATTAACACCGTTTAATAAATATAATAGAGGGGGGGGGGGCTTGGCTGCGACGTTTCTCGATCTTGGGAAATTTCGGTTTTGATAGTTTGGAATCTTTTACAATGCATTTTGCAAATGTGTTTATATCGTTTAGTCTATTCGTATGTCCATTAATGGTGCTGACTTTGGTTAGTTGATAGCAATTTGGATAAATAAGAGTTTTCAGATGTGATGCATGGATGCAGTCTTTCATGACGTACAGAGCTTTTAACGCTTTCTGTCGACCACAGAAATAGACTACATTCTCGTTCAGTTTTTAATATTTTTGCTTTTGACATGCCTTATCTTATTCCTATTGACCGCTTGAATTGTGTAATTTACCACCTGTAGTTTAACCTCGTACTTTAGTTCTCTGCATGTAACATCACGATCGCAAGTTATTAAATATTTCGTTTTTTCGATTGACTATATCTTTATACCTTATCCTTTTATTTTTACTTTTATTTTTATGACAACAGCGTCGTGGCGGATACTGGCTAATTCACCACCTTCTTGTAGTACAGGTATGCAAGTGTACTTTCTTAACAACAATACTCAGTTTTGAAATGTACAACATGTACAGTGTCTCAGCCCTCAGGGGGGTGGGTGTTAGTTCATGAGTGACATATGTTCACGTCTGATGATGTTTCTCAACATCGATGACGAGGCTTCTCTTACAATAAATGTGAAACATTTGGTATTGTAATTGATGACAACTGTATGCAAGTAAGCCTGCTTTCAATTCGGGTTAGCGCAACCATTACTAGATAGATCGCCGAGTGCGAGTTTCCATGGCTGAGTTCCCATGGTTTCCATGCAATCCTTTCTCGCGTATCAAACATGTCTGTTTAAACAAAATTCTTTGCAGATGACGGTTAAGTAAATTTTGGATACCAGGTATGAGGCGTTGTATAGTTTTATGAAAAAAAGACCAGACTCCAGAGAGTACTCCTAACCTAATATCCTAGAAACATCTGCTCTGGTCACTCTGGTGCATTACAATTAGTGCCGATGAAAACTTGTGAAGTCTCCAGAAAGTACTCCTAACCTAATATCAACCAAAACTGGTTTCCTCAATTAGCGTGTTAAAAAAATCAAAACAAGTAGCCGGATATAGGAAACACCATAATACATAACGTTTTTATATTAATTGTTATAGGATCTTGGCTATGCAGACTTCACAAACGAAATCTTTCGTGCACATGGTAGTTTTCATCGCAATCTCAGGTAAACATATCTATTTGTCCTTTTTGACTCACGGATGCATGTAGCAACATCTGTCAACAATTTTCAAGTCGATGTGCGCGTTGCGCGTACTTTTTTAAGGATTTTATACCGTCATCTATTCAAAAATTGTCTTTGCTCGCGCTTGCAATATTTGCGCACGCTTGCAATATTTATGACATCATCAATCGCGGGTCAACTCATTAGTTTACGTAACAATGCATGCTCTCATTATCGATTCAGACTGCAAAGTCAAACTGCCCAGTGGTGTTTGCAGGAGTTGCGCTCGAAAACCTTTTCTGAAAGCGATAATTTAGAAATTGACACTTGTACTATTTCACGTCTGTAAAAATGACTTGTTAACGACAAATACACCACCAAATTAGGAATGGGTTCTAGCATTCGGATATAGGGATATGAACTGGAGTTCAGTTGGTAATCGTGTACGGTCTTCCTGGAAATCGCGGATTCTCTCTGGGGCACTGAAGCACATTACTATAACAAACAATGCAATACAATTCTGAAGGGACATTCTGGGTTTTATAGGATGAATAATAATTTTCATTAGCATTTTAAGGTAAATAGAATTATTGGTATAGATTTAAATGCAATTCATTTTAATACAGCTTTCGGTTCGTCTGATTATCTTGTTTTCTTGTAGTTTTTTATGAAACAAGATCAGAAAAACCAGTGATTATAAAGAGGCCAACAAGTCAAAATGTTTACATTAACCAATCGGCGATATTTGTTTGTCATGTGCAGAGCAATACTGAGTTTGTGATTGGCTGGATCAAGAATGACAAACAGCTCCTGCGGAATGTAACGAGTTCTTCACAAGTTCTTAATGACAGCTTGACAATTGCCCATGCTAGAAGACGCGATGCCGGGACATACACGTGCAGAGCTTCGAACGCCGCTGGGGTATCTTCAGCTCAAGCTACTTTAACAGTTTTAGGTGCGTTTAACTGCATATGTGATTGAAAAATAGATACTCCTGAAGGCGTAATCAATCGCCCCCCCCCCCGTTCAAAAGAGCAAGCTAAATGCCTTTCGAGCAACCAGTCCAAGTAATTTATTTTCACTTGGTGATAAATTTTCACTTGAGTAACTATATCTGCCACTGTCAGGCTATGCAGCGTATTTAGCAACTACATATGAAATGAATCTCGCAATTTTTACCTTTATTGTAGATCCTCCAGTGGCACCAACTATTACGGAAATTTCGCCGAAGCAACAGGCAATCGTTGAAGGCAATCGTGTTACCTTTACGTGCAAAGCATCGGGATATCCACCCCCGCGAATCACGTGGGAAATATTTCTTGAATCAGGCGATGATAATAGGGCTCGTTTGGAGAAACCATCACCTAATTCCATTCGTATTTCTTCCGTAAGTCCAATAGACACTGGAAGATACGTCTGTATAGCAAAGAATGATTTAGGAAATGATACCCAAGCGGTTTATCTCAGGGTCTTAGGTAGGTTTTGTAGAATTTGACTATTCACTGTTCATAAAGCTGTTAAGTAGTTCGGGTGCCCCAATTGGTAGTTTTCTATACAGGGGAGTCCCTGGAGTCTAAAGATGGACCTGTTTTTTGTAGCGTCGTAATTAACTAATTTAATTCCCATGCATATTTCCTCGATCAACGATTAAGCACGGCTCGGATATTACTAAGGGTCGGTGTCTTATATATTGACGGTGACGAACGCACGAACTCAGAAAAAAGCTTAGGATGTTGTATTATTGATAGCATTAGACACTGCTAAAGGTATTATTGTCTTTTAGGCAGTTTTCACTGGCGAAACATAGCATACGTATTAAGGCCTGTGACGCAATGTAATTTTTCTGGCAACTTGCAATGCAATTCTTCTTTTGAAAGTTGTACATTAGTAAGAGCCTTCGTGGAGTTATACATTTGTGGAGTTTATTCAGTGTAAGAAACACAAACGTTTCGTTGTTGCCGAATTTATATCTTTCACAAGTAGAATTGCATTGCATGCACTATGTATATAATTAGATTTGTCAATGGACATGCAACGACCACTTCAAAAGGCTTTTCTTTTCAACTGCGCAGGGTACCCAGTTTTTACCGTGAGTCCGCCATCCAATATCACCGTGAAGGAAAATGAAACCATCAAACTGAACTGCAAGGTGATTGGCTCGCCACCGGCTGACGTCAACTGGTACTATGGCAACGTGCCTGTAGACCGAATTTCAAATATCGTAGTTCAGGAAAATAATACTTTACAAATATCCAATGTCCAATTCGATAACAGGGGAACCTACTCGTGTGTCGCCAACAATTCTGCCGGATTAAAACGCTTCAAGACTACGCTGCTGAAAGTATTGAGTAAGTTTGAGTAAACGTATCGTTTTGTTAATCCTTGGCGATTAAACAATCTTACTCGAATCACTAGAAATTGTCGTAGCTTTTTTAACACACATAACAGCAACATGCACGTGAATGTAATAACAGCTTGTGAACAAACGTGGTAACAGTTGCACGCGGTTTCGTTGGAAAATTGGATTTTTTACCTGTGAATCCATACCCTATAGGTACGCACCATATATATATATATATATATATATATATATATATATATATATATATATATATATTAATATATATATATATATATATACAGTCGTTATCAAAAAGGTTGTCATATGGAAATATATATAAATACGTAAATATCGGTCACGTGATTTTACTACATACGTTAATTTTATGAGAAATTGTTGAAAATCTGTCGTAAAAATTTCTTAAATGTCATAGTAAGGTGAACAATTTTGTAATAATAAAGAAACAAGTGATAAATGATCAAAATAAGCCATGTTTAATGGTCACGTGATTGATATTTATATATTTCTAAATATATATTGATCGGGACAACCTTTTTGATAACGACTGTATATATATATATATATATATAATATATATATATATATATTAATATATATATATATATATATAGTTGAAATTCCTAGGATTTTTTGAAATATTTAAATAAAACTTGGGGCCCATTTATTGTGGGAGTTCAACGACATTACAGTAGTTCTGACAGACGTCCATTATTTAACCTGTCCAAAAAGTGAAAGTCAGTAGTATATGGAGCTCTAAAGCAAGACAGTAAAACATTATCGGCATGAACTTTGCTGTATTGAGTTAAATTAATCCTGGGATGAAAAAACCTTGTTTTGCTTTTCCTTGAGCTTGCGTAAGGGAACATATCTGTGAAAAACAAGGTGTCCAATAACTTATGAGCGCACCTGTATGTATATATATATATATATATATATATATATATATATATATATATATATATATATATATATATATATATATATAGGGGAAAATGCGCTGTTTTCTTCAACGGTTTTATTGGAAAATGGAATTTTTTACCTATTATATTGGATCCATACTCCAAATACACACCATTTAGGCACTGTAGTATCAGCATATTTTGAATAAATGCGATGTTCTCCTCATCAATTGTAACATCTCTTGACATCAGTATTTAGATACATTCCAACCAGGCTAAGTCAGGGCGAAAGTTGCAAGGTTCTTTCTACAATCGTTATTTATTAATTTAGGAGCACCAAAGCTTGACTGTTGTCCGACAAAATTAACCGCATTCTCGCGTAAAGAAACAGCAATAGAAGGGCTTGAAATCTCGTTAGACTGTTCATCTGCTGGTTATCCTGAACCAACATATCGATGGATGTTTGAAAATAACACAATCTCGTCCGACGCCGTTTTAACATTGCGTGACGTTTCCACGAAGAATGAAGGCGTTTACTCTTGCAAAGCTCGAAACAATTTAGGCGAAGTGATGCTGATTATCAACTTGACAGTCCTAGGCAAGTTATCATGCATGCTGCAATATAGTTTAAATTACTTATGACCACGTAACGTAAACCTATTATGAAATCATTTCACCCCTATACGAATAACTGAAAGAGTTATGCGCCCAGCGGAAAACTGAAGGCAAAAATTTAAAATATTTTCGACTAAAAGGAAAAAAGAGCAAATGCATGGTCTCGTTTCTCTAAAACTCCAGGCATAATCAATGTTTAAGGAAAGAAATTATTCATGAAACGAAATATCTTAATATCGAAATATCTTCTGCCAAGAAAGTTCGGGATAATTTGCCGTTTCCCAGAAACGCAAAGTTTAATAAACTCTCTAAAATTCGTTTTCCCGGTGATCAAGTCATTTTACATCTTTCTTGCTTGCTCCAACTCAGATTATCTACATGTCTGTAGTGCGGTCGAAAATATTCAAACATAGTTAAAAATATTCTAACATCTCACATTTGGATATATTGACGTTTTAAAAAGCATTTATAATAAAGCCATGGATGCTTCCAGTCATAATTGCTGATTTTCATATGACATAATTCGTCATAATTCGTCGTAATTCACGTGTTGTAACTCGCTATTTTTCGATTTTCATATATGTTGGATTTCGCATAACAACGAATTGCGACATGTGAATTACGACGAGTTATGACGATACGTACCTGCAACGTCTCCGTTTCGTTACAGTTCCTCCAAAGATTTCAATTTACCCTCGGAAAGTTATCATTGTCCCAGGAGAGCACGTGACGCTCTCGTGTTCCGCCACAGGAGTACCTTTACCAGCAATCATGTGGTATTCACCGGGGGGGACCACTTGGCGCAACGGTACGCTGGTGATCACCAATACGTCAAAAAATGATGAAGGAGATTATATCTGCCAGGCTAAGAATAAAGCTGGGAAGAAAACTGCCACAGCGAGCGTCGTTGTTGCAGGTATGCTTATTGGAGATTATTGCTTTACTGGAAGAATCCCTTCCCCCAACCATTTAATGAAATTGATATGATTAGAAACTAGGGAAAGATAATCAACTCGTGGTTTTTATCGTTACTGGAAATTTATGCGTATTTATATGTGTATTTATGAACTTTGTATATATGCATGACGAGCACCAACCCAATAGCGACGAAGACTATAGATTTTGCCTCCATATATACGGGACACCACCGACGTTCTTTGCCGGAAAACAACGGGTTCGCCTAACTTTTCTCTCCTCGTGGCAGTCATCGCGTATATTCATTATAGTATATGTTACCCCTTGATAGCAATGACAAAAAAGCGAAACAAAGAAGTTTTGAAAAATATGCATAATATATTCTATTAACACAGATCCATCCCTCCCTTGTGGTTGTCAATTCCAAGGAAATTTCCTTGCATTGTTGAAACCCTGCATGCTCAATACATGCATCACAATACCCGGCCGATATACTGCGCATATACGTGTTCTAAAAATTTACTTATTACTGCATATTTTGTACACTGGTAAACGACCCTTTTACCGATTGCGATTTCAACTTATCGGCAGGAGCGTTAAAGTCTTTAAAGGAAGTAGCTCAATACGATAAGGTCGGTAACGACAAAAGTTCTATTTATGATGTATAATATTATAACAGATTATCGCGATGTTCGCGGCATAAAAGTGTAAAATTATTTCGGGCAGGCAAAAATACATTTCTAGTCCACCTATAATTGATAAAATCGCCTAACCCCCCTTATATACAGTTTCATAGTGCGAAATATACGTTGTTTTATCTTACTTTTATTTAAAGGTTTAATGATTAAACACACTCGCCCCAGCAGCCCCATTATTTTTGTGTGCATGTAACAATTTTAATTATAGCTATAGCCTGTGTGAAATGACATATTTTTTAACTAATTGAAACAAAGAGTAAAGAAGATAATAGATTCAGAAGGTATACATCGTTCACACTTGAATACTTTTCCACCAAATACCAACGTTTAAGCCAAAGTACTGCTTGTGGTCTTCAACGCAACGAGCTGCCTCCCCAGTGAAGCATCGCCCCCATACCAAGGGATTATCACTGCAACCAAAATCTTCATTTTTCGGGTTTCCATTGCACGTTTTGTATGAAGAGTCTTTTGCCATGATTTCGGTTCCGTAGAAGACTTCCTTGCCGTGATGATACGGACCGCCACCCAAGGAAATACAGGGGGTACCGGGTAGGAACACTGTGCAGGTCGGAAGATGGACAACTACATCGCGATAATGCGTCACTCGAAAACTTTGAGGCACCAAATTATCGTGAGCAAAAGCGTAATCGTAGTTACCAACTCTGGGTTGACCAAAGGTGTACAATACCAAGTTGTCTTTTGGTGTCTTCTTTTGGTGTCTCTTCTTTCTTTCGAATGCGATCGTTGTACTGGCAAGAGATGCAAGCGCTCCACCGAGAGAATGTCCTGTCACCCAAACTTCGTAATTTGGATACTTCTTTATCTGTTCGTAAACATAGCTTTTTAAGTCTTTCCACACAACTTCAAATGCATCCTTGAAATATCCTTGAACTTTTCCACCCGCTTCGAAGGACTGTTTTTGCTCCAATAAAACGCGTTTCATTTGGGTGATTAGTTGTTGCGAATGTTCGGTACCGCGGAATGCGATGGCGATGGCTTTTTCCGAATGCGAAACAGCGACGAAACCAGAGCACATTGCCTCTCCTGAACAAGAATTTATAACTTGCTTCACAAGATGAAATGTTTTTACTTCGTCTGACTCAGCTTTAGTTTTGTACTTCGCGACGTCGGGAGAGTACGCTAATGCGCAAAGTTGGACCAATTTATACGCGAGATTTTTGTCGTACTTTTTTTGAACTATCTTGTTGCAGTCTTTAGAGTTGACGACATTTTCCGCTCGCGAGCATTTGTTCACCACGCTGCCGTGAGCGTGGCATGTTGACGTACGGGGACACCAACGGCATCGCTTTCCTGACCAGCTTTCGGTTTGAGCACAAGTTTTGCAGCTGTTTTGCTCATCACAATCTGGACCGCTGAATAGCCAGGCGCTTGAAAACCCTAGGCAAAGACAGGCAACGATAACGAACCGCGAGAACATCTTTACTCTGTTATAACGCTCGCGTTGTGACTACGGTAGTTAAGAAACGCGCTATTATATCACACGAAATTATGCGGCCCCTGTATATGAGAACGATCGCCGAGACAAACCTATTTGTTTCAATTTATTTAAAAGCTAAAAATAAAACATTTTTATGATAAACGCGGCAGGAGTTGAAATACTTTACCCGTCAACTGATATCTCTGAGTTACGAAGCTCAACCATACAATGATAATATCTCAATATGAATATTCATCCGACAGTCGTAATCTTCTCATAATTCTTAAATTTGCTTTGATGATCCTAAAATTATTCTCTTGGTTTTTTATGCTTAAACGTATGTCAAATATAGAGTAGGAGTTCACATTTTGTGTGCGAAAAGCTGCATGTCCTTAAATCAAATTAATTTCAACCACTTCAGTGAATGTGAAAGCCGTTACAAAGTAATATAGAAAGAATTATTGAAACTTTACAATAATGCCGTTGTCATTGGACAATCATTTTGACCAAAACATTTTTGATTGGCGGATTTTTCTATTTTTTCTCCTTATTAATAGCATAATTGCAAACGAGATCGGTGATATAACTTTTTTCATGAATTAATTTCACCAATAATACTGATCAGAATTGATTGGACAACTGAAGAAGTTAGTATCGAGACAAAAAAATTTCAATTATTTCGTGATTATCCACTATAATATTTTTGACGCGATATTTTTCATCAAAAAATGTAAACCTTAATCACTTTTCACACAATTTCACGTATGAATTATTCGCCCGACAAATGACACTCGCGTGGCGGTTTCTGGTGGAAAAATGTAAACTCTTTTGATGTTAAATTGTGCAGCTTTTATTATGCACTTAATGTATGCTCCCGAGGGAAATAGTGAGTTTTGTTTTCCCAAGAGTCTGAATGTTCGACATTGAGACTCGAGGGAAAACAAAACTGATTATTTCCCGAGATGTAGCGAACATTAAGTTTTTTGTTATATATAGGAACAAAAACATACATGTTACACGACAATTTCATTTCAAAAAACTTTGTTATGACAACATGCGGGCAACAATTTTTCACTTGTTTCCCTGGCGGGAAACATTGCATTTATTTAAAGTCATGTGACTACGAATGAACCAATCACATTTAAAATACACAGCACCTATATAACAAAAAACTATATACACCCATATAAAAAGCAGTGTTGTGGAAATTACTGGGGAAAATGAGTATAAATTGCGGTCGACCAACAGAAACCGCGCAAACGACCGCAAGGGAAAAAATTCGATGGCCTCCGGAATGTTATATGAACAGCTGAGAACGACAACACAATAATCATATCGAAAACATCTTAAGAAATACCTGTCAGACGTTAAACCGCCGAGTTTAAACCTCCCTCTCACCGCGGTTCGACCTCAGTCTGACCTCAGTTCAACCGCGATCAGACCGAGTTTTGACTTCCTTGATTTCTGGACAGTACTGTAAGCACAATATGTATGATTACTCACAAATCACAATTACCATATATAGTAATTAATTTATAATTACTTTTCTCTACTAATTAGTAACCTTAAAATTACTTTTCATTTCACTTCCTACATGCAATGTAGGTAGCATCGATAAACATGACCGTATTCGTTGCAGTTATAACTAGTTAAATATAAAGGCAAATATATGAGTAGATAACCTCTTAACCACATTTTAGATTATGCCCATTATGAGCTAAAGTAAAAATGAAAAATGATGTCCATTACTCCAAAATGTTTTGACGTCCAAAATTTTCTCGTTATCTTCGAAAAGTAATTAATTACGTTACAAACTATTAAAATATCACTTATAGTTTACAAAGCTTCACAAGCCTTAAAAATTTAACGATGTTTTCAAAAAAGTGTATCAAGTTCTCTGCAACGTTGGATTAGTTTCACACGTATTGTAAATGACTGAACTTAACTTAATACTGATAAATTGATTATAAAAGATATATCTCCTATTTCTAAAAGAAAAGTTATGTTTTGTTGGAACGACAACAACAGGACCTAATTCATGCATCGTTCCCATCCGTGTCATGCCAATTGACAATGCACCTAGACCATAATTGCAAATTAAATTTTAATAGTATGCATTCTGCCCAGTATGCCGTCGTTCAAATAGTGAACACACTTAGGGACTCGCGGGAAACGGGGGATCATTGTGGGACCATTGGTTTAACATTGCAAGTGGTTTAATATAATGAAAGCAACCGTACAATGAAAAAAAAACTATTTGCGTGGCCATACCGTGCAAAGAAAGCTTTCATTGCATGGTCAATAAAATGGAAATTCTTCAGTACCACTTCGGGATAAACGTTTGTAACGAACAAGTTGAGAAAGAAATTTCTATATTATTGCTTATAACATCCATTGTTGTTATCTTTTTACCACAGTTTTACCCACACTCCTGACGTTACCTCGCAACATTACTGCGAATGAAAGCACAACGGTGGTGACACATTGCGTGGCCAATGGACCCGATCGGCCAATAATAAGCTGGTTTCGTCTCATGATGAATGGTCGCCTAATAAAACTGAATAGCACTGGTAACGAATTGATAATCGTGGGCATTGATAGGGACGACAGTGGATTTTACGTCTGTGAAGCTCGAAACCACGCAGGGTTTATCAACGTTACATTTTTCATCAATGTGCAATGTGTGTAAACTTGTAGCTTTCACTTTATAATTTCAGGCTTTAAATAGTTCGTGTCTCGTGAGATTGTTATGAATGATAAACATTGCCAGAAAATACCAATTTTTTGTGTTTACCAGATTCTCCAGACGCAGCCATATCCATAAAGGAAGTGAACATTGTTGCAGGTGGTAATGCCGTCCTTCTTTGTCCTATAAATGCCAACCCTGAAGCGGAAATTCGTTGGATAACTCCAGTTCACGTTAACGTTACTCTCCAAGGACATCGACTTACAATTTCCAAAGTAGATATTTCACACGCGGGACGGTACAGGTGCAGAGGAAAAAATGCTCTGGGAGTTGCAGATGTTTTTCTACAAGTCCAAGTAATGAGTGAGTAACCTTATTTGAAGTTTAATCGGGATACAGCAATTAGCCATTTCCCAATCGAACACTGTACTGGGTTTTGTCGCGAACTGCAAGGCATCATCTATGGACTGTTTGGAGGGACAAATGATTTTAGACTTATATTTCCTGTCCCTCCAAACAGTCCATAGTTGCTTTGCAGTTCGCGACTAGATCCAGTATCCTGCTCGATTGGGGAATGGCTAATGGTATTTTCTTGGCTATATATTAAAAGACGAATCTTCGAAAAGTCGAATCGACCCATTCGCTGAATATGAAATATCTTTTGTTGGTAGGATTTATTATTGGGCTGCATTCAGTGAAATATAGGCATTGTTCTTACTAAATTTTGTTATACTCAGCCTACCGTCGGTAGAGCGAGTTGAAAAATGGGCTCGTTTTTTGGCGTCGCGAGTTTAAGAAAATCCCGCGTGGGCGGCACGAAGGCTTTGAACGAACCCAGATCGTCCTAGCTAGGATCGTTTCTCGCGCGGGTGTCACGAACATGTCATAACACCAAAAATTAGGCGTTATAAGCTCAAGCGATATAACTGTAGCACGAGTGAATGCCTGAGCAGGCGTCTTGTTAAGCCTACAATGAGCACGATTTCATTTTGTTATGCGGGGATCGAAATAAATAAGCTATTATCATGAACTTTGGTCTTTAACTAAATTTTGGTATTTCCTTCCATTTTTTGTCTTTTTTAGCTCAGCCTCGCATTATTGGTATAACAGTAACTGAACTGTCGAATGATATTCAATCAGTTACTTGTGTTACAACGGGGACACCTAAACCAGTTTTTGATTGGATTGACCTCAATGAGGCCTCTCCACCAGGTCCTTCATTTAAGCACAACGGATCTCTACTTATCGAGAAAAATCTTATCAAAACAATGAGATTTATCTGTAACGCGAGCAATGTTTACGGCTGGACGACTGCACTTGTTGCAGGTATATGTAATCTATGTTAATGTAATGTGTTATGTTTGGGACGGATAAGTAGAGACTACCTACTGAGTCTAAAAACTCAATTGCTAAAATAGTGAAAATACCAGTAGTGTCTTAACTCCATTACCTAAAATAAAAGCAAATTGTCTTTTTCTGATTATATCACACCCTAATCTTGAAACCCATAAACCCATAAAACAAATCTTAAATACAGAAACACAGAAAACTGCAAACCTTAAGTCAGCAGCTATGTTTAGCATGTGATTTACTTCACACGTTCTTGTTTCCACACACGTAAAATAACTTAAAACTGACTGAAAGCCAAGTGCATGTGGATAGTTATGTAAATTTGAAATAGATGATTTTTATCACAAAAAGATATTCGCTTATTTTGGTGGGAAATGGTGGTATTGAAATTAGATCTTAATTTCCTGAACCATTACATGACGACAATCGTACTGTTAAATTGTATGTGGGGAAGGAAAGTTGCCAGGATTTGGACACACATTCACACCCATGCACATCATGAATATTATTTCATTTGCAGTTCCAAGCTCCCCTTATAACTTCACCGTAACCAAAATATCAGCCAGGTCGATAATATTCACGTGGTTAACCAGCCCTACCGAAATCGTCGCAAGTTTCATCGTAGAAAGACGGGCAATATCAAGCTTAAAGTGGGTCACGATCAGTTCCTCAGTTGTTTCGCCACCGTTCGAGGATAATGATATTCCACCATTCACCACGTTTACCTATCGTGTCAGCGCTAAGAATGCGCTGGGAACGAGTTTGCCTGGTGATAGTTTCAATGCCAGCACTACAGAAGAAGGTACGTCTTTGCGTTGCGAACTATAACAGGTCACAACTATATATGCCTATATTTTTGTTGGTTTCGCGGAGAAAAGATCTGTGATAACTGATAATTGAATAAATATGGTGACAATTTCATTTTTGTGAAGGCAGTAGCTACATTTCACATATAGGAAAATGTACTTCCAGTTAACATAGGATATTTCAAAAACTGCTAAAGAGTACTAAATTTTCTTTTTAATCGTCTGCATTTCGAATTAGTTATTACCATTTTTTTTGGGTATTTTAACACTTTTGGACAGGGCTATATTAGTTAAAATATTCTTCTTGTTTTATTTAGCGCCTTCCTTTCCATCCAAACTAACAGCAAAATCGTTATCACTCACCAGTATAACAATATACTGGCAACCCCCAAGGGAACCCAATGGTCCGATCAACGACATTGTCTACGAAATTGTTTATGAAGAGAAAAGCGCCTCAACCCAAGTTGTGAAAAGGATATTGGTAAATGATACTAGAGAATTGCGAATACCAAATTTGAAGTCAAATACTCTATACCTGATAAAAATACGTGCTGGACGACAAACTGATAATGGTACTATGCACTGGAGTGATTATAGATGGATACATTTAAAAACTCTTCAAAAAGGTTTGTGTCAGATCCGTGATTACGAAGAGGATGGCGGATGTTCATTTTCCTACAATGCATGACTAGAAAGAATTGCAACGCCTAATGATGTTAAAATTTATCTGAAATTTATGTATGCTCTCCTCAGGATATCAAATGAAATGCCACTTTTCCGCAAACATGAATATTATAGACTGATATTAGCTATCAAGTCTATGCATGTCTAAACTTGTTCAGTCATGCATTCGTTGTTTTATATTCTGATTAAGAATGCATGCATAAAACACTTCTGCCTTATCCCAAGAATAAATTCCTGAGTGGGAGCAGCCTAAAGGTTTTGGAAGCGTGCAATAATATATATAGACTCGGCTACATAGATGCATAAACCAAACTTATTTCTACCGTTTCAGCCCCCACGACATACCCAAAAGAAATTGAAGGCGTTAGCAACGGACCGAGGAGAATTCATGTGACTTGGAAGGTAACATATTGTTGTATTGCTTACGATTAATTGTAGTTAACATTTTCATCTATAATCAATCATATTTTCTGAATCGAAGACTTCATAATTAGCCTTTCTCACGATGACGTTTTTGCATGGTTACTTTCAATTTTCTTAAATGGAACATAAGAAGCAGTTTTTTAGAATCAACAGACCATTTGAAGAGTAAATTCATCCTAAAAATAAAGATAGTCGCGGTTTTGAAAAAAAGTATCCCAAAAATGGCGGCATATATTCGTTATCGTGAGAGGCTAATTGTATTAAAGCTGCATGTAAGTATCAAAACGGTGTTAACGGTCACATGAACGGTGGCTTGCAAGGATATGTTGTTTATCAAAAATATATACTGCAGTTCGATTGATTTTGATTCAGATTTTTTAAATCGTATAAGTCTAAGCTTGTAGTGAATTAATACCTTCTTCAAAAAAAGGACGTCGCCAAAAATGTTATCAAAATTGCAATGCCACCATTATTTCGGATTCTGACGAATTAAATACATGCGTGTTTATTCTTGACAACACAAGGTATTTGTATATCTCATTTTTACTATGCAGAGACCTCTCACTTACGTCGAAGGTTACAAATTACAATACAAGGAATATGAAATGACAAACGCGACCACGGTCGTGATCGATTCATGGAATACAAGCAGTTACATGATAACTGGACTGATTGCCAGTCGATTCTATGAAATACAGATGAACATGTTCACTAATGGCGGCGATGGACCATGGTCAGTTCCCACAGTCGTTCACACAGATACAGGTAGAAAAATTCATGCGAATTGAGAAATGTACTTTTGAAATGAGGCATGGGCTGTATATATATAGATAGACCTAAATATGTTGACCTAAGTATTTCCAATTATAGCATCCGAAAATTAGTAAGAATTTGAGACCCCTTGAAAATCCGGAATTTTTTTAAAAGCTCTTTATTTATACTCATTCTGTACTTTATAGACCGACTAGCCTACCCTGGGCCAATATCAAGTACTTCAGACAGCTTACCGTGGAAGATTGCTGTTGGCGGTGTTGTTTTGGCCGTAGTCTTACTCCTGCTACTTTTTTCGTATATCTATTTGACCAGGAAGTCCAAACATACTGAAAGTTCAGGTGAGGTGCTGGAAAATTGTAATACAAGTAGTTTGTGTTTAAAAAACAATAACTAAATTTTGCAGTAGAGACGTTCATGTCTCACGAAATGTGCTACGTGAGATTTTGGAAATGTGCCACACCCTTTTACGTTGTCCTTGAAATTACGGGCATCTTTGCGAAATCTCCCAAATGCATGTGGTATTGAGAATATGTGGAATATTGTGGAAATTGGTCAAATACGAAAGAGTAAATTCGCTTCCTTCACGCGAAGAATATCGCTAGTTGAAAACCGGGAAACACACCATGTCAAGAGTCTCTGATTGATATAGAAGGCCTTTGTGTAACTTATCGGAATAATGCTTATCTATCGCAAATATACATTTTTGTGCCCTCGAGAAGCCAACAATATGTCTAGTATATTATATGATCTTCCTACGTTCCGCAAAGCCATACCTGCGCATTTTCAGCGAGATTCACACATGGCGACCACTACCTCTACCTATATTAGGAAACCTATTAGTACCGATCAGTTGCAACATGCATGTCTATCAAAATTATCAATCTAACCGCAACAGCGGTGGTGAAAATCATAAACCTCGCTATTGCATGAACACGTTAAATGATAGAATAAATATAGTCTATAGTACAGCTTACTTTGAATTTTTTAGGTCACAAGAGAAGGAAAAAGAAAAAGTCCCGTAACCAAGGCGGGTGAGTGTATGATGAAATACTATTGATGGAATGATAGTCCCGCCGACTGAGCCAAATATCAATATCTAGAGAATTCCTACTTGTTAAAGCTGGCTTTCATCATTTGCATCACATTTGCATCATTTGCATCACAATAAATATTGGAGAAATAAAAAACGAATTTCGCGATAATGATGCTCGTCGATAACATGCATGAAAAATAATTTGCTTTACGAAATAAACCACCCTATTCTCCAATCTTTCAGAATCTCTCATTTGTAAGTGTAATATTTAGTTAATCTAGCTCTTTCATTGGTCTTTTTAGATACGATTTTACTGATAGTATGAGCGGCGTGTCTAACGAATCAATAGGAAGCACTGAAGGAGTGTACAATGTTAACGCAGCGAATGATCACATCGATCTAGCGATGTTTGAAAATAGCTATCATACGGCTGTGGTACCTGAAAATATGTACGTTGAAAACCCAATACTTCCCACCCCTCGAGACGACAGTGACGACAGCGATGATGCCGTGAGGTTGGCCACCTTTATTGCCCGACCCAGTCCACTTCCGACGCGTCATCTGACGGATCATTGTCATCCAACCTCGAGCCACGTTAATCCAGCGTACGAAGAGGATGAATATGTTGACATATACTCAACCGAAGCCTCTCTGGCAGTAACTGGAAATGAGTTGTCTGACGAGGAGACTGGCATTTGTGCAGATGCAACAGTTGATTTAGCCAAAATGAAACGAGACAGAGAGAATCAAGATGATAATCCGCTCGAACAAGTGACGGATGATATTTTAATATAATGCAGCAATCATTCAAATGTAAATAGTTAAACACAACTAATTATTCAGTTAGCTCACTTAGCTGAGTTAGTTGAGTTAGTTGAGTACTCCTCGTGAGTCGCGACGACGAATTTTTCGTAAAATAGGAAGATTCTATTAGTTTTATAGAGAACGAATAAATAACCTCATACAAGATTGTAGTGTCAATTCTATCAGCAAACGGTATAATTATTATTTCTATGCATTTTTTAGAAGGACACTCACAATATATACGCATATTTTAGTTCAGATCAGTACTGCATGAGCATTGTATTTCTAACAAAGGAGTCACGCCCAAGTGCGCTAATATGCGAACGAAATTTGAAACTCATATTTGCAATGCTCGGCCCAAGACCATGTGGTTGTGGTTCTATAAAATAACATTTAAAGAAGCTCCGTTTGATGATCAAACTAATTTAAGGTGGCTTTTCTATGGACATAAGGTAGACGTAAGTAAAATATATTAGTTGCATGCGTCGTGGTTGAAATAATACGTTATTCAATTGACTGTTTTATATCGTCATTCGTCTAGATTCGCTGACTTCGTTATTTTCTTCCTACTCGTATTCTCGTAATGATTATTCGTTGTAATGTTCCAAGGTGTTTGCGAGTTGCGACTAACTTATTAGACAACTGTTAAAAAACGAATCCTTGACCTATAGCTGCTGAATATAGACTTTATAGTCAATCATTTCTGGAGTTGCTCACAGCTTCTTAAAAGGCGTATTTACCACAGCCAGGGAAGCCATTAATTGCAGGCCTTTGGTGCACTAATTATAATATGGACAATGGGCCGCACGAGTCGCTCCAATATATGCTGCGTTGACTATCACTCCGGTTAAGATTGAAGCGATATAGGAACCTCCTGGTGCTTTTTGAATGAATGCGAGTAAAAGTGTAAAACGTCGTTAGCGGTTGGCAGGTTGCTTAGCTCATTCCGCTCAGCCGACATCAAAAGAAGCGCGAAATTATTTTCAATGATAGGGCTCAAGTTCTTGACCGTCGTTTAGTCGTCCCGACAATAGTATCCTAATAAACATATTTTATGATTTTAAAAACTCATTTGGCATGTAAACAACACATTAAAAGCGACGAAAGTCAGGAAGATAGTAAAAGGTCTGTGTGGTAAGCGTCAGCGAACATAAATCGCCAGAAGCCAGATCCTCGACAAAAATACATGAATTAGCTATATAATTAATTTCCATCAACTTTGGAACTTGAAAATTTGGGTGGAAGGAGGGGGAAATGACTCGATCCGGAGTCCCCATGCTGCATTGCCTTGGACCAATATTTATTTTCCGCTGACAACAATTGAAGTTATTCGGACAACAACCCAAAGATGTAAATATGCACTGTAAATGATGATTTTAAAACACTGCAAAGTTTCAATAAACGTAACACCTATTAAGTGTGTTAAATAGCTTTTATTTATACGCGATATCCATATCTACCTAAACGCAAATAAGTAAATTATGCTCTACATATAGGTACGCTTTTCCATTATTGAAGCCGCTATTGATTTACCTTATAGAGAATTGCATGGAATTCGTGTTTTACATGACACGATGCCGTTTTTATTTGAAAACGGGTATTAAATTATGCCGTCTTAGCCTTGCGTTTACACGATACCGGAAAAATTGAAAAGGAAACGGCACAAAATGAAAACGTAGTCGTTATCGGCGAAGTACGAAAACGGAACACTAACCAGTACCGATATAAACGCGTGTGCATGCCATTAATTTTTACGACGGATTGATCACGGAGAAATGATTTCATCCAATTTAGATGCTTGTCCGCAGCTCTTTTCATTAATATAATTTTGATAATTTTAACAACATAGCTGTATATAGCTACGGCCAAGCGGGAAAACTTTCTTGCCCTGGAAGAATGATAAGATTATGACTAAAGGCTGTTTTCCACTTACGCGTTTTTCATACGCACGTACACGTCGCATGTAGAAGTCTAAATCCTTATACATGTTACCTTTGAAAAAAGTGAGTGAATAAATCGAAGGAACGTAGTTTTCTGCATATTTTTTTTATGCATTATTTGACCTAGATGTTAAATAATAAAAATTCAAAAGCAATTAAAATTTTCCGTACGTGTACGTGAGTGGAAAGCAGCCTTAAATGACTTATTAGTAATTAATCCATGTAAAATTATCAGGCTGACCTTCGGTAGGTGTTCTCTCTCTACTAGCTTTTTTCGGTGACATGTTTTCTGGCAGCGATATTCTTGTTTAAAATCTTAGTGGAAAAGAAATGCCACATGACAAACAATTATGATATGTTGTACCGGCCTCGGTACCGGCATCGTGTAAACGCGACCACTAAGCGGAACATTTTCGAACCGCTGCAATTTTTTCAAATCAAATGCGGCATTTTAGTCAATCAATTCCAATTCGCAACCATACAAAAAAGAATGAAAACACTTTTTTATCGAACGCTCCGTATACGTAGGGATTAATGACCAATGTTCCGAAAACTCTCAAGACATTAAACCAAGAAGACATACTGCCAGAAATTTCGCTGGAGGTGGTCGCAGGAATCATCCATGCAACTTGACTTGGACCTGCGGAGATTGCGAAACATATGACAATGATAAAGCAAACCAGAAACGTCTTTCTATTCTGACGTGGGCCGTGTTGTCGAAGTTTATGTTCATTCACTATCTTTGATTGTATGACAAGCGTCTTACATATTTTGAAATAAACAACAGATAGGAAGGCAACAGGCATTAGATATTGAACGATCGCCAGAAATACCGTGTAGACGATGTTAAGAGATTGAAAAGGCCATTGCTCGTAACATATACTCGCTCCTTGACTTTCATCAAACGTTAGGACTAGTGCATATGGGATGATACAAAGTACTGCGATGAGGTAGATAGAAGCTGAATAAATCTTCAACATTTTCCGGCTAATAGGAGGCTTGAATGGCTGCACAATCGCACGGTAGCGAGACACAGAAATGAGGACCAGAAAATAAACTCCGGCGATGAAACACGATGTGTATGTGGGTGACCAGATCTTGCACAAAATACGAGAGCTCGAAGAAACTTCTGTGTTATCATTGAAAACGGTATAGATATCACCTATGAAAAATATTAGTTGCACTAGGTCGCAAATTGCCAGATGAAGAAGGAGATAATAGTGGCTATTTCTGAGCAGGTTGCGTGTTTTACATATGGACACGATGACGGCAGTGTTACCAGGAACACCAAGCAAAACAGCCAATATTGAAAAGAAACCTATTGCGATGGCTTGTGCGTCAGCTGCCATTGCTGTTCTATTTGGATGATTTGGCAAATGGAACGTTTTCTTAATAGCTACGTGAGTACGTTTTTTTTTCCGAAACCGTTACCATGGTAAATTATATTTGTGTAAACTATATACTTTCTTGTGATGGGAGATTAAATTTTAGGCACCTGCTTTAAGATCGTATATAGTCATAACGTAATAGCTAAAGGCACGGAATTTTGTGTTGGATAATTCGTCACACGATAAAATCGTGCCTTAGCTATTGGCAGAAACGTTTTTGCCAGATTTTGTGATGTAGCATTTTTCCGAAGTGATAAAATATTTTATTGCATGAAATGGAAAAAGCATAGCATTTTTCCTTTTTTTAATATCAATATACGAAGTCAACACTAGCTATACTAGCAGGACGTTTATCCCTTTATCATACGACGTGGCCAGCTCGACGTCGCGCGTGCCGTGCAAAAGAATATTTAAAGGCTCACACAAACAGCACGCGAATTGGCAACGCGAATTTTCAACGTTTTTTATTTTTCAAAATCAAATTAATTTTAATCTATCCTAATATTCTTGTAATTACATAAAAGGTACAAAGTTGTCCCACGACAGCGTTGCGATTCTTATAACACCTTCAGGTGAGGCATTTTCACAGCTTCCCGACGCTTTTGAAACCATGCAGTTGCAACGCATAACTGGGCGGCTGTGGTTTATTTAGGAATTAAACTGACGAATCGCATTCTGTTTTTATATACTTAATATAATGGACACGATGCGGAAATGTTGGAAAATGTTATAATACGAGATTGAGAAGATGGAAAACGTTTGTGGTCGAGATTAATTTCCCTTACATATGATGTGGACCAATGCATAATAAATTAACTTAAACTGTTTAAATTAATAATTTAAAATTGACCAATCCTAGAATAGTACCGCCTGGGCAGGTTGCTGGGCAGGCTGGACTCTCAAGTTGATTTAATAAAACCAACTTGAAGCGTCGAATGCTTAGTTAAGATTCTTGATTATTTGTTCGTTTATGGTATTTAGTTGTTAATTGCTAAATTGGTGTTTAGTTTAATACTCATGCACCAGTGCACCTGTATTTTAAAACGAAGTAAAATTTATTTTCTTCCATCTTAGACTCGCTATAATCAATATTTCATAAATCTAAAATAGATTAGGTAAAGTCAAAGGAGTTACAGTAACATCTTGCAGCTCACTTTCCCCAGTCAAGAGCTTTAACAAACTCGTCTTCTGTGAAAGAAAGCATCCGCGCCGCTTCGATATGCATCTGAAATGAAAAATCAAATGATGTAAAATCAATACAAAAAATTATTGATGTGTGGAATATTTCTGTTCTGTTGGTAATAATTCTATTGTGAAGGTGTTAGTTATAGTTAGCTCTATATATTTTCGAGTACAGGGCCAATAAAATCACTATAACCGCCGTATCAGTGAATCGTTAAAAGAACTTATATAACAGGTTATAAAACCTATAGAGACGTTTATGTCTCACGAAGTGTGCTATTTTGGGAATGTGCCACACCCTTTTACGTTGTCCTTGAAATTACGGGCGTCTTTGCGAAATCTCCCAAATGCATGTGATATTGAGAATATGTGAAATATTGTGGAAATTCGTCAAATTGCCCTCAGCTAATAATACTACAGCTTACTTTGAATTTTTTAGGTCACAAGAGAAGGAAAAAGAAAAAGTCCCGTAACCAAGGCGGGTGAGTGTAAGATGTAATGCACGCTATCGATAGAATGATAGTCCCGCCGACTGAGCCAAATTTCAATATCTAGATAATTCCTACTTGCTAAAGCTGGCTTTCATCATTTGGATAACTTGGCCATAAATATTGGAGGAATAAAAAACAAAATTCGCGATAATGTTCGTCGATAACATGCATGAAAAATAATTTGCTTTAGTTTCAATACGAAATAAACCACCCTATTTTCAAATCTTTCAGAATCTCTCATTTGTAAATGTAATATTTAGTTAATCTCGCTCTTTCATTGGTCTTTTTAGACACGATTTTACTGATAGTATGAGCGGCGTGTCTAACGAATCAATAGGAAGCACTGAAGGAGTATACAATGTTAACGCAGCGAATGATCACATCGATCTAGCGATGTTTGAAAATAGCTATCATACGGCTGTGGTACCTGAAAATATGTACGTTGAAAACCCAATACTTCCCACCCCTCGAAACAACAGTGACGACAGCGATGAAGCCGTGAGGTTGGCCACCTTTATTGCCCGACCCAGTCCACTTCCGACACGTCATCTGACGGATCATTGCAATTGTCATCCAACCTCGAGCCACGTTAATCCAGCGTACGAAGAGGATGAATATGTTGACATATACTCAACCGAAGCCGCTCTGGCAGTAACTGGAAATGAGCTGTCTGACGAGAAGACTGGCATTTGCGCGGATGCAACAGTTGATTTAGCCAAAATGAAACGAGACAGAGAGAATCAAGATGATAATCCGCTCGAACAAGTGACAGATGATATTTTAATATAACGCAGCAATCATTCAAATGTAAATAGTTAAACACAACTAATTATTCAGTTAGCTGAGTTAGTTGAGTACTCCTCGTGAGTCGCGACGACGAATATTTCGTAAAATAGGAAGATTCTATTAGTTTTATAGAGAACGAATAAATAACCTCAGACAAGATTGTAGTGTCAATTCTATCAGCAAACGGTATAATTATTATTTCTATGCATTTTTTAGAAGGACACTCACAATATATACGCACAATTTAGTTCAGCTCAGTATTGCATGACCATTGTAATTATAACAATAGGAGTCACGCCCAAGTGCGCTAATATGCGAACGAAATTTGAAACTCATGATCATATTTGCAATGCTCGGCCCAAGACCATGTGGTTGTGGTTCTATAAAATAACATTATTTTAAATTTAAAGAAGCTCCATTTGATGATCAAACTAATTTAAGATGGCTTTTCTAAGGTAGACGTAAGTAAAATATATTAGCTACATGTGTCGTGGTTGAAATAATACGTTATTCAATTGACTGTTTTATATCGTCATTCGTCTAGATTCGCTGACTTCGTTATTTTCTTCCCACTTGTATTCTCGTAATGATTATTCGTTGTATAATTTCGATTAACGATTTCAACTTGATATGTATGTATGGAATTAAGTTTAAAAAAAACGCAAGATGACCTTGCTCTTCTTCTACGCGGCAGCAACACATCGTACTGTGATAGACGCCATTGCCCAGCAGTGCGATTGCCCAAGGTGTTTGCGAGTTGCGACTAACTTATTAGACAACTGTTAAAAAACGAATTCTTGACCTGTAGCTGCTGAATATAGTCAGTCATTTCTGGAGTCGCTCACAGCTTCTTAGAAGGCGTATTTACCACAGCCAGGGAAGCCATTAATTGCAGGTCTTTGGTGCACTAATTATAATATGGACAATGGGCCGCACGAGTCGCTCCGATATATGCTGCGTTGACTATCACTCCGGTTAAGATTGAAGCGATATAGAAACCTCCTGGTGCTCTTTGAATGAATGCGAGTAAAAGTGTAAAACGTCGTTAGCGGTTGGCAGGTTGCTTAGTTCATTCCGCTCAGCCAACATCAAAAGAAGTGCGAAATTATTTTCAATGATAGGGCCCAAGTATCAATAATAGTACAATAATATCCTAATAAACATATTTTATGATTTTAAAAACTCAAAATCCATTTGGCATGTAAACACCACATTAAAAGCAAAAAAAGTGAGAAAGATAGTGAAAGGTCTGTGTGGTATAAGCGTCAGCGAACATAAATTTCCAGAAGCCAGATCCTCGACAAAAATACATGAATTAGGCTATTAGCTATATAATTTCCATCAACTTCGGAACTTGAAAATTTGGTTGGAAGGAGGGGAAAATGACTCGATCCGGATTCCCCAATACTGCATTGCCTTCCAAGGACCAATATTTATTTTCCGCTGACAACAATTGAAGTTATTCGGGCAACAACCCAAAGATGTAAATATGCACTCTAAATGATGATTTTAAAACACTGCAAAGTTAGAGTTTTCAATAAACGTAACACCTATTAAGTAGCTTTTATTTATACGCGATGTAGTAGGATCATTACAATGTTTGAAACTACTGTTCTTAACGTTTGTGTTAACGATGCTTTTTCTCACCTTATGGTTGAGGGCATTTGCACAAGTCATCAACTAACTAGTCGAGTTGGTCTTTTGCTCAATTCATCAACACTCAACTCTATTGTCTCTATTGCATGAGGGGAGGGAGAAATATTTAATATATTTTTTTAAATATTTTTTGTCTCAGCTTATTCAAAACATCCTCCCCCAAAGTAAAGAGTATGCATATTTAAATTGTGAGAACCATGATCAATATCTGGTAAAATTTTCGAACATTACCTCTGCATGTGAATCATATTTTACTTAAACCAAATACACTAATAATTTCAACTATAATTAAGCTTTTTGTGACGTAATGTTTAAAATGCTCGACCGCGCGGAAAATTTTCATGCGAATGACTGATGGTGGATAGGTATAGGTATAGGTAGGTAGGTAAAACTTTATTTAAAACCAAGAAACACGCTAGCCCCATCAATTATTAACATGCACGTACAAGAGCTTGCAGCTGGCAGCTGCCTACAGCTCGCTTGTTTTTGAGGTTAAAATTTGGCTTTGCTTCGGCCCTTAAGATACGCAAACTTTACATATCTACCTAAACGCAAATAAGCAAATTATGCTCTATATATAGGTAAGCTTTTCCATTATTGAAGCCGCTATTATAGACTCCTTTTACACGATGCCGTTTTCATTTGAAAACGGTATTAAATTATGCCGTCTCACCCTTGCGTTTACACGATACCGGCAAAAATTGAAACGGAAACGGCACAAAAGGAAGACGTAGTCCTTATCGGCGAAGTACGAAAACGGAAAACTAACCAGTACCGATGTAAACGCGCATGCCGTTAATTTTTACGACGGATTGATGAGAGAAATGTCTGCAGCTCTTTTCATTAATATAATTTTGATAATTTTAACAACACATAGCTGTGTATACAGCCAAACTCTCCTGTCCTGGGAGAATGGTAAGATTATGACTAAATGACTATATATTCGCAATAAATCCGCTCCATGTAAAATTATCAGGCTGTGCTTCGATGTTCTCTCTCTACTTGCTCTTTTCGGTGTCATGTTTTCTGGCAGCGATATTCTTGTTTAAAATCTTATTGGAGAAAGAATGAAAATACTTTTTTATCGAACGCTCCATATACGTAGGGATTAATGACCGATGCTCCGAAAACTCTCAAGACATTGAACGGTAAGGACCATGAAATATAGCCAGGAGTTTCGCTGGAGGTGATCACAGAAATCATCCATGCAACTTGGGCTGGACCTGCGGAGATTGTGAAACATATGACAATGATACAGCAAACCAGAAACGTCTTTCTATTCTGACGTGGGCCGTTGCTTTGTTTTCGAAGTTTATGTCCATTCACCATCTTGGATTGTATGACAAGCGTCTTACATATTTTGAAGTAAACAACAGATAGGAAGGCAACAGGCATTAGATATTGAACGACCGCCAGAAATACCGTGTAGACGATGTTAAGAGATTGAAAAGGCCATTGCTCGTAACATATACTCGCTCCTTGACTTTCATCAAACGTTAGGACTATTGCATATGGGATGATACAAAGTACTGCAATGATGTAGACAAAAGCTGAATAGATCTTCAACATTTTCCGGCTAATAGGAGGCTTGAATGGCTGCACAATCGCACGGTAGCGGGACACAGAAATGAGGACCAGAAAATAAACTCCGGCGATGAAACATGATGTGTATGTGGGTGACCAGATCTTGCACAAAATATGGGAATTCGAAGAAACGCCTGTGTTATTGAAAACGGTATAGATATCGTCTATGAAGAATATTAGATGCACTAGGTCGCAAATTGCCAGATGAAGAAGGAGATAATAGTGGTTATTTCTGAGCAGGTTGCGTGTTCTACATATGGACACGATGACGGCAGTGTTACCAGGAACACCAAGCAAAACGGCCAATATTGAACAGAAACCTATTGCGATGGCTTGTGCATCTACTGCCATTGTTGTTCGTTTAAATTTTCATGAGTGCCTGCTTTGCCGACGCTGTTATTAAACTTCAGGTGAAAATGCAGGAGCTTAAATAATGAACTACTACTTATATATACACCTGTTGGCAAATATAATTGTGCCTTAATATTTACTGCCAATAATATTTTAACCAAATTCTATAGCGTGTCATTTTTCCAAAGTGTTAAAATATTTTATTGTATGAGACAAAAAATATTTTATTTTATCGCACATTTTCTCTTGTTTTCGTGACGTGAAGACGATGTCCATTGTAACTACTTATCAGGAAGTTTACCACTGGCTTACGACGGGGTCAGCTAGACGACGCGCTGCCGATATTGCTGGCAATACAATAGATTTCCACACGCGATCGAGAAGAGAGGTACAACGAACTTAATGTTGTCACGCGACAGCGTTTTGATTCTTGTAAAACCTTCAGTCTTCAGACGAGGCCATTCCACGGCTTCCCGCGACGCTGTATGAAATCATGCAACTGCAACGCATAGGAGCTGTTTTATTTTAGAATTGAACGCACGAATAATCGCGAGAATGTTGGGACAATATATTAGAGAAGAGGAAGCTTGTAAGTGCCCTCTAATATGATATGGATAGACTGGTTCATGTCACGCGACAGCGTTTTGATTCTTGTAAAACCTTCAGACGAGGCCATTCCACGGCTTCCCGCGACGCTGTATGAAATCATGCAACTGCAACGCATAGGAGCTGTTTTATTTTAGAATTGAACGCACGAATAATCGCGAGAATGTTGGGAGAATATATTAGAGAAGAGGAAGCTTGTAAGTGCCCTCTAATATGATAAGGATAGACTGGTGCATCATTATTATTACCGGTGTAATATTACACTGCCCCGGTTTCGGTGCATTATTATTTAATAAAATGATCGATTCTAGAATAATACTTGAAGCACTCATCAATGAAATGTTTCTTGAAAATGTTCAATGCTTAAGATGGTTGAAGTTATTTGTTCGTTTATGGTAGTTGTTTTCTTTGCTAATCTAAACGACATAAATTCGGTCCTTGTAGTGTTCACATGGATGGTTTGTTGGCTTTTAACCCTTCACCGATATTTTATTAATTTCTGATTAATTTCATTCATTAAGTTTCTTGAGATGGCTATCATACTGTTTCTGTATATATATTTGTGCCATCTATCAACAAAATAATTAACAGTTATCAAATGAGCCTGAGCAAGATATCTAGGATCAGCCTTAAGCCTGGTTTCCATATGACGCCGACTTCGGTAAAGTATTATTGTCGGTGATTATTGATGAGTGAAATCTTTTGTCTTTCTGAAATCATTTTCTCCATGGATGATTACAGACAATGAGTCGGCGACAGGTCGGCGTCATTATGGAAACCAGGCTTTACCTTAGGAAATCGTGAATTCTGGTCGGAAGAAGAACAACGGTAACTCAACGAGTCAACAAAATTGGCTATTTTCCAATCGAGCAGGGCACTGGGTCAAGTCGCGAAACACAAAGCATCTATGGACTGTCTGGAGGGACAAATGATTTCAGATTTATACTTCCTGTCCCTCTAAACATTCCATAGGTGCTTTGCGGTTCGCGACTATACCAAACACATTTTTATCGAACGCTCCGTATATCTAGGGATTAATGACCGATGCTCCAAAAACACTCAGGACATTAAACCAAGAAGACATATTGCCAGAAACTTCGCTGGAGGTGATTGCAGAAATCATCCATGCAACTTGGGTTGGAAATGCGGAGATTGTGAAACATATGACAATATTACAGCATTTTTACTCGGCTCAATCGCAATCGGCAACCAAAAAAGAACGAAAACACTTTATTATCGAACGCTCCGTATACGTAGGGATTAATGACCGATGCTCCGAAAACTCTCAAGACATTGAACGGTTTGAACCATGAAATATAGCCAGAAGTTTCACTGGAGGTGATCGCTGAAATCATCCATGCAACTTGGGTTGGAAATGCGGAGATTGTGAAACATATGACAATAATACAGCAAACCAGAAACGTCTTTCGATTCTTGCGTGGGCCGTTGCTTTGTTGTCGAAGTTTATGTCCATTCACTATCTTGGATTGTATGACGAGCTTCTTACATATTTTAAAGTAAACAACAGATAGAAAGGCGACAGGCATTAGATATTGAACGACCGCCAGAAATACCGTGTAGACGATGTTAAGAGATTGAAAAGGCCATTGCTCGTAACATATACTCGCTCCTTGACTTTCATCAAACTTTAGGACTAGTGCATATGGGATGATACAAAGTACTGCGATGATGTAGACAGAAGCTGAATAGATCTTCAACAGTTTCCGGCTAATAGGAGGCTTGAATGGCTGCACAATCGCGCGGTAGCGAGACACGGAAATGAGGACCAGAAAATAAACTCCGGCGATGAAACATGATGTGTATGTGGGCGACCAGATCTTGCACAAAATACGGGAATTCGAAGAAACGCCTGTGTTATTGAAAACGGTATAGATATCGTCTATGAAGAATATTAGATGCACTAGGTCGCAAATTGCCAGATGAAGAAGGAGATAATAGTGGTTATTTCTGAGCAGGTTGCGTGTTCTACATATGGATACGATGACGGCAGTGTTACCAGGAACACCAAGCAAAACGGCCAATATTGAAAAGAAACCTATCGCGATGGCTTGTGCATCAGCTGCCATTGCTGCTCTATTTGGAATTTGGCAAATGGAACATTTTCTTAATACGTGAGTACGTTTTTTTTTGCTGAAACCGTTACTATGGTAAATTATTATTTCTGTAAACTATAGCCCAATTTTTTGTGATGGGAGCTTAAATTTTAGGCACCTGCTTTAAGATCGTATAGTCATAACATAATAGCTAAAGGCACGAAATTTTGTGCAGGAAAATTTGTCACACGATAAAATCGTGCCTTATTGGCAGAAAGGTTTCTGCCAAATTTTGTAGCATTTTCTTAAAGTGATAAATATTTCATTGCATGAAACGGAAAAAGCATAGCATTTTTCCTTTTTGCAATATCAATACGAAGTCAATACTAGCTATATACTAACTAGCAGGACGTTTACCCCTTTATCATGCGACGTGGTCAGCTCGACGTCGCGCGTGCCGGCAAAAGAATACTTAACGCGAGACAAAATATACAATGTTGTCCCACGACAGCGTTGCGATTCTTATAACACCTTCAGGTGAGGCATTTTCACAGCTTCCCGACGCTTTTGAAACCATGCAGTTGCAGCGCATAAGACAGCTGTGGTCGAATCGCATTCTGTTTTATTTACTTAATATAATGGACACGATGCGGAAATGTTGGGAAATGTTTTAATACGAGATTGAGTAGATTGAAAACGTTTGTGGTCGAGATTAATTTCCCTTACATATGATGTGAACAATGGATAATAGATTTTAACTTAAGCTGTTTAAATTAATAATTTAAAATTGACCAATCCTAGAATAGTACCGCCTGGACGGGCTGGGCTCTTAAGTTGATTTAATGAAACTAACGTGAAGCGTCGAATGCTTAGTTATTCTTGATTATTTGTTCGTTTATGGCAATTAGTTGTTAATTGCTAAATTTGTGTTTAGTGTAATACTCATGCACCAGCGCACCTGCATGTATTTTAAAATGAAGTAAAATTTATTTTCTTCCATCTTAGACTCGCTATAATCAATATTTCATAAATCTAAAATATATTAGGTAAAGTCAAAGGTGTTAGAGTAACATCTTGCAGCTCACTTTCCCCAGTCAAGAGCTTTAACAAACTCGTCTTCTGTGAAAGAAAGCATCCGCGCCGCTTCGATATGCATCTGAAATGAAAAATCAAATGTTGTAAAATCAATACAAAAAATTATTGATGTGTGGAATATTTCTGTTCTGTTGGTAATAATTATATTGTGAAGCTGTTATAGTTATAGTTAGTTCTATATTTTTTCGAGTACAAGGCCAACAAAATCACTATAACTGCCGTATCAGTGAATCGTTTAATGAACTTATTTGACAGGTTATAAAACCTATTTGACATACCCTCGATGGCGCATGCAGAATGCCGTAATTAAGACTATAGGGGCAACTATTCCGCTCGGATATTAATTTCACTCGAGCATTAATATTCACATGAATTTACCTGTAGAAAGGCAAGAGGCAAGGAAAGCAATTAAGCAAAGATGACCAACCTTCTGTCGTTTGAGAATATCAATGAGTTTCATCTGTTTCTTAAAAGCGGTCATTAGTTCGGATTTCTGTTTTTCTAATCTTTTGTTTTCTGCTACCAATTGTTCAGTACGCCGTTTCTCCTGTTCGTTGCTATCCTGCAAGAAATGGAAATTTTGCCTGCTTTATGTACTTTTATTTGCAATTTAAGGCTATATGTACACACAGTGCATGTCGTTTTATAGTAAGAAATATATATATAGCTACAAGCAAATTTACATCTGCAGGAAAACACTGAACATGCAGTAGGTGAATTTGCATGTCGCATTCTTTCTGTACCCATTTGTCGGCTAATATCGCAGGAAAAAATTATAAGAGGAAAAGCGAACGGCTGAATTGTATAGCAATATTAAGGTTAAAACTAGAATCGTGTTTCTTGCGTGTCAAAAAACTTGATAGGTTGAAATCGCAGTACTATGTTGATACGTGTGCTCAAAAAATAATCCTGACAACGCAGAGTTTGTCAGCCGTACCTTAGATGACGTTTTCGCTTTCTGCATTGCTGATTTATACTTCTCAACTTCTTCTAAAGCTCTATTCAGCCTAAAAAAACATTCACAAGTACTAAACGACTTTTCTTGCTATACCCGCATGATGTATAGCATCTGGTTATCATTATAGCTACCTGTGAGGCACGTTATGTATATTTTGCTCTTGGACATATTCTAATCAGCTAGGCTTTATAGATTTTAACAAATATGATATAATGTTGGTAAATACGACGTTTCAAAAAAAAAGACGTTCGCAATAATTTGAGTTTTCAATTGAGGTACAAATTATTTCATATTCTGTAAAAAAGGTTTCATTATAACATCTCAGTCCATGCATACATCTCATTTTGTGCATACACAAAAGAGGAATATCCTGTGGTTGAAAATCATACCTGACTTCAATAGCATTTTTCGTGACAGCAGCTTGCTTTTGGTCCCTTTGAACGTTATCCAACTCCTTCAAGCGAAAGGAAAAAAATCAGACATTTAAAATCATCGTAGCTATATTAATTGTTACGGCTAGAAAATCTGGTATATTGACCATTTTAGTCTTACAGCCACGCCCATGCATATAATCCTGTTATCCATTCCATAATGGATTTCGTGAAATGTATTAATCCATTGGTTGATTTGGTTCCACGCACAGAGAATACATGCATGATATATAACTATCATGAGAAATCTGTCATTTGAGAAAACATTTGAGGAACTCTATTTTCGAGAACATCGATATGAACACCGCTCAAGAAACATTGCCCATTTAGAAATGAAACGGAGATTGGTTGATCAATAAAAATACCGTTACAGAAGATAAAAAAATAGATAATTAGAAATCGCTGATCAACATTCTCTGGAACACCTCTATATCGCCGCGATTTAAATATACGTGTAATAATAAAATGAATACCTTTCGCAATGAAACTAACTGTGCTTCGAGTCCTTCTGACTTCTGTTTCGTATCTTCGTAAAGTTTTTTGTATTTATCACTTTGTGTCTGAAGGTAAAAATGACAGATCCATGGTATTCAAAGAAAGGTGCAAATTCAAACACAAAATTTTCAATATTCATGTCACATGCGTCATGTTTATTAGCACTAAATTTTGCAGATACATTATTTAAAACGTAGACTCTAGCTTGCCGTAGTGTAAATCAATCGATCAATTAATCAATCAATCAATCAATCAAAAGAACACACTTGTAAACTTTGGTTTGTTTTTTGAATTCTTTGCTGCTCGTCTTTGAGCTCTTTTGTTTTCTGTTCACCTGCAGCAAGTTTCTCGTCCTGAAATAATTGAAAGAAATAACTAGATTCAATAGAACTACATGTTAATATTTCAATGTAATTTAATAATATATCTCAACATGCACCTACGTACATACATATGCATGCATATGATAGTCCAAAGAAGTCAAACGACCACAAAAACCTTTTTACTAGAGTGGGCAGCTTTCTTCATTTAGGGAATGGAAAATTTTAATATTTGGGACCTTTGTTATTAGATGGGTGCTAATTTATATCGGCTGCAGGTACAAGTTATTTTGAAGTACATGTATGAGTTGGTGAAGCTTAGCTATATATTAATTGGGGTTACCCACTCGAACTCAAACTATTGTATACCAGGCTAACGTTTCATGCATTCGGTGACATCGAATGAATATCAAATTTAATAATACACATGCTAAGGCAAGAGTACGCATCAGATGTTATATATGGCATTACCTTAGATATCGACTCGGTGGATATTCTATCCAGTTCTTCCTGCATGACTCTAATTTTTGCTTTTAAAAATCTAGTGACGGCCTCTAAACAACCAAAAAATTTTATGCAAACCTTTGCATTTTATTTTAAATCACTGCATCTATGCCTTACTTTATCACCATGGAACACGTTACCTATCACAGCCTATTCAAATTAGGTGTTTTTCACCATGCAGGGTGTTTTCGGTGCTCCGGTATACTTACCAGAACTCAAATCTTCATTCGCCTCAGGTAATATATCTTCAGTGACAGAAGATCTATATTGACTGTCCTCTGCTGTTTCATCCTCCAGTACACTGATTGTGTTAGCAAATTGTATCCGATCGTCCAGAAGGTTTTCTAGCTTCATTATATCTTCAATAGAGCTTCCATCATTATCAGCAGACTTCTTGCTTTTTGCCAGATTTTTGCCTTCACCTGCGGAATGTGCACTTTTTGGCTTGTTTCTACAGAAAGAACGTTTTTGGTCGACCTTGTCAAGAAATCGAGAAATGACATTCCCGGGACGCCAGTTTGGAAAATATTACGAGACATTGCTTTTAGCCCCATGCAGCTATATTTTCCCCTTGACTGACTAGCCTCCGTATAATCATTAGAATCTAGCAAAATACTGAGTGTGTTTTACAGATACATGCAATGTATTTGTTCACGTTTTCAAATTCTTTACTTAATATAATAATTTATTCACCTTGGTGTTCTAGTCTTGGACGATAATGGTCGCTTAGTTTCCTTGGCTGAAGAAGGTCTCACTTTTGGCTAAGCAGTGAAAACATGACAAATGAAAAGAACAATCCTACTAAAATAATTATACTGCGTATGTCCATTATCCTTTTTGAAAAATAATCAAAGGAAGAAATAACAAGGTAAGTTGCTTATATAAACGTATAACTATAATGTTAAATGCATTTTTCATGTACATAATCTCAGTAGTCTGATGTATTAATTTGGAGGATTGTTTAAAATGCATCCATCCTCTTTCAGCGTCATGACTCCTGCGTGCTGCTTTAGAGAAGACAACGAATGCCATGAAATTGGAACCCGTGAGGTGAGGCATCGCATGAACTGAATGCTTAGTTTGGTGCTATATAACTAAACAAGCATTATACTGAACCTTGCTTCCTTCTTTGTTGGAAATAGGCACGTTCTCAGTTAAGCTTTCACTAAATGGACATGATTGCGGTTTAAATAATGGATATACAATAAAAAAAATTGCTTAACATAATTCGGACAACTTGGTATATTTTACACCTTATATCAGCTTCATAGTTATCAACACTGATCGGTTTGGACAGCAATTGCTCCTGGTCTTGCTAAATTAAGAGAGTAAACATAGTTACAAAGATTATGCCAGCTTAAGATAACTTTAATAACTAATAACGTGAAGAGATATAAAGGAAGCAACAATACTCATGCTCAGAATTTCATTACAGAAAAACGTTCTCAAGGTTGATAAAGCTACCGGTTGATGAAGCAATGTTGTGCTGCACCAAACGAAGATTGTTGTTATCAAGTTGTTGAAGCCTATAATGAATTCTGCAACTTGAAAAAAACCATGTTCGTTGGATGCACCGACGAATGTCATGAAATAATTGAAATTGGAACCCGAGGTGATGCAGCACAACAATGTTTCATCAACTGGAAACAATTACTTGAGCATATCTAACCAAAGATTTTACCCATAAACGTATTTAATGATATCGTTTTCGGTTAACGAGACCGTCATTCGATCATCTTATATAGACCATCCGCTTGAGTATATCGCACCTGTATGACCGGTACTTACCAAAACATCCTCTGCCTCTTTAATTAAACTGGCTGTTTTTGCCTCAAGCTCTGCATTTAGTTTACTGAAAAGTTAAAGACGTCTGTTTATTTAAAATATCGTAAATCATTAACCCAAAAGGAATAAACACCAATTAAGTCTGCATGCAATATACACAAAAGATGTAATTGTGGAGAATGTCATACAGTGTCAACCAGTTACATTAGTCATTGTGCAATCAAATGGCGATAAAGTTTACCACTGAATATATAGCAATAATATATAACATGGATGTTGTTTGTCAGTTGAAGAAATTCATCTTCATTAACTTGAGTAAGTAAACATTTGTCAAAATTGCAAAAAAGGCGTGTCTTGTTCAGTCATTCTAAAGAAGATAGTGGTTCGATCACTCAGTCAGGGTTATAAAAATTTTTATTATTATCGAGAAATTTTCTTAATTTTGGGTTAGTTAATTTTGGGTCACTATAAGTTTGAGTATATTTGAGCTGAACTTGAGTGCCATAACTTACAGATATTCTTCTTCTTTGCTAAAAATATTAGTTTTCGAATTTCCTGATGGTGGTCTAGAATTTTTCCCATTAGAACTAGAAGCACTCTTTCCTCTTGAAGAAGATTTAGGCCGTTGTAATGAAGACGAACTTGGTCGGGATGCCTTAAAAAGACGTATAGTTTTTTATTAGATAGTCGCTGTCATTTGCACTGAGTGAATTGATTGTCGGTGTATAGGGCCGGACGGTTTATCACAAGAAAGAATTAAACTACAGTAATATATTTCTCGACCTCGTACCCAGAATATTTCTTTTTCGACCGCACGATGGCACCGTGCATGCGAACGAGGTTGGGAAAACATACATTTAGAGGAAGCATAAAAACAAGACCCGTTGATCGATTACACGCAGCTTATTACGCTATTTTTTGAAATTATGAATCTTTCTCATGCACTAGCCCTGCTTCTCGAGCTTCTCATAATCTGTTGGGAAAAATTAATAAGCTGAAAGCCTCAAAATACATTTAATTTGAGGTACCAGTTTTGTGGAGGTAGTCTATATGAACAGAAATCGATACAGATTATTCGTAGATAATTCTGAAGACATAAACATGTCTTTTCTGGAGACTGGAGTGGCCATCAGATTAGATATAATATATAACAGTGTTAAGCCCGTTTTTGCTTCGCATGCGGGAATTCCAGTGGAAAACGGGCTTTACTGCTTTAGTCTGCTAGTTTCTGATTGGTTGAGCAAAAACAAAATGGCGGACCGTTTTTCTGACAAAGCTGCACAACCTCTGAAGAGTGGTAAGTGAAACGTTCAAGGCCACAAAAACGTCAAAACCCCTAGTTTTTTTCCATGTTAAATTTGCCTATATATATATAACTATCAAAATGTTGCAATATATCAATGCCATATATCAATTATATCATAAAAAATTATTACTCTGAAAACTTATGTAAGATTGAGAGAACAGAAACCTGGCCTTCTACAAACTAAATGGCTTTTTACAATTTAGAAAATATCCTGATTTGCTTTATAAAGTATTGTACATTTGAGATGAACGACAAAATTTTTCATTGCAGCAATGTTTTGACTTTACAATAAGCTGGTCATTTATTTTGGATGCTAATTAATTGCTCTTGTGCTGATCACATCAAGTTATAGCTGACAAAGTTTAGTATTTTTCTATTAAAAAAACCTCAGACATCGAGGAAGCAATTAAGGTAAAGATTTTGAATTATCGCATAGTTGTAATGTCCATCTAGCTGTTGCAATTGTTTATCAACAATTATCAAAAGAACCAAACATGCCAACATGTATGACAGCTTGTCATTTTGCACAGACATATTTTATGTAAGGGTGTTAATTCCATGTAAAATACCTTTATCCATCTATTTATCTATCTTCAACTATCTAAACAATCAAACATACCAACAAAATTATACGAAAGTTGGTCAATTTGTTCAGATATTGAAATTTTATGTAAAGGTGCATTTCATGTGAATGTTTCCCTCAATATTAACCAAATCCAAGATCCTCAATACTAATACATCAGAAATTTTTCAATTTAATCCAAAATATGTAAGATAGCTGGCTAATCTAAGTGGTCTTTTGCCTTATTATAGTATACTAAAAGAAAATGCTATACCTCTATGCCTAGAATAACCCTAACACAATACTAGAGGTTTTCTGAATTTGCCACTGTACTGTCTGTACATTGAACAGACCTTTGAAGCTATCCTCTTTGAAATGTTTGACAATTAAGCTATATCCACACTCCACAGGGTCACAGAATACCTATCAGAAGTAGAACTCCTGTACTTTTTTCGTAAGTGTGATTCGTCATGATTCGTCACTTGGCAAGTGCATATTTTTGAGGTAGTCAGCCCCCTGCCAGTACTAAAAATGCGCTGATTTTAGACATTGGCAGGGGGGTGACAGCCTCAAAAAAATGCACTTGCTAAGTGACGAATCATGATGAATCACACTTGCGAAAAAATAGTATAGAGTTATTCTTCTGATAGGTATTCTGTGACAGGGTGGAAATAATATGTTTAATGCCATGGGATAATACCAGTGTGTACTTGTTTAAAATGTATCAAATCCCGTAGGGGTTGGCAAGGGGGCAATGTACCTCATTGATACATTATTTTTAAATTAGTACATATAGATATATTAATTGTTAAATCTGACATAAATTAACTTCTACAGTTTACACAGATACAACTATTACAAACCATCAAAGCTTGTCAATACTGGAGGTGATCTCTTGGCAACTTCTTTCCAAGAAAGCAGGCGGAAAGTAAATAATAATTTACCGAGAAATTGAAAATATCATGTCACATATATTATTACAATCTTATATATTGTATAATTATGTAATATGTTATGTTTCAATAACAATGGCCGCGCGAGGAAACAATCTGGAAACAAGGCGTCATCGGCACCATGACAACGGAGACAGAATACACGGCTTACACCAATTACATTGCTTAATAAACGAAGCGGGACGAATTTAAAATGGCGCTGAAAAAATCAAACTGAAAAAGTGATGTCTGGTGGTTATTTCGTACGGGATTTGGTCATATTTTGCAATACCCTGTAGCGTTTAAGATAGTACTTTCAACTTATGAATAAGGTAAGGTTCGTGGGGATAAAATCGAAATATAGTAAACTAAAATATTATAAACCAACAAATGATCATGTATAGTGACCATGCTATTCCAATTATTTCTATATATGTCGGCATCCCATGTAAACTTCTTGCCAGAGTATGCGATCTGTGCGATCATTTGCTCCAATACATCAGATATTTCCAACTTTGGTACTTAAATATTTCTGTAAACGTGGATATCCTACGAGAATTCCAGGGTAGAAAGTTATATTGAAAGTCATTTGAAATATCCGGCTCCGCGGCTCGCAAATTTGTTACAATAAGCATTTGCACAAAGTGGAGTACAGTTGCACCCTTTGTGAGACTGCAGCAGTGGTCCAGTGTGGAAAATATGTACTGTGCAACTGAGATATTGGGCGTAGAATCAACATAAAAATCTATGTTGAATTTTTTTTGTTTCACTTAATATACTGCACAAAAGAATGAAATCCTAGAGGCAAAGAAATGTAATTTATTACTATTGTAAATAATAATCATAGAAGCTATAGAAATGGTATACATTTACTTTTACTGACGGTTGTTAATCCCATCTGACATGCACAGAAAAATTTCTTGCAAAATGCTCTCACATATAATATAGAAAGTCTGACATATAATATAGACAGAATTGTATAGTCACATCCTGTTTTATGTGTACCAATTATTGAATAGGCAATAAATATCCAAGATGAAAAACTTGATTTTTTGATTTTTTCCAAATATATCACATACAAATTGTAAATGAAGTTTTGTTTCCGTACCTTGTATCTTATGTCTATAAATGTTGATTCTATTTAATTTGAATAATCTAACAAGTTGTTCTTTGTTCCCAATCCCACCCTGTGCAAGATTAACTAATATGTGAGTGATAAAAACACTGTAATAAAGAATTCTGTTAGCTAGCTTGTCAGAAGATTAATAGACTTTTATTCTGAGTATTTGGCTGGGACAAAATATTATTTGAAAAATTCTAATTGACTCGTTGAGAGTGGGGAAATTTCAAAGGAAGGAGAGTGGAGAAATTTCAAATAAATCTATGCAGGTGGTAAAGCATGTGTACCAGGTTTCACAAGAACGTTGCCTGCAGGCTAAACCCACACAGCATTCGAGGGAATAAATTTGATGAATTCTGACCACTTGTATGTTGTTGCAGAGATTCCACATCAACGAGTTGTAAATGGACATGTTGAGATTTATGCATTTTTGGCAGAAACAGTTTGGACTTCTCTAATAAAGTCAGATGTTACAGCTGGCTTTATTGCTGGAGTCCATCGTGTTCCTCCCAACTGTATCAAGAATTTTTGAAGGATTCGAAAACCAAAACTTGGGCCGTCGAAACACCGACTTTTATGTGATAATATGTGATAATGTGTTAATAAGTGATAAAAAAAAAGCAGTAAAGGCAGACTATTTTCATCCAACTTTTTAAACATGAGATCAATCAATTTATGCAAGAGGCGTAGCTCATTTATTAAGTTGTTGGCAGATCTTCCCGAGTGAAATATATTTTTCTGAATTCTGACCACGTATATGTTTTGCCGAAATTCCACAACAACGTGTTGTATAACAGGCAATTTAAGATGTGTTATTGGGAAAAAGTTTGGACTGCTTTTAAAAAGTCAGACGTTACACCTGGCCGCTTGTTGGGAGAAGAAGAAATAATCTGTCTGTTTCATTATGGTTCACTGCACGTACTGTAATCTGTGTGTTAAGCAACCGTTATATTTACACTTGCTTGTCTATAAGACCTTGGCAAACTATGCATAGGCTGTGCTGCAATAACATTGCACCCCGCAAATGTTTCACGTCTAGCTATGTTCATTATTTTTATGGACGCAAATCAGGAAGGGGATAAACAAGGAAAGATATTTGCCTTCCTAGAAACTTTTCTTCGCGGGTGGGAAAGCAGGAAAATAATTCTGAGGAAACATTGCGAATTCTGCAAATAATGTTTTCTCGTTTACCTTATACACCTTATATTACCTTATTATTTTTTAGCCTGGAACAATGCAACAGCCGTATCAGCATCATATGATACCCACTGTTAACTAACGCTTTTACCAAGCTGTTTCTACCACCATGGAGGAAATTTCAAAATCTGCTAAGGCGGGGAGTCCTATCTCACCTGTCACCACCCCGGGCAATGAGAAGGTGTGCTGAAGTACCGAATGCATTATTTTCGGTTTTTCCAAAACGTACCAAGCTTGCTTCTTCAGTTCCTTCCCTTATATATTTCAGGACTTTGGGCGCAGTAAAAACGATTCCCTTACAAGTGTTGACATTCAGGAAATGGAAAGAGTTCGTTTGTCCTTACAGAGCATGCTTAAATCTTCTGAACATTTTCTTCAAGCTGACAAAACATCACCAAAGTCAACCCATACTCCTCCTGGTTTGTATCTTTAGTGATTACATCGCTTTCCTCATAATATATTCAAAATTTCCCAAAACCGTGTGTGCATCATTACCAAGAATCCCCGTAAAGACAATTAAAGGCCATACTTATCCTCATTGCATGCAGTGAATAATTTTATTTTTCTGTCGTGGATCGGGGTTTGGTATGGAAATTTATATCTGTCATGCAACTTGTGTGTTCATAAGCGACATTGTGGTATGGATGAATCTATCCTTAGCAGTATATGATAATCCCAATTCCATTCTACTTTAATTGCCATAAAAAACGCTCTAAATTGGAGCGTCGTCTTGGAGCAGGCGTTATTTATCCCACACTCCAACCCCCTCCCCACCCAATTCCGTTGGGGTTCCATGTGCATATATAGGCTCTCTCTCCCTGCCTAGGACCTGTGGAGGAGGCTGGGTGGAACAATTATACCTATTTGCTCTTGAAAATTGGCGTTTCGTTTCTTTACCCTCATTCCGTTGCATGACACTAACATTTAAAAAGGGATCTTCAAACGAATTTCAACAGAATTTAAAAAACAAGGATCGCTGTGACATGGTGCAACCATTAGTATTAGGTGCCGCTTTCTGATCGCGTTGCCAAAGCGGGAGCCGTTGTCGAGCTCTCTAATAATTGACCAGCAGCTGCAACGAGCTCTTACCATAGTTTCACTATTCTTACTAAACTGTAGATAAAATGCGTTTCTCTTCCCGTGACGAAGACATGTTCCCCACCATTACCACAGCCAATCTCATGAGCAACTATCTCAACACAGATACAAAAGAGGTAAATAATTCAAATATTTCTCGTGGATTCTTTGACATTTCATCACTTACGAAACCCACGTGTGGAAATTCGTATGTAAACAACATGTTGCACACATGTGAATTTGCAACAACCGCATGTGGTTATTTATTTTTTTATGCCTGACATTGGAACAACCACATGTGAACTCACACGTTATGGCGGTTTTCCACTAGGCGGAATTTTTCGACCGAACGAAATTTTTTGTCTGATATTCTTTTCAATTGTGAGAATTCGACCGTAGCGGATTCCCTTCACCGGTCACGATTGAAGAGAAAATCGAAATCGAGCGAAGAATTTCGTTCGATTGAAAAATTTCGCCTAGTGGAAAACCGCCTTTAGTTCGTCAAGTTCAAACAGGAAATAACCACTTTCACTTTCATTAATGGTTACAATTTAGCGAAATAGTGCTGGTGAGGAGTAAACAAACATATTTTATGGTTATAAGGTTAGAGTATCTGGTGATTCCACAAAGTTCAGTGAAGATGCAGACGCTGCAAAAAGATCAAACAAAAACTATGATAAATCTCTGTTGCTTGAGAACACGCTTCTTAACGAAACCCTCCAAAAAGAACGGTCCAAGAGGAAGGTATGATACTTTTTTCCATGCAAGTAAAAAATAAAGTGCTTTACGCATTCGTACGTAAGAGATTTAAAATGATTGCGTCATGGTTGCGCTCTATATTTTATACCCGCGAAAGATCGCAAAGACACGTGAATTATAGAATCTTATATATATTTAACAGGGAATTTGCAATTCCCTGTACTTTGACGAAACCTGATACATTTAAATTGTCTGCATTATATTTTTGTCAAGTATTTACTATATTATATATAAACCACCTTTTTCATAATTTTTCAAGCATTGTGAAAAGCAAATTAAAGTTCTCCAATCCAAGGTAATTTAATTGTTGATATTTTTAAAGGAGGAAGAGGGCCGTTGGTAACATCTCACAATCACAATCAAATGGTCTATAGTCTGGACACCTAATCTGGATTTCAGATGAGGTTCCTCCTATTAGCCCTAGCTATACACAGAATGTATGCATTGGGTACTCGTTTAATGGGAACAAATGAGAACTGCGCACACTGCAACTGCATGTAGTTATTCTGTACAATTTTGGTGTGAATTTAGCCACTCGTCATCTTACATGCGTCGTTACAGCTTCTAGAAACCCAACAAGAGCTTGCTGTTGCTGTCTCTGCCGATAGGAAGAAAGATGTAATGATAAACCAGCTTGATAAAGTACGTGAACGACTGTCTTTGATATTAGTTGGGCTCAAACCCACGTTGGTGACTGGACAAATAAATTTTTGTCATAGCAGCAAGGATGAAACATAAATTGCCCAGAGTTAGTTTAAAAACACCACAACAACCAAATAATTATTAGTGCAAGTGTTCAACTATAGAAGTACTATATAACATATCTGGACTCTGGAGTCCGAGTCTACCAAGAGGTTTGATGCATAGGAATAGTCATTTTGTTATCCCTGATTTTTTTTCATATTCTCTAGACACTTGCACACGTGGTTGAAGACTGGAAAAAACACGAGGAAGAAAAATTCGATACGATCAGCAAACTTGAAGTACAACACGACAATGACGCAAAATTTCAGCAAAGGCAGCAGGAGATATTAGCCCAATTTGAAAAAGATTTATCTTTGGCCGCCGAAGCTTTATCTCAGGAGCAAGAAAGAGCCGCAAATGTCGAGAGGGAAAAAGACGCTCGGGTTTGTGATAATCCACCATTACACACATTAAGCCCGCTGCACACGCTATTTATTAGCTGAGGCAAAGACCACGCGTGACTGTTATCTCAGCAAGTTACTCTCGTGTGCGGATAGTTTTTCGTGAGGAATTCGCCATGAGAGGCAAATTTCTCACGTGTGCGGATGGTTTTCGGGCTGAGCTAACTGCCTCGCAAAGTCGTTAGCTCAGCTGATAGCTCTCGTGTGCAGCGGGCTTTAAACGTTTACAGCAAGCAGCTAACTTGTACCTTGTTTTGTGCGGAATGTCGCGCGGTCCTTTTTGTAAAATATCTAAGACCGTATGTTTTCCTCCAAATAGATTACTGCTTCACTTCAGGAAAGAGACGAAATTCTCCACCTTTTAGAGGAAGAGAAAGCCAAGAATGCAAATCTAGACAGGGATTTTGAATGTCTAGAGGAAGATGTCCAAAAAGCTCAAGAATCACAAAAGTTGATTGAACAGGTATGACAAAGAAGATACAAAGGCAGTAAAGTGGAAAACTAAACTGCGTTATTGTGTCTTCATTATAGTTGTTTACTCTCTAAGGCCTAGGTTATACGTCAGATTTTCGTCGCGTCGGATGCAATTGAAACAATAGATAATGAGTTGATAATGAAGCTTAATGGTGTTTATCATCATTATCTATTGTTTGAATTGCATTTGACACGACCAAACTGACAAACACACGTGGTAATCCAGATAAAGCTAGAATAACCTCTGGAATTAACACACGGCCACGGGTAAAAGTTCGTTTTTACAATGCAGTACATTCCATGCCATGCAAGTTTCTGGAACATCAAAAAACAATTATGTCAAACATAAATCTTTAAGCTGCGTGCAAGCGAATGTTGATTATTCCCTCTATGTTGTGCTGGCATTAGAGTTGTCGTTGTAATGCATGACCTATCTAGCTTATAAGTTATAAGCGAACCACAATCTATATAGCGCGGTGTAATTACAGTGGTGTAATTACAGCGGTGTAGTGTACATGTTATGTACATTAATTAATAAGAATTGAGAAGGAAAAAACGATTTGAACTTCATTCATAACATGATAAAATGATCATGAAACGCTATTTTGGATTGCCTTTCATCCTATTTTGGATTGCGTTTCAGGAAAGACGCAATTGGCAAGAGGAGAAGTCCCAGTTGGAATCTCAAATTGAGCTCATAACAAAAGCTCACACTGAAGACTTGGAACACGAAAGGGTTAGATTGAATCACTGCGTACAACGGCTGCCAAAGGGGACATGTCCTAACAAAATCATAAAGATTTATTTGTAATTAAGGTTCACCCTGATTTGTTTTTTTCAGACACTCGTTGAGCAAGAAAAGCAAGTTGCCGAGGTATTCACGATCAACCTTCACACACAATTATCACGTTTATAGCATAATTATATTTCAGTGCGGTTCCGCCATCGAAGCTTGTGCCATTTACGACTCGGCTTTTAATTTTGTAATTTGATTGTTGCAGGATAGTCAGCGTGTACTCAGTGCAGTGCAAAAAGAGGTTCAACAACTAACCGCCCAACTGGACACTTGTTTTCGAGAAAAGGTTTGCTCAGAAACGTCACCCAGCGCTATTTTGCAATAATATGAAAGACTTTTCGTTAATTGACAGTATCTTCTAAGAAAACGAATGGCCAAAAGCATTTTCCCCAATTGATGGAAATTTTTATTGTCGGCTATACAAAGTAAAGTACATATACACGGCTGTGCAGTTGTATGTCTTCCGCATGGTCATATCTGGAACCACGAAATAACTATGTGTTATTAATTTCAAGGAAAACCTAAAAACCGAGATAACGCTGCTCACGGCGAAGTTCGAAGCACAACGCACAAGGCAAGATAGCGAACATCGAGCAGAGCTGGAAAGACAAGTACTCCCTATTGGCCTATATCCTATATATATATATATATATATATATATATATATAATATTGAATGAATGTTTGTGTTTGATAAATTGCATACGATATTCACCTTTTCTGTTTGCTCATTAGACGAGTAAGAGTTTACGAGATGCCCAGAGCCAGCTGAGCAAAAGTGAAAATGAAATAAAAATTGGTCACAAGAAACAGGTGAGATTTATGAATAGAATAATGCGAATCAGTGAATATATTGTATTGCATCGTATAGCTTAGAGTAAATCAGTTTGTAAATCAGTCGACCACTTGAATTATCTCAGTGACTTGGCAAGAGAGTTGCACAATCATTGCAAAGGCATAAGGTCGGGAGGACTGCATGATAGTTGACACATTTTCCCAAACTGTTACTGGATTTATATAATTATATAAGATGTGTATATATATCATTTCCACTCAAATTTAAGACCGTTCAACCCTCTTTTCTTAACCCTCTGCTTAATGCCTGGGGTGGAACTTGTCTTTCGAAAATGACATAAAAAAGACAATAGATACAGTATGGTAGTCAAGGAACGCAAATTATGTAATTTTTTGGTACAGTGCATTACTTTTTATAATAAAGATTGACGAGTTAACAAAGAAGTACAAACGTGATTTGGAAGAACAACTAAACAACTTTCACCGGGTGAGGTTAATATAATTTCAATGGTAAGTTTTATAGTAAACAATTTTACTAACTTGATCTATGCATTTTTTCATATCTGCTTTAGCAACTGAAAGAGAGCGACAAAAAGTTGCAAGAAACTAACGAAGAATACGAAGAAAGGTAAACGAACGGAGTGTATCATAAATTTTAGGGTGACCCCACCGTATATTCCTTTATGTATACTGTGGCCAAAGTTAGTATATATACCTAGGAAAAACAAGACTATAAGACCTGTTTTCCATTAGCGGACGTAATGCCAAACCGCCTTAAGACTATAGTTAAGAAGACTGGAATCATTCACGAACGATGCAAATGGGCAACTTGCGCTAAAGCAAAGCATCGAGGTAGTTTAGTTACACAGTAGAACTGTCTGTTGGTCTGATTAACACTGCCGTATATGAGCATCACATTTTTCTGTTGTTTTCTCACGGGCTTTTGAAGATAATGAAAAATTCCATGTTTTATTAGATTAGCAAAATCACACAAAGATCTGATGTCTGTGTCAACCGAAAGAGAGACGTTAAGGAATGAAAAGTGTGTATTCAATTAAAATTTTAAAATAGTTGTAATTGTTGTTATTGCCGTAGCTATGTATGTACCATACAACAACATCGGTATCAAGTAAATATCGCCGGGCAAAAACTTTATCACTGTTTCAATATTTATTTTTGCCAGACATAAGTTGATCACTCGACTTCAAAAGATGATGCAATCCCACTGTGCGGAAGCAATGTCTCTGCTGACTGCCACAACGGAAAACTCGACAGTAGGGATAGTAGGAGCTTTTAATGAACATGACTCGGTATGTAGCACTGCTAAAAAAAAGCTAACAAGTTATTAGTTTTTTATTGAACAATTCCAGTAGCTCGCATAAAAATTCGTTCATGTGTTGTCATGAAAACAATAATATATTTTGTGCTCTATTATAGCCTATATAACATTTTGAACAGTTTGATTTGGCAATCTTGTACTTTGGTGGTGAAAATATTCGGTTCGAATTTGATCACATCGAGATGAATGTTGCGAATATTTATAGTTCTTTATTTTCACATATGTAGTTATTTATTTGTATATTTTATGCATTGTTTACTTATCAGTACAAGATAATTTAGACTGGGTTACTTTATTTACGCCGCACCTTCACCAGATCTGGTAATTTTAATTTTGTCGGATGCAAAAAACAGCCCAACCTGCATGATTTTAATAATCACCAAGTTTTTACCAGGAGGGGGCAGTCTTATTATAGATTTTAAGCAGCTTTAGTTATAGAATATTCATACATGGTTACACGCACAAACTCGGGTGTGTTTACCCGTACTTTATCTATGGATCCTTTTCGTAGACGTGGATGTTACGACAGACACCAACACTGGTTACAAGTGCCGCGAACATTGGACCCCTCCGAGAATCGACTCGTACTTTTCCATCATATGTAACTCCCGACTCACATGGCCATGCGATTCGATCTTCACTCGTCAGTAACAGAGGTCAACAACAGCAACAACCAATGCAACATCCGCCACATGCAGCCCACGTCGCAAAGATGGAAAGCGACGAATCGGTGCACAACTGGGTTAGGCTTCCCACGATGCCGGCAGATACAACCACTCACATCTCGTACCCAAATACATCATACATCAGCCATGAACCAATTGTGAATGATGTGAACCGTACGCTACAAGAGAGCGACATTCATACACGTCAACGAAATAAGCACGCTGAACGCTACCAATCTCATGACCCTGATATCGAGGAAGAGGTTTTTATTTTTTCACAATTTTCTTAAACTTAATTCCTTCTCAAATAACATATAGTGGGTGGTTTAAACTATGCTGTTGCCCAAGATTCTAACGGATTCCTAAAACATTTTGAGAACCGTGCCGTTGTTGCCGGTGTCACCTTTAGCGGGTCATATTTGTTCTTTTGCATCATGCCTAATTTCCGGAAGCGTTGAGTTCAAACTAGGTGCCAAAGAAGTGACGAGCGTGTATCATGCCAGTAATACATTGCATCTATACTTATTAAAAAACATAGCCAACATTGATGAACTTCTGAGGAATAGGAAAACAAAAAAATACTCTTTAAACGGGTGTCCTCATCAGCTCACGATTTTAAAATCATCGCTTAAAACTTGGAGCCCTAACTATTGAGATGCATTGTTACAGTACTTCGGAAGTCCTTCTTGGAGTTCGCGTGATGTATCAATTCTTTTCAATTTGATCTCCAGCGTATTATTAGATCAGTGCGAACTCCAACACAACGAAATACTTGAGCTTAGTATACTATAACTATACATAAATCTTGTTTTTAGGAGATTAGTCCAACAACAACAAACGAAAGCCTATTGGAACAATCGCCTGATGATTTAGAATCTACTAAACCACAGTAAGTGTTTAAGTCGAATCACTTTCACTGTGCGACCCTATAAATAAAAAAATATATTCAAGAGTTAATTTAAGCTGGTGATTTAATTGGCGACGGATCTGGGAACATTAATATATAAAGAGGGTGCTGTTTTTTCTATGGGTGCACATTTCCTCGACTATAGAGCAAGTTTGTTCAAAAATGCAATCGTTGCATGATGCGATGACGAAATATTAATGTTAGCTTGTTAAGTTGATTAATTATTTTAGTGGGTCGTGAAGTTTTGTATGGGTTAGGGGGGCAGAGAAACTGAGAAACCTATCGTTACTAATTTTATATGAATATTAGTCCCCGAGCCGGTGCGGAGCACCGTGCGAGGGTACTAATTCCGCTCGGATATTTACACCCACGATGTGCAAATGCGAAATCAAAGTTGTCCGCCATTATGCAATGGACCTCACGCCATGGACGGTCTTCTACGTTATGCGCATGCGCCAGTGTGAACCACTAAGCTCTTGATTGGTCGAGACAAAAATTTGTATTTTCAAACGTCAATGAATAACTGTCATTTCGCAAAATTTTGATGAAATTTATGAATTTTATGTTTTCATAAAATGAAGAATATATGTATTTTATTAAATTAGAGGGAAACTCGAATGTGGTCAGGACTTTTCACGGTTTAACAAATAACAAGACCAAATTTTTGACCGAATTCACCGTGTATAATACAGTCGGAAGATTTTACACTTGATAATATTTAAATATAATATGAAAATCCACAGCTTTAAAAAGTAATTTTTTGTGGTAAACACAACTTTAATATTTTCAAATGTATTTCACTATAAATCTGAATGTGTTATGTGATAAACGACATTATAATTTCATTTATAAACTCCGTTTTCATAATGACAAAATGAAAAGAAAATCAAAACATTCCCGTGCAAAAACCAATCGAGGCGTAACATAAAACTTCGGAAGTTGTATGAGACGTCTGATGTTATATTTCATGGTAATTAATAATCAAAAATATTTACCATAACACTGACTATAGATGAGCAACTTAACTTCCAGAGGAAGGTAAGAATCTTGTCGTATTTTTGCCATCTTTTCACAAAAATATGAGAGTAAACTTTGATTCTTTAAAAATATACGGCCGTTCCGAGTTGCTATGACTACAGTGCTTCCACGTGCAGAAAAATATTTCCACACTTTTCTCAATTTCTTTTTCTCACATACATAAATTTTCTAACAATCATGTTACCACCCTATGCTCTAACTAATTTTGTTAATCCGAGGCGAGGGGTTTCTGCATGCATGTATTTCTAGTTATTTTGCTTATTTGCTATTTCAAGATCGACCGTGAACCTTAGTGCTGATGTTTTGAAAATGCTACAACAACAACAATCCAGGCAAACTGAACTTAACCACTACGTTCGTCAGGTAAATTCCAGTAATGTAACATAATCCTATATATGAAAAATATCACGGACTTACATTTAAGGCTGCGCTACATATTTATTTAATCGATGCATATTCCCCATATGGTGCGACACTGAGCTTATAGCAGTTACTGGATGACGAGTCACTGCAAGACGACCGTAAATCATGCTGTAATCTAAATTATAATTCAACATTTGGATTTGCAGCTTTTGAAACAATCTCCCAGCAACACCAGTAATGAGGAATTCACTGATATTGCTGCTGTCACATCGGATGATGGAAATGGTAAGTGTTTTGTTATTATTGTTTTAGGATTGTTATATAGGGCTTCTTGTATTGTTCGATTCTGGAGACGTCAGAACTATGTTCAATTCGACGCGTTAGTCACTGATTCATCTTGACATCTTAATCATTGACATTCTGTATTATAACCTTTAACTTTGGTATTAAGTTTTTGAAAGCTCAAATATAATTATTACCGTTTTTATCGTTGTTATTAAAATAACTTTTATAAACAAATGAAAAAAGACTGTGCATGCATGCAGCCAATTGATTTACCAACTGTACGTTATTATCGCATACTTATTTCTAGAGAACAGTAAACCTGATGGATTACCAGCTGGGAAACAAGTAAGTCCTGCCAACACTCTGTGCAGTTGGTTAAACAAGCTTCTGTTCTATACTCTGTGCAACGCCTGATGCAACTTGCTCTCCATGATTCTATAGCCATTCAAAAGCATGTTAAACGTTGCGAAGACTCGTGCAATTTGTCTCGCAATGTCGTCGTGACATTTTGCATGAAAAATTGCACCGTGTAACAGAGCCTTAATTAGACAAGCATGCATCACGAATTCTTCAATATAAAATGCAAATGTTTACATGAACGCCTTTGTTATAAAACCGGGCCCAAAAAAAAGCCGTGTCCAATTTTCGAGAGCAAAACGATAAGCGATAGAACAAAAATATAATTCAAGTTTGTTTTTTGTTACGTGTTTTAATAACTCAACGGTTGCAGATATAATTGAAATGGAAGTGAGGAATTCGTTTTCAATTTCATGTTACCACAAAGTAATAAAATCAAGCTGCTATTCAAATTATTTGAAAGCAATGCCTAGCTGTGTTGGCGCCAGGTTGTCTAGCAATATTCCCTTGCTAAGATTACGGAATGTATTGCTATTAAAAATGAGTCCATTACAGCCGCCTAAATACATGTTTTTACCCGATGCCGTACTGCATTATAAAACAGTTACATCATTCTGCACTCTCGTTATACATGGCTCAGTGCTAGCCAACTCGGCTTTACCTACCTGCAGGTTGGTTATCAGCTGATATATAATTGTTAAATATGCTTCGCCTATATTCTTTTCCTAGGATATGCTATCTAGTGAATCTACATATTCAGACCTTGGTGATATGAAACAAATGGCATTTACTAAATCTGCTGCGGTATTAATGCTTTATATAATTTGTTTTTGGCATGTTCGATGGAACAATCTGACCGCCTTGCGTGAGAGTTTAGAATTCACACAAAATTCCCAGTACATGCACCCGTACGGAAAATAAGCATGCGTATACGCGCTATACAATTGGATGGTCCAACCGGTCGTTTTCTGGAATGAGCGGTTTGGCTCTTATGGAGGGCTTCCCTTATAAGGTTCCAACCGGTCAATGCTGCTCAACAACATGTCATCTTGATTAATTCTTACTAGTCCGTTTATTGCTGTGATTTTAAAACAAACTTCATAATTTCTGTAGTGTTCTAATATTTATCGGCAACCTGAAAATGTTCGTTAAAGCATAGGCGCCCGTTCAATGCGTCAGGTAACGCAATAACCGGGCTGCCTATGGTTATTAAAGTCCATTGATATGCTTCTCGCCGTCCTAAATACAGTCATTGTTTCTCATCATTCTAGACGCCTGGTAAACGTTTCAGTAAAATTCCTATCGCCCAAACACCGCCAAATAAAGACAGACCACCTGGGAAATCTCCGGGGAAATCAACCCTCACCCCTGAACAAGTAGGACAGTTAACTCGATTGCTTCAAATGTACCAAAAAGACAACATGGACAGTGAGTTACCCTCTCCTCAAAAGATGTTTCAATACTTGAGAGAGGTTCAGATCAGGTATAGATAAATTATGGCCGTGCCCTGCTATACAGCCTCGTGAATTTGCCCCCGGACTCTAGGTGGAAAATGCGACGATAAAATAGATAAAACCGTCATGCCCGGTAACTTTAAAGGCTAGTAAGTCTATCAAGACAAAATTTTGAGCGAAATTTCATCACTCGATTCTTTCATGCTTTAGCATGTACCGTATTCTCTTTAAAATCATGTATTTCTTCACCAGTCACTTTGACAAAAGCACTGTAACAAGCTGCTGCTGTCGACGTTATCGCTCGTTCGCAGATGGGTTGTTAATGCCCTCTGCTCCGCGATTTGCCACTCGTCCATCCCTTTCGGTCACGTGGTTCGTCTGACGTCACGACCCGACGTCACCTAACCGGTTCCCTCGCTGTTAACCATTAATCATTTCAGATTGTTTCAAAGTGCGCCAGTTGCCCCCATTTCAGGTTTACCTAATTATGGTTGGTTCATTAAGTTCACTTTCAATGGTGATTCATTGACAAATATGTTGACGTGTAGTGTAGTTTTGGGGAACGTTTAAAAGTTTAAAAGTCAAGCTCATATCACACAAAATTCTCACAGGGGTGATGTTGAAAGAATAGAGGCATCGAAGACGAAGGACCATGGCAAGCCAATCAACAAAGAAAGTTTTCTCGAAGAGGCAATAAACATCGCGGAACCCGGGAGGAAACAGAGCAAAGCTAAAAGAAAGCTGGAAGTTAATACCCAACAAGGAAAAATAATGGTATTTTAGTCATACGTAATATGTATCATATGTGCCAATTATACGATAGATAAAACATTCCAAGTTTGAGGTGATCATGAACAATAGGCGAATATAAATATTCTATTAATATTTATACTCTTAAATATAATTATTTTCTGAATGTCATCATTTATTGTGACCTGACTCTCGTACTGGGGCCGGTTGTATCAAAGCCGGATAACGTTATCCACCGGATAGCGATTTTTTCAACCGATCTAAAAATGCTCGAAAAGCGATAAAATTTCAGCTTGGAAGCAACAATTAAATTAAAAAGGACCTTCGATTTAGGAATAATAAGATTTAATCAAAGTTGTAGCAAATAACAGGCGATTTTGAAGCGATTGAAAAAACCACTATCCGGTGGATAGCGCTATCCGGCTTGCATACAACCGGCCCCTGGCCAACAGGAACGCGTTTTCAGTGTCACACTCAATACGGTGCATTGAAGTCACTGACATTACGATCACACCCATATAGGACGTTCCTATCCAAAGATATGAACCAACAAACGACGGCAGTGTTTCCAGGATCAACTTTCCTCAAGACGAAACAAGACGACCAGGTAGAGCTACTATAACAAGCAACTCTGAGCTCGCGTCTTTTCGTAAACTAGATCAGAAGGCTAATAAATCTAGGAAGCCCCTTTCATCTGCCGTGACCAAACCGCTTAAAAGAGGGACGGGAAAAAGTGCTAAAGCATGGAAGTAGTGCTGTTCCGTGTGTATAATTGTATGTTATATTTATATTGTATTCTAAAAGTAATGATTCCCATCATTTGCCTGCACGGGCGAGGCTGTCTGTAGACTGTGCATGCGGGCTGACAGGGTTCAAAGCAGATGCCAACGAACATGTTTGATTTCCGGGTTAGTATATATAACGTGATATAATCAATATAGCTTTACGCGAGTTTAAAGTTTGCTGGTAGACGGCTTAGCGCCTGAACTAAACCCACGAACGAATGAATTCGAATCCGGGTTGACCATCAATTGCTTACACACGATGATACTCGACGACACATGGCAATTCAACATTTGAAGCGTGCTTTACCCTTCGACCTTGCTACTCTCGACCAAACGATATTGACATGAAATAAACACATACAGATTTAATATTTTAGATGATGTTTTAGTTGTAAACAAAGAAAAGCGTATGAGGATAGCATAAAACCTTTAAGCCTTAAGGCTTTATTGTGATCATTAAACGAAATTTTACAAAATAAACGATCTCGGAATTCGGAAATAACGCATTTAACAGGGGCAATATTATATTAAACGCTGTTATTATCATCTTGATGACAATATAGACTCATGATCAGTTAGACGTGCACGATACCGGTTCGCGTCGCCACAGCAGATAAAGAATAATCGACTTAAAAGTGAAGACAACCGGCGGAGAGGGATAATGTGGGTGTAGCATGAATTATGGAGCTACTCCTATCCGTGGTTGCCATTCTGTATACGATACGCGAATACATTTATATACGTAACAGTATGTGGCCATTAATTATTGTGGTATTTTATGTATGTATGTGTATTATGCGCATGCGCATTTCAATAAACTATCCAAGCTCTTCCAGCTTTGAAATTGGCATTTTAAGCGTAGCCGGCCGTTTAGATCCCTGCCTACTATTATAGTCTTGCAGCAGTTCTCACTCATCTAACAAACAGGCTAATTTTGTGAGCATTCTTTTCATGCAATGCGAGAGCCACGCAGCAGGATAAAAGTCAAAAGAACTAGACTGTATGCATGTTACGGTAACAAGGATTTTGATTTCGTAATTAGTAAAATGATTTTAGATTGAGCAGTCGTAACTTCTTTACGCAAATTACGTTTATTTATATGAACTGTGACAAAAAGCTACGCCGTCTAAATCCGGGAAACTTTCTATCGAATTTGCGACTAACGCTAACCCAGATACGTGGATTTGAAACGAATGCACATTGACTGATTTAGCCAGTTTTACTTGCATGAATATGACATGTGAATACTGTTTTCGACGTCTTAAATTACGTTACCTAATTTTTTTTGTTCTTGCTATATAGCCATATAGGGAGAGTATATCGATTGAAGTTAGAACCATGCAGCTAGCAGATTATGAATAAACGTTGTAACATACTTCTATTATTACTCGTAAAGCTAGCAGTTTTTTTTCAAGTCGAAACGACAAGCAGGTAGTGTATTGATGCGTGTTTTACTGTATGAAGAATTCATCAGGAATTCGAACACATACTTTCATTTGTTTAAAATCACTGCAATAACTGTGTGGTATCTCTTGAGTGGCATAGAATATAATTTATCCAATTCACTTCCGATGGATTCTTTATAGTCTGTTGACTTGAAATATAGGTCTGTATTTGCACTGTCTGTGGCGAAATGCAGTTTGTACAGTGTCAGTGTACAGCGTGCATGTAAATTTACACCATGTCGAAAACTGAACAATCTGCCATCATGCAGTACGTCAACAGCTGGTCAAAACAGCATGAGTTCACCCCAGTGTCTGTATGCTCAGAATAAAAGCAACGATGGAATATAAATTAACATAGGTTCAACCCGCTATGCAAATCTTTCAAAACAAACGTTGGACGGTAGTTTCCACGACCTTTTTACGACCACAATACCATGCAGCTTTCTCTTATTGTTCAACCGAGACACTTACTGACCACTTCTACCTTATGTGCAACTGGATGCAGGAATTCCTACTGCCTTTTAAGTCAGAAGTCTTTATCCACAACATAGTTTACCAGCCGAAGTAGAATCAGATGCGACAACAAAGTGCGAAGTACAATCAGATGCGACAACAATGTATTAGAATGATGATTAGTTGAAATCAAGCCGATTCAGCAACCACAGTACGGCTGTTAAGCATACCAGCTATCAGAAAGAACATACATGTGGAATTTGAAGAAAAATGGAGAGTTTCCCGGTATCAGGGTCTATCACGAAAAGCTTGCCGGCAAACTCGTCCAGTCGAAAGCGATGTAATTAATTAAACTGTATTTCCGCCCGACAATCCAATATATACTGCACTTATAATATAAGTGTTTACGACAGGAAATTAGGGATTCCTGAATGTGAAAGGAATCGTATATGAATTCGAATATAAAACTGAAATTGAAGTAGCAAAATGAAAGTGAAATAGTTAATGCTTACGAAAGACCGCTGCGCAGACACACTATAATTATATATGCATACTAAAGAAGAAGGTATTCAGATAACCTCGTAAAAGTGCTCGCGGATTTGTTTTAACTGACAGATGCTCAGAGATTTTGTCTGTCTACCACAGGGATAACGGCAATGACAACGAATGCCGGTGATGTAAGAAACCCCCAAAATCATCTATGCGTTCCTGTGATTTTTTACTTAACCTAACCCTTTATCGCCCACATTCTCAATATCGGCCCTCACAGTTTATCAACTTCCTTATGTCAAATGGAGTATTGTACGACCAACGATTGTTTCTGATTGATTAATTATTTGGCGTTTACATTTATCCATCCGCTACAAATTCACGAAATACTTTCATATTTTAAGCCATTTTTATACAAATTTTGAAGCCACTTAGTCGCAAGAGTCCAACATGCAAGAGAGAAATTCAGTAGAACTCGGTGGTTTTCCATCATCTAGCACTGCGCCTGCCAGAGTCGGGGTTAAAAGAATATCAAGATCATCGGTTAAAAGAACGCTGCGACATGTTTTCTGTATGAAAACAGCGAATGTGGTAAGCTAAAAATGATTTCGTTTGCACAGCGCTCGAGAATATGTTGTCTAGACAAATTCAGTTGTCTCGTGTAAATATTTCTGCACCATGTTTAAACGTATATAAGCAATTTTTTCGGCTTTTCAGATTCTATATCAGGAGCTGCTAAATATTTGTTCGCGCAAACGTACAGCATCGGTTTGAAAATCGCTAAACCGTGACTGTAAAGTGCAATGAGATTAGATAGAGCTATATTGATAATTTAGCAAACACGAGGTCGAGGTGACGCCAAAAAGACGGTATATGTAGCTATATGGCTTGATCTACTCGTATATATATTTGATTGTGCTTACGCCATTTTCACGACGTCTTTTTAGGTGTCACCTTGTGTTTAACTTTCGCTATATAGTAACGAAATAGATCTTATCGTTTGTATCTAATGTAGATGCCTTAATGGCCTCGTTTTTTGTGTCTGGTTTTTTTTTCCGTTCCGTGTGCAACATGGTCGAGAAAAACATGTTTACTAGGTTTAAGATGGTCTATAGCTAGACAAATAAAGTTTTCCAATATGTCGATTTTCTCATATCATTTACAAAAAAAGGAGAGATTTGCTTAGCTGACACAAAATCTGCAACACTTTCAATTTTAGTTGCAATGGTTGGAAAATGTAACCCATTTTTTCGTTTCAAAATATCGCGTATTACAAAAATATTAATATACAGACGCTTATATTTTAAGTTGGTATTGTCTGTGGTGAGGCTGCTACTCAGCAGTTGTCCTATATTCATTATTGTATTTCTTAACTGTTTAGTTTTGAAACGTTTTATACTCGTAAGCAAAATTCTTTACTATTGACAGTATTGTTCATTCAAAATTTATTTTTCCTTTAGTTGGCCATCTCGGTTGTCATATGCCTTGTTATTCTTCGTCTGTTTTGTTTCATTGTTTTCGCTATTTTTGACATGACATGTTTTGCGTACGAGAGAACGCCAATCACAAATTGCACACGGAACATGTTCGTGTCCAAGCCCTTGTCGTTTGTCTATTCGTGGCTTGCAATATCAATTCTAACATCCACTGCAATGCTTGTTGGTATGAATCTCAACTTCCTGAAGTGACCTATTACGGTTTTAAACCTTCGTTCAAGAAATTACTCAAAAACCAATCATTTTGGTCATTCAACTTCATCATGCTCATTGTACTGAGCCACTATGTTGTTCGTACTAATTTTGAAGCATCAAAGAAGGCTTTTCCACTTATTCTGATAGGTTTGAAAGTCCTAAATTTAACCATGGTGTACACACTGAACTACGTTCACCCGATAGGATTTCCGGAAAGGCTATTTCATGCCAAACATACTGTGCCATTTCTTGTGTACTGGTCGTATCTTGTGTTACATTTTTTGGAGAACCTTTATTTATTCATCAGTAATTCCTTGGATATCATGGAAAATATCTACCCGCTTGGTACATCGGACACAGATCGATTGGTCTTCGTCATGTTATACCTGGTTCTCGGTGCAAATGTTACCTTTCATCTTCGCTGTGTTGCGTTTTTCTGGACAAAGTTTTTTAACGGTGACAGAGATCTCTTCTCTGATATCTCGACACTAGACGATATTCCCACAAATGACTGACCCGGAAAGATCGCCACTAATTTTCCACCCTCAGTACTCTTCTTGGTACTCTTCCAGTTTTTTCAACTATTATTAAAATTTGTCAACACGATAACTCACCAGGTTTTTACGCCAAAACGACGGAATTGGTTTTATTTATTTGTATATATTTTTGCCTCGGAGCTGAGCCTACAACTATGCAGGCTATGAATATAAAACTTATACGATCTATATAAAATATTAACCGTCGAGACTGAACGGAACTACCTCATGATCACCTCCGAACCAAATATTTGATTTGTCTTTACAGTGAACCATGAAAATTTTATCAAGTTAGCTTTATTACTTTTTGAGTATATCTATATTACTTTTCGATATATTCGGCATAAAATATAGAGTACATAGAACAATGAAACAATAGAATAAGCCAATCGACCCCTTTTATTTGTCCCTTCTATAAATTATTCGACCATGGCCGAGTCATATGGTCGAATATACTATATTCCGGTATATTCGACCATGGTCGAGTATACCACATTTCAATTTCGGTACCTATACTTCCGTCTTTCGGTACCTACTTTGGCCATTCGACCATGGTCGAGTATACAATATTTCGGTATATTCGGGTCGAGTATACCATATTCCGCTTTAGTATGAATGTGCACAAGTGAATATAACAAATCCTACATTCTGATTGTTCAAATTTCACGTATTATGCTGTTATATTCACCTTCAGGTGAATATAACAAATTTCAAAATGGCGGCTAGCCGTTTTGTGGACTTACAAAGAGATAAGGGAACAAATGCGGTGCTTGTGTAAAGGCACTAAAACTTGTGCAAAAGCACTAAAACAACTCGACTTCGTCTCGGTGAATATTCCCCGATAATCGGCACCTCCCCTTCCGCGAATAATTGTCAAATATAAGGTAAGGCCCGCCGCACACGAGAGCTATCACCTGAGCTAATGACCTCGTTAGGCAGTTAACTCAGCCCGAAAACCACCCGCACACGTGAGAATTCCTCGAGCCGAATTCCTCACGAAAACTATCCTGCACGGCGCACACGAGAGTAACTTACTGAGCTGAGCTAACAGCCTCGCGAGATCTTGAGCTCAGCTAATAGCTCTCGTGTGCGGCGGACTAAAGCCCCGTTTACACTACAGTCAATTTATCGGCACGGCACGGCTAAAATGGGTACCCGTGCCCAATTTTACTAGTGCTCTGCCTCAGGCTACCAAAACAAAGGCCGGGCACGGATGAAGTGGGCACGGGTACCCATTTTAGCCGTGCCGTGCCAATAAATCCAGTGTAGTGTAAATGGGGCTTAAACCGTTTACACTACACTCGATTTTTTGGTACGGCACGGCTAAAATGGGTACCCGTGCCCATTTCATCTGTGCTCGGCCTTTGTTTTTGTAGCCTGAACACTAATAAAATTGGGTACGGGTACCTTTAGCCGTGCCGTGCCAATTAATTGAGGGTAGTGTAAACGGAGCTTTAAGGTCGAATGCACCGGAACATGGTATATAAAATGGTACATTCGAACGTGATTCGACCATGGTCGAATATACTGGAATATGGTATAATTGAAAATGGTATATTCAACCTTGATATGGTCAAGCTCCTTTCCAATTTTTGCTCTAACATGCTCTGCCAAATGAAAAATTTCAGGGGATAGCGATACCGTAAAACAACTTAAACTAATGTCGCGTGACCATGTGAATCCCGTACCGTGTAAACGGGGTCAGAGTGACAATGTTTACGTGTAATATCAGATTGAATAAAAGATTGATCCAAAAAAATACATTTACGAACTTATCAACCTTAATTTCAGGAAGTTTTAAGCCATCCTATTATGTTTACATCGATCGTTACTTGCCTGCTGCACACAGGGCCGTAGCTAGACCGCTTAATTGGGGGGGGTGTATATTCATACCATAGGAACAATAGCATACAAAAGAAATCATTCGGGCATAAGACGAATATATGAATATGCACCCCCCCAATTAAGGTTCTAGCTACGGCCCTGGCTGCACACAAATACAAGAGCGGTAGAATAACAAAAATCTTTGTTGTGAGTTCTGTATATGTACTTATGACGTCAAAGGAAATAGCAAACAAATTTGCCTATTATAAAGTCATACGCAAGGTTAACAGCCTAAGAGGAATGTGGGCACGAAGATTAACCTAGGAGAGGTATAAACATCGGTGCTGGGGTCATAACAATGTGCACGAATGAGACTTCGGTCTTTCCTGGTAAGTATTATAAGTTATTTCTAAACAGGGAAACGCAGGATCGCAAGTAACCTGTAACTATAAATTTACGTGCCTTGCGGATAGGTTACATTTATCATGTGGTCCTTTGATTTTTCAAGAGCTGAAAATTGGGGTTGAACATTGAGGCAAAGCTTCGCTTGAAGGGTAAAATAGTGCTCCTCTTACGAGGGAATCTGCTATCAAGGTAGGTAGACGAGGGAAGTTGAGTGAATACTTTTCCTAATAGGGAAACACTTTGCCTATAATAGTACTTGATAGCGGTAGATAATAAACCTGAGATTTTCGCAGCTGCATCTCACGACGCAGCGAGCCGAACATTTTTTTTTAACATTTAACAACTCTTCAGTATAGCATATTTGAAAGACTGTTTCAGCCTCGTCGTCGCCGTGTTGCCATCCTACACGTATGTTTTATGTCCTAATTGACATTCATTGGTCAACCATGCATGACTTGCCAACATTTACCACATGCTTTGCAGCATGCACTCGGGTATATCATAGATCTGTCAGCTCACGTTGGGTCTTTAGATTTTGCAAATTTAGCTATTCTTCACATTGTATAAAAATGTGATTTTAGTGTTTCGTTTTATACAATTATACGCGTTACGGTTTCGGTCGAAGTTTACATATATAAGACATTCTTTGTGTAGATTTTGCTGATAAGTCGATAACGTCTGAGTGCATTAAATGTATGCAGCTAAATCAATTAAGGTTGTCCTCTGAAAGTCAAAGTGAAAACATCAAACTGCAAAACTTCGACCTGTACGACCGACAACACTCTTCATGACGTTATTTGATAACTGCATACAAAATGTTATGACCCAAATAGAAATAATATAAATGATCTTTATTATGTAAGACCAATGTGCCTTTCGGTCGTAGCGGTTGAAGTTCAGGAGCCGGTTGTTCAAAGCTAGATTGGCGCTATAACCCTGCATGGGTTAAATTTTACTGTTGTTTTTAGTTTATATGGTTCTGCACTGCTTTTCGTTTCAAGACTTTGCAAAATAAGACTTCTATTTATCCACAAAATATTTATGAGAAAACATGCTCAATCAGCCTCAATGACTGCATAACCGAACAATTAAAAAAACTGATGTAATAATTTGAGTTAACCTAGGGTTAAGCTAACCGGCTTTTGAACAACCGGCCCAAGAGTTTTATTATTAATGATCTTTATAGAAGACAACCTTAGCTGTATGGTCGATCGTTTTGTCGATCGCACGTAACAACAAAAACTTCCTGTGGCTGCAGGTCACACTGTAAATGACATGTCTAACAGAAATCCAATTAAGTGGAATAAGATCATATCTCCGCGCAGTATTTTATTATTTAACTTCCTTCAATTTTTTGTAGGAGTACGGTGTTTATCTGACAGTGGTGCATAAACGATCATTTACGGTATTTTTAACGGCGTTTCGAGGATTTTAAAACCACAAAGAGAAACGAGGAGGTGGCAAGCCGGCAATGATGATTGAGACACAAGAGGAATGTTCCGAAAGGAGGGATGCCGCTGACGAAAGCCTGAAGAAAGCTAGACAGCTGACAAATGAAGCAATAAGTATGACTAGAGTGAAATCGTCAACCAACGAGGAGTTAAATAAGAAGATTGGCGATGTTTTAGACATTCTTGCCTTGCCTGCTAAATGGTACCAGCAAGGGAAGATCGACCCAGCGGCAATAATCAAGGGGCTCGACAGGGAAATCGAGGAGAGAAGCCACGTAGTAAATTCACCAATCTTCCCACACAAAGCTAGCGCTGTGGAGCTTGCTATTGAAGCCAGTGGAGGACGAGTTCTCAATGCAGTGTACTACTCCGAGTACAAGTCCCCACAACCAGTAGGCCAGCCGATCTTGCAGCCACCGACTTGCGTGAAAATGTTTGAGCCGAGCATTCATCTGCAAGAAAGGTATGGTATGTGTATTGAATTACATTAATTCCAGACGGTATCGGTTAGAACAACAAAGAATAAGATCGTTATATACTGAATATACAGCGCCAAGACTGAAAACTTAAATCCTCTGGCCGAATACTACCAACGTATCAATCTAAAATATGCTGAAATACGTTTGGCTGCAACAATATTATGAGAGTAATATATGGTCAAACTCGTGAGGTCGCAGGGCAGGGAAGCGAAAACAAGAGATACAAGGTTGCTATTCATTACAGGATGTTTTTAACGAAGAAAGTCCTTTCCCAAATCGCGCTTAGGATTATTTATCCCAATTCTGCAACCGTCTTTGTTATTTGTCAGTCGTCACCATAGCTTATGCCTAGCGTGTAAATTCGTTTATGAGATAGGTCGCTTGCGGTGGTTATTTATGCCCTCTCCTCCTTTAAATTTGGTAATTTTCCATTCACATCATATCAATTACGTTTTCGTGCAACCACTTATATGCATGCATGCTTCCACCAAAAATTTCATAACTTCAACTTCTACTTCATTCCCCAAGTAATTATCAGCCCATGCAAATCATGGCCATGTGTTGATGGGAGCCAGCAGCCAGCATAGGTTGATGCGATCATAATATTCTTAGTTTTCTAATTAATTCTTATTTTTCAAATCTTCCATTCAATACTGCATCGTCTTCCATTTTATACTATATCGTCATGATCATGACGATGCAGATTTATGCTGTTCAACAAGGGAGGAGCCGCTGCTAAGTTCATATCGAAGATGGAGTCGACAAGTAGCAATACTGGATTTGCTGTGAAAGGTGTGTCCTTTCTGGCAGAAGTTGAGAGTTCTTTCGGAATCCGTCGTGAAAGTTCCAGCGAATACAACATGAGATCTACCTGCGACAACCTCTCAGTCCTGAAATATGAAGCTATTACAAAGAAAGAATTCCAAATTGAAGAAGATAAGATGAGATTGACCGAGCCAGTGCAAAGACATGCATTGAACATTGGAAAGACGGGAAGGCATGCGGATGATGCCCGGTCTTTCATGCGAGTATATGGCAGCCATTACCCGATCGGAGTTCATAAACTGGGTGGAATATTCTACAGTATCGCAGACGCTGAAAGTTATACCAGGATCGAAACAACCCAATTCGCTAGGGAAACGGTCATCAAACTGGAAAGTCAAATTTCCGCTGGCTACCTGGGTGCAGGCTTTGAGGCAAAAGGGAATGTGTCTGACTCATCGAGGGAAGCCGAGGAAGGTGAGCAACAGGAAGAAAGTGTCTTCTATCGATTTTCAAAGCAGGTGATCGGGCCAGGGGCGTCCAATCCCCAGACCTTTCGCCAGCTTTTGGAGTATAACTCGACCTGGGCTATTATCGACCGTGGGCCACCGGAGGGTTACGTACCAGTGTGGCAACTGCTACGCATAGCGGGTAAGGAGTATCAAACCGCCGCTGAAACACTCAGGCAAATTTGGGAAGAAGATGAAGAAGAGAGAAAAAGGATCTGGGATATGAAAATCAGGAGAGAAAGAGATGAAAGGGATATGCATCAAGTAAAGAAAGATCTGCTGAAAATAAGAGAGGAATTTCTTGGAAGGGTATGTGTTTATGGTTTCTATATGCATTATATACGCAGACTAGATTTTCCTTGAAATTAAATTGGTGGCAAACTTGGGCAATAGACCTTTTCAGCTTGTATGCAAATTAACCCATTCACGTCACATGGTCTGAAATGGTCAAGTTTTATTTGCTATTCCATGGTCACAACATCTGAAATAGGTTAATTTGCTTGCAAGCTTGAAAGGTCTATTGTGAATAATTTGAAGTCCTACATACACTTATCACAATCATTGTATACAAATCGTGGCCTAAAAATTACCACAGCTCTACCTTGCAATCATATTGGTAGATTGTTATGCAACCAAACCACTATACTCATACACAAAATCCATTACTCCATTTTCACAATTGCCATGTACCTATGGTCCTCCTATACCCTTCCCAAAACACAACCAAAAGACAATTTTCATCGATCTGCACGTCTAGAAGAGAAGTGACAGGCCCGTAATGATTTGGTCTGGGGCATGCCTTTATTTGAAACAAATTTTCACGCGAACAAAAGCACAAAATAATCCTACTATACTGCTAGGCCATGTTGCTTACCCCCTTAAACACGTTCACGCAATTTTTATCTCAAAGTAGCCAGCCTGACAATTACGTCCGGCTATACTAATATTTTGTTTCGTTGACTGTGAAAACAATCTAGTGAATATTGGTATAATACCTAACTTAAAATTTGCAAAGCAGAAATAAATCGTCAGGCTGGCTACTCCTTGTGGACCGTTAAATGTCATTTATAGTATACATATATACATATCTCAAGGGAAGAAGACTAGTTTTGTCCCTGGCCGCTATTACGACAATCCTGGACTTTTGAAACAATTAGGTATACTTCAAATTATTTTAGCGTTATCGAATTGGCAAGAGTTACAGACCCGTTAACGCCAAGCTGAAGATCGAAAAGGATTGGTTGGAACATAAAGATGCCTATGATCAAGCTATAGACTTCATCATGGAAGATCCAGACTGTCGCATTTGCAACATAGTATATTGTTGGCATATTTGTGGAGGCGGCTACTCGCTGATGTGTTGGGAGGTCACACGAGAAACCAAGTCCCTCCAATTCGATAGGATATCAGGAGGGCACGTACTGTTTTTCTCCGAAACTTGCTTCCTGTGGAAAGATGACGTTCCGCTGCGTGGATAACTGCAAAGACGATTTCAGCAATCACTTTACATTTTTCTTTGTAACTCGATACATTTTCTCGCATAATCAGTAAGGCGTTTTTTTAAAGGGGATTCTATTACATTACGTGCACATATAGTTCAGAGCATTGCTTGCAGTTAATAAATATTTTCAATAAAATTTAGTTATATAAATTCACAAGGTTTTACTCCCTTATTTCTCCCCTAACTTTTTTACGGACACGTACCGGCCTGATATACTCTTCCAGTTGACATAAACCTTTCCTCGATACCTTGCGATTGCTCTATTACTACCGATGCATGCTTATGTAAAAACTGTAGACAGTCGGTATAGCATCTCTAAATGATACGTAAACTTTACGGATTTGTTCAAATTGTAATGTAGTTCGTTGTAAATACGCAATTCAGATTACGAGCTGCCTATGTATTTATTCATTTTCAATTACAATTAGAATTTCGTAAACACGATAACTCACCAGGTTTTTACGCTAGAACGACGGAATTGGTTTATTTTGTAGTAAATATTTTTGCCTCGGAGCTAAACCTAGAACAAATAAAACTTTTGGAGGCTATATATATATCAATATAAAACTTCTACGATCTATCTAAAATATTAACAGTCGCATTTTTACTTAGACTGAACGGAACTATTTCATGTTCACCTCCGAGCCAAATATTTGATTTGTCTTTACATGCAGTCAACCATGAAAATTTTATCAACTTAGCTTGAGTTGGCGTGCACGGAAGTAAGCAGAATGAGAATTTTAGTTTGCTAAGAAAAGCGACAAAAAAGGCTTCGATATATTCATAAAATATAGAGTACATAGAACAATGAAACAATAAAATAAGGCAATCGACCCCTTTTGTTTGTCCCCTTTTATAAATTATTCGACCATGGTCAAGTCATATGGTCGAGTATACCATATTCCGGTATATTCTACCATGGTCGAGTATACCACATTTCAATTTGGTACCTACTTCGGTCTTTCGGTACCTAGTTTGGCTATTCGACCATGGTCGCGTATACAACATTTCGGTATATTCGGGTCGAGTATACCATATTCCGCTTTAGTATTTTTGCATAAGTGAATACGACACATCCTACATTTTGATTGGTCAAATTCGACGTATTATGCTGTCATATATTCGCCTGAAGGTGAATATAATTAACAGCATAATACGCGTGCGTGTAAACATAATAGGATGGTATAAAACTTCCTAAAATTAAGGTTGATGAGTTCATAAATGTATTTTTTCGGATCAATCTTTAATTCAATCTTATATTATACACGTAAACATTGTCACTCTGACCCCGTTCAAATGCGGGTACGGGATTCACGTGGTCACGACATCAGTTTACGGTATCGCTATCCCCTGAAATTTTTCATTTGGCAGAGGAGCAAAAATTGGAAAAGAACTTGACCATATCAAGGTTGAATATACCATTTTCTATTATACCATATTCCAGTATATTCGACCATGGTCGAGTATACCATATTCCGGTGCATTCAACTTTACCATGTAGAATTGCCGGAATATGGCGTATTTTATACCATATAAGTACTAAAGTTTAATGCTCCGGAATATGGTATACTCGACCATGGTCGAATATACTAGAATATTATATAATCGAAAATGGTATATTCAACTTTGATATGGTCAAGCTCCTTTCCAAATTTTTGCTCTAACATGCTCTGCCATCAGTGCCAGGCTCTGCCAAATGAAAAATTTTAGGGGATAGCGATACCGTAAACTGATGTCGTGACCACGTGAATCCCGTACCCGCATTTGAACGGGGTCAGAGTGACAATGTTTACGTGTATAATATAAGATTGAATTAAAGATTGATCCAAAAAGGTACATTTACGAACATATCAGCGTTAATTTTAGGAAGTTTTAAACCATCCTATTATGTTTACATGCCTCCTGCACACAAATACAAAAGTGAAAAGAGGTAGAATAACATTATAACAAAAATCTTTGTTGCGAGTTATTTATATGTACTTATGACGTCAAAGGAAATAGCAAACAAATTTAGAGGTATAAACATCGGTGCTCGGTCTTTCCTAAAATCAATTTAAAGTTGAAGTACAGTTCGTGGTAAGTATTATGAGTTATTTCTAAACAGGTAAACGCAGGATCGCAAGTAACCTGTAACTATAAATTAACGTGCCTTGCGGAAAGGTTACATTTATCATGTGGTCCTTTGATTATTCCAGAGCTGAAAATTGGGGTTGAACTGACATTGAAGCAAAACTTCGCTTGAAGGGTAAAATAGTGCTCCTCTTACGAGGGAATCTGCTATCAAGGTAGGTAGACGAGGGAAGTTGAGTTAATACTTTGCCTAATAGGGAAACACTTTGCCTATAATAGTACTTGATAGAGGTAGATAATAAACTTGTGGTAGTAAATATCTTTGTTCAACTATTTCAAAATGCTTGTCTTTCCCGTTATTCAAATCAGTGATGTCGTCCACCTTCTGCATGTTTACAACTGTAAAATCTGAGATTTTCGCAGCTGCAGCGAGCCGAACATAATTCATAAACCCGATGTTTTAACGTTGTTGAATTTATGCGATTTTTAATATTTAACAACTCTTCATCATAGCATATTTGAAGGACTGTTTCAGCCTCGTCGTCGCCGTGTTGCCGTCCTACATGTATGTTTTATGTCCCAATGTCATGACATTCATTGGTTGACCATGACGTGCCAACATTTATCACATGAGCGTGCCTGCTTTGCAGCATGCACTCGGCCTCGGGTACATCATAGATCTGTCAGCTTTCGTTGGGTATTTAGATTTAGATCTTCAGATTTAGCTATTCTTCACATTGTATAAAAATGAGTTTTAGTGTTCGTCCGAGTGCATTATATTCAGCTAATTCAATAAGGTTGTCCTCTGAAGGGCAAAATGAAAACATCAAAATCTCGACCTGTACGACCGAAAAGCAAACCAGATATAAAATATATTTTCTTCATTATTTAACTTTTTGCTAAATTCTTTTAACAACACTCTTCATGACATTATTTGATAACCGCATACAAAATGTTGTGACCAAATAGAAACAATATAAATTAATTTTATTATGTGAAGACCAATGTGCCTTTCGGTCGTATAGCGGTTGAAGTTCAGAGGCCGGTTGTTCAAAGCTATAGGTTAGCGCTAACCCTGGGTTAAATTTTATATGGTTCTGCACTGCTTTCCGTTCAAGATTCTGAAAAATAAGACTTCTATTTATCCACAAAATATTTATGAGAAAACATGTTCAACTGCATAACTGAACAATTAAAAACACTGATCGGTAAAAATTTGAGTAAACCTATGGTTAATTTAACCGGCTTTTGAACAACCGTACCGCCGTACCGGCCCCAGAGTTTTATTATTAATGTTCTTTATAGAAGACAACCTTAGCTGTATGGTCGATCGTTTTGTCGATCGCACGTAACAACAAAAACTTCGGTTGCAGGTCACACTGTAAACTATGATGACATATCTGACAGAAATCCAATTAAGTGGAATAAAATCCATATCTCCGCGCAGTATTTTATTAATTAACTTCTTTCAGTTTTTTGTAGGAGTACGGTGCTTATCTCACAGCGGCGCATAATCGATCATTTACGGTATTTTTAACGGGGTTTCAAAAATTTCAAAAACACAAAGAGAAACGAGGAGGCGGCAATGATGCTTGAGACACAAAATGAATCTTCCGAAAGGAGGGATGCCGCTGACGAAAGCCTGAAGAAAGCTAGACAGCTGACAAATGAAGCAATAAGTATGACTAGAGAGAAATCGTCAAACAACGAGGAGTTAAATAAGAAGATTGCCGATGTCTTAAACATTTTTGCTTTGCCTGTTAAATGGTACCAGCAAGGGAAGATCGACCCAGCGGCAATAATCAAGGGGCTCGACAGGGAAATCGAGGAGAGAAGCCACGTAGTAAATTCACCAATCTTCCCACACAAAGATAGCGCTGTGGAGCTTGCCATTGAAGCCAGTGGAGGACGAGTTCTCAATGCAGTGTACTACTCCGAGTACAAGTCCCCACAACCAGTAGGCCAGCCGATCTTGCAGCCACCGACTTGCGTGAAAATGTTTGAGCCGAGCATTCATCTGCAAGAAAGGTATAGTATGTGTATTGAATTAAATTAATTCTAGACGGTATCGGTTAGAACAACAAAGAATAAGATCTTATATTACAATGCCAAGACTAAAAACTTAAATCCTCTGAGAGGAATCCTACCAACAAACCACTAAACTACGAACAAAAAGAAATTTAGAAAGAAATGCTGAAATACGTTTGGCTGCAAGAATATCATGAGAGTAATATATGCATGGTCAAACTCGTGAGGTCGCAGGACAGGAAGCGAAAACTAGAGATACAAGGTTGCTAAGAATTTCATTCAGTAGGGGATGGTTTTTAACGAAGAAAGTCCGTTCCCAAATCGCGTTTAGGATTATTTATCCCAATTCTGCAACCGTTTTTGTTATTCGTCACCATGGCTTATGCCTATATAGCCTGTAAATTCGTTTTTGAGATAGGTCGCTTGCGGTGGTTATTTAGGGACCAGTCATTATTAATGCTGGGTAGGGGGCTGGAGGAAATTTATGAAAACAGCAAAAACTTTTCATAACCCCTTATTTTTATAACAAAATTGTTTTAGCCCCCCCCCCTTTATTGAGGCAATGTATTTCATAGCCCCCCCCCTTCCCCTCCAATTTTGAATTAAATGACTCACAGTTTCGTCACTATTTTTCTTGCCCTCATACTTGTTTACTTCCATATCCTCTAGAAAACAACTATATGTACAAGGGCGTAGGAAGCATCCAGAGGTTGGGGGGGCACCAGCTTCTAGGGGCACTTTTGGTTAATAAAAATGGCGGTTAAAATGGTTACTAAAAAATATATATATATAGGGACGGTTTGATTCAGAGACCGCCGACCGCAGAGCATTTTTCGTATTTTTTGGGTTTGGAACTGCTAGGGGGGTTCGGGGGCATAATCCCCGAGAAAGTTTTGAGATATATGCCTCTGAAATGGCCGCAAATCCCTCTCAATTTAAGGATTATTGGGAAATAGTAGATACTTTTTTGTTTCTTTTCGCTTCCCAAAAAGGCTTTTTTTTTCACAAAAAAGCGGCACTTTTGGTCCCTTGAGAAATCTTGGGGGGGCACGTGCCCCCAGTGCCCCCCCTTCCTACGCCACTGTATATGTACACTCTACACTGTATATATCCATTATTACTTTTTGATATTACATGTTACAAACTATTCCATAGAATTTACTTTTTGTTGCCCCCCCCCCTTCGTGTTCAAAATTTTTGCTAGCCCCCCATTCACTGGTCAAAAATTTTTGGTGGCCCCTCCGAATTTCCTCCGGCCCCCTACCCGGCATTAATAATGACTGGTCCCTTATGCCCTCTCCTTTTTTAAATTTAGTAATTTTCCATTCACATCATATCAATTACGTTTATTTTCGTGCAACTACTTATATGCATGCATGCATGCTTCCACCAAAAATTTCATAACTTCGACTTTTATTTCATTCCGCACGTAATTATCAGTCTAAATCATGGCCATTTGTAATTAATGGGAGCCAGCATAGGTTGATGCGATCATAATATTCTAAGTTTTCTAATTAATTCTCATTTTTCAAATCTTCCATTCTATATACTGCTGATGATGACGATGCAGATTTATGCTGTTCAGCAAGGGAGGGGCCGCTGCTAAGTTCGTATCGAATATGGAGTCGACAAGTATTAATGCTGGATTTGCTGTGAAAGGTGTGTCCTTTCTGGCAGAAGTTGAGAGTTCTTTCGGAATCCGTCGTGAAAATTCCAGCGAATACAACATGAGATCCACCTGCGACAACCTCTCAGTCCTGAAATATGAAGCTATTACAAAGAAAGAATTCCAAATTGAAGAAGATAAGATGAGATTGACCGAGCCAGCGCGAAGACATGCATTGAATATTGGAAAGACGGGAAGGCATGCGGATGATGCTCGGTCTTTCATGCGATTATATGGCAGCCATTACCCGATCGGAGTTCATAAACTGGGTGGAATATTCTACAGTATCGCAGACGCCGAAAGTTATACCAGGATCGAAACAACCCAATTCGCTAAGGAAGCGGTCACCAAACTGGAAAGTCAAATTTCCGCTGGCTACCTGGGTGCAGGCTTTGAGGCAAAAGGGAATGTGTCTGCCTCGTCGAAGGAAGCCGAGGAAGGTGAGCAACAGGAAGAAAGTGTCTTCTATCGATTTTCAAAGCAGGTGATCGGGCCAGGGGCGTCCAATCCCCAGACCTTTCGCCAGCTTTTGGAGTATAACTCGACCTGGGCTATTATCGACCGTGGGCCACCGGAGGGTTACGTACCAGTGTGGCAACTGCTACGCCAAGAGGGTAAGGAGTATCAAACCGCTGCTGAAAAACTCAAGCAAATTTGGGGACAAGATGAAGAAGAGAGAAAAAAGATCTGGAAAATGAAAATCAGGACAGAAAGAGATGAAAGGGATATGCAACAAGTAAAGAAAGATCTGCTGAAAATAAGAGAGGAATTTCTTGGAAGGGTATGTATTCATGGTTTCTATATGCATTATACGCTGACTATATTTTCCCTGAAATTAAATTGGTTGCGAATTTAGGCAATAGATCTTTTCAGTTTGTATGCAAATTAACCCATTCACGTCACATGGTCTGAAATGTTTAAGTTTTATAATTTGCTATTCCATGGTCACAACATCTGAAATGGGTTAATTTGCTTGCAAGCTTAAAAGGCCTATTGTGGATATTTTGAAGTCCTACATACACTTATCACAATCATTGTATACAAATCGTGGCCTACAAATTACCACAGCTCTACCTTGCAATCATATTGGTAGTTTTTTATGCAACCACTATACTTATACACAAAATCCATTACTGCATTTTCACAATTGTCATGTACCTATGGTCCTATACCCTTCCCAAAACACTTTCACCGATCTGCACGTCTGGAAGAGAAGTGACAGGCCGTAATGATTTGGTCTGGGGCATGCTTTTTTTTCGAACCAAATTTTCACGCGAACAAAAACACGAAATGATCCTACTATACTGCTAGGCCATGTTGCTTACCCTATTAAACACGTTCACGCAATTTTTATCTCTAAGTAGCCAGCCTGACAATTACGTACGGCTATTACTAATATTTTTTTTCGTGGCTGTGAATATGTGAATATGTGAATATTCACAGTCAACGAAAGTGAATATTGATATAATACGTATAAAGGCTGCTTTCTACTTACGCGTTTTTTATACGCACGGGCACGAACACGTACGAAAAATTTTAAATGCTTTTAAATTTTTATCATTTAACATCTAGGTAAACTAATACATACTAAAATATGCAGAAAACTAAGTTCCTTCGATTTATTCACTTACTTTTCAGTTTGAGGTAACATGTATAAGGATTTAGACTTTTACGTGTGTGTACGTGCGTATGAAAAACGCGTAAGTGGAAAACAGCCTTAACTTAAAATTTGCTTAGCAGAACTAAATCATCAGGCTGGCTACGCCTTGTGGACCGTTAAATGTCATTTATAGTATACATATATACACATCTCAAGGGAAGAAGACTAGTTTTGCTCCTGGCCGCTATTACGACAATCCTGAACTTTTGAAACAATTAGGTATACTTCAAAATTATTTTAGCGTTATCGAATTGGCAAGAGTTACAGACCCGTTAACGCCAAGCTGAAGATCGAAAAGGATTGGTTGGAACATAAAGATGCCTACGATCAAGCTATAGACTTCATCATGGAAGATCCATACTGTCGCATTTGCAAAATAGTATATTGGTGGCATATTTGTGGAGGCGGCTACTCGCTGATGTGTTGGGAGGTCCCACGAGAAACCAAGTTCCTCCAATTTGATACGATATCAGGAGGGCACGTGCTGTTTTTCTCCGAAACTTGCTTCCAGTGGAAAGATGACGTTCCGCTGCGTGGATAATTGCAATGACGAGTTCAGCAATCACTTTACATTAAACGAGATTCTATTACATTACGTGCACATGTAGTCCAGAGCATCGCTTGCAGTTAATAAAATTTTGCAATAAAATTCAGTTAAATTCACAAGGTTCTACTCCGGACCCTTATTTTTCCCCTAACGGACACTTACCGGCCTGATATTATTGCTCTGTAAAACAGATTGATGAAATATCTTCCTAATTTAAAATTGTTTGTCTCAGATTCATCTCATTAAAAAATTGATTTAACCACGCGTTTTTAGTTATTTAAATCAAATTTAAATTGGTAGTGTTTACACAGTGTGGGGAGGGGACAAATGAACAAATTTTCCGACCTATCAACAAAGCCCTATTTGCTCACGATTTTTAAAATGTTCACTATCAGATACAATTGGTACGGATGAAATTTGGTTCATCTGCTTAGTATAGTCCAAATTTCACCAATCTCACTAACTTAAAATTGAACATGTGTAAGCAGATAAAATTAGTGATACACAGGATAAGATTAGTAATTACAATGATACAGTTGAAATTTTACTAGCACGTTATTGGGCAATCAAAACCTATAAATAGGGTGCGCAGCCCTGCATGGTGTCACGTGTGGTTTGGAAAGCGTAGAAGGTCGGTAGCACAAAGATCTGTAGCATCATTGACGCCTATGTTTACGAGTCGTATGCATGTAATGAAGGATCGAGCGACGCATACTATAGCAATCGAGGCGACAAATATATTTAAGGGTTTATAGTTGATATAACATGTACGTTCTTGTACCAGTTTGATAATTACACTACCGAGAAAATTTATTTTAGTATTCCTAATTTTATAAATTGTAATCACAGAGCAAAAACCTTTCGCCGTCTAAATATCTAGGTAGGAGGAAGTCAAGCTCGCCTGACACACACTGTTGTTAATCACACTAGGCATTATTTATATACAGCTGCTAGATGACCCACGTGTAGAAACACAGCGCCCTACGTTGTGGTATAACTTTGTTTTGCCATGGGTTTTCAAAACGAAATGTAATATTGGGATATACGTTTACTTAAATATACTATAAGAGTCAAATTGTCTCTACTTTCGCTAATATCCTTCCAAAACACCAAACATTTTTACTGGTCAATTCCCTGGGCCTTGACAAAAAAAGGTTGGTTTCATCTTAGCTTTCTGTCGCTTGACGAGAATTCAACTTCCAATATTATATATATCTCGTACTGGACGCATGCCAAACTATAATTTACATCTGATCAGACAAATTACACGATTTTTCTTTCGATACTGAAAATACGCCGTTTTTGAATCCATTGTGTTTACTTCCACTTTCAGAAACGGCAGAAAAAGGAACATTCCACGACATTCACTTTCACTTCTAATTAATTAAAGACCTCAATATATTATACGGTGATATTTTTCTAATTGAAGCGATCGACCACTGAAAGATATGGTTATTAAACTTGAAATGCATAAGCTAAATACAAGATGCAACACTGACATAAATAATGGCTTTGGACAAATCCCTGAAAAACGAAGAAGACGAGCTGCACTTCTATCAGTGCTTATAACATTCGTTATAATGGTGATTCTTCTCGCCGGCTTCACCAAACCGAGTTCCAAGCTGTACGCCGTCAACACTGGAAACTCGAGTGAGGCAGATATGAAATGTAAGAGAGAGAAGAACGAGCATTATCACGTCGGAGTATTTATCTGGTCATTAAGCATAATTGGCATTATTCTTGGGGAGCTCCTGAATCGCTTATGTCTGATATTTGAGGAATATTTTCATCTTAACACGCGATATAGAGGGAGCAAAAGGAGAATGCTTCATGCATGCTTCAATGACATTTCAATCCGAACTTTTCTGTTCGGCATTCTCGTCGTTTTCGTCATCATTACAACGACGCTGCTATCACAAGGGACAGATTATCTCGAGTTTGAGCATGTGGAAATCATCTTGAGTGGGTTAGGCAGTTGCTCGCTTGTTCGATACCTGCTCGGTCTTAACTCGATTTCGCGAGTTCAACTCTCTTCTTTGATGGAAAACAACAACCGGTTAGTGGCAAATGGTCTAGCATGGTCCTACTTCTTTGGTTACCTAAAGATTTTTCTTCCTCGGCTGAACGAAAGAATTGAGCAATCCGAGTGGAAAAATACTTTGTCTTCGAAGAAGCTGTATATCCTAATGCCGCGAGATTGCTTTGCATACAGTTTGCTTAGTGATGAAGACAAGAACATTGAGCTTGTCAAAGATGCCTCCATTGAGTACAAGGCTGATCGTGCCGGAATCCCAAAGGTTTACCGTCTAAATGTCTATAAGATAAACGGAACGGCTAATCTAAATAATCGCCCGCTTCATATATTGGCCGAGTACGCATCGCCTCTTTCCTGTTTACATGAAATGAGTCACGAGGCGGAAGCGCGGCTAAGTAGAGAGGACCGGGACGAGCAAGCAAAGTTGTTTCTACGGACATTGAAGTCGATCATGAAATATCCGCCAATACCTGAAGTTCCGAATAGGTGTAAACTTGTGCCGTATGCAAGATGCCCTGGAGTACAAATATCCAAAGTGTTAGCTGAGGCAGTTTTTGAAGACATGGAAGGTAGGGTGCATTGTTGTACAGTTTGTGGTTTTAGATAATATAATTCGATTATATACACATTCATTTTACTTATATATATAGAACAATCATATTTATAGAATCACAAGAATAATAAATTTATATAGGAAAAACGTAATTAGTAAATTGGCGAAAGTGTACGAAAATTATGCAGCAGAATTTGCTAACATTTTAGCCATTTTTTCCTCAGGATTTTATGACATTTCTCTCAACCATGCAATTTCAAAATTTCTATACCAATTTTTTTCTCGGTGAACGAATGCCGTTGTATATAAATTGCGTTTTTGGTAAAAAAAATGGTTATGTGCGTTATAATTTCCTGTTTTTACTATCATGCACGACATGCAGTACCAATATACCACTCACTTGCTCATGCACATCTACATCGCTTTACTTTCAGGCTGCAATACAGATTTTGCTGAATCAAATTACGAATTAAGGAGGGAATAAATGACTGAAACACTTTTCTTTGCATTTTATTCTTCACATATTACAATTTTGCATAGAAATTGCCTACATATATTTTTCATATAGTGTAAACAACCTTTGTGGGTTTTAGTCAAGCATTTTTGAAATACCAACTTAGGCGAGGCGACAAATGCATCTGGGGAATCAGTCACAAGTTCACCTCGTAAACAGAAAGATCTGGTTGGTAAGTGCCTCGCCTTTTAAAGGCTTTATCATCGCATTTATCTTACCGATATCTATTTAATTGCTCTGCCTCTTTACCTGCCTCTACTCTCACTCTGTCTAACAGTTTTGGGCAAGCAACTAGTCCCCACACGCTGCTAATCTTGTTCAGTTGTTGTTGTTGTTGTTGCTGTTGTTCCTTTTAAAATTGATTGGGTTTTTTTCTCTGCTAACATGAATTAATATATGAATATTAGCCCCGCTCACAGCTCGTTTCCTTCTAGACTTGGCCTGCTATCACTGCCAGGAAAAAGGCCACAAACTGCGGAAATGCCCACGTCTTGAAAAAAGCGGAATGACGAATAAAGGAACAAGGGAGAAAAGAGGAGAGAGGCCGCCGGAGAGAGAAAAGTGTAAATTTTTATTCAATATATACCAGTAAACCACGCAATATGTTTGAAATGAAAGAAAAGTAAACCTCAATCATCGACTTTTCATTCCGTTTCATATAATATAACAGTTTTGGCAAAATCATGTTTCATTCAAACACGGGTGCGTGCTTATATGCACATGGAGACTTCAGTCATATCAGCCACGCGCTTTTATTTCCGTCCAGATTTGATTTGCTATCATTGCAATGAAGAAGGTCACAAAAAAAAGAAATGTCCACATATCCTGAAAGACAAAGAAAAAAAGGGTGGAAGGAGATCGAGAAGGTATAGAGTCCACAGGGGAGAGTGGGTAACTAACACGAGCGGCCGTGTTAATGTATTGCCTATTGAATATATAATCATGAGCGCGCAGCGCGATTGTAAACTACTTGTGAAATGAATTTGTAATAAATGAGATTTGAATAGATATGCAAATAACAAACACTAGTGATTGTATTTTGCCGATACAACCAGTCAACCACAAGTGTTTGTAACTGATTTGCATGTCTGTTCAAACTAATTTGTATGGGATATACAGGGTGTGTTTATGACCTGTTTAAGAAATTTGGTTGGGTATAAATCATTAATTATTCATGAATTTCACAAATACATATTATACATATACATTGCCATTCCGGTTCCAGAAATACATTCTAATTTATAGCATAACATCTTTAGACTTCAAATACCGACTTTTTTGCCTCGTAAAGAAACGTCTTATTCTTGATATAAAGGATATCTTTTTATCGATATATAGCCACCATTACAGAATCTGAGAAGATGCAGAGTCAGCAGGAATGGTACCACCCGGGCAATACTATAGCAGCTTGGCAAAGTTTTCAGATTGGTATTATGTGATTCAGTGTTCGTCACATGCACTTCTCAAGTCCAAATAAAGTTTTTATTTCCTATCACCCATGGACGTGATGCAACAACATTGTTTTTTCGTTGTGAAGCGTTTTTTAGTAGAAAACGGTTATGCGGTATACGGAGTTTACTTGACCATGCAGCAGTGGCGGCGCCAAGGGGGGGCAGGGGGGGGCAAATGCCCCCCCCATATTATTTTCTGCCCCCCCATTTTGCCCCCCCTTTCTCAAATATCTGCAGAAATTATTGCCGTAAAAAATAATATTTAATAGTAATAAATTGAAATACAAAATAGCTACAGGATAAAATGGGCGTGACTGTCAATTGTTGACACATCGTAATCAAATTTTGCCCCCCCAAAATATTAATTCGCCCCTCAAATGCCCCCCCAAATTTTCAGACCTGGCGCCGCCACTGCCATTCAGGAATAAATACGCGTCAAAAGAGATGCACCAGGTTAAATTGTCCGAAACCGTGCTGGATTCGAACACATTAATTCCGGTTCATTTCGACTAAAAATTTCCAGTGCAGGCATGTATACAAAAGTCGCGCGTGTTTTTTTTTGTTGTCTATTTTTTAGCCTTCCTTGTCGAAATGACACAATCACATAGAGAATTGTGTTTTGGCAGACCCGGGTTATCCGCGGCTTAGGCAAGCGAAAACTCAGCCAAGAGTGCCGCCCCGTCTATAGTCAGGGATGACTCATGTCATCGTAAAATTGAAAAATATACCGTAATTAGGAAAAGAGGGACGTATACAGGCGGTGATCGCCCAAGTCATTTACAATCTAGTTTTGAAAACGATGAAATCCATGTAGGAAATTAGGAAGATGTTATGACATCAGGGAAACTGGAAGATTATATGGCATTATATATCTATCTATCTATATATAGATAAATCGAACGTGTATACGTATATATTTTGGTACGGTTGTCAGTTTATCATATTCAAACTCATCTGACCGTTTACGTGTTCACAGGAATATAATAGCGCACCAAATCAACATTTACAAGTTAAAGCGAGCCTATATAGCTAATATTATATTGTGTGTTTATAGGAGTTTCAGAACCAAGGTAGGAGCTTTGCCAGTTAAATTTCTAAAAGTAGCTAAATTATTTATTTACGGTAACTTGTTGTAATATAAACCCCAAGTCTTAGCAATTTCATGCAGCCTCAGTGTGGAATCTAAGCAATCTTCAACCTCTTCTTAATCTGCTATAAGGTAAGCTGACACCCATTTATATATGATTTTTTAGGACTATTTAACTTCCAAGCCAAAGGATAATTTATTTGGAGTAGAATTAAAGAGTAGAAAGTATACAATACTAAAGATAATGCACATATAGGCCCGACATGCAGTCGTGGTATTTCATGCATGGCATTGACTTGAGGGATCTTACAGTCAGACATTTTTACACATCAGGCTGGTTGTTCGAAAGGCGTTTGGCGTGAACGGTGGTGCATGGATAGACCAAAGTTAAAAAAACTCTCATATACATGTACTGTCCATGCAGAAATAACCTAACACCGCGGTTGCGATTCGGCTGCTGTTAGATTGTGGTTCGGTCGCAGTTCGGTCGACAACACAGTAATCATATCGAAAACATCTTAAGAAATGTATGTCAGGCCGAGTTATTCCGAGCTAGGTTAAACCACCGTCTCACGCGGTTCGTCCTCGGTCTGACCTCAGGTTAACTGTACTGCTGTACATCTTGTACTGAAAAATTAAATACCAATTTACATCAAAATATTTCAGCTCAGTTGTTGAAAAAATTGTTTTCCATTTTGAATTTATCTGTCGTTAAAGCCTTTAAGGTAGTCTAGAACATTAATTTTATTTTGAAAAATATAAAAATCTTTTCATGACATATTGCATGCGCAAGCCGCAGTTGCTCTGAGTGAAAAAAGACTTGTGAGATCTATCTAAAATAAACAGTCGCTATTTTACTTAGACTGAACGGAATGCAACACTTTTAGGTTCACACCTTTTTGTTTGCTAAGAAAAGCGACGAAAATTAAAGTTTTGCATATATATTCATAAATTATAGAGAACAATACAATACAACAATGAAACAATAGAATAAGGCAATAGACACCTTTTGTTAGCTTTGTTAGAGGTACCAAATTGGCGACTGAAAAAAGACCTTAGACCATAACTACAACTTTATTTCAATTATACGCCTAATGGCGGTTTTCCACTAGGCGGAATTTTTCGATCGAGCAAAATTTTTCGTCTGATATTCTTTTCAATTGTCAGAATTCTACCGTAGCGGATTCCCTTCGCAGGTCACAATTGAAAAAAAAATCGAGCGAAAAATTTCGTCCAATCGAAAAATTTCGCCTAGTGGAAAACCGCCTTAAGGCCCGTTTCAGACGTCGAACTTTTCATGTGCCGAACCAAAAGTTAAAACCTTTGTTTAAGTTCATTTACATTCGATTCGGCACATGAAAAGTTTGACGTGTGAAATACGAACCATGCAGTCACGAATTGGCTAAGCTCAACATATAACTATAATATATAGATGCGCGGCGAACTTAATTATTGGTACGGTCAGTTATATTTTATATTATATAATTATTTATATAGAACCAATTGACGAGGATGAACCTTCTTATTTGTGTCTTTATCGCTTTCCTGTACGCAGAAAAACTAAATTCCGAGGTCGTTCACCAATTCAATACCTGCACGAATTTTTTCTATAAGAACAGTCGCCCGACCATTGCGTTTTCAAGTCCCGTTGAAATTGACACGGAATATATTTGTCAAACGTTGGGAAATGTAGCTCGTTTTGCTACTCTCTACAGCAAGTATTGGAAAATCCCCATTTACAGCGCTTACGAGTTACCCGAACCTGAAATACCGAAAGTCGGCCCAAGCGGAGAGATTTTAGTCGGGAAAGAGTGTGTGAAAGAACAAAAAAGCCGTGGTACGTGGTTTATCGAACCGCAGGTAAATACATTCACATAAACCGTCCATCACATACCCTACTGTACAGAAATAACAACATTGCGGTTGGGGTTCGGTCGCGGTTCGGTTTCAGTCGATCGATAGAAACCGCAGACAACCGCATGCAAGGGAAAAAGTACCTTCGCAGCGGTCGTTCGCTTCCGAACGAAATGTTATGAACAGCTGAGAAGGACAACACAATAACCAAATCGAAAAAATCTTAAGAAATGTCTGTCAGACCGAGTTAGGACGAGTTTTAACTTCCGTCAGTCCGTCTCCCCGCGGTTGCACCTCTGTCTGACCTCGGTTCAACCGTGATCCGAACCGAGGTTTGACCTAGGTTAACAGTGGTTAGGTTATTTTCTTTCTGGACTGTAAGAAGTATCGATATTGATTCTGTAATTTGGGGGTTCAAAGGGGAGGCGGGCTCACTGTATTTCAACAACCTATGCTGGGACTCGTCTGCTGAAACAGTTTTTTTAATAGAAATAATATATGTGTATGGACGGAATTTATTGCAAAAATCGAAAAAAAGATGTGTCGTTTGTATAAAGAAGCATGCATACGTGATTTTCTAACACCAATCATTATTTTCCTTTTCATTAAGTGCCGCGGAGCATGCATATATAGCGATTTGGTGCGATTTATAGAAATCGCATCAAATTGCTATATATGTATACCCACTTCTTGAAAAGGAAAATAATGATTGGTGTTAGAAAATTACGTAATGAGACAGTCTCGCGGGATTCTCGCGAGACGTGAAACACATGTTTTTGGTTGAGTTTTTAGAGTTGAGACTTGAACGTTGAATTATATCTGTCAATAATATATATAGTGTTATTAATCACATTATTTTTTAAATTAGTAAAAATGTAAACAAATTTGCTGATTGGTCCTAAAACGAAATTCCTTCTTGGTCCTATAAAGACTTTTGTAATGGAGAATTATATATATACTGTATATTATAAATAGTATACTATATATAATATACAGTATAATTTTTTTATATTAGGGATGGTGTCATCCGATTGATAGTCATCCCTGCATTTTGGTTTTGCTTGATTTTTAGTTCTAATCATGCAGTTATTTTTCACAGTTAACCAACGATAAAGTTCGACCTGCAAACATGGCAACAGCGGGACATGAGGCTAAAATTTTCAAAGAGGTCCAAGCGATTGAGATTGACTATAGCAACACTGGTTTTGATAGAGGTCACCTAAATCCGGCCTCTTACAACTGTGATATAGCACGAGAAGCTACATTCACTCTTACAAACGCTATTCCTCAAAACCCTTGTTTCAACGAACAGACTTGGAAGAATCTGGAGCAAACCGCTAAGGCAGCGATGAGAAACATGTGTAATTTCCCAGGTGCCAAGCGATATTTTGTAACCGGAACAGTTCCACAAAATAGAATGATTCCAAACAAAGTACACGATGCCGAATCTGATCGTAAAAGGGAGTTCAATCGAGTTAGCGTACCCAGTCATCTGTGGACTGCAGCTTGTTGTGATTCAAGTGGGGCGACCGATGTAACTAAAAAGGCCAACGGAGGATTTTCGTTTGCCTACTATGGTGAAAATATAGCATATTCTTGCCCATCTTACGTCACTGTATCTGAACTGGAGACTTGGTTGGCTCGTACGACTAAAGAGATAAAGAGCATTAAGATTTTTGCCGACGACTGCTATAAAACTTCTGCAAATTCCAAAAGAGCAGGAGCGATGATTGGAAAGGTGATGGGAGTTCAGCAGAGCAATGCAGGAGCTGGCGTGGTCTCGATGAAGCCATGCACTATTCCACCAAAAAAGAGGCCACAGCCTCTATCATTCTAACATTCAGGAATTGGTTAATATAACTTCATTAGTAAAACAAGCTTCTTCAGTGGTGGTTATATCATGCAGTCGGTTAAACTTATCAGTCGTAATAAATATTTACCCATATAGCTGTAGAATAGAATATAACACGTGAACGCTCTACAGCCTCTACGATAGTTTAATGCCTTAATTTCATTCATTTTATAACTTCTTCATAGGTTCCATGAAGAAATAATATTCAGAAAGGGCTCAAAAAAATTAAATTCATAGTCTTACGTCTCACATAAATCACGACCATTTCATCAACGTCCAGAGTTTATTCTTTTCGCCAGTCTTCATCATGTGGCTTGTACAACGCGTTGTCAAATCGAGTTAATCGTCAAATAATCGACATCTAAATTTTCGCCCAAACACGTGTTGCCAGTTGTGTATCCTCTCGAACGAAGAACAACAGTTTTTAAAAACTTTACACGAAACATTCCGCTAATGTATCAGTCCAAGCACCCCATGCCCATATGCCTACCAACAAAACAATTCAACGCCACAATTACAAATACCTCTCCGTCCTCTCGCTCAAGGTCTACGGCTACTACCTACCGTTGGCTAAACATATGTGTCAAGTTCATAGAATTAACGATATGGCTTTGATCAAATTTTCAACACTTTCCGTGCATTTTTACATCAAATAATACTGACCATTCGTCATTGGGCTGCTGCCTCCTAGTCTACGCATAGACGGAATATGGCGGAAATACCTCCAGGCAAGTTCGCAACCAACCTCGCAAGCCAGGCTCTTTTACCTACGCTCCACGGCCCACGCTGCGGCAAAGACCCTGGTCAAGGCTGGTCACGTGATTCTTTTGTTACGCTTCTCCCGTGTGGGGATGGGTGGGACACAAGTAGCGCATAGATCACATTAGTTAAAACAGCGTGTTTCTAAGGACTGAATATTGAGCGCTGTTGTACCGCAAAGCGAAATAACCTGTGTCGTTATTGTTATTTGACCTCTAAATTTGCTCATCAACGCCCAAATTTAGAAGATAGCACAGGCCTTCGAGTTCTGTATTGAATATCAACTGAACTTGTGACGATACTAAAACCGATTCTATCGACGATGATACAGTCTACACATAGCACTTGGTTTATTGCTCTTTTTAGAGATACTAAATTCGGTTTATTGCTCTTTTTAGTTTTTTGCTGCGCCACACTAGCTGTATTTATTTAGTTTATTGCGTGAACCGCTATTTTTAGTTGCGTTAGTACAAAGTCATCTGGATTGTGACAAGTGCTAAAAATAGCAGAAATGGTATATCGACTTTGCCACTCCTCCCATGGATATGAACTAAGCGCTAATTAAAAACCTCCCATATTTTGGGAGGTCACATGACCAGCCTTGACCAGGGTCTTTGCCGCAGCGTGGGCCGTGGAGCGTAGGTAAAAGAGCCTGGCTTGCGAGGTTGGTTCGCACCGCGAAACATGAGTATTCATCTATGAGGGAAGTGACCACCCACTCCACTGGCACATTGCCAGCGATATAATAATCCGTATATTAGAATTATTATATAGCTCAGTGGAAGTGATCTTTAATGTCACGTGACATCACCTGATCCAAATGTCCAATAGAAATTGGTTTAGAATTTATGCAAAAATGCTACAAAATAAAAATATACAAAATATGTTATTGTAACAAATTATAATTCAACCAGCTCTACTTCAATATTTTTCGTTTTTCAAGAAAAATTGCATAGTAATCGAGAATGGATTTGATATTGGAGAAATTGGATGAATACCTTCTAACGCCGTATGTTTATCCGAGTAACTGGCCTGAGGACGATGGGAAAAGACAGGTTTTAACTTTGTTTCTGCTCATGAATGTAGGCGGATGGCTGCTGTATATTATCTCGGCATCTCTTAGCTATATCTTTATCTTCGACCGCAGACTAATGCAGCATCCACTTATACTAAAGAACCAGATTCGTCGAGAAATTACAGTTGCGACTAGCTCAATTCCGTTCATGGCTGTGCCAACCGTGTTTATTTTTCTGCTAGAAGTGAGAGGCTACAGCAAGCTGTACTGGTATGATCGCCCAGAGCAAACATGGGGGTATTTTGTTCTGGAGATTGGATGTAGTGTTGTATTATTTTTGCTGTTCACTGACTTTCTTATTTACTGGATCCACAGAGGATTGCATCACAAGAGTATTTACAAGTACCTGCATAAGACACACCACTTATGGAAAGTACCTACACCATATGCAAGTCATGCATTTCATCCTATTGATGGTTTCCTGCAAAGCTGTCCATACCATATTTATCCTTTCCTTTTTCCACTTCACAAGATTGTCTACCTCAGTTTATTTCTTGCAGTTAACTTTTGGACTGTCTCCATTCATGATGGTGACTACCGTGTGCCTGAAATTTTGAAACCTTTAGTGAATGGTTCAGCCCACCATACTGACCATCACCTGTTATACCACTATAACTATGGACAATTTTTTACGCTTTGGGATAGGATTGGTGGTTCATTTAGAAAACCTGATGCATTTCAAGGACAAGCTCCAATAGATTACATCAATAAACAGAACTTGAAGAAAGAATGAAACACATTTTTTACATTTTACAAACTGTTCATTGTTTGCATGATATATTGAATTGCAAAAAATATAATAACCAACAGACATAACATTACAGTTATTTAGACATCCCTTAGTGAATGATACAAAGAAATATCAAAATTGAGGGGGGGGGAGGGGGGGGGGCAAAAAGTATTATGTAGGTTTCAAAATTTGACAATAAAAGAGACTAAAGAGATTGAAATTGCATCACTCTGAATAGATGTTCTATAGAACAATATCAGAGAAGATTGAAGGACGCACTGTAATTGGTGTACACTGTTGTGGTGTCCCTGCCAATTGTTTGTTGCAATTGGTGAAGTTCAATAAATAAATTAATAAAGGTTGGATAGAAGAAGTGATGTAGAACCAGGAGTAGGACAACTGTCATCTGCACCTTGCCACATCAATTTTTTCAGTTTCTGATGGTTAGTATTAGGATGGATGATTAATATTAAGATGGATTATTTGATTGTTAGTTTACTCTTTGCTATCAAGTGTGAACTCCAATGACGTGTAATAAAAATTGTATGATTTTAAAGGAAGAATATTTGTACTTTTTTAAAGAGTTTAACCTTCCTTCGGTAGGATTTCAAGTTTTGAAAACCTTCTTCAAAATGACGTTACGTCACTGAGTCAAGTGTCGTACCCGCAGTTTTTTTGCAACTCTGTCTATATAGCCTGTACTTATTACCACTGGCCGGGCAGTATATAGAGAGTGACACAACAGCAATTGCTGCTGTGATCTTGATTCTGTAAAGAGATCGAGAGAGGCAAAACAAGTACCGGTGTATAAGTCATATCGCTCACTCAAAACGCATGCTCAGTGCTTTCCACTGTTGCGTTTCTTGCACGCACGTACACGCACGTAAAAGTTCAGTTAAAATAACTTAAATGATACTTATAAAATCTACGATTAAACAGATGTATAGGATTGGATTCCTTTCAAGTTTTGGTGTATTTTTTCTGCAATAAAATTAATAAACGCGCCAGCAGCCCTTATGTGCGCGCGCAAATTGGCACATTTTAATGAGCTAGTCACGTATAGCGACAAAAATGGATTGCTCATGTCATGACCACTGAGTGCTCATGGCACTGAGGAAATGAAAGGCATGGATGATTTTCTCGGTTTTATCCAGGGCGCTTTTATATATATGTAAGCGCCCTGGTTTTATCCGAAAACATACCTAGCCAGCATTACTCAGTCCGCAAATTCATCAATTAAAAAGACTTAAGAACTTATTCTTTTGCGCTTTTTCGATGCATGCAACCAAACATGTTTGAAAGCATGTTTCACTTAATACCGGAGCAAAGTAATCAGTTTGGATATTTTTGATAAGATCGATACCTTTTTTCCTATCTTTTAGATTGATCTTTTGTCTTGGAAGAATCGGGTAATCCTTTTGATACGAATGCGGATGTTAACGTCCCAAAAGGGAATGTCTCGCTAAACGAGAAGCTAATAAACACAAACATTCCCATAGCAGCCCAGGAAGCATGCCTCCGTGCGAGCCCATTGATTGAAAAAGAAAACTTCTGGCCTAGTATGTTACATGTAAACCATGACAGCCAAAAGAGAATGCAAAGCCATGCAGAATCTCTGCCCGGAATTACAAATATAGAAAAGAAAATAAAGAAAGAAGGCGCAGAGAGATGCGAGATGACAATTATTGCAATCTAACCAGCAGTATCAAATGTACGAATAATTATTATGAAAAAACCCCAAATCAAAATAAAGCTATGTTACCAAGAAGTTGCTGCTTGAACGAACCCTCAATTACGGGGTCCAGATCAATATAGCTCAGTGGTCCAAATAGATATTAAAATCAGGAAAAATAACTTCTCTACCCAAAAAACCCATAACTCGCGAAATGACAATGTCCGTGAATGGTGGCATACTATTAACACAATGTCAGGCAGAGCGAAAAGTTAACCTCAGACTCAGTTTACAATCGAACGTGACAGAAAGTTATTATCAGTAGCGTAGCCAGCCTGTCGATTTCTCCCGCTATGCTAATATTTTAGTGTTCACTGACTGTGAAAACAATAGATTTCTAAAGACATGAATAATTATGATAACTCGAAATTTACATAGCGCGACAAAATCGTCAGGCTGGCTACGCCACTGGTTATTAGTGAGCTTAAGCAAGCGACGTTTTTGACAACACAAACGGCATGAGTAACGCCAAAAGACTGGGTCAAGGATTGTGATTGGTGAAAAATAAAAACTTTACTTCCGGTCAACGTACGTGTTGTCAAAAACGTCACTTGCTTAAGCTCACTAATTATCGGACGGAGATGCTATGGTGGCCTCTGGGTACACATGGCCCGGGGGTGTTTGCATCAACCCATCTCCAAATGCTTTTCGTGATTAGATATGACCAATCAAACCAGTCAAAAATAGCTTCATGTTACCCTGTAAATTGTAAAATGGTGTAAAAAGTGCCCAGTTTTTTGGTGTCACAATTTTCCTGATGAAAATTAATTTTCTCCCTACAAATGATTTTGCGAGTATTGTTTCTATAGCAACAACGCGTGGCGTCATATGACCGCGCTCGCTTCGTCATCGTCGTGGGCCGTTTCGTTCGCATATTTTCGAACTAATTTTCAAAACGTTCAATGGCGGGTATCTTCAAACCTTCGCGACATTTGTTGTTGTATTAAAACAACTCGTGATCTCGACCATCAAGGGAATTTCAAGTGGATATTTTTCGACTAATTTGCAAAGAAGAACATATTGGACAAGTGTGGAAGTGGTTTTTGTTGCCTCTAAATATACAGGGAGCATTTGAAAGTCGAAGGCAAACTAAAGGGCGCAATATTTTTGTTTTGACGAGAGATAATAATTTCTTGCTAAGGATTGTCTACTTGGAAATTAACTGAACAATACACGGCTGACAAGCGTACAAAATGATAGTTTTTATTGATTTGGAACGGGAAGTCAAGTAGAATTATTTTACTGATAACATTCTAAAGGTAAGTTTGTCCTATAGTAAATATCTTCGGCCTTCGGGTGTTCGACTAGCCATATTGTGTTTTGTTTGGCTGGACGAAGCGTTTCTACTATGCCGGCTGAAATATCGAATTCGCGAAATGCGGATTGTTTTGTATGAATACCGTTTCGTAATTGAACGCAAATCTCTCGCATGATTATTCTCGCCAGTAGACGTTCCTTCGGAAGTTATCAATGCGGTAGACGTGTTTCCTTCGAGTTCAAACGGCCGACAAAGTGCTGTTGTTTCGCGGATGTGATCAGAATGCCAGTTTTTATGGCAACTTGGCCTTGACCTACTTTCGTTCGATTTATCTGCGCGTTTGCCGCTGAGAAGTTGAGAATATCATAAAGAGCAATCCTTGGGCGCATCGGTGCTGTATATGAATGAAACATATTTAAAATCGGCGCCGCACCGTCGAAAATACTGCAACACAATTCTCCCGCCAAGTCGGCCATATTGAATTTTCTTTCGAAGCGGGGCATAGAATATTTTTTTGGCCATTTTAAATAATCGTTGTTTCGATCAATTTCAGTTGAAAACTTTCATTTTACGTGAAGCAGAACAAATCATCGTCGAAATTGAAAAAACATGAGAATGTTCGAATTTCTTATTGATGTATTGTGTGTTATGATAGAAAAAAAGTTTATTTTAAAATCGTGGATTTGTATTATTCTTTTTAAGTGTCTCAATTCATAGAACGTTGCTGATTGAGTATTATTATTATATAGATTCTGTTTTTTCCAAAGATACTTTCATTAATGCTTTGGTATGATTTTTAATGCCTTGTAATCATAGATCAAATGTCTATATTAAAATTGCATCAGTCCAACGAAGACCTTTCATAAATTTATCATCATACCGTATTAGGTGATATCTTAGATTAATGCTGTCTTGCCTAATCCTCTTTGCACCTAAAGTTATTCCATGCTTGGAAATAAATTAGTTGCTGCACAAATACTACAACTCCAGAGTATTAGCTAAACATTGTACTTAAAACCATGGTATAACTTTGCCCTTTAGTATGAAGCTGTACAGCAAGTATCATGTATACTGCCAGACTGCCTTGAATTCTTTGATATTCAACAAAATTCTTATATGCCAGATAGTTGTTAGCTTGTGAAATTAGCTGGTAATAACATACCATTTAAATTAGGCTAAGGTGGGCTTTTAATTGAACAATGCTCTGTCATTTAAGTAAAGATTCCTCTTTATTATTATACTGTGATTTTAGGACAAGAATGCAGTTGTGCACATTGCACATTTGTCTATATTATACTGCAGTAGACATATTTTTTGGCACTTGAGCAGGGCCTGAAACCACAACTACCACATGGGTTCTGATAAGAGTAATAACAATAATTTCAGGGTTTACCCTGAGCTCAGACAGCCAGACAGATTTTGTATATGCAGGAATGTAAATTACCAATGTTAAATATTAATTACCCCTCAGCTATTCAGAGATCAAGATAGACAAACCAATAGATATGTCAAAAAACTTCTAGATCTCGCTGATGTTCAATGTGTTTGTTTTTCACATCATTTACGGTCAATATTTATATCTTTGTTTACTTTATTCAACAGCATAACTTACTGTAGCTGATTATAAAATTTATTTACCACCTAAGAATCTAGTATCCCTAATGCTCTTTTACGTCCAAATCCAACTCAACTTATCACTGATGTGTTCAAATTTAAAGCAAGAGTTCAATAAGTAAATATCTGTGGTACCTTATCACCTGTCGCAATATGCTTTTCTGGTATCCCACATATACAAGGCTGTGTTATATCTCTCATTTCTTACATTGATGATTTAGCACTTAGCAGATGTTCTATATTAATAGTTATTATTAGTAATATTAATTAATAGGCAATTCCTAAAACCTGTCGTTATAGTTGATTAGTTGTCAATTCCACATACTCAATGTCATGAATCATGATTCTTCCTTCATAACAAAAATCTTATTCAAATTTCACAGAGCTTTGGCATTGTATCTTCTGCTATTATCAGTTAAACAATAACTCTTGTCTAACTCTAAATAATAGGTATTAATAAGCTTTGAAAAAAGAGCCAAATACTGCATCATGTGGGAAACAACTGCATATTTACAGTAAAAATTGAACATTTTTTGTACATTATGTAGCAATATTGCTTGTCTAATAGAGACCTAGCTGTTGTTGTTTTATGTTATTAGTATTCTTAAAATATCAACAACTGTAAACCACTGACCTATATTATTAGTCAGTGTGTAAACCTTCGCTTCCCTCTAGTAGAAGTCACTGAGTGTCAAAATACAATTGAAAAACATTTTCATTTGTTGTTCTTATCCATTGAAAAAATAACTACAGAATGCATTGACAAACTCAGCTATGTTAAATTGAAACTTGTATAAGCATTAGTTTTTCCAGAAATTCTAGCTGCATCAAATAGCGATATGGAAGACTGCTCAAAGCGTTTTGTTTCAAAAATTAAACCTTGTTTTGTTGTGCCTTCCAAACAAATACAAATGGACACGAGATGGCAAAACTGAAAAAATTCTTGAAAGCATATTGTGTTCTTGAATTGACTATGTGTATATTTTATAGTCAAAGATCGTAATTACGTCTCAACATTTTAACATCACAACGTTTTAAATTTAGAACCACCTTAAATGAAATAGATTTCAAGTTTTACTCTCACGAGCCACGTGCAAAGATGCAAAACATTTGCACAGCTTGTGAGAGTAAAACTTGAAATCCGTCTCATTTGAGGTGGTTCTAAATTTAAAACGATAATATTGTGATGTAATTACCGAAAAGGCCATTGCATTTTGCCTTAAACGTCCCAGCTGCCGTAGCAACAACTGCTAAACCTAATTCTAAGTGTATTTAGCTCTTGGTACATTTCTAAGAAGAATACGTTTTACAAGCATTTCGTTTTCGCTGAAATGCGGGCAATTTTTAAATCAATTACGCCCCCCGCCGGCATTGTTATGAGCAGAACCGATGCGCAGAACAAACGTTACCTATGACATTACCTCAACGTTATTAATAGAGGTGAAACTTCTGCGGCCAGTTGTATAAAACTCTTAACTACATTTTGCGTATTTAAATGGTATTTAACCCAGAAATTCTGGTTTTGATTAGTCAATTCTGTCACTAACTATAGTTAAAAGTTAACTACCTCTTTATACAACCGGCTCCAGCCCGTAGTAAAGTGCAAAGACAGGTCTGACCTAGCCTGAACACAGACCTTCGTTGTATTAGTTTGGTGGTTCGCTTAAAAGTAGATTCACTTTCAAAACACTACAATGTTGCTGAGGTTAAAAAGCCGCAAAGAAGACACGATAAGGCAGTTAAACACGAATTTCAAGCTCGTTTGAACGCGCGCTGCTCTACACTGACTGTTCATAGATATAGTATGCAATGTTTTTGCGTATATATTTGATTCTCGAACCATGTCAATTTCCGGAAGACTTGTATTATTTCAGGGAAAAAAAACAATTGTCGAACATTAATTATATTTCCCACAGCGAGTGATAAGCGAGAAGAAATATTACCTCACCTACTGTAGCTTGGAGTGTATATACTTAAAATGTACCTGAGCTCTCGAGTGTATATGTGGGAATATCATTTTCGAATTATAGAATAAACAAACAAAGAGCGATTTCACTTGGCTGTAAAGATATCACTGTACCTACACATGCACGCAACGTGCATGAATGCGTTTTCATGGTTCTCTTGCTTTGTGCAATCATTCATCAAGGTTTCGATCGACTGTATGTTTGATGTTAGGTTATACAACGACTTCTAAATCCAGCTGGTTTTCATGCTACGACACATTTTAAGGTATATTGGCAAACATAAAGTTGAGAAGAATTGAAAAGCGGGTGCAATAAAAAAACATTTTTTTACAAGCTAATAAGCGGAGTCGAGCTATAATTATAAAGCTTGGGTTTCGGTAGTATAATTCCGTGTCCAGAAAACACACATTCTGCTAGAGTGAAGTTGAGAATTTTTTGGGGGGGACACCCCGTATAGAAATAATTAATTAAACAAACATGTTGTTTAGGAGGCAGGATGCTACCTCCGTTATCTACAAATGAACTATGAAACTCGTTTGGTGTTAGGAAGACATCTTTAGCGTGGCACAAAAATGGCTGAGTCGAACGATGAACGGACTCAGCCTGTGCCCGATGCTGCAAATGCAGCGCAAGCGTCATATCGTGATCCATCAGCGGCGCCATTGAGGAAACTAAGCGTGGATCTAATAAAGACCTACAAGCATATTAATGAGGTGAGCCCGGCTGGATTTTGTTGTGGAGATTTATGGTATAGGTGTTAACAGAGGAAAATTTTCTGGAAATCTCTTGATCATAGAATTGTTGACTTGGATTCTAAAAATTAACATTTTTTAGAATTTGCCATCAGCCTCATTCCAGCCTCACTCCCCGCCGTTTTTGCTTTTGTTTTTGCCGCCCAGCCGAAGTTTCGATTGCACGATTGTTTTCCCGCCTTCTTACATCCTCCCGCAAAACCAACCAATGATTGTCAACGCTTTTCCCGCCTTTTTACAATCCCCTTTTACTTCACATTCAAAGAAATTTCCTTTTTTGTATAGGTTTATTATGCAAACAAAAAAAGGAAAAAAAGAAACGAACAAGGTAGTGGCGGGAAAGTAAAAAGATTGTATAATAACGGCTATGATGATGAAAACTATGATTATATCATACGAGCTGGAGATATGCTTTCAGATCGTTATAAGATCGATTCTTTGATTGGAAAAGGTTCCTTTGGACAGGTATGATCACAATGCATGCTGGTATCATATGGACTATAGTTCTGACACAGTGTTATAAGTCAGCAGGTTCATTTAGAGCTCCGCTCCTGCATGAATCGCAGGAGCGATTTCTTTTTTGCCTGAGGACCTGAGTTGCATTTTAGCAGATCCTTACCAAACAATTTTCAAATATATTTCTTTCCGATGAAGATGAACGCCAACATTACTTCTTCGGTAATTCCCTGCCGTCATGTTTCGCTACGTAAATTTGAGTTAAATAATATTCATTTCTTTAGAAATGTATTTTTTCACAGTCAATAAACACCAAAATATTAGCATAGCATGACAAATCGTCATGCTGGCTACGCTACTGGCCCTGCTATCCTCGGCCTGATAGTGATTTTTAGCTTTAGGACGGGAATGTCGAAGGCGATGTGAAAATGGCAAAAATATAGCGCCCATATATGGACGTGCCATATCGTTTATTCCCCATATTTATGTCATCTTCGACGTTTTCGTTCCCGAGCTATGTAAATCCGTCTAATGAGTAGTTAATCATGATCGGCATAGCACTATGGGTTAGGCAATTAGGCATAGCTACTATAGATTTCAAATAAAATCGACAAAAATAACCAATATACGCACCCATCGATAACTAATTATTTTAAAGCACGGTATTGACTAAATAGCCGTGATAAAATAGCCGTGTTCATCTGATTTCTTTTGATTTCTTTTGTCGTTTTTGCGTACAGGTGTGCAAAGCTTATGACCTTCAAGAAAAAGAGTTCGTTGCAATCAAAATAATCAAGAATAAGAAAGCCTTCTTAGATCAAGCTCAGATTGAGGTGAAACTGCTGGAACTAATGAACCAAAGTGATCCCGAGGGAAAATATTATATCGGTAAGTTTGCGCGCAACGATGTCTTATGGGGCGTATGGTCCGTCGGACACAGAATACGTATTATCAGAAGTGTAACTAGAGATTTTTTTTCGTGTCCTCAAATTTTCCCAAAATGCACACGTTATGCACACGCCACGACACTTGCTGGACTGATGGCTGCCTGTGAATTTTTTATTTTTTCTGCCGTTTAGCTTCTTTTTCAATCAATTTCGTCTTCTGCAAATGCTGAAACATTAGTGAAATAGGTAACACGGCATAGGTCATAAAAGCAATGACGCAATGTCAAATAACGACTATCACGCAATAAACACTTGCCAGCAAGATGGCCGCCTTAGGATATTTTTACCACTTTCGTCTATGGTCGTACGCACCAGGGCTGGGCTGCCTGTGACGGCGGGTTCTTATCGTAGGATGCAGCTTGCACGTGTGGTATTGACGTTAATAGATTCTTCACGAAGATTCAGCGGTTGATAAGTTAGTTTACATGAAAAATATAACACTTCGACGTGTCAAGGAAAGGCGGATCCTGCTATTAGACTTTAGCATCCTGGCTGCTAGACGCATTTCTAAAATCGTCCATGCTCTTATTTTATTTCTGAGGTCGTCTTGATCACGGATTATGCAGACTTCGTGACGTAAAGGTTCATGCGTTATAATCCATAAAAACATATAATTAAACGGCACTGAAATGAAAATAGAAGTATTAATATTTGATTGCTTTCGAAACTGAAACGGTGATTTTGAAGATGTTCTTAGTGCTCTTAGGCATACACTTGAGGCTCGGTTAGTGATTGCAGCAATTTCCCACAGTATATTAATAGAATCCAGCTCGTTGACGCACGTCCGAACACAGCCGCAGCTCACGAAATCATCAACATTTAATGTGCGGTGTGAATGGGACTCGATAGTGATCCTGAATGGCAGGAGTCGATTACGTTTATGCGAGTATATGGGACCGCAAATAATAGCAGATTATTACACAAATTCCTGCGAAATCACTAATGGGCTTCAAATGGCCTCAGTTTACTGGCACTCATCCTCACTTTAGATTGACAACGGAACCTATTATTGACTGATGCAGAATAATGAAAATCCGTCGTGTCGAACGAAATTACCATAGATTCGAAAACCTCGTTAAATTAGCTTCAACAACTGCCTGATCCATAGGAAGACCTTTCTCCGGCCTAATGGCCTTCCTTGCAATATGAGCGGTTTTCCACGAACCGAAAAAAATTTTTCACACGATCTTTTTTTTTCAATTCTGAACAGTCATGTGGGTAATTTCAGACAAAAAAAATCTAGCGAAAATATTCGTTCGAATGTGACACCGCTTTATTTGAGGTTGTTGCCAAATTCTGATCTTTTGTGAGTTGAAAATCGAGTTTCACATTTGAGTACCACTACTGCTACCCAAGCTCGCTGTCCTTTTTCGCTTGTGATTGGTTAATCTTAATTGACATGGCGTACATGATTGGTTCGAATTCCCTCAATGCCAATGGTAGCGGAAGCCAATGTTGAACTTTGCTTGTACAGTGTATTTGGACTATTGATATATTTTGACTGTATTGACTCTATATATCGTTCCTTTTTTAGTGCGCCTGAAGAGGAATTTCGTTTACCGAAGCCATCTCTGTCTCGTTTTTGAACTGTTATCGTACAATCTCTACGATCTACTTCGAAATACAAACTTTCGCGGCGTGTCGCTGAATTTAACGAGGAAATTTGCTCAACAGATGTGTACCTCCCTGCTATTCCTTTCACAAGCTGACCTTGGTATTATACACTGTGATCTAAAACCCGAAAATATTCTGCTATGTAACCCGAAAAAGAGTGGAATTAAAATTGTCGACTTTGGTAGCTCTTGCCAAATTGGACAGCGGGTGAGTTATGAGTTATATTTTTTGTAAATATAGATGATTACAAACATAGTTGGAAGTGTAGGACTGTGTGGCAATAGGATTGTGTGACTTTGCAATATAACCAGGTATAAGCGTCCTCGGCCAATTTTGGGCAGTTGTTAATTTGTTATACACCACAATAATACTGTGTTATAATAATGTATATAATAATGTTTTACACTAGTAATATTGTTCAAAACTAATAGGCCCGGTTCAGGCTCTTACAATATTAAACAATAACATTGTTCTAACCTAGCGTGAGCTTGGGCTGTTCTTTTTCTAACCTAGCGTGAGCTTGAACTCCCTGTGTCTGTGAGGCCTCATCATCGTCGCGTTTCGCTAAGCTACGTACAGGTTTAAATGACACTCCCGAAACAAACGAATAAATAGATTAGTCAAACATTTATTTATCTGCATGTTTTTTTGTTTTTTTATAAGCGGATATTTTAAAGCCTTAACGATTTCTACCTGTAGAGTGTAAAAAACGCGCGACCGTTGAAATCAGCTATAATATAGTTATAATCTTGTTTTTACATTATAGCTGCAGTTATTCGTCGAAATAATTTCGGCAATACCCAAGACTAAGCTGGATTCTGTCTATATTTTATTTCGGCGTTGTGTACAAAAAAAAACCGCCGAACGAAGGCCACGACCGTGGAAAAGTTTTTTGACAATTTGGCAAACGTTCGCCGTATTTTATGTTTATGCGAATGTCAAGTGTGTAATAATTTCGTTTCACCTGCTGATCAATTGCGATTTTCTCATTTCGAACTGTTCCTTTTTATTTGTTCTGGTGTGTGAATTTAAAGAAAGAGAAAAAATGATAACTGAATTCTAATGAGCTGAGAACAAAGCTTGTTACAATCAGCGTGTAAAGCACGTGGTGAAAACAAAGACTTAAGGAATATATATTGTATGGTAAATATTATAATTTCAAGCAGAACTTTGTTCTATTGCGACAACCATGTCAGACATGCTGTCGCTTGTCGGTCCGGTTTGCTGCAAATAAAGCTTGCTGGCCGTAATAACGAGTGCATGCGTGTCATTTGTGATTAGATCTTGATATTACAGGATTTTGTTTTTATTGTGAATTTCGCTTTAAGTTCAGGATTTTTTGAATTCGCAAAGCTGCAACAAGAGATATCTTTCCAATGATACTCTTCCTATTTCATAACGGCAAGAAATAAGATAATAAAATAATATAGTTTAAATAATAAAGCGAATCAAGGAACCATTTAGGCCATGGAATTAAATAAAAATTTTCTCCCGCAATTCCTTGTTTTTTGCGGAAAGGGCACAGCATCAAGTTATGTAACTTTTTATTTGTATTTCATGCCTAGTGCTGTTTTCGTTTTAGATCTACCATTATATTCAAAGTCGCTTTTACCGATCACCTGAAGTTTTGCTTGGTATTCCCTATGATATGGCAATTGACATGTGGAGTTTAGGTTGTATATTAGTCGAAATGCACACCGGAGAACCTTTGTTCAGCGGGGCAAATGAAGTAAGTCGTATTTGTAGCTATTGATGCAGGCCTGTAAATTCTGGTCGACAAACAACTACATATTACACCGACCTCAGTGGCATTGCCAGACCTACCTTCCTATCAGGATGCTGTCATTTACGGAGCTTGTGAAACGGTCCCGCAAGGTCATAGTTTTAGCAATTTAAAAAGATCTTTATTGTTCAAAACTATTAAATTGTGTCATTAACCATTAGAGAAAGGTTCACTAAAAATGTCTCACCTGCCAACCATCACCTGTCGACCAGGCAGGGGGGTTCATGTGTTGCGGTTGTGCGAAACTTCGGTTGTTTAATTAAATGATCCCACGACAAGAACACTCCGCCGAAACCTTTCTAAGAATATAAAATCAACGGGAAAATTTATTTGCAGTTGACAGGACAAATGAAATTGTGTTGTTTTTGTGTTCGTAATCCTGAGGCCAGGCAAGTTAGTGCGAAAGTCGACAATTTCAAAGCAAAGCATTTAGGTGAAACTCTGTTTTAATCTCTCTATAGTTTGACCAAATGCAAAGGATTGTGGAAGTTTTAGGTATCCCACCGCGACAAATCTTGGATAACGCACCGAAGGCAAGAGCATATTTTGATCGTCATCCGGATGGTAGTTATGTTCCTAGAAAAACAAGCAAAGACGGTAAAGTAAAGAAGGTGGGTATATTTCTCGTGTACCAAGTTCGGTGTAGTGTATTGTTTTATAAAAGAAGAATATGTATGGTGGTTTATGATGTTCGCTTTTTAGCATTAACATACTACTTTGCATTTTAGGAAAAATAAATACTCTCGCCTGGGCACACCTAAAATGGTTCTAACTAAAATTTTAGGTCCCCTTGTACCCTTACCAATGTTAGCGTTATTGTTGTCATTTTATGATATAACTGCCCGCTATATATGAAGTATATTGGAATCTTACTGGCTGAGCTATCCACCTTATGTAAACTCGTTAGACAGCAAATTCTTGAGAATGCAAAGCAGCAGACTGTTTTTTTTTCGTGGTAGATTTGTTAAATATGCTAATTTGAACACTTGCTCTGTAGGAGTATGCTCCACCAGGCTCAAGAAAACTACACAATGTGCTCGGTTGTGATTCTGGAGGACCAGGTGGCCGTCGCGCTCGTGACCAAGGTCACACGACTCAGGATTATATCAAATTCCGAGACTTAATACTGCAAATGTTAGAGTACGATCCCAAAGTTCGAATTAAGCCGCATATTGCACTGCAGCACTGTTTCTTTAGAAGGACTACGGACGAGGGAACTAATACGACTCCACTCTCACCGACCACTTCGCCCTCAGCGAGTGGATCGAGAATGCCAGGTTCCTTCGGCCAGGCGACGCCAAGTTCTGGTGTATATACCGGTGACAGTAACAACACCGCAAGCGAGGGGCCTAGTCGAGGGTCAGCAATGGACTGTGATAGTCCCTCGACGAGAGCAAATGCAACATGGAGCAATAGCATCGTTGGTTCACAAACCATGGACACTCCGAGTGGTAATGTTTCCAGGACTAAAACAAACAATCGGAACAGCGAGTCCTCGACGACGACGAATTCCAAGAGCGCGCATCACACAAGAAATAAAACGAAGCAGAACGCGAAATATGTTAACGATAACGCGCAAAGTTCTATGTATGTTGACCAAGCAAGTGCTGAGCAAGCTCCAACAAGGTCCACTCATGAAACGTCCACTTCGAATACGAGGATGACATATACGGAGTCGGTTACTAATCCGAAAAACCTACGAGTAAAACATGATGTTAGCAATAACGAGTCTCCCATGGTCGATGTTTGTGTACAGCCTAGCACCGTCGCCAGCACCTAAATGGCCTGTACGTTGATATCTTGTTGATGTAACCTTAATGACCATTACCGTCATTCTGAATGGAACGCAGCGAAGAGTAATGGAGGTATAGATTTGAATGAACTGGAGTTCCAGAATGACAGAAATGGCACTGCTGTAAAAGAGTTAGAATTGCCTTTGTATAACATCAAGAGGGGTTGCGGCTTACGGTGTTTACGGCTGCTTACAGAAGCATATCCTAAGGCGATGGATTTGTCTTTTTGAATCAGGCGAAGATCCTGCCTTTGCTTTGCCTTTAATAGCCGCCTGAAATTGTGGTGGTGATGGTATCAGGGCGGAAATTGAATGACTATATGGAGGCAAATATTGAGGATTTCAACCCGCTTCTAATTTTGCCAACAGAAGAAACCACGATGAAAACGAGATTATTATAGGAAAACGACACCAAATAGTCGTATGAATGGAGGCCACGAGCTGGTAGAGGGCTAGAGAAAAAAAAATCGTATCGATTAAAGTTGGCAAAAAAGAACAGTGTAAGCAGATACGCCACTCTGTAAGATGCACTACTTGCTAGCTGTGATGATTTTGAAATCACCAAAATAGCACACAAATAGCACGCGTTCTAAATATAACTTTGCTTCTGAACCAATTGCCCCACTAATAAATTACTGGGGCAAAATTCGTCCCCATGTTTCGTGGTGAACGCATTAAACTACGAGGAGTAGACAACGGCAAGAAATTACACCAGAAGATTGGTAAATGCCACGGCGTAAGGATTTTTAACAATTATATAGGCTAATATATCATATTTCGTTTTTAACTAGTATATAGGTTGAGAATTTATTTATTTTACACTATACTCGCTAGTCTTTATAATGACATTTGACATTTTGTCTTGCCATGATCAGGAAGATCAACTTGAAGTTCATATAATTTATCTATGGCAAAGTAGGCTGTCATTAATTGCAGTTTGAGAAGTTAAAACGTGCTTCACAAACCTAGGAAACTTAAAACTTGCCAAATGCGGATTAAATTCTTTGTAAATAGTCGAAGTCTGAAAAAACTATTGCTATATTTTTTTAAAAGTGACAAGGTAGAAAACTAGAAGGTCCCAGGGGCCAGGACACTTGCGCTGATGTTACACGAAAGCTCTAGCGGTGTTATACAATGATTTATTTTATGACACGCTTTTCAGGCCACGAACTGAGTAATCTGTTTGCAGAGTCACATACATCAATAGTAGGCAAAAGCCTACAAGTATATATATATATATATATATATATATATATATATATATATATAATATAATAAGGGATTGATAGGCCGTATATAGAGTGGCAATCATCATGCAGGCGCCTAAATTTCACCTTAGTTTGATGACGTGCGACTTTCTTGTTTGCGCGTGCGTTTAGAGTTTCCTGCCCAAAAAATATATGATATGGAAACATTGGTGCACTTTGTTGTCTGCGGATGACTTCAGCGAGATTATCAAAAACAAGATGGCGGAATTCAACTGAAGGTGTAGATTACGATGGCTTTCACACATTTCACGTGATTTGATTGGTCTGTTGCGAAACAAAAGCCCTGCCTGACCTCTATAACAAAATTCCTCTTTGTTTAATGTAGGGAGGTGAAATTAAATTTTGCTATACGCCCCACGGTATTAACTGCATTCGTGCATATTTGGGAAATGATATATCACTGTCTTAATATTTCGACTGCCGGGACCAGGCCAAGGCCGGTAGGATGGATGATTTTTTCTACTAATAGTTACGCAATACATTGCACGTGATAAAGTACTAACAGACCCAACTTCCATTACTTATTTTAATAATCACATTGAACTACCCTGCTGTACGGTGAAACTCCCTAAGAAAACACCCCAAAAGTTGTAAAGCAGTTTCCACATTTCCTGCGCACAGTCAGTACAGCTGATGAATCGCATAAATGTTTTTGCTCTCCCCACACGTAAAGAAAATGTTAACATTTTTTGTACTTTATCGTGACTGGCAGGATTGCCTTCGACAAGCTTCAGAGTACCAAATGCTCTCTAAAGTCTTGCAGCTAAAGCCAACTGCGTTGAGATTGTTAAACTAATCACGCATTTCAATAATTGTAACTGTTAACATAAAGTCAATGTTTTCAGGCAAACCATATCAAGAACTGACAAGAAAAGTTTCTTGACGATACCCATTGAGGGTCTTTTTCTAATCATAGTCAATAGAAACATGGTCCACAAATACCATATACTTGATAAGGGTGCTATATTGCTATTGCCTCCTTGTTTAATTTTTTAGGTAATTCATAATCTTCGTTGTGGAAATGTTTGCATGACTATGTTCAAATAGTTTCTAAATAAAGTTGCAAAAAATTGTGGGTGAAATAAATATACGCAGTTCACATCGTCCTGAAGGGAACGAGATGCTAAATAAATTAGGTTATTATTAGTGAGTGAATTTATAATTCAGAATGCGGCTCATGAACGGGTTTTGGGTCGATGCGACGGCGTTGGTCAAGTCTTGACTGCTTCTTGGCATGAAATGCGGCATGTAATCGTGTGTGATGATCGTGGTCGGGCTCGGGGTCAGTCGAGTCATCGTCGTAACGCTTATTATCGTCGTCGTCATCGTCCGACTCAGGCTCGGTGTCTTCCCATGGGTCCAACGTTTTACCATCCTCTGCTCCCTCGTTGCCTGACTCCTCTTTCATCTTGGCCAAGAAGTCATACCCTTCAAGTCGAGGCTTCCACTCCTTTGTTTTCAATGCATCTAATATTAATGAAGGTTAATAAAGAAGTCACTAAGTTTTAATCCAAGGCGAACTTGGCTCCCGCGGGGGTACCTACCAGGAGTATTTCTTAGCTTATATACAGAATGATGCATTTATGTTACTTTCGAACAACAGAAGAGAACAATCAAAAAGAAAATGCAACCCAAACAAGAAAAGAAAATGCATGGAAATGTTATGAACCAGTTGGAACAAGACCAGACAGACATAACATGGTTGCATGGAGGAAACACGAAGTCAGGAACAGATGCAAAACAGAACGAGACAACCAAATAGGAATACACAAAACGAGGCCAGACAAAAAAAAACAGATTGGATAAAAAAAGAAAGAAAAAAAACAATAGATGAGGTCAAAAAAGAAACAGAACGAAACAAGACTTCATGAAAACTGATAAAAGATTATATTTACGTGTAAACGTTTCCGATCCAGATAAACAGGACTTAATCCAGAACACCAATTTCTCCTTCTGCAATTCACCTTTGTAGTTGTAGGTGATGCCCTGAAATATAACTTGTTGAATTCAATTTTCTTATACCCTTTTAACCTCCTTTACAGCAGCATGAAAATAAGTACAATGCAACTACATACGATAATGTCGGTTAATCTGAACACATGCGTTTAAACCAGCATACCATGAAATAGCCCTTTTTCACAATGACGTCAAACGCAGAAAGCCTGATGTTACACGAAGTTCGATTTGCTCGATAGTTTTGTGGAGCCAATTAAATTTCGTGTATAGACTTTCCGCGTTTGACGTCATTATAAGAAAGGTCTATCAAGACACGAACCTTCTGGTGGTAAACAAGAACAATAGCTGAGGTCATATCAGATTTGTCTTTGTCACTTTGCGAGTAGGCCATCAATATATCACGGTTCATTTCAACGGAACTATCAATATTTTATAATTATCAGTTTGTAGTCTGAATTTTCAATTCGGAAAAATGATTGAACGAAAATTCACTTCTCTAATTATTAGGCGTCACATCCACGAGACTAGAACCATACCATATATAGCTATAAGACTGAACTGGGTTTTTTCTTATTCGGCTTTATAAATTCTAAACAGTGCTTCCAAAGGACATCACCCTATATACGTTGTTGGTCCAGTGTCGTTACCACGGACATTCCTACCGGTATTAATAGCTATAAATAAACAACTGGCTAGGTGTGTGATTGCACCGCAACCTCTTGAGAGGTAGCATCACTACCCTGTCTTTGATCCACGTTCTTGAACAGCTAGCTTCTCAGTTCAGAGATTAATCGTTCACTATACATTATAGTCGTGGAACTAACATGGAATTTAGCACATGCAGTTGTAGGATGTAAGTACAAACATATAGACCCCACTTTTTTCATCAGAATCGTCATGCTTACTTACATGTCAACCCAACAGAAATTCACTCCACCTGTTTCGCCAGATTTCACAACATCAGCGATTAGCGAGTTGACATCGACATTATCTTTCTTTATAAATGCAACCAAAAACGGCTGTCCTTTGCTAAAGTACGCCGGGAAGTTTAATGGTGTAAGTTCTCCCTAAATAAAGAAGCGAAATCCTGCTTAACCAGTGCTCAAGTATAATGGAAGTGGCGACCCCGAATCGCATTTTTTTTTAACTCAGATGGGTTATGCTTGGGTGATGTACTTTTCGAGAGGTTTTACGTCTCGTGCAACAATTGCACCCGTTTCACCAGAAAAGCGAGTGACAAATATCTAATGCATATATGGTTGGAAGCGAACTTACATAAACCGGAAGACTTGCATGTTTAACAAACTGAACAATGGCCTCTTCTGTGTACTCCCCATCATACACAACCTTGCTCTGCAATGGATCGTTTCTTTTTACTAAAACGATACTTGGCACTGGCACACCAAGTTTTGAAGCACTATAATAAAAAAGACTCTTTGCAACGCCCGTTAAGGTGCCAATAATGGCATTTTAAACGGTAGAGATCACAATAAATCGCTGGTAGTAAGCAGCAACTTTAATTTTTGTCATGCAGACTTGTAGCAGTCATTCAGGAAACCTTATACTCGATTCAAATCGATCGAAATAGCAAGTTAATTCTGATCGTTTTAATAAATCTGAACGTAATGCTCCAAATTGAACGCAGCTCTGTCGGCTTAGATGCATCATAAGGGCTATTTCCCAGGGGGGTTTCGTCACACTTTGAAGCTGGGATAAATATCAACAGTATTTTTAGGAGTTTTTACAACAGGTGACAATAAAAATACATACGCGTCTGAAGCAACTTTTCCAGTTGCATATCCACATAAAAACTGTCCTTCCATTGCGCGCGCAGCAGAGGTGAAACTAGATACATCTTTAAAAGAACATAAAAAAACAGAATTTGTTAATAAATTTATCATTAATGGCAGAATTATCGTTCTGCTCTTGTGCAAAGATTCGTTTTAGCCGTGCCGGACAAACATTCATCTGATTATTGTCTGTGGTTGAACGAAAATGACTAAACGTGTACTTACAGTCGCTATTCACGACAGAGAATAGCCCAAGAACCGAAACATCAGCATATAGTATCGACGTCATTGGATACTTTCCTTCTTGGAATCCAACAGCCTCTCCATCCGAGGATAGTTTCAGTGGTGATGGGGCCTGAAGTCTGATATACAGAAGATGTATTAATTAAACTAACTGATTGAAATACAAAACTGGACTATTCTAAGTTTGCGTCTATTCCAGCACGAATCATATAGGAAATATCAGTGTGAATAACAAAAATAATGTAAAATCATTGTTTACAGAAACTCGTGTGCATCATGCAATGATTTTTCAAAATACGTTGTTGTACACGTGAACACTACGAAAGAGATGAAATTGCCGAAAATGGACAGACAAAGCCGCGAAAACTTACAGTTTAACTGTTTTCACCAAGCTCGATTCATCCAGAACACCATTATAATCCATCGGCGGTTGCTTTCTCCTAAAGAAGAAGAACTTTTAGCGACGTACTTTAGTAAACTTTATAAATAAAAACGTCACTATATACCCAGTCCCCCCTCTTCGACTTGACTGATCAGTGATCACTGTAATCACTTAAAAACTTATCATTCTGAAGAATAAATTTATTGAGCGGAAATACGAATTATCCCTCTCTCCCTCCCTCCCTCGTGGTTGTCATTTGGAAGTATATTTCCCTCCATTGTGGAAACCCTGCACCACCCCTTTGCTATGCATCTTAACCTCATTGGGTACACATTGCGCGACTTCAGCATGAGCATCACCCATTCAATCGCACAGAATAATCCATGTGTATATACCTGTAAAATCTGACAGTTGGATATAGCTTAATATTTTCCTTGCTACAAACATCTTCCCAGTCAAAACAGTTCACTTGCAATACGCCAATTTTTACACCGCTGCCATCGGGTTCGACTGAAAAATATGTGATTAATCATTGATACCAATTTGCGCCTTTTTTTATGCATTTTGCTCATTCAAACGCGATCGGCGTTTCTTTTACGCACGAGTCCTGCCACGCGTGTAAAGCGCGTGAGCCTATACGCTCAACTGAAAATATATTGTGCAATTACCTATCTTCTTTGCAGCGGCCGCGTAAGATGGAGAAAATGCTTGACTTCTTGCATCCCCTAAAAACGAAGTGCAGTATTAAAAAACGAAAGTATTACGCGTTAAAAACACTTTTAGAAAACAGTAATGTGATCGAAAGCTCCATTATCCATCAGGCCAAATTTGAGAGTACTCGTTGTATGGGCAGCCACGGCATTTTTGTATGAATCGCTCTGTTATTCAGTGTTTATTGCAACGTAAATACATTGGGCTTCTTTGGACGAGCTAGGGCTTTCAATCTGGGAGGTGTGTTTCCAGCTATACTAACGAAATCCATCTACTACACTTCTTCCGAACTTCCACTCAAATTATTACCAAGGTACATCTGCAAGTGCAGCAAAAATGGAATAGGGATAATTACTTACACGGTAGGAAGAAGAAGACAACCGAGGTGTCATATTGTCGTATAGTGGAGTTAAAACTGGTGTCATTTAGTTTAGGTATATGTGAATCATCCACAGCCTTGGTGTAATAAAGTTCATATCCAGCAGCGGCTACTTCGTCGTCTTCTGTCTCTTCGGCTGCATAAAAGCGTAAAAACATAAATGAAAACGGCGATCGAAGAAAAGGCATTTCGACTGAAGGTTAGAGTCAAATTAAATGATCGACTACATTCCTCGATTGATTAAAAAATTGCTTGCCATACATCGTACTACTGTAGTCGATAGTATCACAGTTACTGAATAATACCCAGACATAAACATCGTATCGTAAAAGCCTAAAACTTACGCGGTCTCTCTTCCTCTTCATAGTCCTCCGGCTCTTCGGCTTCTTCCGGATTGTCTTCGTCACCTTTACCAACAACCTTCTCACCTCCGTTACGTATGGACTGGATGTCAATATAATCTAAGCCACTCGCAGGCAATACTTTCACATCTGGTTCACTAAAAAGAAAAACAAATGATTTGTCTTTTGTTAAATTGCATGCATGTATATCATTGAACCCTAGGCCTCTCACGATTACCACTAGAGAATACATATGTACGTTATAAATACTCTGATATAGTATAATTTCAACGACCACTAATCTCTGGGTCTACATCGATCTACTTCGAAAAAAAGATCTAGGGATATTAATTCCCTATTTATGCTTTATTAAAATAAGTGCATGCGACCTCTTGTGGGTGATCATAATTTCCATGCATTGTATAGTTTTTTTCCTTTTTATTAATAAAGTTTTAGAGAACACCACCTAATGTCGTCATTGACCTATAATCGTTTCCTCATCAGGCACTTATGCGTTGAGATCCGCGTGTTTCCTACTAAGATGTATCCTTAACAACTATGATTTCACGAAATCTTTTCTTACGTACTTTATTTGTTTCTCGATAAAGTCAACCATGTCGTAATAACTGGAGGTTCCAGTGTACAAGGTGAATTCGTCAATGGGCTGATCCTTTTTGTGTAAACGTATGGTTGGGTACTTTTCCACTTTCTAAAATAAAGAAATTTCTGTATGAACATTAAGACCGGCGTATCTTGTGACGTCACGTGAGGTCATTAAACGTCAAACTAGTTACATACTGCATAGGGCACACATACTGCTAATTCTGATGGGAGATTTCAGAGAAAGTGATTCAGTGCACTGTGTAATTGATCCACGTATTGCTTTAAATATTGGATATTTGAATGAATGTAGCCTACATACGAGTAACGCCTGGGTTCATACTGGGTACCACTATATAAGCTACGAATAACGTATTCTTAATGGAAGTGGGTAAGAATTATCGTATTCAACAATATGTAAGGCCGTATGATTTTTCGACTGCTCGTACTCAAAATATTTCACGACTGAAATAAATCATAAGGTAAATGATATATAGGTTCCTATATATACACGAACATACGATAGAACACAAAACCAGTATATTATATATACTTACAAATTCTGGAGCCATGCCTCGATCGTTAAAAATTATTGAAAATTTTATATTTCTTTTCCTTGTTCCACTTCGGTCAAAGTGTCGATCATAGGTTCTGCTTAGTCGCTGATATTCGTAGCTTAAATCTACACACGCTTCGACCGCTACAATTCATAAAACAAAGTAACTCAAATGGGGAACACTTCATATATATATATATTATACTGTATACATGTATGGTACGTATATGTGATACGATTTTGTTCAATTCAATTTATTACTGAAAAGAAACCACTCAGGCAAATGAATCTAAAAACTGTACCGGCCCTCTGTCTCCAATAGGTGTTTAGTATAAGGGCTTCGCTACCCGTCCAACCTTATTAATATATACAACCGGCGCCATATACTGTATCAAAAACATACATGGTTTACAAAAGGCAACCAGCAAGTACTCCGTTTCCAACTTCTCAAGCAATGACAAATATTCCACCGGAGAGTTGAGAGTGAGAGACCTGCGTTCAGCTATAGAAAATATAAACAGTATAGTTAAATATAGAATCAGCATACATGCAGATGTAAAGTAAGGATAAAAACCTATACTTTATTTATTTACACGTACATGAATTCAAATATCATTTCTTTTTGTCAACATTAATTCCCAGCACAATTTTCCTAAACACTCGCTTAACCTACTTATATAGCACTTACATGAACTTCCAAATACTTCAGCTGGATGACTAATAAGATTATAAACAAGATCCACCAGGTTTTCTGCGTTCAACGATTTCTCCCGTGACGTAAATACGTCAACATATTCAAACTCCTATAACAAGACACATAAAAATGCCATTGACCTATTTATTTAGAGTGCTATAATATTTTTTGCCAGTTCTTACATATACATATTTGGCGCTTTGCAGTCAGTTTCGTCTGAAAAAGATGCATTCTATAGCATTTCGGGAGTATTTCATGCATCACACTTTCAATTGTACAAGTTAATCTTAACTCTCAAATGTCTCGCGAAAATGAAGACAGAAAGGCTATAGGTTTCAAAACGGGAGAATATCTATCTTACACGATAGTTTGAAATCACTTGTGTTCTTGTCAAGAGTATGGATGTCTCCCACTTTATGATTGCATAAATTGCATGAATTCAAAAATTATTTATTACGACACTTTCAAGAAATCGAGGCGAACATTTGCAAACTTTCCAATAAATTTCATTCAACTTTCACGTAATTATAAACGGCTCGAAATTGTGCTATATATATCTCACAGGTTCATTTTAATGCCTGTATACTCATCGAGCAAACTATTATGCATGAATGAAAAAACAAAAAATTAACCAAGAAGATGTAAGATGCAGATGTATATAGATCCAGATGTAAGATGCAGATGTAAGATGCAGATGTAAGATGCAAATGTAAGATGCAGATATATAGATCCAGATGTAAGATGCAGATGTAAGATGCTGCTGTACCTGCGCATCATCGTCTCCTGATTTGTGTCCAGGAATAAACCCAAGCGCGGGAAACGCACTATCCTCTGCCAAACCGAAGTGCCTCAAAAACCCAGGATGTTTTTCACTGGAAAATAAAACGGAAAACTCGATTATAAAAAAAACAGAATTATAGTTCGGGGGTTCGATATTAACTTATACACTTGATCAATATTAACTTACACTTGAACTACAATAAAGCCAACTGCAGATCTCACTTTCCTCGCAATTTCCTCGAGTTCAGCTCGGTATGCCTCAGGGTCCTTGTGATTCCTCACAAACATATACACTCGATTGATCGGTATAGATACGACGTCTTTGTTTGTATACGGGGTTTTCTCGTCTTCCCCAAAGATAACCTGCAAGATTCAAATACAGTCATTATACATTTGCTACAAATTAATTCCTGAAGACGAAGGATTTTTGTACCAGTATACGCATGCAGAGTCCGACCACCGAAACTTTGACAGGTCAGTGCAAGTTATTTCGTTTTAAGCTAAACAGTGAACTCTTTTTGCATCAATATTAGGAATTTAGGAACTTTGACAGGTCAGTGAAAATTATTTCGTTTTAAGCTAAACAGTGAACTCTTTTTGCATCAATATTAGGAATTTGGTGTTTGATTCATCTCAAAAAATTCTTGAGAGGTGTCATTATTCGCTACATGCAATGCATGAAATTTCGAAAATCTTGAGAACGCGGTCAATATATACAAATATATATAGGTACACCCCATGGGGCGGTTGTATACGAAAGCTGGATAGCGCTGTCCAACGGATAGTGTTTTTTTTCAATTACTCCAAAATTGTCCGTTGTTTGGTATAACCTGGTAAAACTTAGTATTCTTAAATTCGTATCATTAAATTGGTAGCCTTAGTATTCTTTAACAATATTAGCTTTAAATCTGCAGTTTTGCTGCTTTTCAAACATTTTTACATGCAACGGTTGAAAAATCACTATATCCATCCAAGTGGATAGTGCATGTATGCAGATTTCGCACAACCGCGGGCCCATGCAGTTGCATGTTATATCAGTTTTTTCGCACTGCTGTAAAGGGCCTGTTACCTACGGTGCAATTTTCTTGCAACTTGCAATGCATGCAATTCTACTTTTGAGAGTTGTAAATTTAGCAACTACCGAACTTTTATCTTGATACACTTCATGGCGTTTCTTACACTTACATTTTGAAGTCTATTCACTAATTTACAACTCTCAAAAGTAGAATTGCATTGCAAGTTGCAAGAAAAATTGCACCGTGTAACAGGGCCTTAAGAAATAATCAACACAACTGATACGTTGTCCAATTATGTCCACCAGTTTCATTCATATTCATGCAGACTTTACTGAACAAGAGTGAAAACGGTTGTGATTAAGGTATATACACGTAACGTCGCTTACTGCTTGTGGTAATGTCAATGATTGAAGAAACGTAGCCAAAGATATTACTCGGAACTCGTTATTGTAATGGCGGACGTCGCACTTTCCTTCTTTACATAGGAATGCTTTTAGTTTGCTGTCGGTTCCATATATATGCCTGTTAGCGGACAAGAGAAATACAGTTTTATTTAACAATTAGATATTTAGATTATTATAGTTTGAAATTTCTTGATGATATATATACTTAACTATATTGATATATAGCTAACATCGACGAATTTATGACGAAAGAGAAGACATTTGTTATCTTTATAATTTATATAGTAGAGCAGTACACACGGTTTCAAACATTCGTCGAATTACAAGATAGCAGTTGAAGCTAATTTAACACATTGAGCATATTTTCCCTTAGATCGTGTGAACAGGGCGTCGATCAGCACGATAAACCAAACAAAATCAATTTTGAAAACGCTCGAAAACGACGCCCCTGTGCACACATGGCCTAACTAGCGTAATAAATTCATGTAATAAAGATCGTGAAATACTACATACATAGGAGTATGTAAAATGTGGGAGTCTTATTTGACACATACTTGGGTAATTTCGTGGTTAAATAGAATTTGAACGTGTCCCCAAAAGCAAAGGCCACTTCCAAAAGATTGCGATGATCTGAAAGCAGTAATAATAATCAAAGAAAATAACAGTGAAAGGAAGGAGTCATCAGGCAGGTTTTTGACTATTGCTCACACAATTGGTGTTCAGTAAATTCATAGTGATCCGTCCGTGCATACTTATACATGCAGAGGATATTATACGCGCGGTTGCGCGCGCAGATATGGATTTTATGTTTGAGTGGTAAGAACGACATCTCACGAGTGGGCGCAACGAGATTTCATTCTTGCCACAAAAACATCTTTTTGCTACCGTGTAGGCGTGTAATGTTCTGTTCATTATATAGACTTATACTTGGACTTAAGCGGGAATATCAGTTCCGCATGTCACTCCTACGCGTGACATGCAGAAAATACGCGCACCTTGTCCCGGATGTAGTATAGCGTAGTAGAGCTACGCTAGAGTGTTTTAGTTCCCAGTAAGGCAGTAAAATACCCCTGATCATATAATAAATGTGTTTATTATATGCATGACAGCTAATTGTACTTCACTTCTTTGTTTTTCGTCCAAAATATATTCCCAACATATAAACATTCAATTTGTATATCAATTCATATATACTTGTGTTAGGGTTTCTCTTTTTGTTAAAGAGCGCTCATATTCAGCATAGGAAAGGGCTGGGTGTGGTCGTAGCACACGGCCGTCGACAGAATCAAAATTTGCTGCCTTGCCATGCATATAAGCAAAGCTGTCGCCCAATTTTTACTATTGAATTTTATACTGTACCTTTCATTCCTATTTCTTTGACATTCGTAACAATTACATTCTCTTTCCCTCGCGCATCAGCCAAAATTTTTTCGAGATCTTCTTCGGTTTGCACCACAATCAACTCATCCTTCAATAAGAACCTAAAACCCCAGATTCAAGCCGGTTAATATCCCCCAACATGACACTACAAGACTAGTTTATAACTACAGTTCTTCCGTGAGCAAAAAATTGTGCATGATGTTGCCAGTAGATAAGTATATATAGTTTGCCAGTTTTGTTCTCATGTTGTTCGTGTGGTGTTTGTAGAATAGGCGAAGCAAGCTAGCCCGTTTAGCTTAAACGGTGGATAAAGGTCCTGTTACAAGGTGCAATTTTTCTTGCAACTTGCAGTCTTGCAATGCAATTCTACTTTTGAGATATGTATATTTAGGACAATAATTTCTATACTGTAGTATCACATTTTTTTGGGACTCACTGTATAAATTAGCCAAATAACTTATTAGCATTCTCAAGAAAACAAAGAAACACAAATGTAAAAAGGTGAAAACAAGGAGGACAAAGGGCTACGCCTACGCATGACTGGATTCACATGCATAGCAATCTGCTTTCAAAACATTTTCGTACAGGGTGAGTAAAAAAAACTGACACCTTTGAAATTCAAATTAACTGTAATGTGACAGAAGTTGCCTAAAATATATCTCATGGGTATACGAAGCATATCAAATAAGTGAACCATTAATTAACCTAAAACATAAAGTTTGTTCCCTTTGGGAGTTAAAATGCCTTCTAAGCTCCGTTTTTCTAGCACAGGCGCCACGTTCAGAGTTAGTTTAATTGGTTTAAACACTTTCGCATTAATTAACCACGTCCTGTTGATTGTACAGGGTGTCCCCAAAAAAAGCAACCACTTAAATATGCAGAACATTATACAGCTCTAAAGCACAATAGATAAGCACCTCTGGGAATTGAAAATGGCTCTTAATCCTTCATTTACAATGCTAAAAGTCATTTTAGCTGAACTATGGTGCAAACCCGAACATTATTAATATTCTTGCATATTTAAGTGGTTGCGTTTTTTTTGGGACCCCTGTACACATGGTAATGGGTCTGTCATGGGGATTGTCAAGTTCCAGCCATAAGTTCGCGGCTAATTTGACTTTCAAAGTGTCAGTTTTTTTTACTCAACCTGTATAACCATGTCGTCAATATGCATTCGTGTGTGAACGGAAAAATAGCCAGGCTTGGGCAGCTTTGGAACCAGTTCCATGTGGAATTTAAACAATTCCGGTACAGGCGGTACTGAGTGAGGTAGACTTTGCTGGGGATATATCATATATAGTGTATATATCTACACAGCAAGCGTTTGTAAGCCGATATGAATTAAAACAGCGATGCATCTAAGAAGCATATGCAGGTTCAGGTTGAACATCAAGCACAAGAACCAATATCAGGTGGTTTAAATTCAAGTAAGTGATCTTATAGTACTGTAACTCAATGTCAAACGATGCCGAGCATAATGTACAAGACGAAACGATTTGGTCCAGTTTCTTCCTGTGAACACGTAGAACCAGGCTCAACCAGCCAAATTTGCATTCATTTTCACTTTGTGAACTACTGAACAAAACGAATTCGAGCACGGTTCCAAATTCATCCGGTCTCGTGTGGCATAGCCTAATTTGTGGTTCATTGTACTAATGTACTTGATGAGTACTGAAGAATTTTCCAAATGACAGTTCTGTATTACGATTTACGACACGAAACTACAGTCTACAGCTTTGATAAGTGTGTGAAAGGTTTTCTTTCCGTGGTGTTCCCGGGGGGGAAAAACAAATTTCTTGCGATTGATAAAACGAGTAATCTAGACGCTAATCCATCATATATATACAACGCATATATATTAAAACGTATTGCATTTTAACACTGGGTTTGCAATATATTTTTGGCCTTTTGGGACCGACTGTCGCGTTTGGCGCATTTGCCTCATTGCCTGCCCGGCCATACCGCTATTTTATTCGAACCACAGCCCACAGTGTATTTAGCATGATACGGGTGTAAAATAATCCGCATATAGATCGCGTCGAATTTTAATAAATCTGGTTTTGCAAAAGAGCAAAACTGAAAAGTCCATTTTCTAAAAATAATGTGAACGAAAATTGATTTGCATAAATTACATCACATGTACAATTTGGCGCCGTTTCGCATTTCCAGAAACCATCAAACGGCGACAAAAGGCCGCAAACCGCCTATTTTCCGTAATTTATATTTCAATTTCCTAAATCCTAACTTACCGATGCAAGATGTTTGCCACAATGGAGTGTTCGTTATTGAGTTTCTTGATTGGAAATGACTTCAGTAGCTTTTCATCTCTATAGCAAACAAAATGGCGAATGGCTTTACAGGTTATGAATGCAGTGAGTATTGATGTGCGAGAGTTTATGATGTAAATGAATTTTGAAATGTCCACAAAAGTTCCAAGAAGAAATCAAAACATTTTCGCAAAATGAATTCCAATTGCACACATTAAATCAAGTCATATAATCGTTCATAATGTTTTTTTTTAGTCAACTGCAGCAATGCATGGCCCTGATAAATGTGATTACCCATTACTAAAATTTATTTATGTTATCTAATGTTCAGACTGATCTAAATAATAAATTTGTTGTGCCATCAAATGAATACAATTTTGCATTGTGATTGCCTTGCACTATTCATCCAATGACAGTATTCATCAAATAAACATAAACACAAATAACACAAATATTGGTGGGTCTGTCCATCTCAAAGACAGAGTTTAAAAAAAACAAAAATAAAAGCAATGTGTAATCTTGTTCACCTGTGTAATCGACACCGCAGAAATTGGTGTTGGAAGTCAAATATCTCATCAGTTGCTCACATTTGAATCCTAGTATTCAGAAACTGCTGTCAAAGAAAATTCTATCAAATAAGTTGAAAACAAGTTCAATTTTTCTTCCAATATCGGTTTTGGAAACTTTTGAAGGCTCTTCGTATGCATCTGCCACCGTAAAATGGCCATTTTAAGACATTTTCAGACATTTTCAGATGATTTGTTTTTGCCGTGTGCAAGCTTCAAATCTTTTGTGCAAGAGATATTTTGTTGAGTAATTATAAATCTTTTAGCTTGCCGAATTTAAAGTCTAAGTATTGAGAATTACGGCTAAGTCTACCAATTTCCGCGGTGTCTGTGTAATCTAAATTACTTATCGAATGTCACCATGCAAACATTCAAGAATATTATTAATGTGTAATCTGTTTGAAGAAAAAATTTAAATTAAATTCCTTTAGGTATACTTACTTAAATACAAATAAACTGGCATCAGATGGCTCTGAACAATACTTGTGCCCAACTGTGGAACAATTCACCTATTAATAGTGTATTTAAATATAGAATACAATATTTCTTGTTGAGCCAATTGATGTTGCCATTAGGGGGTATTTAGACTTATAATAGCGCTCATCTAGGAAATCACCATGTCAGGAAGTTTTTTGTCTTTCAGAAAATGCATGTATCCACATGTATGTGTTCAAAGGAGCATATTTGACAAAAACTATTATGATAAAATGTATTTTACTTTAATTCAAAGATAATTACCATATGCTATGTGTGGTTATGCATAAATAAATTTAATGTGCCTGCTACATTTGCTATGCATAAATAAATTTAATGTGCCTGCTTCAGCACATACTGTAAAGCAATATTAAAGCATAGTTGTAGCTACTATACCCAGAAGGGTAGAGAGCACCTATATTATGTATATTCTCTATCTTTCACAGGCCCTTGGGAATTACTAAGGTTGGCTTTTCTTATATGCCTTGTACAATTACTTCTGTTTGATTTTTATTTACTCACTCAAACAAATGAAAATGGGTGCTGATGCCACCCACTCAATTACCCAAGTTTACAATACAATATCAGAGTTAAATGGCCAAAAATCATGCATATAATTGCATTGGGACCCTAACTGAGCCAATGAATTGCTGTGCTCTGTTGTACTTAACCACTGATAAGTCTAGTGTAATGTCCAGTGTAAATTGACCCACTGGATAAAAACATTGGTTAAATACATAGATATATTTTGCACCTACTGTATTTAAACCGCTTGGAGTCTTCTTTGGTTCAAACAAATTATCGGGTAGAATCATGCACCAATTTATACAATCATCTACATCTGTGTAGGCTTTTAGGCCTGAGGTGAAATTAAGACAGCTTTAAGCTGAAGACAACTAAACCTTTAAGTGCTTTTTCTTGTTGACTTAACATGCCTCAAATACTTATATATAAATATAAGACAAATTTGGTGATCCATGCGCACAAATTTACAACCAACTCTACACCACCTTTCCAAACTGTACTCCATACGATTCTAAGCTGATAGATGATTGGGTGTATTCCTCTATAAATAACGGATATTTCGTCTGTGCGTCTAAAAAGGAAATCGAATGTGTACAACAGATATAACTGCAGTTAATGCCCTCGTATGATTTATTTGCGCAAACAAACGTTAAACTGAACACACTACACTACAATTTCAATCGAAACTAGTCACTGTATACCTTTTGTCTCGAAATAGATAACTCTAATATCCAGCGTTCTCACAAAATCGTCGATCTCGTCCGCCGATTTTAATTCGACAATATCAGCACGGCCAACTATCGACAGTACAAATATTATTACCGGCACAACTATGACTTTTTTCGCTAGCATGTTGTCGTAATCGTCAAAACGAGAGACATATGTGTTACAACAATGCTGCGCAGAAGGAAACAAACACAAATACACACGTTCCTGTGAAAATCGGGATTTTTGTTTATATCGAGTTGCTTCATTAAGCTGAAGGCACGTCGTGGACCAATAGAATTACACGATATAATGACATACACTTTTAGCATTTGTTTACTCTGCGGGGTCTCCTTTGCTTCCGCAGAGGTTTGTAAAATTAAAAAAACAGCATTTTGAATGTTTTATTTTAAATCCTAAAGAAAGAAATGATATATTAGAATATTAATTTCCACACAGTGTGATTAGAGATATGCTAATTTTACTATGCAGCTGTACGTGGAATACAAAAGAGCAGTAACCCCCAAACATTCGGAAGTTCCAGCTGGATTGTTGTCATCCGGTCATCATATTAAAAAGACACGTCTTCAGCAAAGTAATGAACCAGGCCAAATAATCCGGAAACGTCTTTTTGCAGGCCCTCGTAAATCCCTGGGAAAAAGTATATTTTAAAGTGGCAAAACAATATCAACTTCCTACTTGTACTCTCTTGAGCGTGCAACGTGTACACCACTTTTTAAGGATTTAACAATTTAACGTAAAGAAATTAACGGTATCTTCCGACGTGGCGACGTCCACTCAAAAATTTTGGTTAAGTTTTTTCGGGTAAAAAATCCGCTTTTATAAAATGCATGATTCAACGACTAAACATGTACATGCCATCAGCTATTTGTGAGCTAAACAAAGGTGTACATGATGTACGTTATGTGCCGAAGACACATGTGGAAATACCAACTCGTCAAACAGTCGGCTTCTCCCCCCGATGGATCGCCGCCTCTGGTTTCGCGATTGATTTAGGACCTGACCTGACTCCTCCGCAGTCCCTTAGTTGGACATTAATAGATCAGTAGTAATATTTATAAATATAGATATTTATAGATCAGTGGCTAGGAAAAGTCTCTAATGTTTCATCTTGGCGCGTTCCTTCGCGCGTTGACGCGCCATTATATAATTATAACTAGCAGTAATCACAGATTAGTGATGTGCGTTTGGAATGTGTTGATTTCGATTATAATTATAATTATTTGTTTGCGTAACACCAAAGCGACTGGGGACGAGTCAGGGACCTGACCTGAGAACCGGATTTTTTTCGAGATCGATCCATGCCCGACACTGATTGTCATTCCGCCTCTGCAACTAGGAACGGAGTTAAATCATCAATGTGTTTCCAGTAAAATTGGATACAAGAGCATTCCTTGCAATTTTCGTTGCACGTTTTCGGCACAGTATAGCTAATAGGTCAAGAGTTGCAAAAAAGCTGCGGGTACCACTCGAAGGAAGGTTTGCTTTGAATGAGGTTTCCGAATTCCGAGGAAGTTTCAAAGTTGAACACTGTAATTTGATCACAGGCTTGTACCAAAAACCAAATATTTCTTTATGCTGGTTGCCACTTGACTCATTGACGTAACGTCATTTTAAGGAACGTTTTCAAAACTTGTGTCATAAAAGTTGCGCAAAAGTGAAATAGTTGTTATTGCCAAGTAGAATGTTATGTTAAATCTATTTGTTAAGTAAAATAGTTGTTATTGCCAAGGAGAATGTTATGTTAGATTTGTTAAGTAAAATATTGTTTTTGCCAACATTATGTTGGAACGGACGATGGACCTAACAAGATAACGCAGAAATGCTCCCTTCTGGGCGAAAGAGAACGGAAACTTCAAATTGTATGCGCCAAAAGGGAGTCACCAGTTATTATAAATAGAGAGCTAAATTGTACGAACGAGAGATTGTGAGTAGATTGTCAATAGATTGTGAACTTTTCGTGAATAGATTGATGATTAGAACCGAAAATTGAATGTAAACAGATAGAGAATTAAACGTAAATAATCAAAAATACGAATTAGAAACAAGCGTGTGCGAGCTTCCCTGAACGCGATTGTGGGCAGAGTTCGCGAAAACTTGAAATCCTACAGGAGGAAAATTGAACTCTTTTTTGCAACTCTGCTATAGGTACAGTATATATAGTGAAATCCAGCCAATTCGCGCTGCCTAACCGCAACCAGTAACTAAGTTAAAGGGATTAAATGGAGGTTACAGTCGCTACTGCGCATCGGTTCTGCTCATAACAATGGATAGTCTACTTGTTTCAAAATTGCTCGAATTTCGCATGTTTTGCATATCTCTGAACATAAACACTCTTTCATATTCATGTCAAATATTCTGACAAATTCAAAACTTTTGTTTACATTTCGGACTGTACCCCACCTTTAAATATACAGCACCGGGCTGCACAGTAAAGTAGCCCTTACTGTTCATGTTTTCAGTAATTGCGTATAACACATGCCGTGTTTCAATGTTGTAAATCGTTGTTTTGTTCAATATTAGTTTCTCTAAAACAGCAAAATATCTCCAAGCTTTTTAGATTATGTTTGTTCGAGAGTTGATTTACGAGTGAAAATGCATACCTGCATGAATGTGATCGTACAGATCCAGTTTGCAATTTCATCAGCGTTTTCAAGCCAAGGCTTTCTAATAATGGTTCGAGTGGTTTATGGCCGCTTTTCACATTCAGTAGACAGTAGACTTTTCACATTTAGTATAAAAGCTATCGCCTACATCTGTTGATGACCGCTGTTCTATTGACGTCCGAGCACGCGTCTGGCAATAGGTGTTAGGCTCACCCATCCCACGCTGTTTCAACAAAGGTGAGATTTTGACTTGCATCACATCACTAGAGCCCCGTTTACACTACCCTCAATTTATCGGCTTGGCTAAACTTGACACATGGACTATACTTTTAAATCAGTACTGAAATTAATTTGCCAAGATAATTGATGATTTCAAATGTCGGATTAAGAGAAAGGAGCATAGAACGTAGAACTCCCTTCTAGAATGAACGGTTGTTATAAATTAATGTTTCCTTCCAGGTGTTCGCCCTTGATTCAGTTGATTGTCCCATGCAGATAATAGTAAAATAGTTCTAGTTAGTAATGTTTCAATACATACATACATCATTTATTAGAAGCTCCTCGAAAGGCTTTTCAGCTCTAATTTACACTTCTTAGTAATATACTATATATCGATATATTTACAAGGGTTTGAATTAATTTACAAATATGTCATGGTAATATTTTAAAAACTCCAATTTAAAACATTGGTTGAAATTTACATTAACAGGAATTACTTATTTAAGAAATTCGTGAGAAGGTTTTTCTTCATATTAAGTTTAAAACTTTGGACTGTCATTCTAGATTTTAGTGAGTCCTCAAGGCTATTCCAAATTGATGAAGCCCTATATAAGAAGGACCTTTGAGCTTTAGAAGTTCTACAAAGAGGTTTATGTAATTGTTTACTCTGCCGTGTTACACGATTACTAATCTCAGAACGAGTAACAAACTTTTGACATAAGTAATCAGGTGCTAACTTGTTCATACATTTGTACGTCATAACGCAGTCCCGTAGATACAAGACATCCTCGACGGGGAGCCAATTCAGTTGTTTTAAAGGCAGGTGTTATGTGATCATATTTACGGGATCCTGTCATTATGCGAGCAGCAAAGTTTTGCACTGTCTTAAGTTTGTAAATGTTCTTTTGACTTGTTGAGGACCAAACAGTGGAACAGTAGAACAGCTTGGAGAAGACATAAGATTGTATTATCATTTCCAAAGTTGATTTCCTAAATAGGTTCTTGATTCTATTTATTTGATGCAGTTTCTTCATACAAGATGATACTGACTGTTTGATGTGTTCATCAAATGATAGACTTGAATCCATAATTAGGCCAAGATCTTTAGCATGTTGCACTGGTTGTATTGTTTTCCCAAAAAACGTAAATGAGGTACCGGCTGGAATGTGTTTCAACATCTGCTGTGTTCCAAAGAACATAATCTTTGTTTTATCTGGGTTAGCAAGAAGGCAATTGTTACTTAGATAAGTAGCAACCGTGAAGAGATCATTATTTACTGTTGTTACTACATCTTGTAAGTTTCCAATACAAAATGATAAAAACAGTTTGGAGTCATCTACATAACTTTCGAGTTTGCTATTTAGCGGAATACAAGGAAGATCATTAACGAATAGATTGAACAATAAGGGTCCAAGTATACTGCCTTGTGGAACTCCTTTCGTTATGGGAAGTAAGTCCGATATTTCGGCGCCAATCCGAACTGCTTGCATTCGTCCGGTAAGATAGCTCCGAAACCATTCTAGTGTACTTGACGAGATTCCACAGTTCTGTAACTTGCGGAGGAGACAATCGTGGTCAATACTATCGAATGCTTTGCTCAAATCGAGCAAAACAAGAACAGTAACTTTCTTTTCATCAATAGCTTTGAGAATATGGTCAGTTACCAACAAGTGAACGGATTCAGTCGAGTGTTTACATTTGTTGCCACTTTGATGACTTGTAAGTCGATTATGTTCTTCAAGATAATTTGATAATTGGTTAAAGACTATTCTTTCACAAATTTTAGAATTTGTTGTTAACAAAGAAATTGGTCGGTTATTACTTGCAACTTCGCAATCTCCTTCCTTTACATGCGGCACTACTTCAGCGATCTTCCAAGCTTTGGGGAATGTATTGGAGGTGAACGATAAATTAATTATTTCCGTTAAAGGCTTAGAGACAGTTGATAAACAATCTTTCATAACCTTTGTAGTCACTTTATCCATGCCGGGTGATTTATTTGAAGGCATATTCGTTACCACGGTCACAAGTTCTTCTCTAGTTATTTGGCTGAGGGAAAACTGCTCTGGCTCCGGGTAGTGTATTAAAGGTAGATCCTCTGCAACAGGAATTTGGTGCTCTCGTGCTAATTCCTTAACAAGTTCAGCTGTAGAATTGCCCACGGAAACAAAATATGAATTAAACTCATTCGCAATCTTTTTAGGATTTGCCGATTTTATTGAATCGTTTGGTTTATCTGATGTATACCGCCGAATAGTTTTCCAAATGGAATGACTATTGTTCTTATTTTGCATGATCTCATTATCGACGAACAATTTTTCCGCTTCGGTAATCATTCTTTTAATTTCAGTCTGTGCCTCTTTGTAAAGGGCCCAGTCAATATGGCACCGCGTCCTCCTTGCTTTTCGTAAAGAGCGTCTCTCACTTTCATTTGGTCTTTTATTTCGGGAGATATGAAGGAACTTGTACGATGTTTAAATGACATCAATTTAACTGGTGCATGTAGTTCCAATACTGGAAGGAAGGCATTGTTAAATTGTTCCACACGAGTGTCTATATCAGTAACATTTTCTAAATTATTCCAAGAAACTTTCGAGATGTCATCACTAAATGTTTGGGGTTCATACAGCTTGTATGATCTAGATCTAATTTGAAAAGGTTTAGGTTTTGATGCCTTGAGGCGAATTGAAGCTGTTACAGTAAAATGATCGCTAATTGTATTTTCCAAACTGTAGAGCTAATAACTTGGTGTGGATTTGTTGTTAGAATAACATCAAGTAAAGTTGTTGATTCCTTTGTAACTCGGGTTGGTTTTGAGACAATCTGTGATAGATTTAGCATGGTACAAAGTTCCTTTAAGACTTGAGATTCAGGTTTATTAGATAACAAGTCACAATTGAGATCTCCCATTATAATTATGTCTTTACCGTACAAAAAGGCTTTTATAATAGAGGGCGTCAAGTATTGTTCCAAACAAGTTATTTCACAATCCGGTGGGCGATATACAACACAGAGTAAAAACGATTTTAATTTTATATGTTGAATTCTTACCCACAGTTGTTGGAAACCATTTTCCGATGTAGATGATAAATCTGTGACTTCTTTTGCTTTAAGATTATCACGAATGTAAGCACATACTCCACCTCCACGTTTATGACGACGATCGCCTCTAAATAGTTTGTAACCTGATATGTTTACATCCCTATTACTCACCGTTGAGTTCAGCCAAGTTTCGCTCGCTGTGAATATGTCCCAATCGTTGTCAGATACTAATTCGTTAACCTGAATGAAGTTCGTTCTATTCTTTATTGAGCGCACATTAAGGTGTGCTAGACTAACATTCCTTAGGGATTTACAGGCTGTATTTTGTGCCGTCAAGTCTGGTCGTACATAGATTAGATTCGCCGGACATACTTGTCGTCGGAAATTTGTAGAAATCCTTGTTCTACGGGTCGATATTATTGTTGATATATTGCTTTCCTTACGTGAATTGTTCATCGAATTAGCTGGTTTCGGAATAACATTACTAACTGGACCAGGGTTAGGATGAACATCGCCAGAGAGTTGTAATACCTCATTGTAAGTCGCTTGGCCATTTGCATAGTAAAGAGATCGTCTTTTACTAAATTTCTTCCTTACACTTGGATAATACTTGGTAAAATTTGTACATTTCCCTAATTCTTTAGTTATGCTACGTGTGGAAAGAGTAAGACAGTGTCCTTCCATCCTAAAATGTTGTGAGTATCTGTCTAAATGTATTTCAACACCAAGATCAAGTGAATAATCCGCTTGGCTGATTTCATAGCCATGACCAAGATCGGATATTACTGCCAATTTTACATTATATACTGTCGGATTCTTTATTCCAATCGCATAGGGTTGTTCACCAATTGATTCCTCACATTTTAAGTCGAGGATCTGGGCTAAAAGGTTAAATTGAACGAAAAAAACAGCAAAGGTGTGCAGAGAAAACATGACCACAACACCACGCTTATTGCACCATATAACGTTAATAGAATTCTTTTTAATAACCTCAAGTACAATCGCACACTTTCGACACAAAATAAAAGAAGGAATTCTCTATAGAGGCTATATAAATATATAGATTTTTGAGAAAAATTACTTTGAATATTCAAGTAACTATATGCACAATATCACTGGTAAATGTAATCGCATGGGGCCAAATTATGGATTCATTTCACGAGTATTGCAGTATTCCTATTTTAATTTTCGCCCAAATTACCCAAGCTTCGAAGTGGCACAGATAATTCGGCGATAATTGATATGAATGAAATTAATCCAAATTTTTACGAGGAGCCGATGTAATTTCATTTTACATTTTAGCAATATCTGGGTATAATCCGTATTTCATCGACTGTTGCACGACAGATGTTATAGGACCGACACACACCGGACGTGATTTGCTAGCGCAACGCGATTTTTACGAATTTTTCAGTTTCATTTTTCAGTATTGTGATATTCTTAGTTATTACTGAATGATAGTACATTTTGACTGGCCTGGTATCCATATTTCTCAAAATGTTCTTTCAGACTTGAATTTTGTTTTAAAAATGGATCCGCGTTAACGAATCGCGTCCAGTGTGTGCATGTGGACCTTTTGGCGTGATAAAAACAACGAGGATGCAAAAAAAATCGAAGGTGTCTTGTCTGATGACAACAAGATGTCTTATAGTGCGTGCAAAACAGTGAATACCTATACCTCAGATTTTAAACATGTTTTTTGCATTGATGCTGTTTGCACCATGTAGACCAAGTTATCAACTGACCTTATAGTAATCGCGATCTATTACACCTCCTGCAACTATACCTATCAAGCATGATTGTTCATCGTGCATTGTGTGAAGTCGCGTAAAATATATTTCATTCCCGCGTATAAAAATTTAAGGTCTGTTCAATTTTGTCGCATCCAGTCTACTTCTTCATAACGGACGTCTTAAGTCTATTGACTTGTAATGTATATGGGCAGCAAATCAACTAAATGGCAGTGCTGTTTTATCAATAACACACTACATTCCTTACGTCGGAAGTCAATTGGATCTGACAAGGTTGGATCATGCGTAGGAACAAACATTTATGCTCACTATATAGCTCAACGAAAAAAATGAAAAAGAAAATCTTTTGACGCCTTGACTAAATTGTAACTTGAGTCAAGAACATCGTTGAATTTTCTTATATATTTGAGTAACAGCTACGCTGGGTCTATGCTGCAACACTTACAATACCTAATTGTCCTATAGATCGTATATAAAGATTAAAGTCAAAATGCTCTGTTGATGTGAAATGCATTCATTTGTGGTCGCACGCGGTTCTGCGTTCGTGACCTGATTCGTAGAATTTTTTTGGTGGCTTTTTTGAATTCTTCGCTTCGTAGAAAATACAAGAAAGGATCAATGGCTGAATTGATAGAGAGTAGTGTGTAAAACAATGCGAATTTCCGTTGGAATGTTCTGGATCTGCGTTCCTCGTCGTCTGGGGTTGCAGAGAGTGTTAGGATAAACGGCACCCACGTTATCACATACGTCCCTGCGATGATCGCAAGTCGAAGGAGATGGTTGTACTCTTGCATCACATTTTTCTGCTGCCCCGACATTACCGCAAGTCTCTGGCCTCTGATCGCTTTGGTCTTATTCCAGGATATGCGAAACATGTACACATGAAACCCGGCTGTTAAGATGTTGATCATCAGGTAATACGCAATGGATAGGAAAACGGCAACTTTTTCAACGTAGTTTTTTGTCACGGTGTTGATAATCGCCAAAGATATTGCCGCACACCACATGCCCATCGCCAACGATTTCGCGCGAAAGACCGTCATCCTTTTCATGTAACTTAGCGTGTCGTAAATTGATAGGAATCGGTTGAAGGTTAGCAAAAACAAGCTTCCGGCACTGATGATTGTAGTGAAATGACCAAAAGCCAGGAAATGCTGCCAAATGAAAACATGCAGATGTGCAATATACAGGGGAACGCTCACGCCGCAGACTAGGAAGTCAGCTGTGGCTAAACTTAAGACGAACCAGTTAGACGGTATCTGTAGCAAATTATTTCTACTGAAAAGTAACGCTGCTATCACCATGAGATTCTGAAAAGTTCCAATCATAGACACCAAAATCAACGAAGCCGTCATCATTCCCAACTCTTTCGAAGTGAAAAATGAAATAGAGGAAATGGGCGATGTTGAAGTAGTCGTTGAATTTTCGTTTAACGAAGATGAATCAATCGTATAGTGATCAGCGTGCATTTTCTCTCCTATATAATATAGCCGTTAGCACGAAGATCAACTTGAAGCAGATTTCAGGACGCACACTTTAGTATAAACTACCTTGAGTCTGAGAAACAGTTTCTAGACTTAAGTATATACAAGCCAGGCATCGTTGGGAAACTATAAGATCATTTGCGAATTTAGTCATTTCCGGTGTACTAATGACTTCATTACAATTTTGAAACTTGAAAACACATTACGGATGATATTAATGACGTACCCCAATCTAATCTACACTTGTATGAGCAGAGAAGCTGTAAAGAATGTAGACAGATGTTTCAGTTATAATACTGCAAAAATCATTTAACGGAGATCTCATTTAGAGCCTGTATTGTGTATATTCAAACTAGTTATATACTTTTCTATGTGTATATTATTTCTATACACGTGCCCGATGAATAATTGAGACAGAAGATCATTTCGGCCTCCCTGCATGGAAATTAACTTTGTTCAAGCAATCTTATCGTACGATATTTTCACTACTCACAGCGGGAAAAATTGTCTTTCAGGATTTAACGAAAGTTTTTTTACTAGACTAAAAAAATTCATAACCCTAATTCAAATAATTTAAGGACTCCATTTATCAAGATATTCGTCTATTTATTGAGATAATATTAGTAACGCAATCGCACAGTTTCAGTCTCCATGTTTTGGGATTCTTCCGCCATCGCGGAAATTGTTTACTTTTTCATTTTGGAAGCATCCATGGTAGCTAACTATGAAAATATGGGCAAGTTCAAAATTACTTCTTGTCTTTTTGTTTGTACTTTATTGATTTTATTTCTCTTTGTCCTTATAAAACTTATATGCGCTAGACGCGGCATTGTTGAAAACACATATTACATATAGAAGGTAAAAATCCCCTCGAAAATCCTGCTCATACGCCAACCAAGGATTAATCCACATCACCGTTTATGTCTAAATGCCTTTTTTGAATCATGCTACATATTCGGGCAAACGAAGTAAAACAAGATATAAAGAAACTATATATATATGTATAACTATAACTATATATATCTTAATCGCGATCAGGTTTCACACGACGTTAAAAAATTGGAAAATAATGACTGGACGACAGTTAATCACAACAATGACATGCATGCATGCAACGAGATCTGAATTGTGATAAGAATGCATGTCGACCTAACATCCCATTGTATATAGAGTATAATATGTACTACGCACAGCTTCATGAAGGCAACATTTTAGGACATTTAAGTCGTCTATTTAAGATATGTTTGATCGTATAATTATACAGTGATCATATCATGATGTCCTAAAGCTTTTATCATCACTTGGACTTGGTCAGTGTTATGGGGAAATCCATCACAAAATGGATATGTATTTTTTCTTTAAAATTGGCGGAGGCCATTAAAGATTGATAACTTCCAAGGGTTTTAGCTATATCACTGTATTATTTTGTTATGTTTTTTATTATATATTTTTTATATAAAGATTAATACGCTTTAAAATGCATGCCAGTGGTATAAGATATATAATACATCGGAGTCACTACAAAAGCATCGAAATGCGGTTTGTATACTATTGACCATTCGTGTTTTGCGTACTGGCTTTATAAGCCTTTCTCCCATACAGCAATCGATCTGTTAGTGGCTTACCTTCGCCTGGTACCGTCAATTTTTTAATATACATCCCCTTGTCATTCTGACTATGTTACCTATAATCTATATTTCATCCCTGACAGGATTGAAAGTGTCAAAAAAGGACTTCTCAAGTAATAATTTTCCAAGTCCTCCTGATAGAATTGCTGAATGTTTGCGTTTGGATGAAAGATTGACGTCGATTAATAACTAAATAAGTAAATATGGTTTTCGGCATGCGAATACATTAAAAGTATGTGTATGGAACAGAAAATGTACACATGCAAGACTAGGTTTATTATTAAAATGGCTTCAATTTTTATTAGGAAATATTAATAATTTTTTAAATTTACATTTATATAATTGTTTTTTGTTATGTTATGTTATTTAATAATTGTAATTAATAATTGTAATTCGTATTTTTTTCTCATTTGTAAACATATTGCTATGCACTTTTGGTGCCAAGATATGTTTAGAAATCTATCAATTATTAATTGTTGTTATATAATTGTTTCCACTTTTTGCTCGTAGATACGCAATCCCTTCAGAATAATGGCCAAACCCGTCTAAATGTTGCTTTTTTCTTGTCTATATACATCGAAGTATTCATGTGAGGTATGACGTGAAAATTACCTAGCGCAATGCGCATATATGTGCCACACCATTTATTCGCAATTTTCGCATTTAAATTGCCGTGTGTAGTTATATTTCCAAGCGGAATTAGTACCGGCCCCCACGCGGCGCTTTGTGCTATCGTGGAGATAAGCATGACTAACTGTTACATGAAGCACTACTGCCATGGGTGTCTCGTAGCCACTGCCTTCGCTGCTTGTATCGCTGGCGCATAAGATTGGCTGGCTCATTGCCAAAATTATCCAAAAAAAAAATCTGCTCACTTTCCAAACTGTTTCAACTGAGAATATAAAATAATGCAGATTCACGACAGAAGTCAACGTAACCGGTAGGTAATCTTGTTATGTACAATGCCATTTTTTACGAATTTTAAAAGATTTAATATATTCATTTCAACGGCCGTAAAAAACCTAACGTGACGAATTAACCCGTATATTTTTTAATTTTCAAAATATCTCGAGTTGTATAAAGTTTCACTTCAAGGAAATAATTTTATACGGTGAATTAATCATATATGCCTCAGGCAGGATTTAGGAAGAAACCTTGTTTGGACAATGTGTTTTATATAAAGTATTGTCTATTTTCTGCAAGTGTGCTATCGAAACAGTGCAGTGGAAACAAATGGCACACACATCTTTGAAAGGGCCGTCCGCAGTCTAAAGAGTAAAGTCTAAACACTTGAGTTCACGATGTTTGTTTAATTTCAGAACAACGCATGAGGTGAAACGTCGCTTTGATGCCGACTTTCACAAGTTTGTGAATCAGCTTACAAATGTATGTATCACTATCGGTTAAAGACTAAGCCTTCACGCTATCCTACATGAAATCATTTTAATAGTTTGTCTTGTGTTCTTGTTAACCTCTGTTTTTGTCAAATATACTGTTTTTTAATTTCTCGCCCCTTGATTCAAATTTTTCCGACTTGTTTTCTTTTCAGAAATCTATATTTAACGCAATAATCATGGGTGTGATCATGATCAACGCTTTGGTAATTGGCTTGGAAACGATGGACTCTTTAAAGAGTTCAAACGGACATATATTCCAGATTGTGGATGAACTATTTTTGTCCATTTATACGGTGGAGTTCTTTCTGAAAGTATACGCAGAACCAAAAGGATACTGGAAAAGCAGCTACAACCGATTTGATTTCCTTATTCTCTTCATATCTTATATACAAGCACTTCTTGATTTGATAAATGTTGGTGATAGTGTTCTCAAACCATTGAGACTTCTCCGAGGTATGAACTATACATACATTTCACTCGTATATGTTATTTACCAGCTGGGATGTCCGTACTGAAAAACTTGCATGCATGGAAGAAAACGACACATAAACAGCCGATAACTAGCTGCTTGTGTATCGTGTTTTATATCAAATCGATATAATTCCTTATTCCTCATTTTCCCGCTTGCGCGTGTCACACCCACGCGTGCATGTCTCGCGCTCACTTTTTTTACTTCGTCATAGTATACATGGTGTCCCGTTCCCAAACTCCCCAAACTATTGAAATTACCTATTGTTAAAATTTGAGTGACTTGCTTCTCGTGCATGGTGGTGGGGATTCGCGCAACTTATGAAATGCTAAACTTGATAGGCCTACAAAAATTTAAAATTTGCTGGAGAAGAAGGGCACTTTGAAGGTCATGGGGCTTGAGTTTTTGTCCATATCTGTAAATTGTAATTATTGGTAATAAAAATTTGTGCAATTTATAGACTTGTGGGTCCCAACACGATATACTTAGGCATTCAAACTGTAACTATTAAATTGTTATGGGCACCCTAAAATACGGAATATTGACGACATGCAAAAATTATGCACAAATTGAATGCTTTCATCAACCTACTATAGCTACTTCCTTCTTTAAGAAACGCTTGCGTTTAAAATTGCTGAAAATTTAATATATTGTGATGATATTCTTTGCTTCAAATTTGCTGTCTAAATTTTTTTTACTTCAATTAAGAGAGAAATTGCGAAAATACAAATGCGTTACTATATTGGCAACTGAATTGTCTATATAACAAAATTTTTTTCTTTGTAATATCCGCCATCGCAGCAATGTTGCATGCATGTTTGTACGTTTTGCTGTCCTATTTTTGAAAAAAGGAGAAAAAGTAAACGTATATATAGTCGTAGCATTTCCATGCCACGGCTACAAAGGCAAAGTGAAAATTACTCTCCATGACCATGGTCCCTGCATGCTATAGCTACTGCTATAGTAAAGCGAGTTTTCTTACCTACTATATTAAACACCATAATGGCAGGGGTATGAGTGTATTTTACTGGGACTGGCTTACTGAGGGTATAACGGCACATAATATATATTTTACACCACTACATCGGGGACCAGGTGGCAGGTGCGCGTCTTTTCGGTATGCCACGCTTACGACATAAAATCCATACTTCCGCTCTCAACCGTGAAATATCCTCTATGTATTTCAGCTGCAAGAACTCTAAGAACAATATCATTCATCGAAGGCTTACAAGTCTTGGTAATTGCGCTAATTGAAACTCTGCGCCATTCAGTCCTGAATGTCGTTGTACTTCTTTCAATGTCTATGGGTTTCTTTGCTGTTGTTGGGTAAGTTAAAACGTATTTTCTATACGTCGCAAAAAGTGCCGTGTAACAAGCGTTATTAGTCTAATATATTGGTAATGACTAATTTTTTCTGGTAACAATGCCATTTGGCAAAGAGAAAATAATGTATAGGGTTTTATTATTATTTCTACGCACGTGCGGCACTAGCTGGGTAATATCAAATAGACACAAAGTATTTTTAATAACAGATACTACATGTTTGGTCATGATGAAGAAACAGGAACAGAAAATGAACACTGGTCAAATTTGAGCGCCGCAATGCTTACACTCTTTACATATGTTACGGTAAGTTGACGACTGAACGTAATTCTGTTTGCACTCTTGGAAAATATTTGTTCCGTTTTATCAGGAGAGGGGTTTTAAAAAGATGCTCGGCAACTTTTGTGTTGCTTTCTTTTTTTAAGCAATTTTTCTCTCATTTTTTTTAACTGGATGCTTTTCTGGATCCAGGCAAAAATGTATGCATACCATAAATAATGAGATTTTTTGAAAGAAATCATGATGTTTTGTTATCATGGATGTCCTTCTGTAGAATTTTAAGCTTTCCACTGTCCCCATTAATATAGAGCCTATAAAAATTCACATTGGCGGACCACCGTTAGTCAGAATACATTGCTGCAGCACATGTTTTAATTTCAAATTATCTAAAATTCAATGAATTTCTTTTTAATTTTTTTTCGTAATCAACTGCCTATGCATATAGCTACAGGAACTTAATTAATATACACTGCTAATACATGCAGTCTAACCAACTGGCAGCTACGTGCCTAACAATATCTTAAGACTTAAATTATGCCGGAATTTGTAGGTTGACGGTTGGACCGATATACAAGAGAATTTAGAAACACGTCCATACAGCCAATGGTTCACCATTTCGTTCATTTTCCTTGGACATTTTATTTTTACAAACCTTTTCATTGGAATTATAATAATGGTAAGTTTGTGTATGTATACATTCGTAGCTTTAATGATAAACTTTTAACGTTTTGCTGCCAACTTTTTAAAGTTCTACAGCTCTTCGTAGGGCCGAAACTAGAGCGATAATTGGGGGGGGGGGGGGTGTCCTTGGTTTGCGGAAATCATTAATATCCCACAAAGCTTGCGTTTATAATACTTATCAGTCCGTTACTGTGCGTATACCACCAATTAGCAGCCCTCAAATTGGGGGCTAATGTCGATCAGGCCATTAGCAGAAGGAAAATGTGAGGAAAAAAGATGATATGCCTCGTTAGGTAACTCTACTCCGATGTTTTTGCCCTGTCCATAGAATATACATGAGGCAACCGAAACGTTCAGATTGCAACAGGTTATGGAGAAAGAAGCCACATTACAGGTACCTTTATTTTTCATTACATTGATTCCAATAATATCACAATTTCCGCAAGAAGTGAGCTATCGTAAAATTTGTTTAAATTGGAAACGTTTTACTAAGTATTGGTACCTTAAAGATCCTCTGTTCACTCAAACGCTAAAACTTATCACGAAATTTCACATTTGGCTGCAGAGGGGACCACCTATTTAGAACATACTTTTCAATCACGGGAAGCTGTCGAAGTCTGGCATGTTGATGTCTTTTGTGGTATCAGCCTTTATTATAATACAAGCGCTGGATATGAGCTAACGCGCAATCTGATTGGCTCTCTAATAGACAATATTAGCTCATATCTGCATGAAATCTGCATGTCTAGTACAGAACCGTAAACAAAATGGCGGCAAAATTTGGAAGTTGGGAGGCGACGATAAGATTCACGTTTTCCTTGATAAAAGTATACCAAAGTTCACCGAAGAGGCGACAAACTTTGAAACAAAAGTATTCAACGGTAGGTTAAAAAATATAGGTTTACAAAATGTATATACGGTTTTGTTTCTGTTTTCTGTTTTAAAATGAAAAAAAAACACGATACGGGATTTAATTATTCAATTTCAAATTACGAATAAATAATTTGAACAATAATGAATACACATACATAAAAAATTTGTTTAAATTATTATTGAGTAATAGTGAATACACTTATCCAGCGCTTGTGTATAATAAAATGGTTATTCTGCTCAGTCTCGTCGTATATGACTAATAGCTATAACTCGATCGGCGTTGCGCGCCTCGTCGGCTATCAGCACATATATATAGGTCTACGACTCGAGTTCGCAGAGTAACTGTTAATTAGCACACATTTCTCACTACGGTATATTTCATGCGTAATTGATATTTTGCCTGACTTTGCTTGGAATCTTCAGTGGACTTGGTGAAAGGCTAAAACAGCGAAAAAGACCAGGTGTGAGAGAGAGTGGTCTTAATATTAGGACATACTAAATTGCTTGGGACTCTGATAACTGATAAAGCATTTTCTGAACTTCTTCCTGTTCCTAAAAAGTATGTTTTTAAATCTTCCATTTTGTTTCGTACGAAAAGTTTTAAGTGTTAAAATTACTCTATACCGACAGTCACATGTGTAAGATTTGCGAAAAAAATAGTGTTTAAAGCAATATTAAACAAGACGCTGCGAAAGAGTTAGAGAGAAAAGGAAGCTTTTTTAAGACAATTATAAAGTATTATATATTGATAAACAAGCACAACTTTCAAGCCAAAACTTTGTGCATGTGATATTATTTCTTTGCTTAGCTCAAAAAAGATTTCCTATTTCAACGCCAACACAATGATGTCAAGGAAATGCTTGAGAAGCAGGTAAATGTCACCAAAATTCTTCCACCTCCCACACCGGGCACACCACAATATCAATATTTCGCATTTGTATATATCAACGAACAGGCAAGTCGTCAGAAAGTCGATCATGCACACAAAATGCAATTGCATGGCAACATCTTTTTATTATAGTTCTTATATCTCAGATATGATAACCTGGACTCTTGGCTTTTAACGCCAAGACTCGACGTAACGCCTGGACTCTTGGCTCATTTTAGAGCATAAATAATTTTTGCTTTGATCTGATGCAAAAACAAGCAAAAAATAAACTATACTTAATGAGGAATATGTGTTATTTTTGAACATGCAACTACTATATGAATACGTCCATGTATACTGACATTAATGCTGAACTATATACGTATGAACGGCGAACGACACAGGTTCACCAAATGTTGTGCTTGCATGTAATATGCGTACTGGAAACCAACAGCTAGTTCTATTAATCTAGAAATCAAGTCAGTTTCTTGACTTTAAAGACATGTGTCGTGCGTTCCAAGAAACCTTGCGTCACGATGATCAAGTTATCATGACGGACACAAGCACGAATCTTGTATGGATGGAAACATTTATCACTACCCTTGATCATCTCGATCTATATACTTACAGGTATATTGCATTACATCAGGTTCCTAACACAAACTATATTCACAAAATGATTACATGCACTCTATACTGCCACTGGTCATGTTGAATACATTTTTATTTCTGTATGGGGCGGGCTCAGTCATTTAAGATGCTGACTTGCCGAAAATGTATTGCGCATTGTGAAGTAAATAATAATTTCTGTTTCTATTATAGATGTCAACAGTTGCATTTCCAGTTGTCTAATTGTTTGGTTAATATGCGAGAAATGCAGAAGAGCGAAGAGGCGCGAATATAGCTATAATTGGCGGTTGTAACCGGTTTTGAGGCATAATTTGTGTTTTACCAGGGCTGGTTTCAGAACAAATGTTCAAATCAAAGTTAAGAACATCCTCTAACGTTGCCGGAAGTTTTAAAAAAAACTTAAAAAAGGAGTGTGTCTGAAATAAAGCTCCGAAGAAGTTGTTGCTTTATTAAACTTTATTGCTTTAACTAAAGCATTTGCAGAATTCAATTTCTTGAACCTTTTCGTAAGTCAGTTTCTCATATCTAGAGTTAATGCGATGTTTATTATGTATGTGCTCGATGCCTGGCTATAAAGACTAACGCCTGTATTCTAAAAGCTCACTCACACTCAAACTCATTGAGTGGGAGATCTTAATCTGCTCATAACGTTTCAATGGCGGTATTTCCAGCCGAATAGGAGCTTGATTTTCAGTGATTTACCTTATATCTTTCCATCTATTCAGAGAAAACTTTCTCATTGATCAGCATTAACAAAATTTATATGTCACACTCAATGAGTATGAGTGTGAGTGAGCTTTTTGAATACAGGCGTAAGAATATAGTTATTTTGGTCTTCGGAATGCTAGCAATACAGTCAGCGTTGACGCATATGCAGACATCTTTTCCGCGGTGTAATATGTATATATATTACTCGTGTAATATGTATTTTAGTTATTGACCATAAAGTTCATTATACTGTATGTTGATTAATATTCTGTTGAAATTGATTTAGACGTGATTTGAATACATATTTTTATATCAAGTCTATCGTATATTATATTGAACATTTTTTAGTTGCAAGCAAGCAGGGATACTACAGGGATACTACGGACTTGTGGAAGCCAAACTAAAGTTTGTTGTAAAGTAATGTTCCTTTTTTCTTTATTGCTCTATCAATTGAACGCTTGGAATCAGAATTCGACCGGAGTAGAGAATTTGCTTCGATTTGTTTGGAGTATACCCGTACTGTACGATTTGCTGTGTTTTCCCTCGGTGTTTTCTAGTAAAGGAGCCGAGGCAAAGTGAAATTTGTCGAAGCCGCCGCTTCGCTAATTTCAGGATCTCATGAAGTCATAAAGTTTTTCTTGCGTTTTTATTTCAACCAAACCTCTATATTCCTACATGAGATGATATTGTGTATTATTTCTGTGATTCCTACCGAAATCACTACAAACTGTTTCATGAAATTTTAAGAAAATAATAAAGTTTACTGCCTAAAGGTCTGTTCACACGATCCAATTTTGTTGAATTCAATTCACTTCTGACGTATGAAATACAGTCGGCTATTGGTGAATTCGTGGTACATTGGCTTCAGTGGATTTGCTGCTGATATACAATACATGACAACAGATTGTAAAACATCCATCAGAAGTGAATTGGATCCAACAAAATTGGATCGTGTGAATAGACCCTCTGGAATAGACCTTAAGGAATTTAGAGCAATTTTGATGTCGGCAATAGGAAATTTGGATTTTGAAAATGGAAGCAATGCGTAAATCCAATGAGCAAACATTCTCCAGTAAATTTCTCTGAAGACCCTGGGGACGAGTTTGACTCGTTCACACTGAGCGGTAATACTGAGCGATCATACTTTCAATACATTTCGGCCTTACTTAAATATTCATGAATTCTCGTACAAGGCAACAGCGGAATTTTAACGGAGAACTGTCTATTTAATATTTTTAACCATATTTTCTCCCCAAACATGAGGATCTTTTCTCTAGATATATTATTCCTGGCTGCATTTTATACGAACGTTGAAATATATGCGTTCCCCTCGTACGGTAATTCTTTTCTAGGGAAGGATTATTGGAATACACGATGTCAAATGAATTATGTGGATTGGTTAGGATTCTGGAATAACCAAGGCGATCGACAGGGATATAAAAGATCTAACCAAGGAAGTCATTGGTCTTGCCCTTGCGCCTCGTGTTTAAATATGGAGCTTCAGTGTAGCACATACGGAAGTGTCCAATTGTATGTATGGCTTATCTTTGTTAATTGTTTGTAGTAATTTACTTGTGTATATCATGTAACGTCGAAAGAGTAGATATTTATATAAAACCTTTATGTAAAGCATATTAGTACATATAAATGCCTATAATACTATAACTTTTATTTGGGTAACTAGATGACATGCACTTTCGATCTGTTTGATCTGTTGGGAGTTAAACTCTGCAGACATATTATTGTGAGAGCCAATTTGTTTTGTCACGATGCATGACAACCATGGACATGCATGACAACAGTATGCTAAATTTCCAACATACTGCTTTGATCGTCCAACCGTCGGGTAGAATGGGTAGATTTGGTAAAATCGCACTTTTCTTGGAACGTGTAAAATGTATGGTATTATTTGCCATACGGCAGACTATGCAAAGACTGATGTTAATGTTATGCGGAACGATTTTAACTAAAATCGCGAAGGAAATGAAAGGTCACAGGCGCGCGAAATTTGATATCCAGCAGAACGTTGCGCGTGAATACCATAAAGTCTTGGTTCTCGATAATCACCGACAGTCCGACAGTCGGCGATGCATTGTTTGTAGCGGGTGACGAAGTAACTAGCTTGATATTTCTTGTCAATTGCAAAGCTTCTGAAGAGAAACACTAGTTCATATTCATACATAATTAATTGGAAGCGTAGCGAGCCGAAATGTTGTTACCGTTGTGGATATTCAGACAGCACATTGTAGTTTAGGAAGTATAGAAGTTCATAACCATTCAACCAGTTTGTTTATACGGACATGACTTCAACTTAAACTACAGTAATCAGTATATTTATAAACCTAACAGTGTGTAATATGTATTCCGTATTCACTGATGTAAATATACTGTAGTTCATGTTGTGTTGGTGTTGTTTGACCAGTACTCACTCGGCCAGTTTGACTGTTTTTCAACTGTTTTGTTTGACTGTTTTGGTGTACGACGTGAAACGCGATATCGATCTATATATATATATATATATATATATATAATTATATATTTTTTATATATATTTTATTATATATATATATATTATTATTATATATATATATATATAATATATATTATATTATATATATGATGTATTAAAATAGCGCGAAATCCATAATAAAAATTGGCATGGAAATCTCTTTTGAAAAAATCAGATAAAAACTTTTCTTCAAACAGCGTAAGCCGTAAGACGAACTGCATTACAATTGGGGTTGTGATTAGTGCAACACAACCATTGTGAGACGAAACTTTAAATGACGTGGAAATTACCATCATGTGCATAGATCTGCAGTGAGCGTCAGGACGTAGCTATGTCCGACCCTCTGGTCCGACCAAATTTTAAAATGAATTTTAAAATATATTTCGCACCAAGACATAGCTTGCGATGACGAATAAAAATCACAAATATAAGATTTTGTAAGCCCCCAGAGCCTGCGAGAGATTGCCTTCGCCGACGGCCAGTGACATGAAGAACCAGGCTTTAATAAATTTTTCCGTGTAACATTAGCTTATGAAGTACGCGCATTTTAGAGAAGAAAGAAGGTGAATAGGGGAACCTCGTCTCTCTCCGACGGACCATGCAACAGTATATACTTCATAAGTTCTACAGTTCTAATAAAATTAATCATATTGTTAGAATTCGATTGTCGTTTTTATAAAGGTCTCCTTTTATACCCTGTATTTCACTAGAGTTTTAGAATATAGCTATATAGCATGCATAGGTGGTTTTCATATGACGTCCAAATGGTGTGCCACTTTAAACGACACAGGCGATAAGAATTTCCTTTTAGAGACATTCAGTATAGTGCAAACCTTTTACACTATTGTATTGAATTATATTAGTTATATTGTATTGTAAATGCATCATAAATATTGCGTACAAACGAGGAAACCATGAAGTTATTTATTTCATGTACTTTTCAAATGATGCGAGCAACGAAATTGATTTAATGGAAGCTAGATATTCTTTCCGAAAGTTTTACTGATTTGAGAATTATGTTTTGAATCTCACTCCTATATACCCACGCTATTTGATTTTGAAGAAAAAATGTAAACAAATTGCCGCAAAAATGCTAGACGGCATGCATTTATCACTAGTCAAAAAAACCAAATCTTCGTCCAACCAAATTGCACGATTTTTATTATATAATTTTACTGTATGCATGCGGAATCTCTAAACATAGTGGCATGAAATTTCTAACGGAACATTCATAGTCATTTCCAAATGCTACAATCATGTAAATTGACAATTTCTAACCCATGCTTTTTCTAGAAAGACTCGCAATTACATTCCTAAAGTGCGAATAATAAAAAACGGACAACTGCCTCGGCGTCTTACGGAAATGTGAGTAACTAAGTTATTTACGATCGTAATTATTTGAAAAATTTGTCAAGGTGATCTTATAGCTTGAGCTATGTTCCCCTAAATTCTAATAATTTGAAGCATTATAGTGAAATTTAATTAGCTACTTTGTTGTCGCTATATTTACCAAACGATTACCCTTAGGGAGGAACGGGCACTTTCGCCAATAGCACCGATAGTAACGACAGATCAGATATGAAAAAACTTTAAGAGGGATCCTAATGCCCAAGCCTATGATATGAACAAAAAATATTATCTCATACGCAAAACTAAACTAGCAAAGAGTAATAAAATAAAGACTCATAAGCTGAAGGGTAAAGGGTTTACTCAGGCCAGGTTCTCATGTTATTATTTTTTTTATATTTAGTGAATTAATCAATGTCGGCCTTGAGTCTATCGAATGGAAGGTGTTTCATAATTTAACAAATTTGAAAGTTTTGTAAGTATTGACTTATGATGTCATAGACAACATTCTAGCATAAAATCTCTTTTATAAAGGAATCGCGCACTCAGACATGTAGAATAATCTGTCACGTATAACAAAGTTGTACCCACTCACGACATAACCTAAACCACGCCCCCTCAAAACATTCCGCCATTTTGCTTATTTTGGCTGTATACTGCAGTACAATTAATGACATAATTGTACTCCTCTCGACCAATCATGATGCAGTAATTTTAGTACGCTAATAATAAGAAAGCTAATTATATAAATATCTTATATATTTAACCATACATATCTTAATCTAGAAATCTTGGTGAAAACAAGCTGACTGTAATTCCCGATGTTTCCAGAAATTCGAAGCTGGAAAAACTGTTAGTATGCATGAGTGCTGCAATATATATACGTACATAATTAAACTGTATATCAATATTCAGGGTTATGATGGGTTAAAATAATCAACGCGTATGAAACAAATACCAGGCAAGCACGTAGTGTATGTAGTATGGCCTCTTCAATACTTTGAATGTGATGTGTTAAATTTTGCACATGCACAAACGGCGTATACATGCATATATTTATATTCGAAAGCATTCGCTATAAGATGGTCGCAGGGTTCAATTACTTATCTTTTATTTTCCGTCATATGCACATACCTTTTTCCCTGTTTCATGTGCAGAGCTATACAAGTAATAGAATTTAATTTATTAGCACTTCTTTTCTTATCTACGAAAACTTTGTTTTAGAATTTTAGATCACAACGAGATAAATATTTATTTGGAGAACATCACAGCTTTACCCAAGAGTCTGAAGGAAATGTGAGTGCATTAATATAGTGAGCCATGAATATCTATGAAAGTAAACTTACTATAGAGTTCTAGTAAAAATCTGGCCGCGTTGCCAAACCCGTCCCGCCCCTTCCGTGTAGGTTTATATATATATATATATATATATATATATATATATATATATATATATATATATATATATATATATATATATATATATTTATCACATACTTGTGCCTTTATCAGGGCGATAACAGGGTGACATAAAAACGATATCGTCACTGATATCGCTTTTTGTCACTGATATCGCTTTTTGTCCCGCTGCATTTGCCGCTGTCAAAACAAAGATGGCTGACTCGAGCAATTCGAGGTTTGTTTCAGTCAATGTCGATTGCTTTATAGATCAAAAGAAGTATGTGATAACAGGTTATCACAATCGAGACGAGGTGATATCAGTTTTATCGCTTTCAGGACGATATCATAAATGTCCCTCGTTCGCTGCGCTCACTCGTGACATTTATGATATCGTCCCTCAAGCGATAAAACTGATATCACCTCGCCCCTCATGTGATAACCTATACATATATATATATATATATATATATATATATATATTATATATATATATATATATATATATATATATATATATATATTATATATATTATATATACAGTCGTTATCAAAAAGGTTGTCCCGATCAATATAATATATAGAAATATATAAATATCAATCACGTGACCATTAAACATGGCTTATTTTTATCACTTATCACTTGTTTCTTTTTATATTACTATATTGTTCTCGTTACTATGACATTTAAGAAATTTTCACCACAGATTTCCAACGATTTCTCATAAAATTAACGTATGTAGTAAAATCACGTGACCGATATTTACGTGTTTATATATATTTCCATATGACAACCTTTTTGATAACGACTGTATATATATATATATATATATATATATATATATATATATATATATATATACTGTAATATCCTGTAAAATGCATGGTACTTGTTCCACTGCGTCTTCATTAAGTATGCCATCAAACCACTTCGGTTCTTATAGTTCACACATGGAATTGTGTATTTATAATGCCTGTGTGTGAAATCAGCTGGGCATATTGACCTTTAGTATAAATTTCGAGGCGACTATTGATTTTCCTGCATTCTGATTGGTCAAAATTAATTGTCTCTAAAGTGATAGTCACTGGTCAGTGACTATAGCTTTTTGTTGTTGTTTTTTTTAAATAAGAAATTTGAAGTGATTATAAATTTTTATAAAATTGTGTTGATTATTATTTGTAAATACCTCGAAATTTATACTGAAACTTCTTCTGCTCAGTGAATATAGGCTTACAAAAATTGGCCCTGGGAACCAATTTCCCCTTTCCCCCTCTTTTGAAATTGGCCCTGGGAACCAATTTCCCCTTTCCCCCTCTTTTGAAATTGGCCCTGGGAACGAGGTTGGTTTAAAAAGATAAAGTGATGGTATGATTTATAACCAAACTATCATATTTTTACATAATACGTTTTCTTATTGCTGATTGTTATACGTTTTATTCTCCGGCATTTTTAAAATCTGTACTTTCAGTGTTTTACTGGGAAATAAGATTACGTTCATACCGGATCGCTTGTTTGATCTTCCCAATCTCGAAAGAATGTAAGTAAAAATCTCCAGTATCTATACCTATATATATAAGGAATACAGTAAAGATTTATTATATACAGACGTTTTCTTATTCTATGCATGTGTACAATCACACTCTTCACATTATTTTTACTCATGTATGTATATATGCATGTTTGTGTATTCGTGTCTTTTAGTTCATTGAGTGACAACTTGTTGACAAGGTTTCCCGATTTTTATAACCCTAAAAAGCTTGAGTTTATGTGAGTATATATCTGTCGTATCCATGCAGCTGTGGAATACGCTTGTGCTGTTTATAACAAAATAGTTTGTATTTATTTTAGTTCCGTTGATAAAAACAAAATTAAACAAATGAGCTCCACCGGCTTACAAGTGTTCTTTAGCAACCACACACAATTAAAACATCTGTAAGTTAATTATAAGTTACATATATCCTAATTGTTTTACATTTACGAATAAACTGTTGATTTTTATAGTAATTTAAGCAACAATAAAATTGAATACATGCCACCGAATACTCTTTCAAACCTCAAGCATTTGAAAATTTTGTAAGTATCCTTCAAAGGTTATATAGTAGCTATCTTAGTATAGTCTATATCGTGACGTGAATTATTTTTCATCGATATATTGATAACTTTATGACAACTTGACGCTTAATTTTCTTTTCAATTGTGACCAATCGAATTGTGATACAGTTAAATTCTCACAATTGAAAAGAAAATCAGGAAAATCGAAAAATATCTTAGAAAACCGCCCTTAGAACAGTTGGTCAAAAGCCCTCTAGTTTGAATAGATCTGTATTAAAAAGTCCTGACCTTTGCAGGTCGGAACGTTCCCTCAGACGGAGGCCGCCGTTTAAACTTTTTATACACATGCATGCTATATTGTTGCCAGAGACAGGAGGCAGGAAGGGCAGGAAGCGTAAGATAATTTCAACAATTTCAAAGTCATAAAAATATATTTGATATAGTGAGGTTTCATCTTTACTTTAAGACATTTTCAGACTATGAGTGGTAAATTACATGCAAATTTGAATATGTAGACTAATAATATATTTAATGACAATGTATCAATTGACAAAGGGTAAAAAGCAAGGGCAACGTAAGGACAAAACAGTATACATAAGAGGACTATAGGGACAAGGACGTTACGACAGGATGGCAGTTATGAAAAGAGGGACTAGAATAAATTGAGAGGGATCGAGTTGCCGTGAACATTAAGAGAAGGCTTGAGATTGACGACGAGGAGTCCCTTGTCGTCTATCATTGACTCGCAAGAATCAGACGAAGAGGAGGGGATTTTGAATGGATACTGGACATAACAGGGCTGGAGGTCTGTTAGCCAGTGATGGGCGATATTCCTAAGGTGATATTCTGGTATGGATATGATGTATGTAGATGCGTGGTATACAATTTTTTCTATAGGTCCTCTTTTCGTAATTGTCACCGTGTCATGACGTCTTTGTTTCCTAGTCCTCTTATGCATGTACTGTTTTGTCCTTTCGTTGTCCTTGCTTCTATTCTTTGTAAATTGATACCTTGTAAATATGTTAGCTATTAGTCTACATATTCAAATTTGCCAATACTTAAATTTGCCAATATAACGTTCGATATTTTGCATATATGGAGTAGAACTCTTTTAGAATTATCTTTCCACACCATGATGTTCTTAAGCATTTTTCTTTCTGTCATTAATTAAGCGCAATATTAGTAAATTGAATACAATATTAATAAATGAACATATCACTGTGTATAGGGAGCTCCATGATAATGAAATCAGCACCATCGACGCTGAAGTGTTCTACAAGATACCAGAACTCTGTCATTTGTGAGTGATTTCTGGATAGCCTTTGGACTTTCGATAACGCATGCAGAATATCTCATTTGACAAGTGATCTGGTGAGGTGCATGCTTGTTGTATGTTGGTCTTGGGTATTAAGATTTCAATCTATAAAAATTTGCACTATTGCCGTATTGGTGTAGCAATTAGTGATTTTGTTTGACTTTTCAGAGACTTGCGAGGTAACAAGCTCAAGGTGATAACAGCACGGGGCTATACACCAGTGTTTGAAGATTTACCAAATTTGAAAGCATTGTAAGGGCTGTTTTCACTGTCACCATTCTAACTTATTTGCAAAGAGGGAAAGAAATTTTATACTACTGTATATAACTATTGTCAAATTACTCTGCTCTATAACGTGTCTAATTAGTATATTTGTTCAAAAACGATACTCTTAATATTTTTATCTTTTATTATTTCCGTAATTGTTTTTTTTTCAGGGTTTTAACGGGCCAAAATCCAAAGACAGAGGTCGTAATGTATAATGCGTTTAAAAAACTTCCAAAGCTAGAGCATTTGTAAGTGAATAGTAAAGAAATTGTAAACTGTCAAAAATGCCTCGTAATCACCAGTGGATGGAAGATAGCCTATATAGACCTTCTCGGGACAATTTATAGTGTAAAAAAGCTCAAGTTCTGAGTTTTTCCGCTTTCCAGACTCGCCCTGTATAACTGAAATAAGTCGGAGATACCCAAAATGGTTAATTAAAGTTATTTCCACACATAACATGTGTATTGAAATAAATTTTGTTCAAATAGGTGGTTGGATAAAAACAATCTTAAACATTTTCCACATCCAGCTTTCTCCCAAGAAGAATGGCCAAGTATTAAAGAGCTGTAAGATATTGTCGACATTTTTATATCGAAATTTCCACCACAAAACTTTTTACTTCATTTTATATTCATGGCACTTATTAGGCACATTGAAGGAAATATCCTGACAACCTTATCAAGTTATTCCAAAACTGATTTCCCTCCAGATATGCTGGTTCTTTGGGCGTAAGTTTTTATACATATGATTGAAATAATGAAACTTTAAAATTACAACCGTATTTCTATGCATTCGGAGGGCTTCCCTTTATCCCGATGCCGTTGCAATTTTTTTAAATTTCTACTATTATCTATATTATATAATTTTCGAAAAAATAGATATACAGTACATGCATGCGAAGAATTTTTCCTAACGATGCGTGCGCGTACGCCAAGAAGACATCTACTGGCTATTTTAATACACCCTGCAAGCATATCTGAGGACCTGGTCCTAATTGCATGAGCTTTTTCGTGTTTATAGCTCAAGCAAAGATGCGAATAAACCTTTTGCTCAGATGAAATCTTTGGAAAAACTGTATGTAGTATACTCTACTAGTATATGTAGCAAATGCATTGATGTAGCTATGTTTTTGCACTATATATAACAGCGTTAAGGTATACGTACCCTAAACGACATGAAATGATTTTTTCGCAGAGGGCTGATAATTTTTGAAGAAAGCTGTTGAAATGAGCTTGCATGTATATATAGAATTAAGGTGTCGAATCATATTATGCCAAATTTTAAAAATGTTATTTTTTGCTATTATATAAACAGCTATTTTTTGGGTTACAGTTTGTTAAATCTTGTACTCATGTAAACCTTGTACCCTCTTTCACTTTTTTTAGGTTCGTTCATTCCAATGCTATTGATAGGGTTGAGGAAGAAGATTTGTGGGAGCTCCACAAATTAAATGAGTTGTAAGTTGCAAGTTAAAATGAAGAAAATTTGAGATGAAAACTATAAAAAAGTTCTGACCCGTCCGTGGTCAAATACTTATGTTATATGCTTTGTACGTTTTTGCTTGTATAGATATTTGTCTCAAAACTATCTAACTGAAAACACCATACACCCGGAATCATTTCGGAACACGTCATTGACCAAACTGTAAGTGGGGGAGTATATCTGTTCGACTTTAACCACATGTGAAATTAATTGAAATAAATATAGGAGTTATTTATGCATGTATGTTTAATCCTAAATTCTTAAAAACCTTTTTGGTTTTGTCTTAGTTTTCTTAGTAGCTTTTTTTTAAAGTCATTTAGATGCAATGTCAGGAACTAGAATACAATATGTGCCATCTGCGATGCTTGAAAAAACAAGACTGCCCTCCGTGACGGAGATGTAAGTGAACACATTAAACTTTTTAACTTGGAGTTGATATTTCTATTCTGCACGAGCTCTTCCTGGCAATAAAAATTCCTATAATCCTATCGTTTTTGAGAATTATCGGGAACGACAGTTAGGCGATGGCTATGGCCAGGAATTACTAAAGAATAATGATTTGTTATTTTAAATTTTTTTTTCGTCCCCGGTCATTAACAATACATCGCCGACTGTCGATCAGCCTAGTCCGTCTGCGATAGCTGTTGTTGATTATCACCAAAGGCAGAGAATAATAAAGAGATATTTATTTGAATTTTCTGGACACCAACAATGCATTGCCGATTGTCGGTGTTTAAAGGTGAATGGCTAAAGATGTATTTTTTGTGGCCGATGACAAATAACAAAGTATTTCATACAATCAGTATCTCGGCCACCGACAAAAGCCATCGCTGACTGTTGGCGGCCATTTTGAAACGTCTCTGTTGCCATGGTGACGGGTGCCAGGCACAAGTTCTGAATAGATTTCCGCTGATATGTTTCCTGCAAAGGATATTAATTTTAGCCTTCTGCGAAACATTAAGATGTTCAATATCGATCCACCTTAAGCGAGCATTTTAAAATGTAAAATGCATCAAATCTACGATGCGAACGTGACATGAAAACAGCCGCTTGTCCAATCTGGCTGCTAGTGTTTATTTAGTAAAATTGCGTGATATTCGTCATTTGCTATTGCCTCAACTTTCATGCTCTCTATACCCTGTGACCAATTCCACTAATGTCTTGGCATTTGCAAAAATGAAAATCAATTTAATCATAGCCAACAAATTACTACTAAAACGGCAGAAGTGATAAGAAATCCACAGGCGGACATATTTCCTGGAAGTGTCCTGGCGTGTGCATGGCGTGCATTTTGAGGACAATCGTTATAATGACGACAACCGAGGCGAGGCCAGATATAGGAAGCTCCAAAACTTTTATGCAACTTTGAGTGAACGTAATCTTTTTAATTATAAGTAAGCATGATTTGTATAAAACACATTGTGCCGGTTGTATACGATAACTGAATAGCGCTATCCACTGGATTTTGATTTTTTTCAACCAAATACTGAGTTAAATCTAAAATACTAAAGTTGGGGATGCATATTCATATATTTATTCGTCTTATGCCCGACTGATATCTTTTGTTAGCTATTGTTTCAACGGTTGTACGAACACGAATGTATGAATATACACCACCAATTAAGCTTCTATAGCGACGGCCCTGAATCCAGGTTATATCAAACAACTGACAATTTTAGAGCAACATCATTAGCTATATATAAGCGTTATGGCTACAGGATATATAAAAAAAACGTAATCCATCTTTGTGATCGAAAAGAAAGTCAATATTCATTAATATTTAGTGTTGCGCTTTTTTACACACTCTCTGTATACTTTCTATATGCGCGCCTGATCCAAATAGGAAAAAAACGAACCGCAAACGAAGCGCTTTGATTGGCTAAAAGCGGGAATACCTAACCGGGAAAAAATTAGTATAATTATTTTTTCGTATAGAGATCTTTCTTCAAACAGACTTACCTTTCTACTTAATGGTTCGTTCTCGGCCCTGGATACATTAAACAGCTTGTAAGTATGCAGGTATAGTTACGAGCTCTAGGTTGTCCAAGTGGAAGTTGGGATAGCGATCTCGCTTCAGGAATCTAATATGCCCGCTCAGTTCAAGAAAATTCAGCCTGCACGCAGTCATAGGTTGCACAGGCATCCACCTATATTTGAAAAATGATAAATTGCTTTTTGATATAGATACAATAGAAAATCAAACGTCTCCATGTTTGTATTTTAGAAGACTTAGTAACAATATCATTGTCTCCGCTGAAACTGGAGCTTTTCCAAGCAATATTCAACAAATGTAAGTTCTTAGTATACCGTTAATTACCATGGAATAGTGCTGTGGACAAATCATGCTCTACGGACAGTAGTTATCTGCAATAACTATGCAAAAAGATAAAATTTTCCAATCTCATATTTTATAGTGATCTGGCTAACAACCGATTCGACTTCAGACATCCCGACGTTTTTGCTAATTTACCGTCACTTTGGTATTTGTAAGTAATCCTGGTTATCGATGTTTTTATGTTCGCTGCGTAACAAGGGGGGATTTCGTTTTAAACTAATCCGCATATTTGTTTACATCTTTTCGGCAAAGCCAATCAGAATGCCTAAATTTTTAATACATAATGTACCTTTTTACCGGAAGTAACCAAAATTTATGCATTCTGATTTGGTAACTAAAAATGTAAACAAACTTGCTGATTGGTCAAAAACGAATTACCCCTTGTTTTGCTGCGTACATTTACGTCTTATAGGACAGTTAGGAAAACTTGTGAATGTCTATAACCTCTCTCGGAGTTGCGCTTTTATGCTTCCGATCCCGAGAATAATATTTGTGAATAATTCTGGATAATGTGTTCTTTGAAAGTTTTTGCACTGATGATGTCCGGGCTTACGGACCGAAAGCTCTGTGAAACTAAATTCACGCAGTGTTTCCACAAACAAACGAACAAAATTCTAGATAACCTTAAGTGTACATAACAAACCTCTAATGAAAACAGCTGCACATTCTCTTTTATGTCGCGACCAACAGATTTCGTATATTTTTCATAAATTTTTACCCAGAGGTTCCTCCTAAAATGCATATGCAGGTTAAACATGGCTGTCATAGTAAGGAGTTCAGTTCAGAATTTTATGGTGAACTATAGCTATAGTCTAACTGGGAAACGGATTGTTGCATGAAGTCTCGATCCTTGAATAAACATTTGTACTTAAAATATTTTTTGTAAGTTGTACCCATGATAACTATATATCTTGCATCACTATATAATATATAAATAATGGCAGTTGTAACCTTTTTTTCCTTATATTCAAAGTAGGTGCTTGTAAATTCAATTTCAGATCCTTGTACAGCAACAGGATTACGTTCATACCAAAAAATGCATTTGATGGTCTGACAAACCTGCAAACATTGTATGTCCATTAATCTCATATAATTAAGAACATATATACTCGCTGCTCACAGCGTTTTCCCCATTTCGCATAATATTATAACATTTGTCAAATGACTATGCATTCTCAACAGGTACCTTTCTAGCAACACGATTGGAAGAATTTTGAAATCGTCGTTTAAGGACTTGAAGAAACTTTCTACCTTGTATGAATTGAGTATATCGCAATTTCTATTTTTGTACTATTTACAATACTATGCAAAACGACTTTATTATCCAAAAAAGTAATTGTCACCGTTGATTTAGTTTATCTTCTCATCGTCCTCTAGGGGTATAAATAACAACAGAATTTCGTACATCGAGGAGGGAACGTTCACGTCTTTGGATCGACCTCGATATGTTTCATTGTACGTGTTACTGACTGCTTAGTGTAACTGGTTCAACCGTTTTTCGCCACATTGCAACTTCTTTTATCTGTATCATTTGTATTTGTAGTGACTTTAGTTCAAATCATCTGATTCTGTTGCCTGCTGAAAGAGATTTTGATGGCCTTACAATCTCATATTTGTAAGTTTTGCCTAGAATAATCATACTTCTCACTTTTGCTATGTGAAGAAAAACGTTTACTGTTTTTCTTATTGTTTTGTTTTTGCATGCTGTTGCATTGTTGAAAATTGTTTAAAATTGTTTAAAAGCGAAAAATGCATACCTGCTAAAAAATAAACTTTTCTTATCCTCGCCTCCTCGGTCGGAAATATTTAACATCGGTCTTTTCGCACAAACCTCGCTTTACCGCGTCTGTACAAAAAGATTCCGGTCTGATATGTCTTGGTAAAGGCCTCGCGCTCGGTGTATATATAATCTTTAGTTATAGTTATTATGTTATTAATTAATGAATATTTAATGTTTTGTAGTTACGCACATAACAATCGACTCACAAGGATACGATCGCGGACATTTTCCAATGTTGCATGCTCTAGACAGTAAGTAGAGTTATAAATTATGAATTATAAATGATAAATTATAAAATGATAACTATTTTTATGTCGCAAAGGTACGTAATCGCGCACGCTGATTGGCTGCTGATTGGTTTAATGAAAGAAAATGATTCCAAATTGACGACAAAATGATTACAAATGATTACAAATTTCTAATCTGGGAAAATGCAAAATATGTACTTTTATCACGTCAACAGTTGAGGTTCACTTCTAAGAGCTTGACTTAAATCGCCTCAAATGATATCATTTTTGTTTAATTCAGCACACCATCAGAATATCATATAGAGAGGTAGGTATTTACTGGTAAAATGTGTAGAAAATATTCGCTCATGTAATTGAATATTATGGAAACATTCTCAAACCAAACTCATCATCATGATTGATAGTCACATGCAAGTAGGGGATTTTTTTCCTTACTATATTGTGGTTTTGTGTTTGTCATTACTATTGGAAATATAGAGGGCATCGCCCCAAAACTCCACGTCACTGTTTCTATATAGGAGGTGATTTTTAAGTGACTAGGAGAGGTGAATTATTCCCGGCCAAATCAAACCTGCAAGTATGCTAGTTTTTCACATCATGTCACGTCATAAAATGTGTCCAAAAAAGTTACGCATTGTAGAATTTGTATTATATAGCTTCTTGTTTCGAGAACGAAGATCTCAGTTGCCAACCTGCAACGCGAACAAACAAACTGAGGCTTGAAGTAAAGCTAAAAAATTTCTAATAGAGAAATGTTTTGAAAATCTGCGAAAACATTGCTAATGCTTATGAATTTTTCCGAACAATTTTCAGCGGGCATCCTGAAAATCCGAAACTCACCGTTGCGTTGCGTTTCGAAGAAATATTTACTCGGAACCAATCAAAACACCGCTTTTGAGATAATTGTTGAAGTTGTTTTACCGCCATTCATCAATTAGTAGAGCCCTATAATCACAAAAATAACTGTACATTGCTTTCAGATGGACATTTTACAACAACGATATCGTCGAAATAGAAGAAGAAAGTTTTGTGAACATTACTGGAAGTTGCACTATGTATGTATGCTTTTAATATAATAACTGCAGAAATTTCATTTAATTTCAAAATCCAGCCTACCACATTTGTATTAATTAAATTATAGCTCTTAATTTAATTTTGATATATTTAATATGTTTTCAATGCTAACGCAATGCGTGTTGCACGAAAATGGCGCTCGTCTTGGTTCATCGTCCATTTCTCGCAACATGGTTGCGTTGCAAGTTAATTGTTGTGAAAAATTGTTCCGTAAATCTTTACGTTTTCCTTTTTTTACTAGCGAATTTAGTCAAGGAACAACTAATACAAATCCGCTGAAAAACATGGAGTCGAGAGCTTTCCATAATGTGAAAGCAAATACAATGTAAGTTGAATGCAACTCAAAAGAGAAATAACATAGCGCAGACTCTCAGTCAGGTTCCTCTCTTCTCCGTGTTTTCTTTTTTTTCTCTGATCTTTCTCTTCCCGGAAACGATTTCTAATTGAAATAAACGAGATTTAAGAAGTATTCTGAGGATAAACACTAAAAGAACCAATAACTACAAACCTCTTTGGAACTTCTTCAGGCGGAGGGAGAGGTCGATATGTAATTGTAGCCTTGTTAATATATAACAGCTTCTAATGCGCTTCTGCTCGGATAGCGATCCATCATTTCTCGGAGGGAGTGGCGTAGCCAGCCTGACGATTTTGTCCCGCTATGTAAATTTCGAGTTATTATAATTATTCATGCCTTTAGAAATCTATTGTTTTCACAGTCAGTGAACACTAAAATATTAGCATAGCGGGACAAATCGAAAGGCTAGCTACGCTACTACTTGGAGGGCTTTTTACATACGCGATGGTAAACACGTGAAACTGGGAAAGAGGTTGGGTATAGCAGCACAATTGTGGTATTTATTCTACTTAATTTTGTAGTACTTTGTCTTCGTTGGAACTTACGACGCTTCGAACAGAAACCTTCAAGAACGTGAAACTTGCAAGTAGAGATCTGTAAGATAAACCGCATGGCGGCTAATCACACGCCGTTTCCCAGCATTTTTAAAATGTTCTAAACGTAATAGTAAATGATAGAATAAATGTATTTTTATATATAGACCAAACAATCCCCGAAACGGGCTGCAAACGCATTAATTAAACGCATTTTTTTAATCATTAAAAATCTATTTTCGGTTTATAAATTAAACTTATTTATAAATTAAAATTAAAATTACTTTGTCGATGAAGGAAATTTAGAAAGCTTCTACACAAATATGCAATATGCAAACTTATGTATAGGTTAAATTTTTCAACACGAAGTTTTAGCCCATAATGCAAATTATCAATTAATGTTCTCTTTAGGAAACTTGATAGGAACTCAATTAAGACTATTGAACGTTTTGCATTTGATGTACTTGATGCAAGATACTTGTAAGTATGGCACGTATGTGTCCTTGAGTATGTTACCAGTTTGAACTAACCTAATTATTATGTTTAATTTAACATGTCCGAATCATTTACAGAAATCTAGAGTATAACAAAATAAAAGATATAAGTGCACAAATTTTTGGCAGTGGATCTAAATTGCAATATTTGTAAGTGTTTCTTATTTCGTTTTGTAATTCATTTTTCGTTCCTTAATTCCTGTTTAATTTCTCGTTGTTTCATCATTCCTTAGACATTTGCATAACAACGAAATCAAATCACTCAGTGGGGATTCATTTCTTGGTCTTAATCTAATCTACGATTTGTATGTCAAATGTTTAGCCCAGTTTGTATTAGAGCTAGGCGGATAGTCCGTATGAATGAACATGGGTAAAGAAAAATTAGTTCGTCATCAAGTCGCTATCTGCGTAGTTCATCTAATGTTAATATAAGGCGAATTCGTTCTATCTCAATCTCTTGTGTAACTCGAGTCATTTAAGAATGTAACTGTTATTCTTGTTAACGACATATAAAACTTAAGGAATGTACTCGATACATGTTAGTTAAGTTAATTTTGAGGTACCCACTTTGCAGTTTATTTGAAGTTTACCCCAAAACACCTGATTTCATGAGTTGATTTCATACTTCCATGGCTTGTTTTAATGCCATCAATCCCTGCCTGGGTTGCAACATATTGCATGCAAAACTGGCGTCAGGGATGAACGTGTAGTATATCGAAAGAGAATAGAAAGTAAATTTTTTCAACTAGTTCAACTTTGACACGCATTTCCCTTCAAAATTTAATGCTTTTAATATCTTTACAGGAAGCTTTTCAAAAACAAGTTGGTGATTTTTCCTTTTGATGCTTTAAAGAGATTAAATCCCCGAGATTTGTAAGTGAACAGACTTCCTCACCTACGCAATTGACTCCCCTAAATCACTTGCTTCCAAATCTTATGATCACGTTTGTTTTCGAAGTTATTTTTCCTATACTTACACCCACTTGGCATTATGGTTGTCTTTATATCAAATTGAAAGTGTATTTTTTGGAATATTACACGCTGGTCGAAACATGTTTTTACCAATTTATTTTATATAGCATATGTCCCGTTTTCCCCGTTTGATTTGAATATACTAAAGCAAGTTAATGCGATTTATTTTCAACCAAATTTCGAATTGATTTTACCCATTTTAGCCGGAATATTTAGTATGATACCAAAACTCGTATCCCAATTACGATTGCAAAAAAGTCTTTTAAAAAGAATAAAATAAATATAGATATACTGTATAGTATCTATCAATAGATACATAAGAAAATGCTATATATTTAATGTTTTTCTTTTTACTAGGGACTTAAGTGACAACGAAATCCCGTCATTGCCTAGCAGTTCTTTGGACAGTTTAACTAACCTGCATACGCTGTAGGCTTTTGTATTTTATTGTAAAATGATTGAATTTGTTAATGTGCTACAACAGTGTATAATATAGGAAGCAATGTTCTTTCATTAAGGAATTTGAGAAGAAACAAGCTGAATAAGTTGGAAAAAGATGTATTTCAGAAGCTTACAAATTTGTATTGGCTGTAAGTCCATGTCATTCACTTTAGTTTTATTGAAATATTGTTGAAATAATATGGATGTCAATTGGAAAAGCATGGAAGTTTATAATATTCATACTAAATGCCATTTCCATACTATGGATGGAAACAATATGAGTATATAGCATATTACCGTGCATATAATATGTATTTTCATTCTATGGAATTAGTGCAACATATTACGCCGTTGATCATTGCGTAAACAAAGCCCAGAACCTACCATGGGCGCCGCAAGAGCGATAATGGGGGGTGGCAGGGGGGAAGATATTCACATATTCTTGTTCACATGCTGTAAGAACAATTGATTTCGAAATGAATAAATACCATTATTTATGGATAACACGAATATTTTAATTTTACCACCACCCCCGCCCAATTATCATTCTTGCGGCGCCCCGCGACCTACACAAATATTCCAGTGCGACTGCATATTCAGTCATACGACAATTTTGTAGAAAAACTAAAACACAAATAGTGCTTCGATTTTGTGAGTTTGTGTTTTAACTAAAAACTTTGGAGCAGTTCATATGCCTTACTATTATTGCTATTATATCTCAGAAACATACTGGTTGTCTTTCAATATTTTTAATACTTGTAATTTAGCTATTTAACAAGTAATGAAATTAAAGAAATTGAAGAAGGAACCTTTAACAACTTAAATTCCGTCTGGGAAATGTAAGTCTCCTGGAACCATCCATCACATCTTGTGCTGTTGTTTTTACCAGCCATCTCGTCGGTCTCTCTGCTGCTTTCTTTTGTCGCTGAATCTGCATGCTATTGCTTAATCTTTGGTTTCTTTTGCAACTGAACCTTCCTCACCTCTTGTCTTTTCTTCTCCTTATATATTCTTCAGTTTTTGCTCTTATTCTTTCTTCTGTTTCTGTCCTTCCTGCAAGAGTTCGTGCTTCCGTTCTCGTGCATTTGACCCACTTCTGCTCTTACTGATCTTCTTCTCATCAATGACAGCTGTCAGCCGCTGCTCCTTATTTTATCCTTGCTGTTGACTTCGCACTATTTTCATACCTGTTTTAAACATCGCGATTGTCATGCGCGTGTAGCTGTTATGCATACGTTATGATACGTATTAAACAATATACAGTCATGAAGTCATTACTCATATTTTACAATGGTTAAAAAGACCTTTTTTTCTTTTTCTTTTTAGCTCCATGCAAGACAACCAAATAATAAATATCCCAACTTTTCCATCTTTACCTCAACTTCGGACAATGTAAGCACTGCGTTCGTTAACCTTCTTCGAGTATCAGAATAGTCGAATATCAAACATGTATTCTGGGGGGGGGGGGGGCGCCACCGATGATTATAGTTTTTTTGCACTGAAATACTTTCCATTCGCCACCACTCAAGCAGGAATAATTTTTTAGTCTTGTCATCGTAGATTCGATTGTTGAGACTGCTGAACAAATTGAACAAATAATAATAAATTTGCTTACTATAGTAGCGATTAACAAATATCTTGCATTTTTTTCATATCATTTTCATATCTTTTCTATTTAGATATCTGGAAAGAAACAATCTTCAAATGATGGGAATCCTGGCTTTTAGTAAATTACCAAAACTTAGCTACTTTGTAAGTTTTACCATTCGTGTCAACCTTCATTTGCATTGTGCTATTCCATATCGAAAAAAAATGTGTACGGTCTTCTTTTCACTTGCGCGTTTTTCATACGCACGTAAAATTTTAAACTTTTATTGTTTAACATTAAGGTAAATAAATGCATACTAAAATATTCGCTTAGACTTTTACATGCTTGTACGTGCACCATGAAAAACGCGCAAGTGGAAAGCAATTTTGTAAGTCAGTAAATATTGTTCGGTATTAGTATAATTTTGGTTTGCCAGGTGCCGTTTTTCAACCTTTAACTCAACATAAATATATAGTAAACGTCACACGCTTTCACTTCTTACATTTGATATCTTTACCGCGACTCTTCTGTGTCGCTGTTTTCAGGACGCTTGGCAATAATCCTCTAGCATGTGGCTGTAATGTATTCAACTCCATTCTTGCCGTTAAAGACGTAGTATCAGCGGGATCTCAAGCATTGTGCGACAAACCGTCTCGAGTGCAGGGAGCTATTCTTCCTAAAAACTACTTAGCTTATGATAGAAGAGACTTTACTTGCGGTAAGCACTCCACCGGCTAACTACTTCCGAGATTTCACTATATTCGAGGAGGTTTACCAATGAATTCGGGCTATGAAATAATATACTATAGTCCTTGCAAATGCCCCTAAATTTGGTATAACTGAGCTAGTGAGGAAAGAGTTTTCTAGCACCTTTGTGATACAACTATAAGAGAAATATCATGAGCAGTTACATATTTTTGAAAAAGCTTTTCATAGAAATAAAGTTATTGAAATATATATTTAGCTCCAGTTAACGTGAAGGCCTCTACACCAGGAGATTTTCAATTGCGCGTTGACTGGGTACCAACTGCTTACACTTATGCTGTCGAGTTCTTCAATGGAACAAACGGGACACTTCAAGTGCTTTCCGATAATACGACGACTCTCAATCTTACTTATGTTGTTACGTGCCGTGGGCCGGAGAATAAAATCTTGAAACAGATCACTAATCGTACGTGGGTTGTTTTCAACAAGATCGACGGTATTCTGGCAGGAAGTGATTATTCGTGTTTTGTGCAGACTGTTGAAGTTGTCTTGAATGGGAGTAGAGAGGTGATATCAAGGACAAGCGTGGATAGTCATTCGGTTCTTCAGACTACTATTGAGGGTATAGGTAAGTTAAATTTGAATGACTAGATAGCGTTGTTGTTACCGACAAACTAGGATTAACCGTGTTTACCCAGCGAACGAAATGTGGGTTAAATACCGTTTCCTTATGGAGAATTTAACCGAACGAAATCATGGGTACAAACCAATTTTAAAGTCATCAAGTTTTGGGGTTTAGTACTCTACGAAAGCGGGATAGGCAGAATATTTTATTGGTATTTCTTTTTCTTGTAGCACCGATAGTCAACACCACGACAAACACCTCAAATTATTATTTGGACATTACGTATTACGATTTTAAGTAAGTTCAACAGCTACCCAAAGCGAACAAATCTGAATAGTGGTCTTCTGCTGCAAAACGATTTCATTTGGTGCGATCATAATAACAGGGGCAACTGTTCCTCTGTATCCGTGCTTGATCCAGTCAGCGTTAACGTATGACAGATTTATCAAGAAATAATTATGAATCATTAAGATAATATAAGATGTGACTTTAGAATTTCATTTATATTTTTTGTAGAGCTTCAGAATCTGATTTTGTCAGCGTAAATTACGATGGACCTTTCCCTAACCCAAGATACATAGCGAGCCCGTTTGAAAGCTGGTTATATTACGACGGCCATCCGGGCCACTCCGACTGGTTCAGGAGTGAGTCCGTGAGGAACCGGCACTATACGGATTCCATTGAACTGACGAGCACTCACGATGTAGATAAAAAGGGAAATCGTGTCAATCGATATTTTTCGACGAAATTTTTCCCGGTAGATGGCCGGGGGTTTAGGGCCGAGGGACAACGGGATTGCGTGACTAATGCGCTGAGAAATTTTGGGTCAGTAAATCAACTCAATGTTATAGAGCATCCGTTCGGGTATTTTTAGTCTCAAACAACTGGTAGAAAACGGATTTACCTTCATTTCATTCAAATCAGTTCTCAGTTGAACTCTGCCATTAGACTGACGACAGTGAGCGATTTGAGTTTGTTTTTCCAAGTATATAACTGATTGAAATGAAATAAGTCGAAATTAGAGCGAAAAAATTTGAGAGTCTATAGATTTAGAGAAAATTAAGCTCAGCTCTGCTCCTGTTCTAATTTCGGGGTATAATAATTGTTTTAAAAATCGTAATATTTTGTTCCATAGATTCACAGCAGCAGCAAGAAATACCTTCACGTATTCTGGTAACGAAATATTGACATTCGCTGGTGGGGAGGAGCTTTATGTGTTTATAAATAAGCAGCTTGTGATCCAACTGTTTCATGATCCAGGGAATGGCTCGGTCCCGTGCGCGATTGTTGAACTGCAGGCTGCCTCAGGTAAAGCATAGCTTTCCTCGATTAACTTGAAATGATGAAAAAGTATATTCAAATTCAGTTGTCACACCAAGATATTATACATAGGTGTGTCGCTATGGTTTACCAAAACTGGCGCTGAATCATGGAATCGATGTTTTTGGATCAGTTAGAAAAAAACGATAACCATTTATTTAGCAAAAATTCTTTTCACATCTTTTATCAGGAGACGGTAATATTGAAGTCAAGGAAGGCGTATTATCTCATCATAATTGTGAAAATGTCAAACCAAGCGCGAAGAAAGTGCAACTGAATCTTCTCGTATGTATTTTAAAAAAACAATATTTTACGAAGTTTACGAAGACTATATCGCCAAAAAGCTCACACTAGTTGAGTGTGACATAAGTGGCGTTTACACTACGTGTTTTGACCTGGCCTGGACCAAGTCTAGACCGAGGTGTGAACGTTGTTCATCTGGCGTAGACCAGGCCGTCATGGAATCTTTACGCATAGATTAATATCTTACACTCAATGAGTTTGGTTGGGTGTGAAGGAGCTTTTAGAATTCTTTCCAATATTTTTGGTCATCAGTTACAATTTTCCAAACTTCTTTTGCCGCGATGTTATTCAAAAACCGATCACGCTAATCCGAAAATGAAATTTTCAACAGCCGATTTGCTAGGTAAATGTGTTTCCCCACAAATCTCAGCTTTTTACTTTATTGAGGTTGAACCAAATAGCGAAGTAATGAGCAAAAAAGCAGCCCTTAAAGTTAAATCCGATATTAGCTCGATACCTAAGGGTTAAGCGCTAATCGCGTTTTGAACTGTCGCGGCCGTTGTAACTTAATTGCATCTGTTGTGACCAGTAGCGTAGCCAGCCTGGCGATTTTTCCCGTTATGCTAATATTGTTCCTCTATGCTAATATAAAGGTGTTCATTGACTGTCAAAACAATGAATTTTTAACTCGACTTAGAAATAAATCGAAATTTACATAGCGGGACAAAATCGCCAGGCTGGGTACGCCACTGGCTGTGACTGTCGTTTGTACATATTATTCATTGTTCAGGTTGGCGTACCTTATCGCCTGGAAGTTTTCTTAGCAGAGAGGTTTCTGTGCCAGTCTTTGTTTCTGTACCAAGCCAGCGGCACCTCGTTTGTGCAACCATGGCAACCAACACGAGTTGTCGACTACCTTGCTACGATTCCAGAATCATTTCATATTGGCGCACGGGTGAAGGAATTTACGATTGGTGACGATTTTACGACTGGAGAGTACAGTATCAACGTAGGTCTATTTACGTTCTGAACAAATGGCTAATCTATTCACTGACATGCAGAATTTGCTTCTGCTCATTTTCATGTTCACGCGAATTTCATTTTATGTCTTGAAAATGCCATGCAGTTATTAGGCCATGCAGTTACAGGTCTATTCTGTGTATAGTTAATCAATTATATATCAAATAACTCTGAAATTGTAATTATTGCCTGTTGATTCTTTTGATTTGAATATCTATACCTTGTCGTGAGGTTCTGCAGGCTGGTATACTAAACCGTTTTTATGTAAGCTTGAATTCTTCCTTGCAGGTTCTAAGCGGCAACAACCAACGAAGGTTCGCAATCAATCGTTCGACATACACTCCGCCAGCAAGCCCCACGCCGCCTGTCGAAGAAACGGTAAACATCGCAGGAGACACAGTGATATTGTGCGCCAACTCTAGTAACGTCACACAACCTATCGCGAATGTATCAACCACCGTGGAAACATTTACTATACCATCTGGTGACCGCACTGCGTTTTTGACATTAGCCAGAAGTTTGGATTACGAGGCCACTAAAGAGTACGAACTCTTGCTACAAATAGAAGCAAGTGGACGTCAAGGGAACGTCACCATTCGGGTAAAAATAGTTTTTGCGTAATTACTAATCAGTATCTTCAACTTTTTGCGAAATAGTGCACCCAACCCGGAATTAGGAAGTAAAGTAGTCATTTTATAAATGGCTATACCCTGGATATTGAGTTCTGTGTATTTATATATTCACGTTCACATATCGTAAAAATAATCGAAATCTGTCGAGCATGCGCAATCACTCGAATATATTGATTTTGAGTTGTGCATGCGTGGTTGTATTGATTCAATGGTGTATGCAGGAAGCCAGTTTTAATATTACTATTGGCTGAACATTTTTGTGTTATTTATTTTATGCTACACATTAAACTAAAGGCTGTGGTATAATTTGTGCCAACTTATTAATGGAATTCATAGATATAGCGGGCGTCTTGAAATACTTCCGAAGGTTTGAAAATAGGTTTTATATTATTATGTTATTGTATATTTTGTCGGTGATAAAAAATATTCAGGCGAGTGAAGTAAAAATGAGTTGGGTACCGTATTTCTATGTGTATAACTATTATCGTTTCAGATAATCGTCCAAGACGTGAACGACAACTGCCCTATCTTACCACGAGTGTCCTATAGTTTTACCCCAGTCCCTCCTCTTGTACCGGCAGCGTTCTTCATAATCAAAGCGACAGATCTGGATAGCGGTGATAATGCACGGATTTCGTATTATCCACAACGTATTTCGGAAAGGTATTTAGCCATAAAGCGCGTTTTCATTACGCAAATTTGTTCGTGCGACACAAGAAATCCGGCATCACGATTGGTCAGCGATAAAACGTCGTTGCAAAAAGCGTTTCCGCTGGCCAATCACGCATTTGCAGAATTTGTAATGTACGCGAATAATTTCACTTAATGGAAAACCAGCTGAATTTAGATGCATTATTCTAATAATACCATGCATGGGCTTTCATTTCCCTGGTGACTATGTTGCTCTTCCAAATTTTAACAGATTATAATGATCTAATTCGAATGTCTTATCATTCTTGCCAATGGCGTACCACATATATCGAGTAGTATATTTCTGCTCTTAGTTTGCAACAATGACTGCTAACAGGATTTCTGGTCAGAATTTTGAATGCATGCTGTCTCGATTTTCATTCAACGCATACCGTTGTTTGTTAATGATTCAATTCGGTATAGTTAACAGAGATTTACAAAACGTGAATACTGTACACTTGAGTTTAAAAATCGAATCAGAAGCCGATACAGGCCAGCCGGTCCAACAGCTGCCCCCCCCCCCGTCATCCACTTCCCAAGCCATTTAACTGCTCTAGGAACAAACTGCTTCATGAGATCCAGAGAATTACCCATTTTCGTTATAGGCACGAAGTGAGCCGTATTCGCTATCATACTAGGAACTTTACTGAAGTTATCTGGGTTAACACGACGACGGAAACGGAGTGGACATACAAAATATATGCCGTAGATAACGGAAACCCTAGACGTGGTGACTTTATACCAGTTAATGTTACCATCAACGCTACCTGTACTAGTCATGCTAACTTTGTTGTTAATAATACCTCTGGGGAAGTGTTCTTACGAGCTCCGAATCTTACAGGGTCTATATATCGTAAGTAAATCGTGTGGCTTATAAGTTTATTTGATCATTTTCTTGGAGAACTTCAAAATATCCGTAAATTTTAATCAGTGCATTTGTTGACATGGTTAATTACATCATTTAATTAAATTGCATTCATACGCCAATCGCAAGGCGTGTTCACGAGGAATTTGTATATGCCGTGTGTATTACACGACATTAATGATTAATGATTTTATACAATTTCCTCGTGATTGTTTATTTTCGTTAAAATGCGGTAGATCACAAACCGTACTAGGAAAGACCCTACTACGCTGTAGAGAAATATATCTTGCAAACAACATACATCAATTTGGTGTAAAAAGTGAGAGATCAAACATTGACTATCACGGTTTTCTTGTGAATTTGTCGTTTTACATAAATAAATACGTAGCCAGATTGAATGGGTTATTTCAAAGGGTTAACACTATAGCAACCTTCTATTGAATGATTAATTTTCGTTTTCTTCAGCTCTAAACTCAACACATAAGCCAATGTGCCGACGTTGTCGTACAGGTTACTACTGTGTCGGGGATGGGACGGAATTACCTTGTGGAAAATTTTCACCTACTGAATATTCATTTGCTGGTGCGAGAAAGTGCGATAAATGTCCTGAAGGCTGGGTAAGAATTTATACTTGGGCGTAGTCCTGCGGTTGTGTGCATGCATTCAAATTGAAAAGTTAGGTTGAGAAATCTGACTAAAATAGATCCACAAAATCTATCTTAGATAAGTCAGAATCCAAAGATTGATTTGAAAGCTAGCTTTAACTACTAAACTAAGGCACTTTATGTCTGTCACAGAGCCTGGTTTAGTACAATTAAAAATTTTTTACCTACCCGACCAACCAGCGTGTGCTATTTAGCCTTATTTTCTATGACAACCTTTACGTTTATCACAAATTTTTCCCTGAGTGATCCCTGCTTAAATTTTAGCTGTGCCACAATGGTACTGCCTTGCCATGCCCAGCAGACACATGGATCGCGTGTAACGAGAGCGTAAGTAAAAAGTTTTATCTCGGTAGATACACTTCAATTTCTTGTTATCTTTTTCGGTCTACGACAACTATCACACGTCAGAACTATTTCCCATATGTATATCTGCCATTAGTCATCCTCTTTTCTCAGTTCTGCCCAGAGAAGTGCAATGCTTGTGAGCCTGGTACGGTTTGTTTCAATGGGAAACGAATGGATTGTGACCCTGGAACCTACAGCAACGGCACTGGTACGATTTTCTGTATCAAAAAGATATTGATGACTATAAATTATTATAGTTCCGTTGCTCAGTGTTGTTCGCCACAGATGTGCATGCAATGTAATTGATTTGGTTGAGAGACTCGTGTCTATCCGCGGTTTTTTAATAGGGACGTAGGCATGAAACAAAAATTTGTTGTTTATAACCGTTACGTACCACATAGAATGGACCTGGCACAAATTAAATATAGGCTAGTGATGTTCATGACGTACAAACTTAACTTACGGGAAAGTCAAGTTCGTTCTGCGAAAAAGTTCAAGTTCGTTCGAAAACCATGTGAAGGCCTTCAAATTTAAAAATTTGCATGCCATAAATTGCCTGCCCAACGGTAGTATGTTATAAACACGTGCCTCGTGTATTTAAGGTTTTCCATGCCAATTATGTCCTCCTGGTAGCTACAACAACATCACGCGTGCCACGACCTGCGCATGTTGTCCCGCGGGATACACCAGCACTTATCGAAAGAACACTTGTCGTGCCTGTCACGTGCGTGAGTGGGCAGAAGAAGGGAATTTTCCATTCTGTGGTCTATGTAAGACATGCGTCACTCCCAGTCAATGTAAGTTACATGTAATGTAAACTGATCATCAAAACAAGGAGGGATTTCGTTTAAAAGTTTAGGCATTCTGAAAGTTTTATTTAAAAATCGGTATATTTGGATACACGATTTTTTAATAAAACACTTTGCTCAGAACGCTCGAAATAGCATTTGCGAGGTTTTAGTTTCGAGAACCCCTCTAGATGCATGTGCTGCTGTATTGTATAAAAATTTCGCATCTGTGACCATAAATGCTGGGTCAGCTCCTGATTCTGATTGGGATAGTCTGAAAAATTAATTCAATTGCCAATTAATTCAAAACAAAATTCCGACTTTTTGGTCATTAATACAGTAATCTAATTATATAATGCCTAACTTAATTATAGATTTGGTCTTAATAATCCTATGTTTCTAACTATACACGTTCAATAAACACAAAGCATCCCTGCCTGAAAATCTCGAGCATGATTGATGTTGCATTTACTAGTTTGCCTATAAGTTGTTATGATTGTCTTAGTTGATGAAGAATTTCCTTCAGGTCCATGTTTGACTGTACCTTCGCCGTGTTTCAAAGGAGTAACGTGTCGGAATTTAGACTATGGAAATTATCAATGTGGAGATTGTCCTCCGGGGTATGAAGGGAATGGAACCGCCTGTATCGACATTGACGAGGTTTTGTATTTTTTTTTGTATTGTAACAAAGTTAGTAAGCATGCAGATTATTGCGACCTCCTCGATGTGGTTTGAAATATTAACATTAGGCCTGGTTCTCATATGTCGCTGATAGTCAACGACGTATTGCATGTGGCCATTGACGAAGAAAATTAATTTTATTCAAAATAACAAAGCGCTTAATTCATCATTGATCACCGACAATAGCCATCGCCGACCGTCGGTGACATATGAGATCCAGGCTTTAGTATCAACATGTATGTAAAATATCAACATACATGTTGAAAACAAAATGTTGACGAAGACAAGAGGAGAATGATTATGAGTTGGACATATTTCGAGTTTACTTGAAAATCATCATCGGAGAGACAAACGTTACCGATATGTCATATCATAATGATGATTTTAAAATCGGGGATCGAATTTTCACAAACTCATTTAGTTGCAAACTCATTTCACTCATTTACTTACAAACTCAATTCAGTTTAAAAAGGCTATCTTATAAAAAGTTTTCGAATTATGTTTTGTATTATTTTTTTTTAACATTTTAATTTCTCAGTGTTCCCGTGCATCGCCCTGCAACTCAACCTGCACAAATCTTTCACCTGGCTATCGCTGTGGCGGGTGTCCATCTGGTCACCGGGGAAGCGCCCCCTCGGGGATTGGTCTTCATCAAGCAAAGACAAAGCAAGTCTGTGAAGATATAGATGAATGTTCAGAAGGGAGTCACTTGTGCGATAAGAATGCGAAATGCGTTAACACAATTGTGAGTAACCCAAGAAGCAATGTAGATGTAGGGAAATAAAGTTTTCGTTGAAAACTGACATATAACGTTGTTCGGAAATAGAAATATGCCATGACTATATTTGACTATAATTATCTCTCTTTAGGGCAGCTACAAGTGCGGTGCTTGTAATGCAGGTTTTATTGGCAATGGATACAGTGGATGTGTCCCAGGAGACTTCTGCGATGCAGGCGTCAGCGATTGCCATGCCAATGCAACATGCACTTCGCAGGGATCCGGGCGCTACACATGCGAGGTAATACTAACTAAGTCAGTTTTATCTGCTGCACTCCATCAACTATTAAGTACTACGAATTATTAACCTCATTACTAACGTTGTCAGTTGACTTTAAGTTGATCCTAATATATTCAATGTATTGCTGTCTGTACACCTGTTTTATAGTGTAAAGATGGTTTTGGAGGTGATGGTAAGGAGTGTGGACCAGATACTGATTTAGATGGAATACCAGATAAACCTTTAAGTTGTTTCGTTCCGCCTTGCAAGATGGTAAGCGCGAGGTTGTTTCAAGATGATATGTATCTGTCAACCCGTAATTTCTTGAGAGAATTATGAAGTAAACCAGCGCACTGCACCATATTTCCCATCTTGAATTGAAAAGCTGTACACGTACAATTTGAAGTCTGCTGTTTCATGTTTAGTTCACGGACAAAAATCTGATGTTTTTATCCGGTGTGTCCTTTTTTTAAGGACAACTGTCCGTATGTTCCTAACGAAGGCCAAGGTGATAATGATGACGATAGTGATGGCGATGATTGTGATTCTGATGATGACAATGATAATATCCCAGATGTTGATGTAAGTTTAAAATGTTGTTATTATGAAAGTCAAGATTTATAACATCATTATTTTTATGTATATGATAACAATGTTAAAAATTCTTTGAACAGAAACTACGAGACACAAACTGTGGAAACTACATATAACACCGACTGCAGAAACTACACAATCTAAAGAACACAAAAACAGCGAAACTACACACAAACTATACAGCACAAGCTATACGGAAACTATTTCGAAAAGATAGAAGACTACGGAAATTACACAATCTACAGCACACAAAAGCACGGAAACTTCACACAAACTAGTAAATACGCGCTATACGAGAACTATACACAAACTAAAGAACACAGAATATTTCTAGGGGGCGAACAATTCGGCTACATCTGTGGGGGTGGCTGTACTGAAAAACACAAAATAGGATACCACACACATACTAGAAAACACAGCAACTTTACGTCAACTACAGAACACAAGGATCTCCCCATCCGAACCTCTCGCTCAGTAAGGAGTATTTATATGTATTTATTGGAGCATGTCAAATAATTTTTCTTCAGGATAACTGTCCCTTCACTGCAAACGATGATCAGAAAGACAGCGATAATGACGATGTTGGTGATGCTTGCGATAACTGCAAGTTTGTGAAAAATACAGATCAGAGGGACCTCGATAGAGATGGAGTCGGAGATGGTTGTGATAATGACATAGACGGGGATGGTGAGATTTGTATTCTACTATTAGACTGTGGCCATCATCAACTGTTCAAGAGCTGCTTATATATCTTATTGTGTATAAATCAAAATTTATTTTTCACTTTGGCAAAGTTTGTTAAATGGTAATTTTCCTACACGAAAAAATGCTCGACCTTTGAATGCTCATGCATGTTGTTTGAACATATTTTTCGTGTCCGAATTCAAATCCATGATAAATATAATTTAGGTTTTCAAAATGTGAATGACAGATGTCCCCAGCTGAATACTACAGATCAAACAGACACAGATGGTGATGGTATCGGTGATAAATGCGATAATTGTCCCAAAAATTCAAATAGCAATCAGGTATTAAACAGGGCCTTTACATAGTGACACTAGGTAATAAGTTATAATTTGAGTTGCTATATGCATGATAAAATAAGATAATACATAAGATACTATAATAAAATATTTTTTATATATAACTATTTAATGACTTGCAAAAATATTTACGTTGGAAAATCTTCCCTTTAGCGTGACAGTAATCAGAACGGCTATGGAGATTTGTGTGATCTCTCAACTGGAACAGATAGGTGTGCTGATTATGCTCTAATAATATATTATAAGTATTCTTTAAACTGGTTTAAAAATCTGTTAGTACTATCCGGCGATTCAAGCCTTCAACCATTAATTCAACCATCAAAAATTATGAAACACTATTTGGCATAGCTGGGCTGCAATGATTTGGTTGTCCCAATTTATATGTTTGCTAAAGTAAAAAAATCTTCTAAACTAAAGTTTTCTATTTGCATCATTGAATGGAATCCTCCATTTTATAGTAAACCATCCTTGAACTTTCTTCCCGATGCTACCCGCACTAGCCGCACACCCGCACTAGCCGCACACCCGCACTTTGGTACGACTTCGACATTGTTTTCCAAACTGAGTCACATGAAATGCATTTCTTATTTTCTCAATGCATTTCTTATTGTTTGAAACTACCTTTTGTAGACATCCTTTATACATTTCACCCTCCATGCAGCACACTTTTTTAATCTCAGGCAATAGATTGGAAATCAGGTGGAAATCTCTTAATACGATTCCTCATCTTTTAATAGGGATGGTGATAGTGTTTTTAATGATTATGATAATTGTGTCAACCTTCCAAATGCTGAGCAAGCAGACAAAGATAACGATGATTCTGGTGAGTATACTTTAATATAATTAATTTGAATTATGAATTTTACATTGACATTAACATTTTGAAACTGAAACTTGTTGAAGATAGAGCTAATTACTTTCTAATACAGAGAACTTTATGTCATTTTGTGCAGGGGACGCATGTGATGACGACAGCGACGGCGATGGCGTATTGGACGCCGATGACAACTGCCCTTTAGTGAAAAATCCTGATCAGAAACATGTTAACCTAACATTCGATGCTTTTGGTAGGTCATCAATCATTAGCTGTAGTGTGAGTAAAAATCGGGTAGGGGGTGGACGTGCCGCGTATTGTATGTATTAATTGCGTAACGATATGTTCATCTTTCTGATCATTTTTAGGGTGTTTTGTTTGGATGCACATAACTTTCCGCCATTTTTATTTTTAATTGTACTGAACAACAACAAATGCGGAAATATCTGTACTACTCTCAACCAATCGGCATCCAGTAATTTTATCATGCTTATAATGAGTCTAGATACGAAGTTTATTGTTTAGAAATGTTTCGGTTTCCATCAAATGAAGACCTCTTAGAGAATTGACTACGGGCTAGCTCTAGCTGGTTTGCCCTCCGCAAGACCGATGTTGATTGTTACCGATATCAATCTCATTCAATTTTGTGTCGTTGATCAGGTGTTGAGGTTGGTGATCTTTGCGTCAAAGATTTTGACGGGGATGGTTACTCCGACGAGAAGGATTCATGTCCACATGTTGCGAATATTCATAAAACGTCATTCGAGGAAAACTTTATTGTATGGCTTGATGGGCAGCAGGCCGATGATAATTTGTGGAAAGTTTCAAACGAGGTAATGACGTTGATCATTGAAAAAACAACATTCCCTTATTAGATGTTTTTCATAAAGTGACGGCCAAAAGAAATGGTTTCCACAACATTAAACGAAGCGGACGTCCAGGATTTCTTTTGCAACTTATGAGAAGATGTGGCTGGCTAATGCTCATTGCAAATTTTAAACATTATTATCGTTTTGTATAGGGCCGAGATATTCAATATTCGTCCAATAGAAGCAGTCCATCAATGTTGATAGGTATGGCACCGTTTTTCTCCTATGAAATGTCAACGCCACCTGATCGACTGTGTTTTTGACTTGAAAATCAGTAAAAACATTTTGACACGTTTGACAGGTTTTTGCCCTTGACACTAAATTTGACACAATACCTTGTGTAAAATCGGCTATTACTGGCTATCTTTATTTTTTTTATATTTACTGGACACATTTGCCATTTACGTTTCTATGCCATGCAATATTGCAGGTAATCAACGCTATGGGCCTGTTGATTTCTCTGGTACGATGTTCGTAAATACGCACGAGGGACTGAATTACATCGGTTTTGTTTTCGGTTATCAGTCGAATAGAAAGTTTTACGCGGTCCTGTGGCGACATAAGAATCTGAATCTCGAGGAGAAAACGTACAAAGCTGGTATTAAAGGTCTTCAATTAAAGGTATATGTTTGGAAGATATGCCAATTTGTCATATTTCAGTTGTCTTTGGAAAATCACAAAACATTTTTGTGAGGTTCAATTTTTTTAAAGGGGGGGGGGCGTATCGCTCTCTATCATTCATTATTATTTTATTTAACTTGCTATATGTAGCTCATAAACAGTGCTACTGGTCCCAGCGATGTTCTAGCTCAAGCTTTGTGGCATTCCAGAGAGACCGTAGACCAGGTAAAGTCTGGATAGTGAAGCTACCGAACGTCATTATAACACTCATTTTGCCGATATTTTTTTTAAGGTTTCGGTACTCTGGCACGATCCTCTTATGCAAGGATGGGAACACAGAACTCCTTATAGATTTTATCTCAAATATCGTCCTTCTGTTGGCAAAATAAGGTACAGTTTGGTACATCTGATATACTCTTTCAGTTGTGATATACCCTTTCAGTCTGATATATATCAAGAAGAGAAAACTTAAGAATAGTGCAGCACAATATGCATTTTTTGTACGCAAATTTTTTATGTAGCAATAAACACATGCATGTTACAGCAGGCAGAAATCTCAGTTTCAAGACGTGGTCGTGACATATACAGTCTCATAAGGATCAATATTTTTATTCGTCAAAAAATCGTATTGATGATCACGCTCAGAATGAAAGCGTCATGGCCAGAAAATTCGGACATAATTAACATTCTACTTCCGCCTAAATTTGCATATGGTGTCAAAATAAAGCTTCGTGAGTTTATAGTAAACTGTAATGTGCACAGTACTAAACGCTAAAAATACACCTTTAGGTAGGTCAATTATAATTTGCCTTAATTACTCGTTGCAGAGCAAGTTAATCTTAATATTTTTATATAGTATTTCAAAATATTTTATCAGTATTCGTCCTGCATTTTCAAAAAAAAGTTTGATTATTTATCACGTTGAATACCATATAAAACAAAAACCGTAATAGCGTAGAAATAAAATAAAAATGCAGAGCCAACATAAACCTTTACCAGCAAAATATTACCTCAGGATCTTTAATATGACACGAATTACAAGAAACAACCAGGGCAAATTGCAAAGATGCAATGATTTTCTTAAATTTTGCGAAATTTAAGAATGCGCAATATAATTTATAGTTCTGCAAACGAATAATATTTGAACAGATATGCAAATTTGCTACGGCAATCTGCATATTCGATGTCCGCAATTTCTGGCCATGGATATTTAAAGGGCCTTAATTGTACGTCAATTTGGCTTCAAAGAGAATGGCTTAAAAATTGTTCTTTAGAGCTGACTGGGATTTTTTTAGGTTATCACTTTTAAGATTGTGAAGTATACTTGAAAACCATAACCTTTTATAGTTACATACGTATATTCTTCCTGAAATTCAGGCTGATTGTTAACAACGGAGATTCTATTATCGCGGATTCTGGGGATATTTATGATACCACGATCACAGGAGGGCGGTTAGGGGTAATTGTGTATGGACAGAAGGATGTTGTTTGGTCTAGGCTGCAAGCAAATTGTCAGGATAGGTATGAGCTTGTCTGCTTGTTATTTCTTTCTTTACTATTAAGAGAAAGTTAACTCACGTATTCATGAATAAGCTGTTTTAGACTAATAGACTAGGAAGAATTTTCCTTTGTCTTTTTCCAGCTTTTTTAAACTAGCCTGTGCATAGCTTGTATTACGCACCGTAGTACGGTGCGCATATTACAGGCTGTGCACAGGCACGTCAAACAAACAAACCGCAAAATTCGGCCTAGTTAAAAACAACCTTAGACAATTCTATTTTGTATTTAGGGCATTTTAGGGTGAAATTCGCACGCCAGCAACAGTAAATGCTATATTCACGTTCTGATAATTAATAACTGAATGCATGGTAGACTAAAATTTTCTTTTCATTATGTATCATATTCATAAAGAAATACGTGAGTCCGCCGGAAAATGGCGTATTCGACCATGGTCGAATCCGCCGGAAAATGGCGCATTCAATCATGGTCGAGTCCGCCAGAAAATGGCGCATTCGACCATGGTCGAGTCGGCCGGGGAAAACGGCGTATTCGACCATGGTCGAGTTTGCCGGAAAATGGCGAATTCGACCATGCTCGAGTCCGCCAGAAAATGGTGTATTCGACCATGGTCGAGTCGGCCGGAAAAAATGGCGTATTCGACCATGGTCGAGTTTGCCGCAAAATGGCGAATTCGACCATGCTCGAGTCCGCCAGAAAATGGCGAATTCGACCATGGTCGAGTCCGCCAGAAAATGGTGTATTTGGTCGAGTCCGCCGGAAAATGGCGTATTCGACCATGGTCGAGTTTGCCGGAAGATGGCGAATTCGACCATGGTCGAGTTTGCCGGAAAATGGCGAACTCGACCATGGTTGAGTTCGCCAGAAAATGGCGTATTCGTCCATGGTCGAGTCCGCCGGAAAATGGCGAATTCGACCATGGCCGAGCTATCAATAAATAATAGACCTTTTGCATTTTAGACTATATTTTTATCCAAATTGAAGGAAATACAATCAAATCACTACAGCTGAATAGAGCGAACTGAAATTTGTAGAAATGCAAAGTTTAGCTGCGAAATACGGAAAATATATATAGTCTTGCAAAATTGTGTACTTTTATACCTTGCATTTCCTTGCATAGATCAAAAAGTAGTCTATAATGCAAAAGGTGTATTAGCAAGAGATTAATTTTGCGCGTCAGCCAATTTTACTGACGTGGATTGGCACAACTGTTGTTATTGATGAAGATGTTGTGTGCAATTTTCCTGTACAGTTGCATCAATTACCTTTAATTTACACACTACACTTCATAATAACAGTTGCACCAGTCCACGTAAAAAATATTTCGATAAAACAAAATTCCAATAAAAGGCCGTGAAAAAGTGACTGGATTAACGACATAATATTTATACTATCGTATGTTTAATTCGTGTTTCAGGGAAAACCATGCGCTAAAGTTTGACGGAGTTGGCGATTATGTCTCGTTGCCTTCCGCTAAGGAGCTTCAACTTACTGACAGGTTGGTCTTTTAGTAGAAGGTGTTTGTACGATGGAATATTTGAAATTTATTAATTTCCGTTTTTGACCTATAACTTAACAGTTGATTTGTAATCGGTATTAAATATTATAATTTAGTTTTACCATCAGTGTGTGGATTAGACTCGCGAAATCTTACCCAGTTACGGTGATGCCAATTGTATGTACCCTGGATGACACCATATGTCTTTTTATAGTGGACAGGTAATTGCTGAAGAAGCTTTCTTTATACTTATTATTATCAATCTCATGACAAAAAAGTTCATCGGTTCCCTGCTAAATTGTTTCGAAAATTGTAGCAGGGGAAGTCGTAAACAGGTGCAAGTGACATATTTTTGCCTCTATCGAAAGGACTTGCGCATTGCATGCTTATTAGGGATTACATTTTTCATTTACATTTTGTATTGTTGATAAAGATCTATGTTTGCACGCTATTGTAAAATACAGCGTTTAGTTCCCTCCTCCCGGGATATAGTACTAAGGTTGGAATCTTCATATATTAACAGGAAGCTACGAGGTCGACTGGGGACGGCCGTTGTAACGAGTGGTGACGTCATCGACGCTGATAATTGGCATCACGTGACCTTGAGATACGATGCTCAAAGTATTGTCATTGGAAATTTTGGGCCTTTTTCAGACTGTAAAGAGTCTACAGGATTTCTATAAAAACATCTAACTTCCAATTGTGTATTACTCTAGTAAACGTGAAAGTTTACAAGCAAACTTGTTTTTAGAATGGGAAAGTAGATATTTTTAGATACATTTTGTGGACTTTTTAATGCATGCCCATAAAAGGTCTCTAGAACTAGTCTTGCTTTTTAAGTTATCCTTTGCCTTAATCTGCATGAAGTCCTTCCTCTTCGGATGTTTTGATAGACCATATTTATTCAGCAAAATCATATTCCTTTATCCAACATTTACATGTCGTAGGCAAAGTAATCTCACCCTCCGAGAACGTCATGCATATCCCGCGCATGCATATCTCTTATTTTTCGAGAACGTAAAATAAATAATTTTATTCATAATGCTTTAGGACATGAACTTGCGACATTTCTGAATGGAACTAAAGATACGAGTTTATCAAAAGTACAACCTTTATCTTGGGTATGTTTTTTTATTATATTCAAGTTGAAGCTTGACATATTTATATTGATGCATTTTTGTGCGGATTTCACCGTTAATACGTGCACATGCATGGATCTGGAATATGTTTTTTAATGTTTATTGAAAAAATGCTGATTTGGTTTGCACCACATGCATTTTTTTTCTTCATCGAGCACAGCATGTTACAGTAACGTACTAATAAGAAAAAATATGGTGTTTCTTTACAATCACACGGCCGATTCTGCATTGCATGTTCGAAAAGCGCGAATTAAAAGCCATATGTTTCGATTACAAGAATCATGATCTATCTTTATTCAGGTCAACAATTCCGCTGTATATTTAGCAAGGGACGAAAATGCGTTTTTCAAAGGAATGTTGGATGATGTGAGTACCTGTTTTGACAATAATTTTGACGATGAATTGAAAAACCTGTGTACAACAAAGGTACACTTTGAATTATTATACAGGTTTCATTCTGGCCAGTCAAACAACAAGATAGCGAAGTGGAGGATTACTCTAAAATAGCTGGACTGTCCTGGCCTAAACATAAGCGTATTGTTCGCGCCCATTATACGATGGACCAGAGGTTGGGTGAGGTTGTACCTGATGAATCTGGGAATAATCTGAGTGGCACTTTGAAAGGAAATCCTCAATGGGTAGAAGTACGTATACCCAAAAGCACTTTCAAATTTTAAAAAAAAAGAGGGGGCGTAACCCGGTCACAGGTGGTGGTTATATACACGACTTTTCCACCTTGCGATAGGTTGGTAGGTCGGTAAAACGTTATGTATCCATGCTAACCCGGCCCCTTGAGCCGAAAACTGATTTCCAAGGGCGATAAGATAGTTAATATATTCTTACTTGCTCAGCGCAGCAGAGGATTGTGCACGCTATAAGCTTGACAATCGCATCTTCTATTTCAGAGTTCCCTTGACAAGGTCCGGTTCCAACTTACTCATCCCAACAACAGAAAACGAAGACACGTTCCACATATCATTCATTCAGAGTTATAAGCGGTCGAGACCTTTTAAACAGATTGCGCATAATCACATGTCAAACATGGGAGCCTTTGCTTTTTTGTACAATGCAGTCGCTACATGGTCACAGTGGTCCTCTTTGCTATGGTATAAAAATCACCAAGTGGTTGGGAACTTGTAGGAATGATATACATAATATCCAACTCTCTAAAATTAATATATCTTTCTTTTATTTAAAAAAAAGAGTGAATTAAATAGAAAATCACTCTCACTAAACACAAGATGAAGATTATACAGTTGTTTTGGACAGTCCGTTGCAAGTTTATAACGTGTAATTAAGCAACGTTAAAAACTCTAATAATTTTCTTGTATGATTGCATGGCGACTTTAGTAATTATAATAACTTGTAGGTACACCACGTAAGTATTAAATACTGCAAAGCTTTCGGTCCGTTAACCCGGACCTTCATCAGTGCAATTACTTGAATACACGTTTGCGCGTCACTTAAATATCATGTTAGTCGTGATTAGTTTGCTCGCGCTATTAATACGGAATATCTATCCTCTGTCTGTTTACCATATATTGGCCCAGCTTCATATAAAATCGTTAGGATTTTAAAAGAAGTTGGAATACAAGTTTACCATTCTAGCAATAACAAATTGTTTCGCGCTCTTTACACACACAAGGATGGCGTCGATGAACAACAGAAACCTGGTGTGTACCGCATTCCATGTGAATGTGGTTTGGTTTACATTGGAGAAACCGGTAGAAATCTCTCAATACGTCTTAAAGAACATAAGACGAACTGCGAGAAAGGTAAACTGGATAAGTCTGCAGTAGCTCACCATGCGTGGACTTATGATCATCGCATTAAATGGAACGATGCTACCATTTTAGCAAACGATAAGTTTACTGTCTCTCGTAAAATGAGAGAATCTATTGAAATTTATAAACATCAAACTATCGTCCAAGAGGGAAAGCCACTTAATAGTACGTGGCGTGCTCTTTTCGGTGTCTCTTAGTCAAATACTTGTCTAGGGCGCGCGCATTAATTAGAACTTAATTAAATGAAACCGTTTAATTAATAGCGCGAGCAAACTAATCACGACTAACATGATATTTAAGTGACGCGCAAACGTGTATTCAAGTAATTGCACTGATGAAGGTCCGGGTTAACGGACCGAAAGCTTTGCAGTATTTAATACTTACGTGGTGTACCTACAAGTTATTATAATTGTTAAAAACTCTATTTATTATGTATTTCTATTGATTCTATTTCTAGAGTATACTTTCATTCAACTTGATTTGATTACGTAGTAGGAATTTGATTTGGGACACGACAATCAAGAAGTGAGTGACATTTTTGTGTTCAATTGAGTCGTAGATGTTGTTTTCAGCCGTAGAGACACTTTTTTTAGGTATCACGAGTTTTATTTGCATGTTATGTGTTCAGTTATTTATTCTTCAATCATTAAAATAATGGATGTATTTTAATCAAGCACAATCATGTTGAGGCCCAGTTACACTACGCGATTTGTCGTATACGATTCTTACACGTATATGAACACAGTACAAACGTGACATTTTAAATTCCACCCTGAACAAAATTGAATGGAGATTAATATTGTGGAATAGGCACCTTTTGCATTCGTCGATCAGAATGATAATTGCATACAACTCATCGTGTTGTCTAAATAGGCCTTTAGAATGTTTTAACATTTAAACTGAATGTTTTAATAAATATATTACGGAAATCTCTACGGTGCTGAACGTGGTTTTGCCATGCATAACTCTGCATATCACAAAAACCTCATCCAATAATTGTTTATTATCTGTACTTTAATACGTTTACGTATAATACGAAAGAGGTTGAGTTGTGCAAAAATTTTAAGCACTCATGCAGGTTCACAAGAAATTGACCAGACACAAAATTTTCCAAACTAATATAATGTATTTAAATATGTCAAAGATACCTACTTTGCCTATATATTTGTCCACAGCCAACTATCGCAAAATACAAATTTTGTAAAATTTAAAACATTATAAATATAAATAAATCATTAGGATTTAGGGGACGTAAATTTCTTCCAATTAGCGCCATGGTTGTCTGTTTTTCAGTTCGTTCGGAGCCCTGAACGCTTCTCTTGACGTTGTTAGAAAGGAGTTGTATTGAGATTTAAGAATTGGTGAATCAAGTTCAGGTTGATGTCCAGGATAAGCTGTTGGCTCACGACCTGTTTAAATAACATGTTTAAATTACTTTAAATTACTCAAGTCCAGTATTAGAACGATAATTCTTTCGGACACAGAGGACTATTGAGGACTTTTAAGGAGTTTTAAGCGCAAATTAACTAAGCTTTTAAGCAGTGAACTTGATGTGTGAGAATCAGGTGAGAATCAGGTATCGCGTAACTTAATTGGCTTCCTATTGCCTGAACCTCATAACGCTGGCAACGTCGTGGATGACGCACAATTTGGTATAATTACAATGTATCTTACCTTGAACACTTCTCATTGATGCAGGAATTTTGCTCGACTTTTTTGAACCGTGAGCAGCCACGTACGACGTCTCAAAATAATGTGCATACTACAAGAGATAAATTTGAAACCTACGATCATCATCATGGTGGATATATCTGCCCTGGGCAACATGGATAATGATGTGCGCAAGTCCGAAATTTCGAATCCTAGTCAACTTTCGTGTATGCATATAGCATTATTTGGAAGAGTCACCGAAGACCAGCCTTTAGTTTACTTATGTGCGTCTGGACTGGGGCTTGATGATTCTAGGTTTCATTTGTATCAACTCGCCACCGGCCTATCTGGTGCACGCGTATCCACCTAATTTCTGATGAATGGATGTTTTATGGGCAGTTGACTTACAAGTATATGGACAGGAAATCAATCAATACCAGACTATATTCCATACGTCAAAAGTGAGTTTGACTTGTGAACATTCGCCGACAAGAAAAAGTAACAAATTACTGATGATAATTAAAATAGATGTTCCATGCGTAATGTATGATTTTGGACTTACTGAAGACGGGATCGGTTGTGGTTGAAACATCCTATGGATATCAAACCTCTGTTCATTCCAATTCCCGACTAAAGTGTCATTGGAATACGAAGTCTCATTCGTCGTACACCTCCATCCAAACTGCCTAAATTTATTCCGATCCGACATGTGGTCCCATACTTCCCCATGACCCGTCGCCTTTAGTTCGCTGATAAAGGACAATTCTTTAGCCATATGTAATACGATAGATTATTTTACAAATAGTATAGCTTTAGATCTTAGATGTGTGAGATATTTATCAACTCGTTACTTGTGGCCGTGTTTATATTTGCATTATCGTTGTGTACTCATCTTTTGTTGCTAAGCAACATCAAAGTCGAAATTGCTCGTCAACCGTCGACAACTGTCGTACGAATTATCGATGCTGTAACCATGGTAACAATAGGGCATCGAAGAAGATAATTTTTTGAGATAACCGTGAATATTTGTTGGAATATGTCTTAAAAGTAGATCATTTTAGAGCCTGAGATACTCGTTTTTTAAAAAATGACGTCGACTAATACGATAACAAAGACACAACTGCAGCCTACAAGAAATTACGACTTTCTATACGGTAAGATTGCAAGTTTATAGGCTGACGTTTTACGTTTATAAGGCCGCATGCATATTAGACCTTGATACTTTATTTTTGTATTTGTTTGGGAATTTTTCTCCCAAAATTCAATATTGTAATGCACAAGATAACGTAATGTTCATATTAACATATTAAATTCAACATGTGTACCAATCTAGATCGTGCGATCGTCTAAAATTTAGATTATTTAATATATAAGACATAATATATTTATCTTCAGCAGACAGCAGTTCAGATTTGGGCCTTAGGCTGCTTGGCCTAGTTGATTAGTTTCGACAACCTAGCTCTGAACTGCATGCATATAAGCTGTTTCAGATTAAAATTTGCAGATTCCTCTTGGGGACTATTACAAATCTATTTTGCTATTATTAATTTTATTTACTGTATGCACTTGTACACTTTTCAATTGCAAATTCAAATTCATTGTTCTAATTTTTCAATCTGTTATTTGTGCCCAATCAAACAACATAAACCAAATGGCAATAAAATTTATGAAAATTCACGAAATAATGTATTGTACACACTGTCTTAGTGACAGTGAATAGTAACATACATGTGCTGCTAATATGTAATATGACAGTAGTGTATCCTGCCTGATGGTTGATATTAAGAAAAGGGTGAAAAGAACATGTCGCCTTTTTAGTGGTTATCAATATATGCTTCAAATGCCATAACAATAAGAGGCTTATTCAAGGGTGGCATTAAATGATATTTTTGTTTTTTCATTCGAGGCAGCAGTCGAATAATTAGGGTATACATGAAAATTGAGTTTATTAAAGCAGGTCGAATTGAGTAGAAAACAGCCAAAAACACCATTGGGATAGATTGGATTATTAAATATACTATTGTAGTAACTGTACTCTTATAATGAAACAGTTCATAATGGTCACTTTCAGATCCATTGCACACACTATCCAGTGACAGAGATCATGCCAGAGCCACGTTCAAAGCCCATACAGATGCAAGTAGAATTGTAAGTGTACTGTAGTTATCAATGTCATCAGGGAGAAGGGAGATTGCATATTCATATATTGATGTTTGCATGCCATAGGCAAAATAGCTTTCCCAAGAAATAATTTGGGTATAAGATAAATATATATGTATGAATATGCACCGGCCCCCTCCCAGGGCCGCCGAGAGAAATTGTAGGGCCCGGGGCAATTTTTTTGGGGGACCCTATGACGTCATTGGTTTTAAATACCTGCAAGGCATAATGTATCTCAAAGCGATGTGAAAGTTTAACAAACAAACTTTTTTACAAACAGTATCAACGTATCTTAGAAATTAAAATAACAATTATGACTGTCACTCGCACTTTCGACTAGTGAGCGAATAATGCACTGAGCCCAACATTTTTTTAAGGTGCTTTTAAAATTTTAGGTTTTGCGAAATTCAATGCCCTTTTATATTTTCCGCCCGTTAAAATTAATCGCGAAAATAAAGTCTTGCGAAACCTGTAAATCTCTAACCATATAGAAATATACTGGTTCTGGCAGTAAATTTTAAATTTTCTAAATGCCGTACCGCTTAAATTTTCCGAACTTGCGTTGTATGCCTTTATAAAAAATAGAAATATGAGCGAAAGTATCGCCTAGTACGTAGCTTCATGCCGTTGTTTGACTGGCGATTTTGCCGCCGATAAAAGCCATGATACAAAATCATATTTAACGCGATCTAGCTGATTGGTCAAAATGTAAACAATGGCGGAGAATGGCTTAAAATGATGGGCCGGTTTTTTTTCAGCCCTGCATGTTATTACCGAATCATACATTTTTCCAAATTGCAATTATCAAACACATGCACGCATATTCTGGTACTGCTACCGTGCTACATCTTTTTCAAATTGGTCTTTACTTAAGAGAACCTGTGGCTGTAACAGGCTTTGCCTTTGTTTCCATAAAAGCGTTTAGCCTTAAACTATAGCTAACAAATGCTGGACGTCCAGTTCACCACTTCACATTGACAGTATTAAATTTTATAGCCGGTTTGTTATTTTGTATAGAAACGTGTTCCAGTATTCAAGACCATGTTCAGCGATGTTCGCAATTATCCACGATATCAAATACAACTTGATAGTACTGACCCTGTACCAAAATTCATCCCCAGACAATGGAGAGGATATTCACAGCAAGCTAGAGACGCTATTAACAGATATAAGAAGTATGAAACATTTGGTTATTCGCGTATTCTGTTCATGATGAAGTGTATAGCTATATTTAATATGTTTCTTTTCAATCATTTTTGCGTCGGCCCGTTCCTATACCCATTTACACGAAATTGAACATTAAATTGGTACTGGTGGAATTTGACAGTTTATTTGGGAGTTTAAAATTTCATCCGTACCATTTTTTGGTACCGTACCAAAAATTGTGCGTGGTGTATATGGGGCTTTAATATCTGTTTCAAACCAATTGGTTTCAAACTTGAGTTTTACACATGCGCAAATATATACTAATAATTAATCCCCATCATTATGATATTTTTAGTTTTAAACTTACTAAAAATGAACCGACTTTTTTACTATAGATTTAATTATGATCCGTCCGTTCAAGTTCCTCCTAAGGTTTATCCGGTAGCCGATGTAGGTGGAGCAGACAGATACAAGTTTTTCAGAAGGTATAAACAGATTGTGCCTGACTGTGGACGTTGTGCATGGCCAACATTGAGACCGTAAAGCGGATTGGTGATAAAATTATAAAATAGTGTTTTTTTGTTTATTATTGTAAAGCAAGAGTTTGATCTTCCCATGATAAACCCATAATAAAGAAGGGAATAAAATTATGAGCAAATTCATTTATTCTTATTTAGACCGATAATTCCTTTTCTACAACCGGTTCCAGCCGATGCGATTTTGCAAACTTCAAAGTAAGTAGTACCTTCCATTAGTATCTTCCTCAGCTATTTGTGGTGGGTTTCACGTATTATTTTCATAGTGATTTGAGTGCAGGGGGTCAACCTTAATTGCTTATGCTGAACAGGAGTGAGCAAATGATACGAAATTCCGTATATTTGCTACGAAGCAGAAAGCCAACACATATAGTGAACAATTAATTAACTCCAATTTACTGCGTCTCGATTTCGAGATGACCCCCAATGGAGTTATGACGTCACATGAAACCTAAGAGTACTGGGTGAGAGCTTATGCATGCATTTCTATTACCTTTTCAATCGCTGGCTTTTACATGCAAGTAATCGTGTTTCGGACACAACATTGTTAAGGATGGTGTATCGCGACGATTTTCTTTGCAGGCTAATCACATCACCGGATTTCAGATTTCGCCTTGCCTCGCGCGAAAAAAATCGCATAGTAAAGAAATGGTTTAATAAAACAAGGTCACGGGTGCATCATTTCATTTAAACCACAAACCTATACAAAAGATGAACTGCATCGCGGCATCAGTAACGATTAAATTCTTTCTTATATATGTTTCATTTATCACGCGTGTTTTTTAGCGAAGCCCTGGCTGCAACAGCGGTTCCACATGAACAAGATATTGCACGTCCTCCAACACCAGCCACACGTACTGTAGAGGTCCAGACTGACTACAGAGATGGCGAAACTCAGACAGATCCATACACGCCAGAGTTTGTCGTAAGACCAGGATCTCAACCCGAGTTACTCACTCTTTCCTCGCTTTTGTACGGTAATGAAGTGTATTTTTACAGTTAATACGTAGCTTATATTGTAGGTCAGTTGATAAGCCGTTTACCTGATTCGGTATAAATTTTGATCTCCATATGCTACATATAGTAATAGATCTGTTTTCTCTTATAGGGCAGGGTTTGCCTGCTGGCCTCGCGGAAGTAGAGATGATAGAACGAGCTCGGGCGAAAAGGGCTTGGTAAGACACGAACAATCGTAATACAATTCCCCTTAGTGAACTGTTGTAATTGCAACTGTATGAAAATATTTCTACCATTTCGCTAAAAACGTTGGTCCTTAAATGAATATTCATCAGATAGGTCGTCTCTCTGTTAACTGTTAGTTGGTGTCTTTTGTTTCTAGGGAGGCTTCTTTGCCTGCTCTTAACGACATGGATAATTTAGAGAAGAGAAGAAAAATGATGGACGAACAAGAAAGAAAGGAATGGGCATTTCGAGAAAGTGAAATAGAAAAGTAAGCATGCAGTCTCTAGTCGGTGAATGTACAGTACAAACCTTATTTTTGGTCATTGACTCGTCATGATTTTTGGTAACACAAAGGATTAATGATTACTCAAAAGAAAAATTGATCTGGTTGGAGTCTGACTGGTTAAGATAGCTATGTCCCTTGGAACCATGGAATTCCATTTCATATGTTTTCAATGACGTGATTATGTCTCAATGCATACTGCTGCATATTTATATTTGAAGATTGCAAGAGGCGAGGCTACAGGTCCTGGAGAAGATTCTTCAACAACGTGAAGACGAGCACGCTGAAATGACAACGAAGCGACTCAACAGATTATGGTAAGTTACGACTATATGCTACGTTCGTAATAAACATCACTCAAATAACACCTGTTAAATTTACCGGCCAGGCCGGAGAACAGATAGGAGGGGTGGGGGCGGTCTTGTTTGAGCTTTTTCATCATCTCACCTACTAATACTGGGTTCCCTAATTTTCAATCAGGTCGGATAAACAACAAGAAAAGGATCGCAAGTTTCGAAAATTGGAAGCCGAACACATTAAAGCTGTACGAAAGGTTACAGAGAAACGAAAATGTGTTGAGGGGAAGCTTGAACGACGAGATGTGATCAAAGATTATTCTAGCTACGACTCCCAAACTTACGCGCCCATGTCTCGCGTTGGCGTTTTCCTCGATCGTGGTTCGGAACAATACGTTGTAAAAAGCAGTTATTTATCCTCCTATCAAGGCCTTCTCGAACTCGAAGCTTCTCTGCCTGACTTTGTGACACGCCCGAGAGTTCATGCCCCAAAGCCAAAATCTGGCTCGAAAGGTGGTTTCGTAAAACGCAAACAGCGACGTCAGCAAGAATTAGAAGAGGTTTCTAAAACAATTGAGCATTTAAAGAAACCTGCCGAACCGCCCAAACCTTTACGGTTCTTGGAGAAAGTTGAGAAACCGATACCAAGACCTCCAACTCCTTCTGTTCAAGTCCCATCTCAGGTATGGTCACTCGGTTGTTAATTAAGATAAGCGGGGGCCCACAATTAGAGAAAAGGGGACCAAAATAGTAACCCAGGTTTTTAAGAACTGCTGATTTTAACATTGCTATAATTAAAAAACGAATTTAGAGTTATATGTAGATTGCTCGATTCGTTTTGTTGTGATAACCTTTGATAACCTTATAGGCAGAAGAAGATGAGGAATTGGCTGCTATATTCTTACAAAAAGTATTACGTGGCAGAGCCATCCAGAATATGGTAATTACAATCATGTTTCATCAAATATCTATTTTGAAGTAGTTACTATAGCCGTGCCGGCTATATGTGCCATATTTGTAAGCATTACACCATTAAGTTTTTTTGTATTCTTTTAAAGCGATTGCTTGTAAATACACCAAACCATTCACACATTGATTGAACAGCGATACCAATTTTAATACCTATGTCTTAGATGTATGAAGGCAAGGAGAAGAGATTGGAATTGATAAAAGAGCTGCAAAGTACGCATGCGTTGCAACTGGCTGGCCAGATGGAGAAACGAAGTGAACGTCAATCTGTACTCAGTGATCAGAGGATGAGAAGACTCGACACGCATAAGGTAAAATAGGCCCAGATCAATGTTGACAAATATTTATTTGGAATGGCGAAAAGGTCTCCAAATAACAAAGAAGAAAGTTTCAAATTGCAACATAACTGCACTTTTTCAGTAAGTGCATAGTCGTGGGCAGTGTTCGCCAAAGTTCTTATATTTTTTCACTTGAGTGTATTACCTTTAATTTCTATTAAAAAAAAGTATATACAAAGGGACAGCATGTGATTTTTCTTAGGTATTAGGGAAGAACTTTCAAAATTACGTATGTATATAAGCTGATCTAAAATCCTTTAAAACTAAAATGAATTGTTATGTATTTGAATTTGATGAAGTATTTAAGTTTCTGATTAACTAACTTGTAATTTAAATTATTTGAATAAACTAACAAGTAATTATAAATCAATAGAAATAAATAAACCTTGCATGCATAGGATAAATTTAAATGTGTACTAATTCTAACATGCGTAACATATTTTCATATAGGAACGTACTACAAAGAAGGTAACTAAACTCTAATCAAACTAACATTAAAATGAAAATGATAATCATTAATTTCCAGCTTCATAACCAACCTTATAATCATAACTGATATTTATATAACCATAATAATAAATAATAAATAATAATGGTTATTGTAACAACAATCACAATATTAATGATAAATGCATGGTTAATATAAATTACTGTTTTGTTATTATTACGAATAATTATACCATTTATAAAAATTTAATGAAAGTAACATTTGGTGCATTATACATGGTCGATTTAAATACAATGTACATTTTGTTACCTAGGCAAGGGCTTAGAAAGAGTTCTCCGGTTGTGTGATTTGAATGAATTTTCTCAAGCATTCTATTCTAATTACACATTATTTGAACCCATGCACCATGTCTACACCCTTTGGGATGCCCAACTACCGTGGTTGTAGTTTAATTAATAATTGCTATGTTATCATGCAGGAATCCTTTATTGACGAAGCTCTATCTGAATTGGAAGGATCAACAGTTGCTGATATGTTTGATTTCCTGAGCAAAGAAATCATTCGCCTTCAGGTAACAGGAAGTTGAGCATGCAATTCATCGATCACTGATTGCCGATATCGTGTGCCTCTGAAAAGAGGGGGAGGGGGAACTAGAAGGTGGTGCAATGTGCATGTGACCTCACGCTGTGTATTTAACAGGAGGCAAGGAGGATTCAGGCGTTTGCGATGCTTGCTGAAAGAGAGAGAAGGATGAGAGAGGCAGAAGAAAGTGGAAGAAGACAGGTGGAAGAACGTCGCCGTAGAGAAGAAGACGAGATATTTAAACAGGTGCGTAAATATTATGCGTATGTGGTTGTATTGAAGCGATATTTCTGAAATGGTTAAATATCATATACTTTAGAGTTTATAGCGTAAAAACAAACTTTAATACAAAATGAAGAATCTCGTACTTGCACGCAGTTGAGCACTGTCTATTAGAGTTCCCTGTGAAAACACATGCATTTATTTCCCCGTTTTTATGTTTATTCTATTTTTATTGAATTTTGCATGTCTTCGCTACTGTAGGTAGTTCATGTTCACCAGAAAACAGTTACGACATACCTCGAAGATATCATCATTGGAACGGTAGAGAAAACTGCTGAAGAACAGGTATATACTTCATGTATTGCAAGACATCAGTAATAAAACCATATAGATGCAACATATATAGGTGTATGAAAGTGAACCTGCGCTGGACCCTATTATTATAATATAAACTAAAGCACACAAATTCTGACAAAGGAGCATCGTTACTGTTTCCCGCGCTATATCAAACATTTTACTTCTGTTTGCGAAGAATATCCTTTGTTTTCTAAACTGTAAATTTAGCCCACTATCGGAATTTCAATTTGTTTGAGCTTGCATGTTTTAGTTGGAAACTAGTTTTTGCATTCTAAATAGTGTTTTACCTTTTATGCATGGACAGGCAAGACAAGAGATTCAAGAGAAAGCTGTTAAAATCAACGAGATTGCCCATGCGATGGAAAAAACGTAAGATATATTAAATTTTGATTTTGAATGATTAAAGGTGCATGTTGATTTTAGTGTGTGATGAAAATGTAGCCTGGCGAAGTTGTGTGACTTCGAAATATTGTAATGTATGATGTAAATATATAATATTGACAAACATAATTACATGTATGTTTTTTTATATAAAATAGTAAGACACGGTTGCAGTCTGAGGAAATTGTCTCTGAGTTGGTTCATTCGTTCCTTCTGCCAGAAGTGCAAAAGATAACTGTCAGGGAGAAAGGTAGTGTTGTGACTTTTTTCATTGTAACTTTTTTCATTGCTTTTTCCTTCAACCTCAATTATGTATCGACACTGACTCTTTCGTACTCATGAAGCGCGTCAACTCTACTGTATTCCACACAAATTTGATCCACACAAAACCCATGCATTTGGAATGTGGCGGGGTTTAAAACCACCATATGATTAGATCCGGGGCTTCGGATAATGTTTTGTCAGTATGAAAGTGCCTGACCTCTGCTCGTAATGTACGTTAACTTTGTTCGAAATGAACAAACCCTAACACAGGAGTCTGCCGGATCTATTAAGAAAAGTTTTTATTTACTCTGGCGACGCCAGAATTTAATTTGGGGTGGGGGGCGCCAACCCATTGTTCATAGCGTTCTAAACTTCTAATGTCGATCTTCTTTCACTGTAGTGCGGAGAAACCAACGTAAACATCTCCTTGCTGCCCACAAAACAATACATAGTGGGGTGGACGACGTTACGCAAAAATCTCTGCAAAAAGATGAAAACAATGAACGCGAAACATAAGGCGATCCTGAATACTTGTACGTGCTTATAATTGTTCTGTACAGTGATAAATTTTAAGGTTAAAACAATATTAATTTTACTCCAGTGATATGGTGTAGTAGCGATCAAACCATCAGACACTTGTGCTCGATGTTATACTAACTGGCAGCGACAGTTATTTTCATTTGGTATTTCCCTTGATGAACTTTTTCTGACAAGACCTTGCCCTGACTGGAAGACTTTTGTCTAAAGGGACTGAGAACTTTTTCGACGGAGACTAAACTGCTTATTGCATGCCTATAAACTGTGAGACAGGACAAGACACCATACATATCTCCATCATCACAATTAGCAGTTGAACACATAGGGCGCAACTATAACCAAGAGAGGATTTCCATAGACCTTATCCTCGCAGTCGCGGCTTGGTCACTGTCACTAGCTTCGAGACTGCTGATAAATGGTAATAACCACGAAACCTCCTAAATGATCAAAAAACTGTCTACATATAATCTTCCAACTCCAAATTAAACAATTTCTGACACTTTTTAGTGCAAGTGACGTGCAATACTTATAATATTAATATTAATTTCACGACTCATTGAATTATGATCAACATTTACATATTCCAAAGCGTGAACTTTCGACGCGCCATGATATCGATTGTCACTGTCGTCAAGGTCGGTGTCAAATTATTTTATACGAGTTTTGCAGCGTTGCTTCACACTGTGAACTGCATCTTGAGAAATTGTGTATTGCACGGAGTTTAGTATCGCTATAAATATGGCTGATATAGCACTACTGACACATACAGGAAGTATTTAAAGTTTCAAGAGTATTATCAAGAGATACGTTGATATATTGCTGTAGTGTGTAGTTTATATGGCCATGTAAACATTGAATGCGATCCTTGCATCTGTCACTTTGTTGTTCCTTGATCGAGCCATGACCGGGCAAGTAACTTTGGAACATTTGAGTGCTCAGTTTAAAATTTACTTGCTTATCTTGCATACTATCGTACTCGGATGGATTGTGCATATTCTCATCACAGTGTTTTCTAATAAATTCGGATCGAGTAAATATGTCGCAAATATTGCGAAGGATGCTTCATCTGTTCGAGTGGTGCACGTTGGTGACAAACGTGTGACTGTGGAGTCGTGTCACTGGCTAAACTCAATTTTATTATGGTTATATATGAATGCCTCAAGTACTCCAGATCTACTCAAGATTTGGTTAACTATGCTGAATGAAAAGTTGAAGACTGATAAGGTATCGACAACATGTTTTCTTGTGAAAACAATTAATTGTGAATCATTTCTGCATATAATTAGTTTTCAACTGATAACTACAAACTTGCACATAATAATCTGCTGCACATTCCTATTTTTCCAAAAGGCCTAATACTTATTACCTGGAAGTCGATTAGTCGAACTTTTGAATCTTACTTCGCCAGTCCGAATAGTGCCGGCGGTAATAGATCCCATCTTTCACCCTTTCAGCGATGATATTTTGTGCGAAAAGATAGCCTTAAGTATTCGAACGAAACGCCGCTTTTCCGCAATTGCATGCTATAATGCTATTGTCCTAGACTTTACTATATAAACCATACACTTTTCTGCTTTGCATTGCTTTACCATCAGCACGAAAATATTCCCCCAGTATGAATGCCCTTAACATATATCTGGGGATCCCTCAAGAAAACGTTTGACATTAGGCTACAGTACTGTCAGTACATCCAACAATATATACTGGACTTGAGCTGGGCTAGAGGGTAGTCAATTTGAACTTTAACATAAACTCAACCCCTTTTTGAGATAGATTTCTGGCACCATTTTTCCAGATCCAGATTGTGGTTGTCAATAAATAGTTAACAATTTTTTACCATTTGAACCTAGGACTCTGTGCAGTTCAGAATAAATGGTATTGTTCCTGGTAGTTTGCCTCCTATTTTAACCAATGTGTATTGTTCGAATGGACACAGTAATGTGCAGGTAAGGAGATCAATGCATGCTGATGATCTGACAGATAATTCAACCAAATGTTGCCGTACAGCTTTTAGAAATATTAGTTATATCAGAAATAGTTGTTGTCTTAGACGTCCTGCTTCTTGAATCATTGCTCCTTGGCCTCCTTCATCTTTGCTCTGCAGCTGATTTTGAATTCGAAAACCCATTTTATATATCTTTTTCTTAAATAATTACCAATAGTGATTACTTTAGTAGAAATTTAGTGGTAATTACTTTCACTACCAAAGCAATTATGCCTAATTGGCTTTTTAACCATTGCAAAACAAGAATTTTGAAGTGTAATATCCTAATGAGGTATGCATTATCATAATTCTTCCTGTTGGCATTGGGGGGTTAACATTAAATATCATGAAGTAGTGCTACAACCTTGAATCAAGGCCACAGAGACAAAAGTTGGAGCCTGGGGCAAAATTTTTTCTTGGGCCCTATGATGTAATGGTTTTAAATATCTGCGAGGCATAATTAAGGTACATCAAAGCAATGTCAAAAAGCTTAACAAATCAAACTTTTTTACAAACAATATCAACATATCCTGGAGATTAAAATAACATCTTTAATTGAGGGCGAGGTAGTTACAAAGAAATATCTAGGTTGAACAGAAGAACGACACTAGAAATTTTTAAGCGGAGCAACAATCAGGTTCAATAAATGGGTTTTCGATCGGTGTCGTTGAGCTTTTTTGGTTAATATAATTATTTCAGTTTTTTACCGATTTCATTTCTGAGCGTCTAAAATGCGTAGGGATCTTTTTCGAACATAAAGGCTTTAAAGCTGCTTTTTATCGATTGCCGCCGCTAATCAGCGTGCGCAATTTCCCTTTGGATGTTTTGCTACATATATAATTATTAATTAAGAATTAATGGCACTTCAATTTACATATGGTATAACGTGCAATGGTTTTATGAACATTATTTTACTTAATTTCTAGTGCATAGCTATGCATATTGAGTCGAGCGAACTTGGCTTCTACATTTCTCTCTTGGAGAATAATAATGCAAATGATAAACCAACAGCAGATGTAGAAGTTTCCATAACTGAACTATCTGGCGAGGTAAACGTGTATATTATTAAAGTTAAAGGAATTTTGCATGTATCGAACTGATATGGCGACATTTAGGGACACGAGGCTTGACTTAAATGCTACCGACATGTTCCACAGTCCCATGCATGTTCTTCAGTAGCGAATATTAGTCTGATAATTTTTGTCCATGATAAATATACCTGAGGTACTTTTTGGTTATCGAGTGTTGTTTATTCCAAATTTCCTACTGCTAGAGCTTTTCATTTGCTCATTTATGCAATCGTTCATGTTTAGATTATATTTCAAGTTACGGCACAGCCGGATTCGCGTTACGATCTTACCGTGAAATTTATCGGTGATCCAAAGTTAAAGATTTCCTCCAGCGAGACCTTAGAGGTACACACAGACTACATTAATTGCTTATTAGCCTTACTGTTCTAATCACTCTTGGCAACATCAAATTATTGGCTAAATTTTTGAGTAGTTTTTATATACCGTATACGTGCACACGTATTTTGCGTAATATTATTCATAGCACGATAATAACATTTTCTGGTATTTTTTAAGGGCATTTAGGCCAAAATTCTCTAGAATAACTAACCAAGGAATTGCTAGAGATCTTGAAGTTTATTTACCCTGCAGCCTTAATAGACCTTGCGCCATTTTACTATTTAACGAGTCCGGTATGGATTTTCCATTAAGAAAAATCCGTCAACATATTTATATGGAAATATATTTAGATGCTTCACTATCTATCGCTAGTTTATTAATTATTCTTGATTATAACAACCCATATTGCTTGTAATTATAATTTTCAATCGGTAGCTATTGCACAGAGAATTAACCTTACCACTACTGATATCATGCAGTAGTGTTAAGGTGTGGCGAACTGCGTGCATGCGTGTAGCTCAAGGACAAGGGCAACTTGTATAATCGGTGCATTTTTTTTCCCAAAGTTTCTGTTGAATTTCTATGCTTACCCTTAGGTAAAATAATGAACAGTCAATTTAGCTTTTAGGTTGCATTACAACTTCACAATTACAAATACAGTCGATCATCAATATTTGATAATTCAAGTGAGACACTGAGCATCAATACTGTGTACATGTGTGAACATATATCATGCAACATATCCCTTCACGTCATAGTGATGTATTTTTTCAACTGTGTGCATATCCCGTTTGAGTTGAAAAATACGACGTTACCATATGACGTTGTGAATCGTGATCTACAATCATATATACAATACAGCTCTCATTAGGCGCCATCTTGGTTAATTCTGCAATCAGCCGGCGGTATCGCTTCTACTTTTCTAGAAAACAAACAGCAGTTTACATATTCTCGCTTTTTTGCTGCATAGCAACTCTATCCGTATCATTGGGTTGTTATTAAAGTTCAGTAGCGATAATAATATGATTCGTGCACTTGTTGTAAAAAATCAACCAAGATGGCGGCAAATGTAAACTGTGAAAAAGTAGCTAAATATGTACATGCAGGTTAACGGAAATCCAAACTTCGTAAATTTATGCGATTAATGATTTGTCAGTTTTAAATACAAAGTAACTTGTGAGCAAATTTAATTCCCTTCTAACGAAACTAATTACAAATATTTAATAGATTTACATCATGCATGAGCCTGACATAGCTAGTTACGCGCTTCACTATACTGTTCAATTACCTGTTAATAAAAGGGTTATATTTAGTAATAATAATGTGATCTTGATGTGCATGTACTCAATATTGTCAATTAGTACACACTGGACCCGCGCATGAACCTTTCAAAATGGAATAATTTACATGTCTCTACTGGTTCAAGCCGTTCTCTTCTTGACTTGAATGCCAAGGCCACCTGTTCTGTTTTTGCTTTACTTGTCATCGCGTGAATAATTAAACGCTGAACAATCGATTTGTGACTGAACGTCTCTTACGCCTATTCTCGTTTTATAAAACATCCTACAATGTGAAGGCTTTGTATATTTCAACGCGAGGATGGGACAGAGTCAGTCTTCGGATAGCGGAGGTTTGTAGGCGCGATTTTCGATGGAGAACTCTTATCTGTTTTTTCGTTTCTTGTTCCATTCGTGAAGAACTACCTGCCTTTCTTAGGGAACGCATGTCTCGCCAAATCCGAGGAAACAACACTGGAATGCGTTGTTAAATCTAAGGTGCGTTTTGATCTTCCTCGACTGTTCTATATAGCCTACTGTAAACTTGTCGTTATCGCGGTAATTTGCACGGATTTTGTGTTCGTTTACCGCGAACGTAGTTTTGACGGATGGAAATGAGGAATGGCGGGCAGCGCCGATGATGCCAAGCGTCGCAAAAACCATTGAATCGTTGATTTATTGCATTGTGCTTATTGTATACAGGCTTGCAAACCGATAATCTAATATTTTTGTGTACTCTATTCATATCTGTAATAAAATGCATATTGCTAACACGAATTTTCCCTATTAATTCCTTATTTGTGACAACTGAGCAACGTACTAGGCCTCAGTGGCTTTTGAAGAAGTAAGATTATATGTTATATATATACATATAGTTTTTAGGAATTATTAATTATATAGCAACTACTGTCATGTATATAGTCCCGTGGCTTCCACATGTACCCAGGGGAAGTTAATTGTATGAAACTGTACATAAAATTGAGTAGTTGAATCGTACTGTATAATATAGTTAAGCCATATCACACAATTCTGATTGATTAGCCAATTCCGCTATAGTTCCCTATCTTTTTATACATGACCTTCCCCTAAATTTTCATGCATTGTAGTTCCATTACTTTTTAACTTTAAAGATACTTCCATCGCAAATTCTCTATGAATTTTATTGTCCAGCTATAGTTTTTGTCATCATAATATTATTATAGACATCATAATTATGTAGTTTTTTGCTTTCGTAGTAATTCTTTCCTGGCAAAAAAATTCGAGAGGATTGTCATATTTTCTTAAAATTAGAACCTTAAAGACGTCCTCGTAATAACTAAGTTGCAACCAGGGTATATTATATACGGATTATGAAAAGAATTCAATGTGTATTGGCCCGTTTACATTTGCAATTTTTGCTTCAATTTTCTCCTTTGAACATCCGTAACTTATTCACTCATTCGCATCTATCAAAAGGAGAAAATCGCAGCAAAAATCGAAAGTGCAGACGTGCTTTATGAGGCCTTCGCCATTGATTTATCAGTGCTAGTAATGTCCCCTGAGTACTGCATGGATGTAATTGAGATATATAACCTCTCAGTGATCTGTCAAATTTATCGCGAGCATCCCACTCTGAGCAAAGCCGTTTACGGCAGGTGGGGCAGGTGGTTAGCTACCCTCTTTTTAGACAAAATTCAACGTGTATGGCCTCGAGCTCTACTACTATACGCCGGTTTGGAGGGATTGCCACAATACATTGAATATGTTGTAAAGAGAACATCACGCCCAGTAGTTTGAAAATTCAGCGTATGCATGGACCTGACTCTAAGTTGATTGAAATCAGTATATGGAGTAATCAAAAGTCCTTCAGTCTGGTGCATAATAGTCAATCACCCTGATATTAAAAGTGTTAGAGACTTTATGTTCGTGTTTTGTTTACAAATAAACGCACTTGCCGACCATACAATGAACTCGAAATTCCAATTTTGAAATTTCTCGTTCGTTGTATGGTCAGCGCGTGCGTTTATTTGTGAACAAAACATTCACAACATTCTCTAACCCTTTAAGTATTTCCCTCCAAAGCTGAATGACCTGCAGATGATGACTTAATAGCAAGGTGATTGTCAGTGTTGCAAACATCGGTATGCATTACTGTCTTTCGCCTTGTGGCGTGATACTGCACAAAGTTCCCAGAAAACACCACGTTTGAAATCGATTTTTTGTTGCGATTACTCTTATGTTTAACCCACGGGTGCGTAAGTAAGATCTTGCCACTCATTTTCCAAGGACTGTTGATTTAAAAGGAGCACTTTTTTGAATAAAAGTTTGGTTCATGTTAAATTGCTGTGGGTTGATCGTCATATTTTGGTCATCTTGTCAAATTAGCAAAAATCTGTTTCATATAGGAATCTGATCGTTCAACGGTTGAGGAGAAATTAAAAGAAGTCATATGTAAAACTGTCGTGAATATCCCCTTAACTGAAGGCAAACCTGGTAACGAGGTATGTTGCATCGAGCATAATTTATTAACTTTCATTACTTGGCCCATATTGAGAGTTTGACACCCCGTTCTTTTGGATTTGGTAGTCGTCAATACGTGAATACACTGAATGTTTCCGGTACTTGCATGTAGATAGTTAGTAAACGTAAAGGCTCCACTTCCAGGTTTTCGCGATAAGTGGAAAAGAGCCTTAACAGTATTAAATGGGTGACCTGTGGCCAGTTGTAAGAAAGCTGGATAGCTCTAACCGATTTTTTAATCGTTGTAAAAAATAAGAAATGCCCGATATTGCTATATATGACTGCAGATTTTAAGGTTAACAATTGTCAAGGAGAATCCTCCATGATCAATTTAGGACATACGGATCAACGGGCAATTTTGGAGCGATTGAAAAGAAACAGCCCCAGCGTGCAATTTATAAAATTTAACTGATGGTATAATTTTTAGACAATTGCATGCAGTCACTCTTATAGCATTTCCTTTGTCTTCTTTTTCAGGCAATTGAAACCAACCTTGCACCCGAATCAAGTTCCTCGTGTGTAGATACTGATGGAAAATTACTTGTAAAAAGTTAGTAAACGTGTATAATTCACGATGTGTTAAATCCATCAACCCCACCGTCTCGTTCTTAGTTAAACATATCGTCTTCGTATTAATTTTTTTCGCACGCTTTTTTTTAGTTATTAGGGCTTCAGGTCTCACAGGGATAGATAAAGCAGGTACTGTTGTGTATGCACGTTGAATACGGTTACGACCCCTTTTATATCTGCCATCTTTCCTCGCGCTAGTCCGTACCACCTTTCATTAGGTGTTTTTGCTCCCTTTATCCTTCTACCTCCTCTTCGCCTGGCCTTTTATTCTTTAATCACACGTGCACGTGCATGGTCATGGGTGGATTATTTGGGCAAAATTCTAAATTATATGTTTTACGTAGACGTACCCGATGCATACTGTGTTCTTGGCAGTAAAGGAACCACAGAAAAGAAAAAGACGAAAACAATAAAAGGAACAAAAGATCCAGTCTGGAATGAATCTCATGTCATGTAAGGGAACAACACAACGCTTTTCTGTTCATATAATGGACCCTCCTATATACTGCACCACCGGCCTCTTCCCATTAATAGGGAGCTTTAGTAATGACTACGAGTACGACTACGAGTACGAGATTCGTCATTCTCGCGCGTTGTTTGCTTACGCCATCAGTCAAAACTCGTAGTCGCCGGGCATTTGAGTACGAGTTTTTTGATAAACTTCGTACTCGAAAGCCCAACGACTACGAGTTTTGGCTGATGGCGTAAGCAAACAACGCGCGAGAATGACGAATCTCGTACTCGAAGTCGTACTCGTAGTCACTGCTAAAGCTCGCTAATATGTAATATCTGAGGGTATTTACCGCTATGCTCTATCGCTAAATAAAAGATGAAATAAAAAATAAAAATAAGTGTGGGATAGAACATTGGCCATATCACTGTTATCATAATGTTACATGTTTTTTGAATCGTATACAAAGTCTAAAAATGTAAAAATCTTTTAGCCTAGAAAATTTCATTTCATAAAGTACATCGTAATGCCCGAAAATGAAGTTATAAGTATGAATATGATCTTCTTTCAGAGATATGAGTGAAAAGACAAAGGAAATAGTATTTGATATCTTCAATGAACAAAAAACGTCAGAAGGTAATTTTGTGTTATGTTGTGGGAAGGTATCTGTATATTGTACGCCATGTCTGAGGGATCTTTCTTTTCGTATTCCTAGAAGAAGGTTTTCTTGGTCAAGTTATAGTTCCTCTAGGAATGATTGGTAAAGATCAGTCTTGTCGACTTATCTTACCCGTACTTCCTACGTCGTCAAAGAATAGCTATGTCGGAGGACAAATACATCTAGAGGTTAGTGAGTTTATTGCTTTAATTGCTTTTGCGTGCTCAGTTCAATTTTTTGCAGGATCTTCTTATTTCTTGTAAAGTCGGAGAGTATAAAGTGTGCGTATTTCAGTTCCCTTGCCAAAAATTTTGTCAAATATGATGCAGTGCATAACCATGTCTTTCGATGGTTATTTCTGCTAACAAACTTTCAGACAGATCTTTTTCAAAAAAACGCTTTTACTTCAAGTGTAAATCTGCAATGCAACGAGATTTAATGACTGCAATGCTGACTGGTATAGCGTTCGATATCTTAACACTTATCCGAAATTCTGGGGGTGCATGCCACATTGAAACTCCTACAACATAGTAGCGTGGCTGAAGGTCGGGGATAGCAAGCATAATGCTGGGCTTTGATTAGTTTCCTTCGTATCGAGTCATGCTTTCCTCTCACGAAAATATATGTTTACTTCGGGCAAGATTTTGTCAGTTTTGTTTCTCGAACAAAAGAATTATGGTTTCATGTGCGTAACATAATTCTACTGCCTAACCTACGTGTAACAATTGCGGGACACGATACTGCAGCCGAAGTAAACATATACTTTTGTGAGGACAACGAGGCACTCTAAGAGGTACAGGCAGGGGACTATTGGCTTTGATATTTATATTTATAATATGATATATAAGAAAGCCGAGTTACTAAATTTAAACGTTTCGCGATTGATCTTAATAATTATGTACATCAATTGGTTAACTGAAATGCTCATTGATTTCGGGCAGTACGAGCTATATCAGGAACAGAAGGTTATCGAAAACTATTTGTTTCCGATAAGAGACAGCGGTGATCAGTTGCACATTATTTACGCATATTCCATGAACCAACATTAACACACTAAAGAAATCTACTGTACCTATATATAAACTTCTTCCATGAAACAGTCGATGTTGTTGCTACCTTCTCTTAAAATGTTCGCAAATTACTATTATGCAGCTGAATTACATCCAAAAGGCGAGTTTCGATCACAGACGTTAGGAAATCAATTCTCAATTCGTCTAAGTTTAGGCGCACAATTTTATTAAAACTATCATTAGAATAGTTAAGGTGGTTAATTGGGTTGACCCACTGGTTTATCTGGTCAAATGGCTCTATCAAATACTGCATCATACGTATAGATAATATTGTGACCTAAGTGTGTCTAGGTCCATCGTTATTTGTGCAAGTGATAATCATAATCATAACACAATGATACTCTGCATTTCAAGTGGAAAATTCAAGAGAATCCATAAGCGTTGCTACCAGATATTTGAACCAAAATTGAACATAATGTAAAAATTGTCTTCTTTATGCTATATATAAATACTATATATTGAAAATATCAAATTTGAGGAATTATTGACCGTCCCCAAACATATGTAGAAGTGAAATGTATATATGAATTTGCATGTTTTTACTGATAATGGCTTAGTGCATGCATGGATATAATAATGTCACAATGAAAATGTGAAATCGTGATTTACGAGTTTGATCTTTTTTAATCTCTATGTTCTATACCCTGGCAGTACTAAATAGATAGATATATAATGTAAGTGCTAAAAAATGTTTATTATTCATTCAGTTTGCCAAATGCACGAAATATAAAAACGCTTGCGTTTCATTGACACATAGACAAAGAAATGTGAACAAAACTTTCTTTAACAATTCCCGGCCACTTGGCAGACGTCAATGCATAATTTGTGATCATGAGCTAATTTAGAAAGTCTTGTTTCGACTGCAGACTTCAGCGTGGGATTTAATGTTTTCCTATGCAAATTTCGAGTCAACGAAGGTTGAATCTTTGTATGAGATTCCCATCCAGCTGTGCAAGCTGTAAATATATCTGACATTCCCCAATAATTGCATGCCTTGGTGGTTTTATGGAAATATATACAGGAATTTGTCCTTCTAGAAGATAAGGCTTTTATGCATATGTCATCAAGATGTTCTAAATGTCGCGAGGTTTTGACTTGTTTCACGTCGGTTGATGATGGCCACCGGTTGCTACCATCAGCCTCGGTATACCCAGGCGAATTTTGGTTTGCCAAGGTACACGAATCTTCAGTACATAAACGAAGGTGCTTATGGCATGGTCTGTTCTGCGGTTGACAACCATACACGACGTCGAGTCGCTATTAAAAAGATCAGCCCCTTCCTTAACTCGAACGGTTCCAAAGCACTGCGAGAGATCATGATACTTTCACGTTTCAAACACGATAACATCGTAAATATATTGGACATCGTAGCAGCGCCGACGCAACAAGACATACAAGATTTACACATTGTTTTGCCACTTATGGAAACAGACCTTCGGAAGCTGCTCAAGTCTCGACGTCTATCAAACGAGCATATTCGTTGCTTTCTCTACCAAATCCTACGCGGTCTGAGATACATTCACTCGGCCAACATTATCCATTTCGATATGAAACCGGGAAATGTGCTGGTGAATTCTGACTGTTACCTGAAGATTTGTGACTTCGGCCTTGCTAGGATTATTACGTCAAAACTAGAGGACAGTTATTTGACACATTGTGCTGTCACCAGAGGATATCGTGCGCCCGAAGTGATGCTGCGTTGCAAAGCATTTGTGTCGAGAGCCATTGATATGTGGTCGGTTGGTTGTATTCTGGCCGAAATGATTTCCAATCGTCCACTGTTCGCGGGAAGGCACTATCTTGATGAGCTCAATAACATTATCAATATCATTGGATCTCCTTCGGCTGAAGATCTTCTGACGGTTACGAGGGAAGATAGTAAACGACACATTCAATCTTTAGCACGTAAACCTAAGAAGCCACTTGCCGAACTGTTCCCACAAGCAGAACCGGTCGCCTTAGATCTTCTAGATCGAATGATAACCTTCAGTCCTCACAATCGTATCACCGTGGAAGACGTTTTAGAGCATCGCTTCCTTGACCGCTATCACGACGAGATGAACGAACCGGTTGCCTTAGTTCCCTTTAATTCTGAATCTGAACCCGATAAATTACCACCGGAGGAAATCAAAAAGATGATTTACAAAGAAACGGCAAAATATTCCGCTCCTTTTGTAGATTCTCCCTATTAAGTATTAACAACAGAGAACATAATTTTAACGACTGTTGAGTTGTCAATTAATTTATTTCACGCTAGAATCAGAGGGATTTAGAGGAAGGATAACTATAAATTTATCAGATACAACTTATTGTTTAACGAGATTAAATTTCGTATATAGTCCCACCTGTTTATTCTGGCTAGGAAAATAGGATAACATGCATTTACATTTAAGGGGTTCATTCACCAGAGCACCATTCGACAATATATTAGATACCCTTCGTTTCCTTTAGCATCACTCGTGCTAAACTAATTGCTGGTGATAAATATATTGGATATTTGGAGCGTAACCTGAATGAAATGAGATAGTGTGATTAAAGTCTGGCATGTATTTCCCCCGTTTTTGATCACTGCTTTTTGATGAGTTCGCAATGTCGGCCGTAGGTTTACACCGAACATGCACTCCTGCTGGTGCGCATGATTTTATATCTCTTGCTCGAGTCTGTAGTGAGAAAAGAAGAAGAAATATAGAGCCCCTGTTTAAGGAGTCCCCCTTGGAAACAATGAATATTAGCCTTCGTAAATACCATGCACCACATTTCAGTTTTAGTCAATACAGCTGTATATAATTAATTATAAGTGACTGTAAATAGATTCTATATATAATATGCAATATGTAATTAAATAATTATAAAAATATACATAAGATTCAAGTTTTAAAACTGAGTTGTTTTATGCTCATGCATCTGAAATTGGACGCGATGTATGTAGTCAGTTTTACATACAGGTTTAGCATGACTCAGCAGAATGCCGTATTGTGATTGGTTTGCGAAAACATTCGACGCAAGTGCATGGGATCGCTCCTTTATTATACTTTTTATGGGTTAGTCCAAGTAAATTTGCATAATGGAGAATGATTTTTTAGTGTCATCGCGAATTCAATGTTTTTACACATTCAAGCTAATATTTAAACATGTATCATCCATCACTCAAAATGTTGCTTTTTTCTAGTTTACGTACGACAAGGATGGAAAAGCGTTCGAGACGTCGACAGAGGCAGCATCATCTAAACCCAGTAAGGCTCGCAATGACGTTGCGATCTTTCCTCTCGTCATCTTTTACCTTCACTAACCTTTCATGTCTACTGATAGCATGTTTTTCAATACAGGTGTAAAGATTTGTTTTCCATGTTACTGCTATTGATATACCATAAATTCAATCAACTTGACTATCCTATTAAATGTGTTTTAAGCCTGTGAATGCAACAATGCGGTTATAGGGTTCAGTAGCACATTTGCGTGTTTCACCATGCTATTTTTTTGCGACTAAGCCTAACTTTTATGCAATATATACTCTTTACAACAAAGTGAGGCTGATGGTAAAGTCAATAGCACAAGGGAATTACCAGCATGCATGCATATGTGCTATTGGACATAAAAACCGATGTCGCGATAGAGGAGTGGTAATAATAGCGTGCCATTTCGTGCATAATAGAGCTTACAGTTTATTAACGAAGTCAACGTAATTTGTAGCGCAAATGTAGTACTTTTAGCACGAAATACCACACCAGAGCATTCGTTTCTTATGCTCGATCTTTACATCTGAGTGCAGTGGGAACTCCCTCCTATATAGATCCTCTATTTTGCCTTTACTCTCTTAGCTATAGGTAGATTGGTTGAATATACTTTGTTAAATGTTCTCATAGATGTTACTTCAGAACAGAAAAAGGAGTCTGATCTACCAAAGGCAAAGGGTTAGTGTTGTAGTTACATTATAATGAGACTATATATCTATATCCGCAGCATACCCGAAGATATACTAGCGTTATATGTCAGCAGCAATTGGCAGAAATATTGATTGCAAATAACGTGTAGAGAAGATTCAATGATATTAACACGATTCCTCCTATAAAGCTACAAGTCCCTTACAAATGTAGAGTCGTAAAACCTGGTCCAAAAAAAATTCTGCACTGCTCGTAATAAGCCGGGTAATAGTGTGTGCTAATGCCGGCGTCATTCCTGGGGAATTGGGGACACGACCCAAAGTTATATGATTGCTTCTTTTTTCTTGTATTTCATTTTTTAACTGTTAAGTGTTATCGACATCTGCCTTTTTAGTTGAGGAAGTTCGCCCCAGTTCTCCACAAAGGCTCGTGTTTAGTATGGCTACGTTGGATATTATTGATGATGACGATGATAAACTGGAGTTCTTGCCGCTATTGGATCATGGAATAGGCCGTGAGGATATAGTGGAAGCTGAACACAAGATCTCGGAACGTTCCAAGCACGGCGGTTACGAAACCGACCCAGTGCTAATTGAAGAGAACAAAAAACATCAAGAAATGTTTCAAGAATTAATTGGTATGTCGATCATTAGCTACTTTATAAACTTCAAGCATCACAAATTGATGATCGAAAACGCGTGGGCAATCCTAATTTGAAACTTATTTATCAGTGAAACTAGCTGCTGCATTGGCTTAAGATATAATAGTTCGAGAAATAAGAGCTTGCATTTACATTTGATATACCTGAGATTTCTTTCATTTTACGGTAGATAACACGAAATAAGGAATGATCATCGATGTTAAATTTTATTTTAGAGCTGGACGAGCAAACGGCATTACAAGACGGTTCTAAGATACAACAAAATCAGGTAAAGAATGAACCAGCAAAAACGTCACAGCAAAGATCTCCTCCTCAGCAATCTCTTACAACTACCTCGCCAGTACAAGTATCTGTCACTCTTCCCTCTCCGGATGAGCCGCAGAAAGTTGGGACAGGTGAGAAGCCAGAAGAGGCTAAGCCGTCCACGGATGCGACTGAGGGGGCTCCGTCAAAACAGGACAAAATGAAAGAACCACTAACACTCGATGAAAGCCTAATGGAAGATCTAACGCCGAACACAAAAAGGAAAGTATTTCGGAAAGCGTTCAGCATGAGAATTCGACGCGATCAGGAACCACCAAGCGAGAGAATCGAAACGAATGTGCAACAGAGTAGGAGTTCAGGAGTGGAGAAACGACATTCTTTCAGTGGCGGTGAGAAAGTACAGCCAATAAGTATGTATTCTCCGCAATGATGGCTTTTTTGTAGATTGCTTGATCATGTAGTCACAGCTCTCACTAACTTGACCCACCCATGTATAGTCTCATACTTGTATACGTATCCCTTACCCTGTTTTTCTTTTCTTTTTTACCATTGAGTCCGCTTTGCACTAGATGGTTCCGCCTGCTCTTGACGTAAAGAAATTCGCCTATGCTGAAATATTTTACATTTTTTAGCAATCAGGAAAGCTTTGAACGTTCCATTAGTGTATACATTTTAATAAAAGTGATATAGACGCCCGCTTTGCATTTCACTGACGTTTTATATGCGAATTTAATGTCAGTCTCCTTCTCTTATTTAGCAAAATCAGGTAGTGATGTCTCCCTTAATAGTCTGTACGACTCGGCGAAATCTGTTTTGGTTGTTGAGACGAGAGACAGAGGAAAAATTAAGTATGGTTTTGATTTTTCTTTTTCTGATTCATGGTTTTCTGATTTATAGGTGCATGCGAATGATGAGAAGAATTGAAGTAATCCATTAGTGTTAATCCACAGTGTTCACTTTTGGGAAAATATTTTGAAATTATACTGATTTTTCATTCTAATAGGTATTATCAAATTCCATCATTGATGGCGAGGAGAGGAACGTTTGATCATAAAGGATGTAAACTGCATATTTGCAATGACCATCTCTTCGTGGCAACCCACTTCACAGGAACGTAAGTTAAAGGACCTGATACATTAAGATTTCCAATAAACTAATTTTACGTTTTTTTTAGGTTGCCTTCTTGCGCTGTTTGCAGTTTGCCGTTGACAGGTTACTTCGGAAAACAAGGCTACGAATGTCGAGGTATTTAATTCAATATTGTTATGTTCGAAGATGCATAACATCTTTCTACGTGATACAATATGCACGACAAAGACTTTCTTAATTGACTGATAAACGTAGAATAAGCTTAAACATAACAAAAACTGACTCCAGGTCTTGCCCATGCAGGGGCCTCGCTTTTTTGGTATGGTATATTTCAACATGTAGAAGGATGTTTGTATTATTTTTTTGAACAACATAGCTCTCGAGACTTAAACTTGCAAGTCGAGTCACATTAGAGCCTTTTCCTAATTTTTTAATGTGCTAATCGGGCGTATAGCCAAGATTGACTGGCGTTCGAATAGGGCTTAAATATTGAATATTTTTTCGGTTGGGTGGGGGGGGGGGGGTTCACGTACTCCAACCGGCCAGTATTTGTAGTATACAGACATTTTCCTATTCTCGATTTAGACTGTCACATGATTACGCACAAACGTTGTCATTATGAAACGACTGATGTGTGTGCGCAGAGTACCTTATCTTCCCTAAAAATGTAAGTACATACTATATAAATGAGACTGTATTAAAATAACTGTATATTGTTGCGTCTGAAAATATAAAATGGTCAGATGTAAAACTTCAGCGCAATCAATGTGTGATATATCAGTTTTAATATAATTCAACACTTATTTAATATTTTTTATTGCTGGTTATTTTAGTAAAAAAGCGCCATCCATACATGGATACAAATAAACTGTAATCGTACGATGTGGTAAGCTTAAAAGGAACACTAAAATATATTAAAAGCTTTATATTAAATAAATGGACAGATTAAATTATAACAAAAAAATTAATTTTAAAGTTTAATCAACAAATCGCGAGTACAAACTGAGACCAAAGCTTCTATTAAATTTAACTGTTGTATTAAATTACTGTAACTGCCAAAAATAAAACAGATATAGCAAACATTTAATGTGGTCACATAAATGATTGAGGTATGCGTGAACTTCTAATTTTCAATCTAAATTAATATCTATTTTTTTTATTAATATAGCATTGTCTTGGAAGACCATCTGGTGTGAGCCTGTGAATTAGATTAGGGCTTTCAAAGAGAGAAAGACACAATTTGTAGGCGTGATGAATATGGGGAGTAATGGCAATGCAACTTGGTAAACTAACAATTGAACTGCACAATTCCATCAGGAGTTTTGGAAAATATGAACGGAAGTTTTTAGTTAAAACTGAGTTGGAAAATATCTCTAAAGTCTAAACAACGTTATACTAGTTTAGTTAATCTTCCATTGGAGTTTTTCAAATTAACTAGCCATATTAGGTGGCAGAGGAGGGCCATCTTTTATTACATAGCTCTTCTGAATTTCATTTTTGTGCCAGGATTGATATTTGGATTAAATTAGATCATGTGGCTATACTACACATTTCGTAATATAGGTACATGGAGAACATACCCTGGTAGGGTAGTGAATCCGATTTGTCAGTTGTGTAGACTTTTGGACTGAAATAAAGATCAAATATTTATTGTTTACATCGCTTTTTTTTCAATTTGGTTGGAATCCACTTGCTTTTCGTTGCCTAAATACGAAAAAAATGCGCGGATGTTTTAGCGCGGTGTCATGTTATTCATGTATGGATTTCCCTACATGAAGTATTCTATGCCCAAATCCAACATGGCAGACAAATTTGCATGGAAGAAGTAGGAATATAATATTTATTTAGTTAAATTCTAGAGCTGTGAACATATTATTCGGAAGTGATGCTTAGAGGAGGTTTGATTCATAGGTAAGTTATCATACTTTGCCTTGGATGACGCCTTACGTGCCAGGATTCGTATAAAAGTGGAGAAATATTATATAGACTATAGAGTAAGCTACAAAATAATAAGATTGAGAGTTGCTTAAGATTGATAGACTTGCTTTGTATGTGTATACTTAATAAATATGTATTTACAGGTTCGGCAATGTACCATGGCTGAGCAAATGTGTGCATTCCGGGGCGTTGGATTTAAACTATTTTTCTGTTTCACGGGCACATATAAAAGCAAAAGCTGAAACGGATTTGGGAGAGCAAACAAGTATTCCTGCTGAAAATGAGTTGGTAAGATCTTTAGTGTTTGTGAATATCTAAAAAACTAGTTTTGTCTTTTTGAAATCACTAATTACAAAAGATTTCTCCTGTATAATGATAGCCCTAACTAGAGATCTAGATCTATAAATCTATAGTCAAATGCTTAGAGATTAATGCATTGTGTAGCAAGGAGCAACCCCTTGATGTAACATGTACAGACCTTGCTTGGTTCAAATTCATATCTCCATGCCTCTCCATGCCCATCTCTGACATAACTTTATGTAAGATCATAATTATAGTAAAAAGTTGACTTTTTTACCACTAACTGTATATCAATTCCAGGTTAACATGTATATACTCAGTGCAATTTATTTTTGTTTGTGTATTAGGTTATTTATAACAGTCGACGAAACATAGATGCCAGACCACGTAAACTTAATCTTTTAGCCAAGCAAGTAAGTAAAAAATAATATAAAACTTTTTTAATCACCTGATGTGTATACTCTGAGTGTGAAACCACTGACTGTATATTTCCAACTTTGTGTAATTTATCATTGAATGTGATATTCAAACTATAAGATAATCAAGAGGCAAAGATGCAAGGCATTCAGTCGATTCATAAGAGCGAGGCTCCTGAAGATTGAATGTCGTAATTATAATTGTGAATTAGGAATATGCATCAATGCACATTCAATATTTAGAGCATCAAATCTCCAGGTTCAATACCACAGTTATACTAACCTGCGATTAGCTACACTAACCTATGATCAGGTATATAAGTAAATACAGAACCTAACTAAAGTCCAGCGTAGCCTTAACAATATCCGTTTGACATTGTGAATCTAATAACATCTACTTCTTTATAATCCTACTTCTGGTAAAACCATAAAACGATAAAAGCACAGCTTTATTATGGCTCGGAAAATGACTTAATGTAAAACTCCATTTACCAGTTGTTTGAGAATCTAGTGCATATTCTCTTGTGATCTTTCTCCTGGGGAATCTCACTGTAATTTTAAATGTTAGAACTACTGAAATGCTGAATAATGATGTCTTGTTGCTTCGTGTTAAAAATGGCTGTTAAAGGTTCAGTTATAAAAGCAAAAAACAAACAAAGCTACCTTTTTTTATATATTTATTGAAAGCAAAAAACAAAAACTGATTACAAGATCACGTGACTAAAAACCGGGAAGTTGTTGACTATAGGTTTTCCCACTATGTCATTAACAATCTATCTTCAAGACTTTAAACGTGAAAAAGTCTTAAAATGAAAGTCTAAAAATGAAAGTCTAAGAATGAAATCTGGTTGGAGTTGATTAACGAACCAATATGTATCCCATGGCTTTGAGGTTCTTGACTCCGTTGTCTGGCGAACACTGGGCAAGATTACCTGCTGTGTTAAGCGAATGTTGCCGACCCTCGCAAGCTTGAAACGCTTGATACACGCCGCCTTCGGCCCCCAGGCCTATGAAAGAGTCGGGTGAATGACAGGTGTGTTCGTTGTTTGTCACAAGACCCAACCGCACTCTTGTGAAACGATTTGCACCCGAGTAAACGTTGAATCCTTCGCGGTTGCAGTTATGCTGTAAGGATGATCCATGGATGAGCTGTTTCCATTGCGAGCGACCAATATAAGTTCTTCGATAACTGCCGTCAGCGATGAGATCGTACAAGGACGATGCTGGACATGAGAAAGAGAATGCTTTCAGTTGACCACCATGTTTCATGGCAACACAAATTTCTTTGATTGGAGTTTTCCAATATGTCTGTCCCTTAAATTCTCGGTGGTCTAGACCACCATTTCTTCCATAATGGTTGTCGTTATAAGTGCTTGTGCTCGTCCAATGGCCAGAATTGTATCGGAATGTACTCTAAATATTAATACGTTTAATTTAAACCCTTAAACTGACACCTACATAGAGATAACTACATGGGTGCGCAACAAAATGAATTCTGTTTTGGTTGTTTTCGGGTGAATAATATATAATAGTACACTCCAGCACAGTATAATTTTTTGAACTAAATAATAATACAGTAGAAATACACAAACGAATGGACAAAGCTAACGAAAACTTCTGTTTATCTTTTAGTATATTATGGACGTCAGTACATGAATTTCAGGCCATAGCTTTTAATTTTTCCAAATTTTAATTTTAACTAAAATCGTCAATTTATTTAACAAATTTTGCATAAACTATTGGAAGAAAATTCGATCTCTTTATATATACGTGTGTTAACACTAATACGATTTATCTCAGTGGCCAAAAACCCAATATAACACTTATTTGACAACTTATTGATATATCGAATATTCGAGATTCACAAGTATATGTGCCGCTACATTCATAAAGTCTGTTCGCGTAGTAATTCCCACCTGGCTTCCGTCAATTTTCATCACCATCGTCCAACCACCACCAGAACAACCGGAAACAGACGACATTTGACAGTACACTTTCATTTCTCCGTTTTTACCATCACTGATTGTGTAAATACCATTACCGTTGTTGTTGCTATGGTTAGACGAAACAGCTCAATTTTTATTATGCAAAACCCGCGAGCGGAGATTTTTACGATCGGTATTTTGAATGATTGATTTTTAGAAACACCGGGCTATAGCGGGGAGTATTTTCATATGTACTCCGAAATTCACCATAATCCTTAATTTTTATCAGGCAGTTTTTATATATAGCTATATATTGACTTGGCATTGGCTTTTCACTTTTTCACCAGAAAACTAAACAGATCGAAAACGGGCTGAAGGTCGTCTAAACGTAGCCAATCCACACCCACGGATAGATAAAAAAATTTGACGTGAAGCATTTAATGCCATATTTTTTATTACGATCAATTCATTGATTGCACTCGTGATTGCACTCAAAGCAACCGGTTGAAAACAAGGCAATCAAATCTATATTGTTACTTGGTTTTTTTTTGACAAAATAAAGCAAATTCAGGAGACGTGTTTTCACCTCCCTCCTATGATATAGCCACTCGTACCTGTGACTGTCCAATATTTCTTTGCATGATTTGAACACTGCAACAAAAGAAATTAACCAGTAAATTAGTATTAAAAATATCTAACAAAACAAAGGTCTGCAGATCTCTCTCAAATTTTTTTGGATCTCAACGTTAGTTTCACAGAGAAACTATTTCCAGTTTTACATTCATTGCCATACTGTACATGCATATATAGATTTATTGAAGAAGATCTTAATGTTAAATCATTGCGAATCGTATAATATCAGCATATCTCTTTTTTGAATGTGTGATAACATTTTCCAGTCACTCCAATGCCAGCTCCTTACCTTTGACACATTGCTTGTGCACATCTTGAAACGGAAACAAAATGTCAATACATATGCCTTACTTTTCAATGCATATGCAGGTTGAAAATTTTTGCATGGTTGAACCATCAAACATCTCAGTGGCAGATTTAGGGGATTTGGGGTTGCTCAAAACTCATTATACCAGCCCACATTTAGATATACATTGCCATTTTAAAAAGCCTTCATAAATCCATTGCTATAGATTTGAGATCTAAAATATTCTTTAGACATTTAAAACCATGCAATCACGAAGTAAGGTACAGTACCCTGAATATATAATTGTGCTGCTGTAATTTAATTATACCTATCCGGCGTTTTCGCCCACTAAAAACGCAAGATTTTAAAACGCTCCCAGAGTGGAAGACTGCCAAGCGGATACGTGCATTGCAAGTGGACGGCTTTGACAGATAGATTTTAAAACGACATAAAAACATGACGTTAAAAGTCCAATCCATCCACGTACGCTTGGCTAAAACATCCAGTGTTTTCATTAGCTATACCTTCTTGAGCCTTTGCAAGATCATTGCTGGTCTTTTTGCGTGTCAATTCATTTAGAAGTTGATTTGCTACAATATCCTAAAAAATATCAGATATATTTTCGATATAGCGTAACGAACACGATCTCCTTGAAGATCCGATTTGGTTCCTAATATATGTAACAAATATATTACAATTTAGTCGTCCAATAGTAATCGACGCACTGATGACGTTACAACATGGTAAAACGCGAGAATTTTTCATGCGCCGCAGAGTAATTTAGAATTTTATATAGCAATTATAATAGAACAAAGTTTATTGAAGAATTAAAGATGGTGGTGATCTCTACATTTATTTATACATATACATCATAGATCACACACGGCTTTCGACAAATCAAAATTATTGACAAATTTAATTTTATTATTATACTTACAACATGAAGAAGTGTAATAAGAGTGAACGCTGCTACCAATCTCATTGTTCAGTATTAGATCTGCGTTTGGTCTGTATGTATATAGTTCCTCCCGCTCTGTCTGATCCGAAATAAAAAAAATGTTTTGCGCATCAACATTTAAAGACTACCGTGTGTACCATGCCTGCGAAATGTAGGTGTATACATGTCATTGCGTTGTGCCATAACATACGTGACTTCCTTTTTAATTTTGATAAATTCCAGATCTTTATGTTCCAGATATGCATGTTTGTCACTTTATTTCAGCTCTATCGATTCAAGCATTTTTATATACTCATTAAGGTGGTCTTGTATCAAGTGGCGTGGGAATACGGAGGGTGGGCACAGGGGGCACTTGCCCCCCCAAAATTCTATTTTAAAATCGGAAGTGCCCTTTTTGTTTCCTGTGTACGGCCACCTACACGTGCCCAAATCTTTTTGTATAGAGCATAAATATAAACCACAGTAATGATGTCCTTGCAGGTTTGGCCATCAAACTGTCCCTATAAATATTTTCAGTTGTCTTTTTTATTAACCAAAAGTGCCCCTTGAAGCTGGTGCCCCTAATCTCTGGATGCGTCTTATGCCCCTAATTGCAAGCCAAGTTGCAAGTCGACATAAAAACATGACGTAAAAATATTAAAGTATTAAAGATGGTGGTGATCTGCACATTTCTATATATCTACATCTACATCATAGATCACGCACAGTGTAATAAGAGTGAAACGCTGCCACCAATCTCACTTTAGATCTGCATTTTGTCTGTATGCAGTATATAGTTTCTCCCGCTCGGTCTGATCCAAAATAAAAAAATTTGTTTTCACATTAACATTTAAAGACTACTGTGTGTTAAAGTATACCATGTCTGTGAAATGTAGGTTTATATATGTCTTTGCGTTGTGCCATAACATACTTGACTTCCTTGTATTGGAGGAGGTTTTGTAATTTTGATATATCCCAGATCCTTATAATAAATAAGGCTGCATGTTTGTCATTTTATTTCAGCTCTATCAATTCAAGCATTTTTATATATTTATTAAAGGTGGTCTTGTACGAAACATTTTTTAAAAATCGTTTCATGCCATACTGCAACTGCAGTGGCGTAGGAACCGGAGAAGGGGCACTTTCCCCAAAAAAATTCTATTTTAAAATCGGAGGTGCCCTTTTTGTCTCCTGTGTACGCCCACCTACACGTGCCCAAATCGTTTTGTAGAAAATAAATATAAACCACAGTAGTGATGTCCTTGCAGGTTTGGCAATCGACGGTCCCTATACATATTTTCAGTTTTCCTTTTTATGAACCAAAAGTGCCCCTTGAAGCTGGTGCCCCCTAATCTCTGAATGCTTTTTACGCTCTTGATTGCAAGCCAAGTCATAAGTCGACATAAAAAACATGCCGTTAAAATTCCAATCCACCCACGTTCGCTTGGCTAAAACATCCAGCGTTTTATTAGCTATACCTTCTTAATTCAGCCTTTGAAAGATCATTGCTGATCTTTTAGCATGTCAATTCATTCAGAAGTTGATTTTTACAATATCCTAAAAGATATCAGATATATTTTCGATATTGCGCAACGAACACGATCTCCTTGAAGATCCGATTGGGTTCCTAATATATGTAAGAAATACAGTACAATTTAGTCGTCCGTTAGTAATCGACGCACTGATGACGTTAGGACGTTGTAAAACATAAGAATTGTCCATGCGCCGCAGAGTAATTTGGAATTTTATATAGCAAATATAATGCAAGAAAAAATATTGAAGAATTAAAGATGGTGGTGATCTGCACATTTCTATATAGTATATATCTACATCTTAACATCATTGATCACACACGGTGTAATAAGAGTGAATGTTGCCAGCAATCTCATTGCTGAATGGAATAAAACGCGTTTGCATTCGTACCACCTGAAATTTCTGGCAATCATTCTCGTGTTTTTCTCAGTAGTGTTAACATTAGAAGCGCTTCGAGAGCTCTAATCTGTCAAGGTGCATTTTGTTCATAATTCATTCAAGCTGTCAGTTTTTGTGATATGCATGTTCTAGATGTTTAGGTATATTATGCATCTCCAAGCTTTAGCTAAAGCCAAATTAAAAATAGAGAGAATGGATATTATGTGGGCTCAACGTTTTCTCTACTATTTCATAACCCACGCGGCACTGGCTTCTTTTACGCGGAATTCGTGACTTCAAGCGTTTATGTTGTCAGGGGCCAGCTATAATATAAAATACTAGTTAACTTTTAACTGTAGTTAAGGACAGAATTGGACAATCAGAGTCTATTTCAATGTGTATATTTCTGAGTTATATAACTAGGATTTAACTATATGCAAAATGTAGTTAAAGAGTTTTATACAACCGTTTATAGTACAACCGTTTATAGTACATATAATGTCATATGTAAGACATCTATAATTATGTTTCACATTCTTTTGTATATGAGTATCCCATGCAATATCCAGGTATTCATAAATTCATAAATGAAGTAAATATAGACGAAAATGAAGGAAATATATGTGTGGGCACAACTTTCATTTCTTAACCACTTGGGCATGTCACACACAGAATTCGGGACTTCAAGCAGAAAGGGTTTCTGGTTTAAAGAGGTTTTTAAGGGTCTTAATTTCGAGTGGAATTATGAGTCAACTATGACAAAAATGAGTCAACTATAGGTCTTCCGGCAGGAATCGAACCTATGCTCTTGTGATGCCGATGCAATGCTCTTGCGATGAAATTAAAGTTTAATTAAGCTGTCAGATGTGAAATATGTTCCAGATTTTTAAGCACGTAATTCCTCCTCGATTCCCAGTTATTTTATTTTGTATATAACACCTTATTTATTTAATGTATTTTACTCAGCATTGGCATTATATAGCTAGTCATTAAATAAAAAACTCCATTTTTTTCATATTCCACTGTAATAGACCTTCTCATGCAAATTAACCCATTTCAAGTCAAATGGTCTGAAATGGTTAAGTTTTATTGGCCATTCCATGGTCACAACATCTGAAATGGGTTAATTTGCATACAAGCTGAAAAGGTGTATTATAAATATACTATTTATATTCTTTTTATGAGAAAAAAGATTGTCCCAATATTTCCATCATGATCACAATTAACTCCAACTGAATAATCCTACAAATGTATATAAAGCGCACAGACTGCCCTCATGCATTTTTCTCTATATATTATACAACGTCTTACTACATCTACTTCGTATATTATTTGCCTTCCTCCATTTTGGGTGAAAAACCCTTCAGTTAAAAGCAAACGAACAAACGATGCAAATGAGATTGCAGTAGTAGCCAGTACTGTTACTTATATACACGTAGCTACGTGTGCCTGTGATTTCGAAGATTTTCAATGTTTCAAGGATTTTTAGTAGTCCTGCATGTGGCTTCAATAAAATAACACGTAGATGTTTAATTCCTCCTAGCTGCAGTAAGTTTTAAGTGGGTTTCATGATAGTACAGTTGCACCAACTACTGTCAAACTATAGCAAAAGAGCTTCCACTATTGCCCAGCATATGAAAATGGATTCAAGAATTCATTCCTAATAAAGTGTACTTCTGCATGTTCACTACAACTAGAACATTCAAAGTTTTCGTGATTTTATTAAAGTTTCTTTGTGAATTATCTTTGTTTACAATCTAAGGCCTTAACATATCTGATTTTTAGGTGGGTTTTTCAAATTTCTCTATTTTATTCCATTCCAGTTGGAAGGATAGTTTTGCTCAGGTCTGCGTCAAAATTAACTACAAAATCGTATTAATTTACATTTTTCGTCTTGTCTGATTTGGTGATAATTGGCGATGTGTCCGCGTCAATTATTATATAATCTAGGAATAGAATTATAGAGATAAAGTATCAATTATATACTCTAGTTTCTAGCTACTTTTTATAAATTATTATAAATTATTACTGTTGGATTTTAGACTTTATTCGTTATATGTAATAGATTTTGTAAAAGGTCTTACTCGTTCTAGATTCGCTACCTTCCACTGTCAGACGCCATACAGCAAATGGAGTTTTCTGTCAAGAAAGCGGCAACTAGTATCAAGGAGGTATATATAATTATTGCGGCTTTTGTGGGATATTTATCATTTATAGACCTGACTGATATATCTGGTTCCTTGATCGTATAACAACAATTGAATACGGCAATTTAAGTATACAATAAGAGAATCATGAGAGTCATATTTATACAGCTGTTTTAGAAAATCAACCCCAAACATGTATGATCATGCATGTTTATGCTTGTCAATATCATTGTGTAGGTCTTAATAGAAACACAAAACAAAGCCAAAAGTGATCATGGCATCACAAATGCATCTGATTTGTGGATTGGTATGTACACTATAGGTTGTTTGAACGCGAATTGCTCTGTACATAGTGTTTCTCAAAGTGATTAATCATTTTAGCGCTTATATACATGCAGCTTAATATAGACCTTTTGACCATTGTTTGAACCTTTATAACACTCGCATCTGGTAAGGCAAGGGGGCAACTAAAGGACAACGTTTAGGGATTATGACAGTGCAATGGGGCTATACTCATATTTCGACCATAATATGGCATTTCCACCGCTGCAATATGAAATTGCCTCGCAGCTGTTTTTTTTCACTCGTTTTTTTAAACATATGTTATTTGTTGATATAACATATACCACGAGTTGATGTAACTCGTTTGCGGTTAAAAAATGTCGGACGTGCATGTTCAGACGTAAGAGGTGCAAGAGAGGTAATTGATTTAGTAAAGATCGCAACATTTTTTTCTATCACAATTTCAAAACAAAAACACCAAAATCTGGAACCCATAATCCGCAGTTGCTGCCAGCTTGTCTAGTCTTTTCCTTTTGTTTGGGTTTTGAAATCTTTTGCTCATTAATTAAACATGTTGTTTATCTGAAATCCTCAATACAAAATATGGCATAACTACTATATTGTGTGTTTTGAAATCCAAAATCCGTTTGAATTTTCAACTTTTAATGTAATGCGTATTAAATTATATTTCAATCTTGCATGCATGGGAGTAAAAAAATAAAGCCTCAGTCTGTCAGTATTTCTGAGTCGTCTCTGTATTCAACATTGCCGCTGTACGTTCGCTTAAATTCCAAAATATCTCGCGTGTGATTATTCACGCATGCACGTAAATAAACAGGATGCATTGTACAGTATTTTTCGCGTACGAAAGTTTGGGTCAGCGAGAGGTTGTGAACTTATGGGATGAAAGTGAGCGATGCAACTAATGTTTGACTAATGATGTTTTCGGCAACACTGACGTCGCGCGCACATTATCTAAGAGCAATTTCACTTCGCCTTCGCCATTCAAAGGGCCTTTTTAAGGGGATTTTTTCTCTCTTGGGGACTGAAGTGGGTTTACTGGGAAACTGCCCAACTAATGGGAACAAAGAGCGTGGCAGCAGGCTTTGCCCCCAGACTATATGTTAAAAGAGGCCCAGTCGCGATTTCAAACAAGAACGACGTCGTCACCCAAAGCGACTCAATTTACAAAAATAGGTATGCAATGCATACATGTGGGTAGCCTCCAAAGCATTGGCAAAGATTTTCAAGTTTTGTTCAATGTCAAATGACAGGCCGCAATAATGCCGGGGAAATCAACTGCACGATGCTTAGTTTTACGTTCTAATGCCATAGGCTAAGGCAAAAATGGGCTAGTTTGCTAGTTGGGTACAGTTATAACAAAGTAGACATAAGAATAATCAATGAAATACCATTTCTGCGATTCATTTATCTGAAAGTTTAGGCCAGTTTACACCGACCAGACTGACAAAATTTCGGCTCTGCCCAGTCTTTTTCGTATAGATAAACAAACTCGGCGGACAGACATGCATCATCGCTCATCGTTTTTTGCGTATAGCATAGTGGTTAGCCCGCGAACGGGCTACCCACAAAAACGGCTGGTGCTCGTAATTCAAAAACTTGCTTAAGCTAACTAATAATACTCCTGCACGCGAAACAACGGACGAATTTGCACTACTCCAATTTCAATTTATAACTGATTACTTCTAGCTGAGTCCTATGTTGGTAGAGGATTCATTGAGAAGAATATGATCCGACATGGCCGAGGAAGATATGGGAGGGGGAGAAAGGCGTTTACTCACTATTTTGTCGTCGTTAAAGAAGGGTTGCCGAAACCCAAAGACCAAAGACGGAGCTACGACAACAAGACAGAATTTGAACGTTACGTTGAATACAAACCAAGGATACTGGATAGTCATGCATGGTGGTAAAGTACTGCATTGTGTATTATTTTTCTAGTCAGTGAATAGCCCGTGCATGTGATGGTGTGAAGTTGCGGATTTCAAACAATATACTAGAAAAATCGGACAACAGGACAACTCTATTTGGAAATCCAAGATCCGTTGTACGAAAATATATTGATTTAAATCGTATTACAGAAAAGAATAATATCAGTAATAGTCATAGTTACGTGACCTCTGAATACGCACTTGATGACGATAGAGTCTTGAATCCATACTTTTTCATCCTGCATGTCCTTTCTAACGTCCCCTATGCCCTTTGCTATTTTAAAATGCATTACACAAATTATATGAAAGATGCTATTGGCGAAACTATTTTGGACACTTTCTTAGTCGTTTCTAATGTCTTTGGTATAAGCCGCGCGTCTTTATCCTGAGAATCTCTCACAATATACGTACGTCCAATGTAATTTATGCAAGCACTCCATGTAATGCTTTTAATTGTGATAAATCGGCAGGTCGCAATTATAAAAAAATAACTTGGCAGGTCGCAATTATAAAAAGGTATCTTGCACCGACCGGGAGAAATGGTAAAGAGTGGATATCATATTTATATCGTCCCTAACAAGAGGTAAGTGGTCGATATCGTCCCTTCTTGACCACTTCCTGGACTTCTTTTGCTCTCTTTCTTAACCAGAGAAGAATGGCTGGAACTAAATGGGTACATTTTACTATCGTCATGCTTGGAAAGTAATTTCTAATCTCAAAAGGGTACTCGACGCACGCTGAACAACGATATATAATTGCATTTGGCTGATTTTGATGAGTTCGTCTGCACCGCTTTCGTGGCTGTTTGAAGAAATTTATGTCATAATATTCTGAGGACTTGATGCATCAGTTGCTCATTGACAGCCAACCATAACTTGTATATAAGAGGGGACGGAATATAGCTGTCATTTGAAACCCCTATTAAGATCTTCGTATACAAGACAGTAGATATCGTATTGGCTTATCGCTTCGATCATTCAATCTATACGTACAGCTGCGCATGCAACCGCGCGTCTGTACGTAATTAAGGTTATACGGTAATAATAACTTCTCAATAAGCCCGAGCACAGCACATCTGCTTGCATGCGTCGTACACGAGTTAAAATGGACGAAAGCGTTAATAAATCGGTAGCCATGGGAAAGAATGCGTTTGATTGCATTTCACCTCCAGACGAAACGACGAAAGCTCGCGAGAATCGCAGTTCGTCGCTGAAGAATAAACATTCCACGATATCGCGGCGCTTCCAAGAGGATAAAACGAATTTATACAGCGTAACTTCACCGCAACAAACAGGATTTACCGACGACGCCTCTAGGAGAGAAAATTCCGGACATTATGAACGTCCAGCGGGGTCTCCACAAGAAAATCTTTCCCTTCTTCCCAAACAACGACGCCACGGCGTCACGGAATGCGAAACGTGCTCGGAACAAAGGCAACGAAAGATTGGAATCGCGGAAAACAGGGATTCCGTGTCGGACAGGACATTTCTGAGAGTTTTGCACAAGAAGTTTTAAGCTCTATATTCAATTTAGTGCACTATGTATAATGTATATCTTCATTTGAATAATCGTTTAGTGACGAATGCTTTGCCCCACAATATCTGACGTGTTGACCTGTTAATTAATACCCGTCGCCCAGATCAACGGTCGACCGTTGAAGAAATGTTGCACTCGCAAGGAAACTGCCAATACTGTTTGTTCAGGACTTTTTGCTTTTATATTGCAATAGTCGCTCCATAAACAATTACATAATGAAGGCGGGAAAAGCGCTCTAAATGTCCTTGTACCAATACAGAATATGTCGACATAATTATATGCATCGCTTCGAAGCTATTATTCTAATTCAACGTTGCTTCGCACAACGGAATATTTCAATTATTACGATAAAGTAACCAATAAATGCGCAATTTCTAGCTCATTTTTCACGTTAATCGAAGTTCTTAAGTATCTGACATTTGTTTCACAGGGTGCGCGTTTCTGTGATGGAGTGTTAGATAAATATGTTATGAATATTTAATGACGGGCAGTTTGCAATCAATTTATAAAGTATAAACATGACTATGACTCTATCGATATATTACGAAACTGCTATATTTAAAATATTGTTTAATGATGAATTATTACATGTGCTTGAATCAAGATACCATGATATACCGAATATTGCAATAAATATGCCGAGGAAAAACATCTATGCAAAAACGTTTGGCATTGCACGTACAGAGACTCCTATCAACAAAATTTCACATTCATTAAATTAAATTTGGTTCAAGCCGGCTATCCAAGAATCAAAATAATATGTTCAGTTATTTCTTCCAACAAATTATTGCCTTGGCAGAGACTGTATTAAAGGACTATCAAACGAGTCCATTGCTTTATAGCGTGAGAATGTAAGAGACGTAGTCAAGTGTTTTCTACGCTTCTCGAGTATTCTGACAACATCATCTAGTGGGAGCAATACAGGTTTTGACATTTATTCAAAATTTCGATGTTAAAATTTCAACAGCATCTTTGGCTCTTATACGTGGCAAAATCGTGCAAAAATGTTCGTAAACAACCAATGCATAAATATAAACACGCCGACCACATGTATGCATATAGTTCTGCGATGCACGGTACGACATATGGCGTATACTCAGCCTAGACGCATCTTACGACTAATAATCCAAACGCGTTGTAATGGTATAATTAAGCATAATGTTCCAAATTCACAAATATTTTATTCAAAAACTTGAACAAGCTCTACTATAAGCGAGGAAGGGAGAGGGCGCGGTGGGGGTTTGGCGAATTTGGTTAACTTGGTCATTTTGTACTCGTGAATCAAACAATTTTTGCTGGATTCATTCGTTCCCTCCCCCTCAAATACACTCGTACGCCTACACAACCCAAAGGCACGATTCTCTATTTACCGCCCGCTTCACTCCCGGGGTGAAGCAGCTTTTGCCGGAAAATCTGCCCATGCGACCGTGACGGGCCTGAAAAACAAAGCGCGCTTTACCCGCGCGGACGTAATGTAGAATTGCCTTAAAGAAAACCTTGCTACCAGCTGGTCAGGGAGTGGTCTCGAAGAATCTCGATCAGCTATGAATATTAGTTTATGTGGTGCCTGAGGTTTGCCTAAAATCGACACAGTAGTTTTCCTAGTTTTCTTTTTCACACTAGTTTTCTTTTGAAGGTAAAAATATTGCTAAATCGTCTCGATTGCTCGCCACATTTCAGTACATTACGTGACCAACTCCAAGTCGCCAACCGGTTTGAACAAGGATGGGCTTTATATTAGTTTAGTAAGCGCCTTTTCAGTAATCCAAACATGAAATAATCGTCACAAGGAAATTACATTGGTATAAAACTATCATTAAATTTTAAGAATTGTTCAATTAACACCAACTACTTTGACAATTCCTTTTCCTTTAAAACTTTTCTTAAAATTTTTCCACTCACTGATTTCGGGATCTCGTCAACATATTCTATGCCACCACGAAGCTTTTTGTACGGAGCGAGGTTCTTCTCCATATGACCGTATACTTCTTCTTCGCTTACATCTTTCGCTACAACGAAAGCTTTTGGAAGTTCGCCGCATTTTTCATCAGGGATACCGATAACAGCAGCATCTTGGATGTTTGGGTGGGCAATTAACGTCGCTTCAAGCTCGCCAGGTGCAACCTAGGAAGGTGTTTAAAAATATGCATAAGAAATCATTTCTCGTTTACTCGAATTACAGACCGGATAGTGTCTTATTTTCGTTAGAATAATACAAATTATTGTGGTGCCACCAAAGTCTATAGCTTTGAAATCTACTCTTTTGTGACTATACTATTACTTGGCTTCGCACTGAACAAAGGTCATTTGATTTGAATTTGTTTTTAAACCGATTTCCACTGAGCATCATCGGACCTTGTTGATTCGGTTAACTGAACGGAACCGAGGTTTTTTTTATTAACATTGCCTAATATGTTAGAGATGATCATTTGATTATTTATGATTGCCGTTGTTACTTGTTCCAAAGATACCGTTTTATACAATGCAATTGCCGTGCACACCTGGTAGCCTTTGTACTTTATCAGCTCTTTACATCGATCAACGATATAAAAAAACTCATCAGAATCATAGTATCCGATATCACCAGAACGGAACCAGCCATCAGAGTCGATGGCTTCGCTTGTTGCTTTGGGATTGTTGTAGTATCCTAAAACGAGGTTCATTCTATAGTGTCATATGCATGTATGGTTGGTATTGGCATATAATAAGGAGGGGACCAGAAAGCCCACTCAGCAGTTTTATGCAAGAATATGCAATGAGCTGGCCAGATCGCGAAGCAGCTACTTAAAAAGGCCATGTTACACGGTGCAATTTTTCTTGCGACTTGCAATGCAATTCTACTTTTAAGAGACGTAAATTAGTGAAGAGTCTTTAAAATGTTAGTTTAAGAAGCGCCATGGAGTGTAATTAAGACAAAAGTTCTGTAGTTGCCAAATTTACATTTCTCAAAAGAAGAATTGCACCGTGTAACACGGCCTTTAGTGCAGCGTGTTTATTGGCCAAAAAATCAACCGGCTAGGACGATGGTGAACAAATCGTGTGATACGGCATGCGAGAAGACATTCACATCAAAGGTTCCGACTAAAGTGGATCAACGAATTTTGTAAAATACGCTCGGCTAATGTGATTTCATTTTTCAGCGAACGAACACGAATTCGTTTGTTGGTTTTTTAACAACATAGGCTTAATTTCTAGATGTTCAGGTGCTCCGCATTCCCCTTGGGGATTTTAGCACTCGCCAGAGAATTAACCAATTCGTACTGATATACTTGTACTGACGTATTGTTCTTGCGTTTCCTAAAAAATATGTAACAGCTTGCCTTTCATTACTTGAGGACCTCGGATACATATTTCTCCTTCTTCATTTGCGCCAACTGTTTCCCCAGTATATAAATCAGTCACCTTGTAATAATAATCAGAATATACACGTAGGTTATTCGATTTGTGAACATAGCAGATGTACTCTGCATCTTGGGAGACTATATCTCTCTCTTTACGAAAATGTCAAAAACAAAACTCAAGGAGCACGCCACGACATGGATTTCACGGTACCTTAGCTTCAGTATTAGGGAGAACTACTCCAGATGATCCCGCTCTTGGTGCTGCTTCTGGAGATAAGAATACTCCAGGACTGGTTTCTGTGAGACCGTAGCCTGAATGAAACAACATCGTTATTTAAGTTTCTGTTGCACAATGCAATTTTTCACGCAGCTTGAAGACAATTATACTTTTGAGAGATATAAATTAGGTAACTACGAAACTTTCGAGTTTATTACACTCCATCGACGTTTGGTATGCTCCATTTTGCAGAATATTCACTAATTTACATCTATTAAAAGTAAAATTTCATTGCAAGTTACAAGAAAGAGCACTATGTAACAGGGCCTTCGACCAGCAAATATGGTGCTTGATGCGAATCTTTGCACATTGCAAAGGGATAAAAGGAAGAAGCGACGATGCTCTTGTGGTCTTGATGCATGGCCTTGCGGTCTGTTAGAAGCCAGCTGACCCCAAATTCTATACCCCCACTTCTTAAAAAAGGCCTAATAATAAACACACCATTACCTTGCCCGAGTCTTGTATTTTTGTGTCGCTCAAGAAAAACACTTTCAAGATCTGAAGAAAGAGGAGCAGCCCCGCACAAAATAGATCGTAGAGATGATACATCGTAGTTGTCAACAATAGGACTTTTCGCAAGAAGCAAAATTACAGGAGGAGCTGTGGAAAGTTTTGAGATCTAAAATAACGTAAATTTATATATTAATAATTTAATTACAATAATACTTAACATACAATTAAAAATCAACCCCTTGGCAAAAATCTTTTTGTAGCGAAAGTGAAGTGAAATGTCTCCAAAGCATTGAATTAAAATAAATGAAAGGCTGTGTACAAGCGTAATGGAAACCAAACGGGGTGAAGACACAAACTGTGCAATAAGAGTTTGGCGTTTGCAGATATATAATTACCGTTATGAGGTAAAGTACAGACTTTAAAATTCCCCTTCATATTTCCTAAATGAATTTTATGACATATGTTCTCCAAATCTAAAATTTTCTAAACTAACAATCTGCAAGCTTGAGCTTTAAACTGGATACGACAATATATATTTGAATCGTACCTTGAATTTTTGAATTGTCTCTAAAAATAACTCCGGCTCAAACTGAGGCAAGCTTACTACAGTCCCTCCATTATACAAGGTAACGCCAAGAACAACATTAAATCCAAGAATGTGAAAAAACGGCGCTGAACCTAATACTTTGTCATCAAAATATGTATCAATGTATCCAGGCGTGTCAACCAGTTGCTGTATGTTCACAGATAGGTTGAAATGAGTTAACATAACACCTTTTGGTAAGCCTGTGGTGCCACTAGAATATGGTAATACCGCCACGTCTTCTTTTGGATTGATCATGACATCTTTTGGAAATGTTTTTCCATCGTCCTCAAAAAGTTTAGAGATTGGTCTACAGCCCTCCGCCTCACCAACTACAATCACTTCTTTTAATCCACACTGTTTTGCTGCTTCTTTTGCAGTAGGGGCAAAGGCAGGAACTGTAAAAATATATTGAGCTTTTGTGTCTTTCAACTGGTAGCTCAACTCAGGAACGGTTGCCATACTAGATATTAATGTGCATATACCACCCAGAGATAATACAGACAGATACAAAATAGGATATTCTGCAATATTATAACAAAATAGAGCACACACATCTCCTTTCTTGAAGCCAAGTTTTGTCAATGCTGAGCCCAATTTAATCACCATTTCTTGCAGTTGTGGGTAGGTGTATTGCTTTCCAGTGATTCCATCGATCTGAATGTGAAATATTACATTAAATCTAAAGCACTTAGCATATTTGTGCATAGTCAGAGACATTGACTGTCCTATCGCATTGGGGGAGATCAAGCCACTCAGAGGCTGGAGCTTCCCTGCGAACCTATTGCAGAATCTAATTGCATAACTTGGGAAATTACAAGTTTCATTGTGTTCTCTCATACACCTTGCATTAATTGCAGGTTAGTAGTACTACTGAGTCAGACATCGATTATTCTTAGTTTTTATCTTCTTTAATACTTACATTGCATGTTTATTCGTTTATATTATAATACTATTTTTAATACTTGTACATAGGTATTTTTAATCTATTGTAATTGTGTGACGCCCCTCACGAAAACCATCGACAGATGATGAGGGTAGCGTGATTAAATAAAGTTTTATTGATTGATTGATTGATATCTGCAGAAGCTTGCATATCAGCATATGTCTTAATTATCTGTGCTATAATATCAAAATAAATGTCACATGTCAAAATAAATATTCAAAAAATAATCTCATGAACTTTGAAATCATGGTCAGCAACTTTTTAGCCAATAAATTGAGTATATATAATGCAAACCAATTTACAGCCATAGCCTATTGCAATAACTAATTAACCTCCTTGATGGGCCTGATATATGCCTGCATACTATTGGCATTTGATGCAAGGCAAATATAATCCCTGTCATTGACAGGTACTGCTAGGTAATAGGTGAAAAATTATGCTCTTTCATGACATATGAGTGCATGCAAACTGCAATCTAAACAATATATTATTACAGTATATATTCACTTCCGGTGAAAAAATGAATTATTAGCAAGAAATATTCCTCTTATTGTTTTCAGGGAGTGAAGTACAGCATTTATAAAGTGTTATTTTGTTTATCACAGAGTATGTTGATTTTTTTTAGCTTGTAATGGCTATTAAAGCATAAGCTAGTTAACTAACGTTTCAATGAGACCAGTCCACGCACCAGCTTAAATGCTGTATTAATACATGTACGTACCACCCAGTCACAAAATGCAAGTCTTGGGGAAGCAATTTGTACATTTTCGCTAGTTTACACAGACAATTGACACGTTGTACGAATCTTAAATAGAGTGTACATACCATTGCTGGTTTGTTGCCGAATGTATCAAATTTATCAAACAGAAATTCCGGTAGGGATTTATCTTCCACAATACTGCTCAAATCAGGACTCTTGCTTTTAACAATGTTGGAATGATTGCTCGAAGCATATCTCTTTATTCGATTTGCAATCGATCTAAGAAAGATCTATAGATTAGTTTATACATCCGGTTGTTTATAGGCGTAAATTTCAGGAAAGCTTTATACCTGTGTGGGGACAAAACACTAACATATCGCTGACTACAGCAATAGGTTGCTGCCGGAAGGACAGTCATAGTTTTCTGGTACGAAGGCCATAATCTCGCTTGTCGTAATACAAACGCCATATTTATAATTATATTTGTATTTCAGTATTGTAGTTCGTAATGGCGCAATAGACGCAGTGCAGGTGGTAGTCATGCTTGCCTAACGTGATGCAGATGTGAGGTATGACGAGAGGTGTGACCTCTGGGGGGTGTAACTGAAGAGAGAGTTCATGCGGTAAATTTCCATATTTTGATATAGTCAATTGCTTGTCCTATCAGTCTTAGTCTAGTGGTGAAGACAATTGTCTCGTAACTTTTAGGTCGGTGATTCCACAGTTGGTGGTGATTCGCATGCTGGGACGAATATATTTTCATTATGACTTTGAAAAAGTATTTAGGTAAAAATAAATAAATGTAGCCTTTAACACCAAGCACTGATGTTCTAATCCTTTTATGCTAATTAGAAATTTGCATACATGTTCCCGGTACTGTCTTTAACCTGTGATGTGTGCACGTGGTTATTTTACACTATGTGCACCATGTGCATTATCAAGAATCAAAAATGTTATTTATTCACATCATTTCTCAAATAGACCAACCTGTTTTAGCTTATAGTAAATGTAGTGAGTGAAAAAGAACACTTTACGGTTATTAAACATATCTAAACGCTATTGGAAAACGATAAAAAGTCAAATTTAGAATAAAGAAACCCAGCACAGTCGCAGGGAAAGAATAATAATCCCACAATCACCACATAGAGCAATGTCATATATACTAAGCATTGGCTTTTGGAATCGCATCCACAGCGTGACACGCCCATCTATCGGTTCTCAAGAGAGGAGCCTCTTTCCTGTTTCGGCTCCTCTTGGAAGTTTGGCTATGGCGCCGTAGTTGTTGGCTTCTTGCATGTCTTAAGCGGAAGGATTAAATTATGAAACTGAAAGGAATGTGTTTTTCATTATGAACTTGAAAAAAGGTTTAAGTAAAACAAAAATACCGTCAATTCTCCCAGCAGCAAATAGTCTAGGGGTGGCGACAATGGTTTCGCAACTTACAAATTATGGTTAAAATCCTACGTAAAAGAGAAGATTTAGGTAAGTTAGAAAAATACAGCTTTTGATTTCAAGATCAGGGGCCGGTTGTATCAAGCCCGTTTAGCTTAAACGGCGGATAAGCTAAAATTAAATACCACTCTTACATCCCTCTTGAATGATTCAACTTGAATATTGTGCACTGAAAATGTAGTTGTAAACAGTATCGTTGTATTAAGGTTAAAAACATTTAGTTTGCTTCTTGGATAAAACGATAGACTTACTTTCTATTTTTATCTTAAACACCGTTTAACCTAAACGGGCTTGATACAACCGGCCTCTGTTGGCCCAGTGGTGAAGGCGATTGTCGTGTTATTCAGTAATAGTATGTCGCAAGCTAATAAATATCGTGCTAAATGTCGATTTTTTTGCCTTCTGAAAGGCGTGATTTTGAAGGCGATGTATTGAAAGGGAATTCAGTCATTGCAAAAATATCGAAAACTACGATACCATTTAGAGCAAACGTGACAAATTTTTTTATGTTAACAGAGCTTAAGAGAATTTTAGCTGTGAAATTAGTTGCGTAAGTTGACACATTCTAATGAATCCACCAAATGATATACCATTTCCCTGAAATTTTAATTTGTAACCTGTGAAATCAGACTTGACTTCATTGACCGTAAACAATTGCACCGTGACCGTAAGCTTCACCCGGGCCACATATATCTAGCTTATGGTGAGGTAATGTTAATTTGCTCAAGGGATTCCATACCTGTGATATTTTTGCGTCAACACAAATGGTTGATAATAGGTTAAAGCTACGAATATAAGGTACAGTTATGTGCGTTTTAGACAAGAACATAACTCATCATCATGACTCACTGAGGTCATTAATTTATGTACAATCCTTGGAAAAAGGTTAATAAAATAACTGAGTGTCGTAATTCGCCACACGTCCTGCTGGTCTGGTGGTAGCTCTCCCGGGTTCCATGCGGCGGGTTGTATCCCACCATAACTGTTTTTCATTGTGAACTTCATAAAAAGGATAAAGTAAATTAATTAGGCACGTCTGCCACAAGATCTTGCAGTCTAGTGGATAAGACCATGGTCTCCCAAGGGGTAAATCTATCAGTCGAATCCTACCATAACCGCGTTTTTCATTATGAAGTTCGTAAAAAGGATAAAGTAAATTAAATAACCATAGTCTTTCAGCATAAGATCTTGTAGTCTAGTGGCGAGGACAATGATCTCCAAAGTGGTAAATCGATGTTTCGAATCCTGCCATAACCGTTTTTCATTATGAACTTCGTAAAAAAGATAAAGTAAATTAAATAACCATAGCCGTTCAGCAGAAGATCTTGTTGCCTAGTGGCTAACACAATGGGCTCCTCAGTGGTAAATCGATGGTTCGAATCCTATCATAACCGTTTTTCATTATGAACTTCGTAAAAAGGATAAAGTAAATGAAATAACCATAGCCTTTCAGCACAAGATCTTGTAGCCTAGTGGGTAACACAATGGACTCCCAAGTGGTAAATCGGTGGTTCGAATCCTACCATGATCGTTTTTCATTATGAAGTTCGTAAAAAGGATAAAGTAAACTAAATACCCTTAGCCATTCAGCTCAAGATCTTGTAGTCTAGTGGTCAAGATGTTAGTTTCATGTGTCGACAGTCGAAGGTTCGAATCTCGTTTTAGATGAAAATTTTCGTTATTAATAAAACATTGTAAGGTCATGGCGAATAAGTTGGTGTAGGCTTCCAACAATCACCAGTTAGCCTTGTGGTAAAGTCGTGGACTATCAAGTACAAGATAGAGGTATCAAGAACAGTGTGGGACGTTGCTCATGGCGCGAAAAAGAAGAAAAGAAAAAAAAAGAAAAAATTGGTAGGTATGTTGTTCTGGGGAGGTTTGTACTCTGTTAATCTTTGCAAATCAAAGTTAATCTTTAGGGAAATTTAGGGAAACCAGGGGATAGAAAGGGTGAATGAGGGGTACATGAGTACAAAAAGACTTAGTAATTGGGCGGCCACGGCTCCCGGGGGCAGGAGGGCCACGGCTCCCGGGGGCAGGAGAGAGGGCATAGGTGAGAAAACAGTATATAAAATGTTTAAGTCTTTTTGTACTCATTTAAACCTCTTTACCCCTATTTATCCTCCTATTTACTCCTATCTATCCCTACTTTTACCTATCCCCACATACCCCCAACTATCCCCTAACACAATTAAATGTTTGAAGAAAGCTTGCTTTGAAAGTCAGGAAAGCCGGGGGAAAGAGAACCCCCTCAGTCTACTCCTCGCCCAAGGCGAGGGCATATTCGCCCTCTCGCTCTACTCCTCTCACACTCACAAATTCTCACTTTATTATACCTTGTTCTTTTTCCGGTTTATCCAGGGCTTGAACCATCGACTGTATACTTGGCACATCATCGTCTTCACCACTACACCACCAGTTCTTGTGGTGTAAGCCTAGAGTTTTTTATTTTACTTAATCCTTTTTGGAAGGATCTTTGATGAATTAGAAGAAAAAAACATTCCCATCTGGGGCTCGAACCTTCGCCCTTACACTCGGAGAGCACTGCCTTTGCCAGTAGACCGCACGATCTTGCGATGAAAGGCTGCACTTTTTTATATTACTGAATACCTCATGGGTAGGATCTCAAATGAAATAACAATTTAAAAGAGTTCTTTTTAATGTTCATGATTTATTTTCTTGTCTTAAATTGTATCTTATGCGTAGCTTGTAACCTAATAGTAGCCATTTGTGTTCTCGCTAAAATATCACATGCAGGTATGAAGTGCCTTAAAGCACTATTGTTTTCATAAGTTAGTTGTTATATGCGGCCCAAGTGAAGCTAATGGTTACGGTGCAATTCGGTTTGGTATTTTTAATGAAGTAAATTCCAAGTAAACGGTACAAGAAATAAGAAAAGCCGAATACTCATGTTACTGAGACTGGAAAGTTGATAGCCGTAAAAACCCGTCTGAATGTGAATTGGGATCTGGAAAATTTATACGTGTGGTGATGCATGGTTCGGGTAATGCGTAATCATTGCGATACTAATTGTGTTTATTTTCCGTAGTCTTGTTCCGTTCTTGCCATGCTGATATTTCTCAAACTCGTCTGATTCACTGATCCGTCTGAATGCGAATTTAAGACGAGTTTCTCCTCCGGACGAGTTTCCCGTCTTCGATGAGTTTCCCGTCTTTATGAGTTTCCCCTGTATATGAATTCGACTAAATGTATATAACTCCTATAGTCATGAGGCAACAAGCATTAGCCATTACATCTGAAATTGCAAATAAGCAAATATCCAGTTAAACAGATATTGAATATTTATTTCAAGACTGTTCGTAGCCGGTTCGTCGAATATAAAATGCATTAATCTAATATTTAAACCTTTGGAGTAAAGAGACCAACGGCTTAACAACTGTTTGACGACCACATCGTTTGTCGATAAGCTATTGTTGTCTATTTAACTTAATCGTTTCTTCGAAGAACTTTTAAATGAATAATTATGAATCGTTGCCGTAATATTGTAGAGCTGCTGTTTGTTTGTTACCGCGGTTAACTGCGGAAATTGAGCTTTTGAACTGAACTTCTTTTTTCTTAGCGTATTTTATATTCGACGAACCTGCTAGACAAGCTAGTATTTCGACTCTTTATACAACAAAGTCTTGAGATAAATAGTTAATATCTGTTTAACTGGATATTTTCTTAATTCTTGTACCGTTTACTTGGAATCTACTTCATTAAAAATACAAAACAATCGCACCGTAACCATTAGCTTCACTTGGGCCGCATATAACAACTAACTTATGAAAACAATAGTGCTTTAAGGCACTTCGTACCTAATATGTGATATTTTAGCGAGAACACAAATGGCTACTATTAGGTTACAAGCTACGCATAAGATACAATTGTGTGCGTGTTTTAGACAAGAAAATAAATCATGAGCATTAAAAAGAACTCCTTTAAATTGTTATTTCATTTGAGATCCTACCCATGAGGTATTCAGTAATATAAAAAAGTGCAGCCTTTCATCGCAAGATCGTGCGGTCTACTGGCAAAGGCAGTGCTCTCCGAGTTTAAGGGCGAAGGTTCGAGCCCCAG